CGCCTACGTGCGGGCGGATGACGCCCAATTAGGAAATTTCTGCAGGTATCACTCAGGGTCTGCGCATGATCTGCGTAGACACGTTGCTCAACCTGCCTCAAGGCAATCTCACCACCATGGATATTCACGTGAGCGGGAGCTAACCGAACCGCCTGCTGAAAAGGGTCTTGATCATTCCACACCCCTAAATCTTCAAACCACACCCCCGCGCGCCGAAAATTGAGAAGATCAGAGCATAACAACCACACAAAACAGCATTAAATTCAGCTGTAGGAGACAGAAATGGATCCTCCACCTGATGCCTCTTTCCCTACCCTGGAAGAGCTCAAGAATTATGCCCAGGCCTGGGCCAAGCCCCGTGGCTATGCCATTGCAACTGAGCGATCCAAACCCGGCAAAGTATGGCTAAAATGTACCCGTGGCGGCGAGTATAGAAATCGCTATAATCTTGACCGCACTTCCTGTCAGCGCAAATCAAACCACAAGGCCCACGGCTGCCCTTTCAAGCTTGTTGGCAAGCTCTCTGGGATAACAGAAGATTGGGAGTTATCGATGAAGAACGGGAAGCACAACCATGAGCCCGTAATGGATCCCACGGCACTCCCCCAGCACAGGAAACTCACAGCCACCCAGATCAAAGACGTTGAGAGGGGGACGAACAAACTCGAAGAAGAAGGCCTGCCTTTCCGGAAGAGGGTGGACAACGAAAATCGCATTACCAGCCTAATCTTCACCCACCCACAATCTGTAAGTTTCACGAAACGCTTTCGAAACGTCTTCGTCATGGATTGCACCTACAAAACCAACAAGTTTGAGATGCCCCTCCTTCATATCGTCGGGATGACTTGTTGCAACACTTCGTTCACCTCAGCATTGTGCTTCCTCTCTAGGGAGACTCGGGAGGACTATCTCTGGGCAATGTGTATGTACTCGGAGCTGATGGATTACCTTACACCTCTTGTCATCGTCACGGACCGCGAGCTTGCCCTTATGCATGCAAATGCTAAGGTATTCCCCACCGCCGCCAAATTGTTCGATTACCCTCCCCAATCGGGGCATCCAGTTCAAGGACCCTCAGTCGGCTATTCATTGCCCCCGATGGCATCTATGGCTGGTGGAAACCTTCCCATGGGTGCTCCGGGGCATCAAAGGTTTTACGGGCCTCCTCCGGGCCCGCCTAGGAATTATTTTGGTCCATATGGACCTTGATGGAAGCGTGGGAGCGTCAGGAATTTATTTGTGTACATATTGCTACTGTAAATAATTTTATTCATCTTGTTTCTGCTCTGATCTCCTCAATTTTCGGCGCGCGGGGTGTGGTTTGAAGAAACGGGGGTGTGGAATGATCAGGACTGTCTATGTTTTGTAAGGGTTGGTCAGAGCTTAGCGTGTTATCCCCTGGATTATAACAACCGTGTTTTTCCGACGTCCCCAAATCCCGAGTCTGCGCGCGCACATGCATATGAGTCTGTGGCAGAACAGCCCTCCCGCAAGCCTTGCAGCCAAGGGCGCCTAGCGGTTCTGCCACTCCCGCAGCCCCCACGAAGGGGATCGGTAGATCACTCATGCCTGCGGACCGCACACGTATGTGGCCTCAGCAATAAACTCAACGCTCCAATTGCACAATCACGGACCAGTGAGCATGGAGGGCTGGGAGACGGGCACGCGAAAACGGGTGAGTTCGCGAGTTGCTCTTAACTCGAGATCTAGAGCTGGGGCATGGAGCACATGGAGTACAGTCAGAGGAGCCTGCATAATCCGGGGTATATGCCCCGCCAGCTGTCTCCACCGACACCGCCTCGAAATTGCCGGACGGGAAAATGATCTTCCACCCCCTCCTGCGACCCGATACACGTCAAACGTACCCGCACGTCGATGGCGTGGCGAATAAGCTTAACGTTTTCATGCATCAGCGATATCAGGCCTTCATGTTTCGATGGGCGGGGGAGGTACGAGAGCATGGATCAGATACATATCAGGGTCGCTCCTTTTACCCGCACCAGGTGTGGGAGTTCATGCGCGCGCGGGTAGTTGCCAAGCCATGTTGTGCGTCCAGGTGAGAGCGACAGCTCTTGTGAAGGCCGAGGAGTAGAGGAGGCAATCGGTCGAAGGAGATCTGATCGTGATTCTTCCATAGAAGCAGTAGGAATAGGGGATGGGTCAACGGTAGATTGACGTTCAGAACGAGCGATCGCATCGATTACCCATTATTTACACGCGCTGAACCGCCGTGGCTCACTGGGCTCACCTTCTTCGCGCGCGCTTGTTTAACACTACCATCGACCAGGGTGGAGCAAGCTTAAGCCTAAACATGCAACAAAGAGGCGAAGGGCGGACGAGCAATAACCAATTAAACCTTCCATCCTTCTCATCCTCGACGATCAGCTTTCACACTTCTGAAGCGTTTACTTACGAGGCGACGACATAGAAGCTCTGAGTTTGAGCTTTAGATTGTCGAGTGTTTCGGCAGCCAAGCCCCGCTCTTTCTTATCTATACACCGCACTTCGCACTCCGCACACCGCACATCGATATCGGTCGCTTTACCCCGTTGAACGGAGGATAGCATTTACTCCCGGAATCTTTACGCCAGTTACATTTAGAAACTTACAATCACAACGTCGATGACCAGCGCGATGGCGACCTCGGCGATTGACGAACAAGGTCTCGTCGACATCCTGCGCTCGCTGACCGTGAGCCCTCTTCCTCCGAACAAGATTACGTATCCACACAGCCCTGTGGTCGAAGCTGAGTTACGGAATGTTGCGGGGTATTTACAGCAGCATGCGGCGAGGGTGAATGGGTTACCGACACCCGCTCATCTTCCCGGCGATGAACTCCCCACCACGCCCAGTACTACTGGCTCTTCCCTCCTCCTTCAAGTTCCGACGCCGGGCACGAGTCCTAGCAACGGAAATGGTACGACACCTGGATACTTCGACGATGACCGCGCTGAGGTGGAAAGGTTGAGACAACGCGTCCACGAACTCGAAGCACAAGATAAATCCCGCACCTGCGAAATTCAAAACTTCCTCGAAGCCCTCCGCAAAATCGGTGAAGTAACAAAAGCCGTCGCAAAAGGTGACCTCTCCAAGAAAATCTCCATCCAGCATTCACCCCAACCTGCTACCCCCGGCACGTCCGAGTGTGGTGCCGATTATGGTGAGGGGTTGAGTGGAGGCGCAGGCGAGATTCTGGAGTTGAAGAGTACGATTAATGAGATGGTTGATCGGTTGAGGGTGTTTGCGCTTGAGGTTACGCGTGTGGCACGTGAAGTCGGGACGGAGGGTAGGTTGGGTGGTCAGGCTACCATCAAGGATGTGGAAGGTACTTGGCGCGAATTGACAGACAACGTAAACGTCATGGCCCTCAACCTCACAAACCAAGTCCGCTCCATCGCACAAGTTACGACGGCTGTAGCGAAGGGAGACTTGAGTCGCAAAATTGAGGTTCATGCACAGGGTGAGATTGCGGAGTTGAAGACGACGATTAATAACATGGTGGGGAAGTTGAGGGAGTTTTCGGATGAGGTTACGAGGGTTGCGAGGGAGGTTGGTACGGAGGGGAGGTTGGGAGGGCAGGCGGAGATTAGGGGTGTTGAGGGGTGTTGGAGGGAGTTGACGGATAACGTGAATGTTATGGCGAGTAACTTGACTGGTCAAGTGCGTTCCATCGCGGAAGTCACTACCGCCGTCGCTCGCGGTGACTTGTCGAAGAAGATCGAGGTCCATGCGCAGGGTGAGATTGAGGCCTTGAAGGTCACGATCAATAGCATGGTGGATAAGTTGCAGCAGTTCACGCAGCAAGTCTCGACGCTTGCACGTGAAGTCGGAACCGAGGGACGCCTTGGGCAGCAGGCTGTTGTCGAGGATGTCGAGGGAACGTGGAAGGAGTTACAGGATAACGTCAACCACATGGCGACAAACTTGACGAACCAGGTCCGTTCGATCGCACAAGTCACCACAGCCGTCGCCATGGGTAACCTCGACCGTAAGATCGAGGTCGAGGCCAAGGGAGAGATTTTGGAACTCAAGAGCACGATCAACAAGATGGTTGATCAGTTGCGTGTTTTCGCGGGTGAGGTGACAAGAGTCGCAAAGGAAGTCGGTGTCGATGGAAAACTTGGTGTGCAGGCACAGGTCAATGACGTTCATGGTCTCTGGAAGGAGATCACGTTTAACGTCAACCAGATGGCGTCGAACTTGACCTCCCAGGTGCGTGCATTTGCGCAGATTACTGCTGCTGCGACAGATGGTGATTTCACACGTTTCATTACTGTCGAGGCGAGTGGTGAGATGGATACGCTTAAGACGAAGATTAACCAGATGGTGTTCAATCTTCGTGAGAGTATCCAGAAGAATACTGCGGCGCGTGAGGCGGCTGAGTTGGCGAATAGGAGTAAGAGTGAGTTCTTGGCCAACATGTCCCACGAGATTCGTACCCCAATGAATGGAATTATCGGAATGACGATGTTGACGCTCGAGACGGAGTTGAATCGGACTCAGAGGGAGAATTTGCTGATTGTCCAGAATTTGGCGAATTCATTGTTGCTGATTATCGATGATATCCTCGATATCTCGAAGATCGAGGCGAATCGGATGACGGTTGAGGAGATTCCGTTCTCGTTGAGGAGTGCGGTCTTTGGCGTTCTCAAGACTTTGACGGTGAAGGCTAGCCAGAAGAACCTGGATTTGACGTATGATATGGAGAACAAACTCCCGGATCAGTTGATTGGAGATCCGTTTAGGTTGCGTCAGGTCATTACTAACCTTATTGGAAACTCAATCAAGTTTACGAGTGAGGGTGGAGTGAATTTGAGTGTTCGCTACGTCAGCCGTGCGTTTAACCAGATCGTGCTTGAGTTCTGCGTCGAGGATTCTGGAATCGGAATTCAGGAGGATAAACTCGATATCATCTTTGACACTTTCTGTCAGGCTGACGGGTCTACGACGCGTAAGTTTGGTGGTACCGGGTTGGGGCTCTCCATCTCGAAACGCTTGGTGAATTTGATGGGCGGTGAGATGTGGGTACAGTCCGAGTTTGGCAAGGGCTCGAAGTTCTATTTCACGCTTACGTGTAGACTCGACGATCCTTCGCCCGCGGCGATCATACAGAAGTTGGAGCCGTTTAGGGGGAAGAGCATCTTGTTTATTGATACGTTGCCTGACATGACTGGTGCTGCGTCTGTCATCAAGGAGCTTGGGTTGAACCCGTATGTTGTCCGTTCGATCGATGAGGCGAATACAAGGAAGAAGGATGTGCCTTTGTTTGACACGATCTGTGTAGATGGCTTGGAAAGTGCGATGAGGTTGAGGAGTATTAATCATCTCCGGTATATTCCTGTTGTGCTCGTTACGCCTTCTATTCCGCATCTCAATTTGAAGGAGTGTTTGGATTTGGGGATTACTTCGTACGCTAACACGCCTACGAACGTCGTTGATCTCGGTACTGCGCTTTTGCCTGCGCTTGAGAGTCGTGCTGCGCCGTCGTCGTCAGACAAGGCCGTTACCTTTGATATCCTTCTTGCAGAGGATAACTTGGTTAACCAGAAGCTTGCTGTCAAGATCCTGGAGAAGTTCCATCATCGTGTCGAGGTCGTCGAGAACGGTTTGCAAGCCGTCGAGGCGGTCAAGTCGAAGATGTATGATGTCGTCCTCATGGACGTGCAGATGCCCGTTATGGGCGGATTTGAAGCTACCGCCAAGATTCGCGAGTGGGAAGAGGAGAAAGGTGGACCACGTCTTCCGATTATCGCACTCACTGCTCACGCCATGTTGGGTGATCGTGAGAAGTGTTTGCAGGCCGGTATGGACGAGTATGTCACTAAGCCTCTGCGCATGAGCGAGTTGATGCAGACTGTGAATAAGTGTGGTACCCTTGGTGGATCTTACGTTCAGAAGATCGCGAAGCACGATCAGATTCCTCCGGGTTCGCCTTCGAAGGTGAGGTATTCGAGAAGTCAGTCTGGACCCGAGGTGAGCAGGCCTTCGACTCCGGGAGAGGGCGATGTCCCGGCTGAGTTGGGCTTTGTTCCCGGAGATATTGGAACGCAGCCTACTGCCGCGAGTGAGACGTTGCCAGGTAGCATGGTTATGCCTCCCTTGAACAGACACCATACTGCTAAGGAGTAGGGTGTTACTTTTTTGCTTATTGTATACATGTACATTCGAGATGGAGATGGGATGGAATGGTTATTGGGAACAGGGTTTATGAGCGCTTCTTGTACTTGACATTGCTCCTCTTTTTTTACTTTTTCTTTTGTCTTAGGATATGGAACGATCGCGTAGGCGTTAGATGTATTACACTTGCATACAATTAAGATGACGCTGGGCGTCTTTGTGCACCTGTAAACGAGGAGCTCTATGATCAGGAAGTGAAATATCGGCTTCGGCAGATGAGAATTGGAACAAGGGACTTGACCAACCGGTGATTAGAAGATATAGAAAGAACCCCGGAAATAAATGCCCCAATAACCCAAACACCATTACGAACAAAGAACCCACTAAATGATATGACATGCCTTCGTTCCATCACACTCAACCTCAAACTTCAATACGGAATGTATCATCTTCGTCAAACTCGTACACATCAAGCTTCATACCAGCAAACAAAGGTTCATATTTTGGCTGCGCCGGGCGCGTGGTGCGCGAGGTCGTCGTCAACGAAGTTAGCCTCGAATTGATGAGGGACTTCCTCGTAGTTGTGCTCGACACCGCTCTCCTCGTAGACTCAGTAGCAAACACATTGACCTGCCTCGACCTTGCCGCAGCTGTCGGCATCAAATAACTTGGCACCCCGCCCGTATTGCTCATACTTCTCTTCCTCTCAACCTGTCTTCACCTCCTTCTTCTCTGTCACCGCTTCTACACCTCCACATCTGGACCCACGGGTATTTCTTCAAAGATTGATCCTTGAACAGCTCTGCATCTTCACGTTCGATGTATGTATGTCCTTGGTCGTCGAGGCAGTCCATGTATGCGCTTATGGATGGTCGGTAGCTGCCGAGGGCAGACCAATCAACTAGGGAGCAGTTTTCTGGTTCTCATGGGATTTCTGTACATTTCCATCAGCATTTATCTTGGAAAAGAAAATGAGGCAAAGCATACCCAGTCTACGAGGTGGCATATATTCAATATCCGGGATTTCAATCTCCTCCTCGGCAATCTGTGCTTGCTCGAGTTTCTGTGAAAGCTGCTGATGTACATCTTTGAAGACTTCGGGTGATGCTTGTTTTGGTGTTCGGCGTTTTGCGGAGGAGAGTCTGCTTTGTTGTGGTTACCTGTTGATGGTGGTGCGAGTTTGCGAACATTGGTGTTCTGCTCACCTAAAGGAATTCTCCTTCGTCCTATGCCGTAGGTCAGTACGATGATTCTGTCATCAGTATACCAGAGCCTACCAATTGGGGTAATAAACGCGTTCGAGTTGAACTTTGTACCCCTTCACCATCATCGATGCACGCACATTCTCGTCTCCAAATGGCGTCTTTGCACTGAACTTCAATCCCTTCGCAGCAGGCGTCTTCGGACGGACGGCGAACGCGTTCTCCTTGTTGACGTTCCGGGACTGTAGCATGGCGGAGGTTGTTCGGCGTGTTTGATTTGTTTCGTGAGTTCTTGGAGGTCGCGTTTTGTGTGGGGTGTTGGCGGACGCGGTGGTGTAACGAAGACAATCCATATTCGGCAGAACAAGTACCGGTATGCATGCACAGCAGACCGAGGTATAACCTACCGTACGTACAGGCTGCCTCGACGACCTGCAGCAGCTGCAGCGATTTAATACCCAGACATCGTAGAGCTCTCGCCACCAGCAATCTGTTCTTCCGACCAAATCTCCGCCTGATCCGACTTCCCTCACCTTCTTTCATTCGGAATATGTCCTACCTTGCTACCGAGAAGCAAACCGCCTTGAGCGCAGTCACTTTAGCCTCCAAGCTCACCGAAAAAATCTTCCGCTCCCTCGCTGGCGCCTCCACTGTCTCTAAGGATGACAAATCTCCTGTCACCATTGCTGACTTCGGTGCTCAAGCCCTCGTCAACGCTGTCCTCGCTCGTGACTTCCCCGAGGATCCAGTTGTAGGTGAAGAGGACTCCGCCGTTCTCCAGGGAAATACAGAGTTGAAAGCAAAGGTTTGGGACTTGGTCAGGGGTGTTGTGGAGGAGGGATTGCCCGGGCTCATCAAGGATGAGGAGGAGATGTGTGCGATGATCGACCGTGGATCATATGCTGGGAGTGATAAGGGACGGATGTGGGCATTGGACCCTATTGATGGTACGAAGGGATTCCTGAGAGGAGGACAATACGCAGTCTGCCTTGCCCTCATCAAAGACGGCGAAGTCGAGCTTGGCGTAATCGGATGCCCCAACCTCCCCGTCGACAAAACCGCCGGAATCGAAGCTGAGGGTGTCGAGCGCGGAATCATCACGCACGCAATCAAGGGCCAAGGGTCATTTCAACGCTCCCTTCACTCAGACTCGGGAGACGCCCAGGTGACTATGCGCACGATCTCCTCCACCGCCGAAGCCACGTTCTGCGAATCCGTTGAATCCGGACACTCTGCCCACACAACCCAACACTCCATTGCGACTGCACTCGGCATAACCGCCCCCTCTGTGCGCATGGACTCCCAATCCAAATACGCCTCCATCGCGCGTGGCTCGGGTGACATCTACCTCCGTCTCCCTGTCTCCGCAACATACGAGGAGAAGATCTGGGATCATGCGAGTGGTGTCGTTATTGTCGAGGAGGCAGGTGGGAAGGTTACAGATATGTTTGGAAAGAGGTTAGACTTTGGCATGGGGAGGACGTTGAGGGCGAATAAGGGTGTTATTGCTGCGCCGGTTGGAGTGCATGGACGGGTTATGGAGGTTGTTAGGGGGGTTATGGGGGATAATATTGTTGCTAAGTAGATGTGTACGATACTGTGATTGCCAGCCCAGCATAGCGCTATAGAAGCTGAACAATCACCTTCCGGTCCAACGAACGAGTGATATCCACCAGCATCGCGATCATGAAAATCTAAAGATTAGGAACACCCCGTACACTTTCCGTAAAAAGGATTGAGCATGAAAGTCGCTCCACCACACGTGCTGCTCCTCAACGTTAATGTTACCCCTGCTCCACGTATTTCCTGCCAGCATTGCCGGCAGGCCTAGCAAAGAGACGGCCGGAGAAGACGATTACGAAAGTAGCAGCTGCCCATAGAGCAGCAAAACACCCTTGTTGCTACCAGCGTTCATGTTCGGCGGTTTGGTGACCATAACCTAGTAAGAGCGTTAGCGAAGAGGACTAGTGAGGCGTGGGAAGAAGACAGACGTGCTTATCGTTTGGAGATATGACAAGTTCGAGCAGCTAGATGATGGTGGGCAATCGTTCTCAGCTCCAAATACTCTGGTGGTGAGATTTCAACCTTGGCTAGGTTGCAAATACAGAGGGAGGGGTGGATGATCAGACTCGCGTCGAGCCAGGGCATGTGCGTGTTCTCATGACCGCCTGTCCACACGGGGTCATTCGCCAAGATGCTCCCCAGCAGTAAAAATGATATTCTAACTCACGTCAGAGACTTACTCCAAGATAAGTGTCCAGTATGTATGGTAACCCTCCAAAAATTAAAAAATCAAAAAGACCAACGATGCGATGCACCCATCGGGCCGCCGATATCATATCCACCAAATCCAGAGCAATGAAAGACCCGGTACCGCAGCTAACTCAACTGTCTAACAAAAAAACTAAAATGTACCTCGACGACTTCCCAAACCAGCATTAGAAAGTTCATGCCCATCTCGCACAAGATTGTCCGTTCTCCCATCTCAGAATCCTCCTTGTATCCCTCCACTTGCACTTGCACTCACACTTGCAGCACTCGCCCTCCTCTGCCTCAACACATGAGCGCGCCAGTCACCCAAGATTCCGGTCTTCTCCTGGAACAGGGCGAAAGTCCTCAAGACTTCCCTTCCGGCATATGCCTCTAACTCCTGTGTGTCACGGCTGTTGGTGACGGGTTTGTTGTCGTTGTTGCAGACACGGATGTGTTTCAATACGACATTGAGGATGTCCTGTTCCGACGATGTTAGCGCAACGATATGTGATAACGAAGACCCTCCGAACCTTCACGAAAATCCAACGAATACCAAAGTGGCCCCTCCATTTGTCCTGGGCCCAAATCCCACTTGAGGCACGATGATCAACAGGCGTGACCATCTGTGCAACACCGCAGAACATGCCGCTAGCGTTGACACTGAAGAAAAGGTAGATGGGTCTGTAATGAAGTCAGCTAACATGCCTAGTCATCGCAGTTTTTCATCACCCTTGATCCGAACTTTCCCTGAAAGCGCGGTCGAGACGTTTACTCCCAATTTCCGTACTGGCCCAAATTCCGTATTTGAGTGACTGTGAAGGTGTTAGCCTAGTCCTGATAGGAAGCCAAACACGTTTACCTTGTGAATATCATCCTCACTATAACTCTTAATCACGAAATACCTCGCAAACGCCGGCATCGCACACGTATCCGGGTTAATTCCCGCCCTATCGGCCGCCTTCTCGTCCAACGCGATCGGAGGGGGACTGATTGTGAATGTCCTTGTCGGTTGCTGGTTTCCGCCCCACGGGATCTGCTGTGGCACAGGCTGGGTTTGAAGGGTGAGAGAGCGTTCACCCCAATTCGTACCCCACGGCGAGGCAGAATCGAAGAATGTGTTGTGCAATGATGAGGACGCGGATCCGGCGGTTGAGGCATCAGATGGCGCACGACGATGACGCGAATGGATATTCATCGCCTCAACACCAGCAGCGAGCGAATCCGTCGCTGCTCCGGCATCAATCGGGGTAAACCTCAAGGCACTCAGATTAAGCGATGTCTGACGCCGCGGGAAGCGTGTGATTTCGGGGTAGGTCTGTGTAGCGTTGGTGGTACGGTAGCGTTCGAGGGAGGCGTCGCTCCATGAGTGGCGGGTATCGGAGAGTGGACGGTTACGCCCGTTGACTGTGTGTTCTGGAGGTGTGGCGAGAGGGGTGCCGGGGTAGACGGGGGCAGCGGGGGGTGCACGGGATGGCCAAGATGAGCGGTGGTCGTCGTAGCGGCCATTGGGAGGAGTGAGGGGGATTTGGTGACGATAGGTCCGGCGTTCGTCCAATCCGTACTGACTCCCGTACGAGGAGCCCATGACGGCATTGTCGTCTCCCTCGACTTGAGACCTCAACATTGAGTCACGGCGGTCGAAGGTGCCTTCGTGCACGTGAAAAGGCTCAGAAGCCGTACGAATGTGCTTCTGGTTGCCATATGCGGGAGAAGGCGACGGACGGACACCGGCCTGGACTACATCGTACTCCTGCGGACTCCAGATAGACGAGTCGGCGAGAAGAGCAGACTGGGCGCCACGAGGCAGACTAGAGGAAGGAGGGTCGTAATGCTCTTCGGCGCCGTACGCATGGTGAATATGGCGTGGCGAAGCCAAAGTCAATGGACGAGGACGGCGGGCCCTGTTGTTCAATTCTGCTGTACGAGAAGTTAGCTTCTGCAAGTCATGGTGCCACACTCCTCAATACCCTCATAAGATGACTCTGTCGAAGGCGTCCTCTGCCTCGCGAAGGAACGGGGTTCGTCCCAGAGAACGGAACCGGGTGCCGTGTTGTAGTCTTCCTGAAGGAAATTGTTCGGGATTTCAGGCTCTGAGTTCCTGTTCCAGGCAGAGGGTCTCGTCTCTTGCAAGGTTTCGTATGCCATGGATGGATGGCGGGAAAAGGAGCTGTAAGGGGTTTACTGTCAGCAGAGTGATAAACTCTAACCCTTGACGCTTCCCTACCTCATCTTTGCTGTTCGTTACTTGTTGGATGATTGTGGTACTTCTGTATCACCTCCTACTCCTGTCACTGCTTATTCGATGGAGGACAGGTGGGGTTATGCACCGTTCAAATACAGAGCACACCGACAATGACGAGATGACGAATCACGAGTCTGGACCTATTTCACATGTGCAACGGCAAATTCAAATTGACTGGATAGAAGGTTTCATACTCTATTCAGCCGGCGCGGTGCGGTACCGGTACGATTGGGTCACGCCTGGGCATGCGGACGGCAAATGCGAAGAATGAAGGGCCCGTTCACGTTGAGCCCCGCCTCAGGTCCGTCTTCCGCGGCAACTGAGAGGAGATCGGGGGTAAATGGGATGATTAAGCTGGTACATGGCAACCCGTAATTGGCAGGGCATGAGACTCCTCGGCAGTATCTGAACTTGTCGATGTCCTCTTGCTCCGAAACCTGGCACCGACCCGTCACACGCTATTGTGATTGTAAAAGTCCATAACGTACCTTTGTACATGAGCCATTTCCAGTATGTCATTATCTAAGTTTACGAGGTTTTGGGAACTCACAGCCGAGCTTTAACCTGACATTATTCTGGATTACGTACGTGCTGCTCTTCGGGAACGTTCAGCTGCGGCATCGATTTCGCGGAGTGCCGGCGCCGACATACGAACCCGCCTGAAACACCAACCGATCGACCATCACTCGAATAACCTTAGGAGTTTATTCCAAGTAACCGGTGGTCGCAACCAGTTCTGATCGCATGGCGATGTACTCGCAAGGTTCAGCGCTCCTCCAACAGGTACGTCACTCTTTTTTTTGCCATTTGCCTTCGTGCGAAATGCATATGGAATGGAGGCTGATAACGGACTGTAGGTTGGAATAGCGCTCGATTCTCTACGATATGTGCTGTCGCCGTTGATGGCACGACCAAGGCCAAATCCCCAGGTTACGTCGCACCAACCACGGATCGACCTGCCAGACTTCATGAAGGATATTGCGTCTTTTGACGCTCTGCGAATATTGCCCTCGAGGGAGCTCGCATTGCAGCCGATCCCCGTCCCAGCGATGCCTACTTCTCGACACTTCAGCCCCAGGATACGTCTTGCCTCTTCCCCATTCCCCACCCCCCTCACAACCCTCTTCCGCACTCCCTCCATGCCCTCTTCGATCCGCCATATGTCAACAGCATCCCGACACGACTCCTACCTCTTTCGTCTTCAACAAAACGCAAACGCGATGCCAAGCAACGCAGCCGCTCAAGCCAAGTTCTACTCGGCGTGTTTGGATAAGGGACATCCTGAGGCGGTTGTAGAGAGGTATGAGACCGCTGGCGTGGCCCGGGATGATGAGTGTACGGAGTTATATATCCGTGCTTGTGAAGAAGCTCCGGAGTCTCCCTTCGATATCCTGGGTGGGGGCCGGGGCAAAGCCGGTCCCTCGAAGACTGGGGGCAGGAAATACGGAACGGAAGACAAGCCGATCCATGTCCAAGTCACCAGTAGTCCATTCGACAGCGTCATGTCCTTCCTCAAGTCTGTCCTCGGCTTGCTCATGTTTGGCGGTATTGCGTACACCATGATCAACATGGCGCGAGCGCAGCTCGGCGAGGGCCGCGGATCGAAGATGCTTCAACCCGACGATCCGGCTGTGCCGAAGGTGAGGTTTAGTGATGTACAGGGTGTTGATGAGGCCAAGGAGGATTTGCAGGAGGTTGTGGAGTTCTTGAGGAATCCTATGAAGTTTACGGCGTTGGGTGGAAAGTTGCCCAAGGGTGTGTTGTTGAAGGGACCGCCGGGTACGGGTAAGACTATGCTTGCGAAGGCTGTTGCTGGTGAGGCTGGTGTTCCGTTCATCTCCACGTCTGGGTCTGAATTTGAGGAGATGTTTGTTGGTCTTGGTGCGAAGCGCATTCGTGACCTCTTCAACGTGGCGAAGAAGAACGCGCCGTGTATCATCTTCATCGATGAGCTCGATGCTGTTGGTGGTTCACGTGATGACAAACAGAGCTGGAGCAACAATCAGACCTTGAACCAGTTGCTGGTTGAGCTCGATGGATTCGACTCGAATGAGAATATCGTCATTATCGGAGCTACCAACTTCGCCAAGAAACTCGATCCAGCGCTCGTCCGCCCCGGCCGTTTCGACCGGCACGTCGTTGTCCCCCTCCCAGACGTCCGTGGCCGTGTCGAAGTCCTTCGACACTACGCCAAGAACATCATTCTTCATCCCCAAGTCAACCTCGAACTCATCGCGCGTGGAACCTCAGGTATGTCTGGTGCCGACCTCGTTAACCTCATCAACACCGCCGCTGTCCGCGCTAGTCGCGAGGGTGCGCTGGCGGTGAATCTCAACCACATGGAGTGGGCGAAGGATAAGATCTTGATGGGTGCGGAACGAAAAACGAAGGTCTCCACGGAGGCTCAGAAGCTGGCTACGGCGTACCATGAGGGTGGACATGCGATGATGGCGATTTACGCCGAGAAGGCGATGCCTCTGTACAAAGCTACCATTATGCCCCGTGGTGAGGCTTTGGGTATTACGTTCTCGCTACCGGATATGGATAAGGACTCTTTCTCCAAGACCGAGTATATCAGTCAGATTGATGTTGCTATGGGAGGTCGTGTGGCTGAGGAGTTGGTCTACGGAAAGGAGAACGTGACGAGTGGTGCTAGCAGTGATATCGCCAATGCTACTAACGTGGCGAAGGCCATGGTCACCCAATGGGGATTCTCGGATAAGGTTGGTCCTGTTCGATGGACTGGAGGAGACTACGAGCAACTTTCAACGGAGACGAAGCAGGTCATTGAGAGTGAGATCCGTACGATGATTGAGGCGTCTGAGGCGAGAGCGAGGAGGATCCTGAGAGAGAAAAGGGATGAGTTGGATAGGTTGGCGCATGCGCTTGTTCAGTACGAGACGCTTACGGCGGAGGAGATCAGGACTGTGATGAAGGGGGGCCGGATCAGCAAGCAGTACCCTTCGACATTATAAGTTATTGATGTACATACAGTATGTGCATTTGCTAGCGCTTTTTGGATAAAAGGTTGGCGTACGGCATAGCATCTCTCATCTCTGAACATCTTCCGTTACAATTAGATTGACGTATAGCAATACATCGGAATAATTAGTATTGAGCTTTATGACTTGGGACATTTGTCGGGTTTCCTGTTGCTGCAGTCCCTGTCTTTCGCCTGTCGTATCGCAACTCTAACTTCGCCACAGAGATCATTGAGAGCCTTGAGGCGAGATTGACTGGTAAAGGTCGACCAACCACCACCAACCCTTTTGAAGACGATGACAAATGCCAACGATACCAATGATACCACTACATTCACCTCGCTTCCTCAAGATCTAATCCATGGCCTCTATCCCTTCCTCTCCGCCGCCGATCTCGCCGCTTTGTCCCTAGTCTCCCGACGCTTCAACGTCCTCACAAACCACTACGGCTGGAAACATTACGTCCGCGCACAAAGATGGCACAACATAACCCACGACGTATCCGCTCTATCATGGCAAGACCAAGCCGCCATTGGTACGGCGATTGATCGGGCGTGGGATGCGCATACGTTTACGGCATCGTTGATTAGCCGACGGTGGAGGGGGAAGTCGATGCCGGTTGTTAGGGTTAATGGGAAGAAGATCGTTGTTGGGGTTGGGCCTGAACTGCACTTACTTTGGCTTGGGCAGCAGGACAGTACGCCGCCGCCGCCGGCACCACGGCGAGGTTTTCGGCAGGACAGGAGTTTGTCGGGTGGGACGACAAGACCGTGGCAGGTGTGGAAACTGGGGAAGGATGGTGTTGACGATGTCACGGACATTGTGCTCGTGGAGGGAACGGAGGATGAGGCTATCGTCAGTCATGTGAACGGAAATGTTTTCCGAGTGCGGTTACCCCGGAAAGGACAAACTCACGTCCCGGAGATTCTACACCACTACAAGCTCTCGAAAGGGACGGTACAATCCATTTCCATGGCTGGGAAGGACAAACTCCTCGCCGCCTCCTCAACATCCCAAGAAATTTCCCTTTTCGACCTCCGCGACGCCGCCGAGAACACATCCAAACCTCTCACCACAATCTTCCTCCCCTCACGGCCCTGGATCGTCTATCCAACCTCACCCAATGAATTCGCCATCGGTTCATCCGGTACGCACCCACTATCCTTTCATACCCTCACCCCATCCAGCATCGTACAAACCTATGCCTTCCCCGCTTCCGACTACAACCTCACCAAATCCGCCGTGTACGGACTCTGCTCCTACACCCCCTCAACCCTCCTAAGCGGCTGGTACGACGGCGCAGTCCGTCTTCACGACCTCCGTGCTCCACCCCTCTCCACTCCCCAACTCGAACTCGAGTTCCGGGATCCGCATGACGCAATGAGTGCCGTATACTCACTCACCACCAACGGGCCCGGGGGCCACCAAATCATCGCCGGTGCGGCACGAAACGGGGTCATCAGAGTCTGGGACGCGCGGTACGCCTCAACATCCAAACAAAAGGATGGAGGGTGGAGTATCTTCTTGGGAAGGGAGAGAAGTCCGGTGTATTCCGTCCAGGCAGAACACGGCAAAATATTTGCGAGTACGGAGAGTGGGGTGTATGAACTTGATTTCGCTTCGTCTGACATACTGGGGGATTCGAAGGAGGCGCAGGTGAAGAGGAAGCTCAAGGGGAGGAGGGAGATTCTTTATAAGGGGGAGGAGGACCGGAAGGATCTGGCACATGTTTATACGCATGTCGAGGGGATGCCGTTATATCATACGGACGGGCGATTGGTGTAAGTCTGGTTTGTAAGATCCTGAGCTCGAGCGATATAGAAAAGTGTTTTTGTGAGAAGTTTGTATCGAGGGACGCCGTGCGCTGATCCGCTGATCCCACGGTAACGTAGATACACGCTAACCTTTTTCGGAAGGGTAAGTTCAACGCGGTCGCGTATTTGCTTTCAACACATTCACACCACGCAACTGCCTTCAATCCAGATTCTTATCCCTCAGTCATCACTCCATTACGTTAATAAAATCCATCACAATGTCTGACGCCGAGTCAACCCACTCCAACGACAACCACGACGCCGGTGTCCCTCCCACCGACATCAACCCCTATGAAGTCCTCTCCCTTCCCACCACAGCGACCGCCTCCGAGATCAAGACCGCATACCGCAAACTTGCCCTCGCCCACCACCCTGACAAAGTCTCCCCCGACAGTCGAGACGCAGCGCACCTCAAATTCCAAGAAATTGCCTTCGCATACTCCATCCTCTCCGACGAAAAGCGAAGAGCACGATATGATCAAACGGGGCGAACAGATGAGATCGCGGCTGGTGAGGAGGATTTTGATTGGAATGAGTACTTTCAGGAGTTGTGGCAGGGGGTTGTTGATGGGACGACCATTGAACAGTTTAAGAAGGAGTATCAGGGGTCGGAGGAGGAGAGGGGGGATTTGTTGGAGTCGTATAAGGCGAACAAGGGAGATATAGAGAAGATCTTTGAAGAAATCATGTGCTCCGAGGTTGAGGCTGACGAGGCACGATTCCGCGAGATTATTGATGCTGCCATTGAGGCGGGTGAGGTGGAGGCATACAAGAAATACCGGTCCAGCACGTCAAAGAAGGAAGCGGGTGCACGGCTGAAGAAGGCGCAGAAGGAAGCAAAGGAGGCAGAGGAACTGGCTGCTGAATTGGGTCTCGATAAGGATCTGAAAAAGACGAAGAAGGGCAATAAGGCGGATGATGAGGCAGCATTGGGAGCGCTGATTAGGCAAAGACAGCAAGGGCGAATGGAGAGTTTGATTGAATCTATGGAGGCTAAGTATGCGCCGAAGCCGAAGAAGGGAAAGAGGAAGGAGGAGTCGGAGGGTGCAGGTGCAAAGAAGAGGACGAGGACCAAGTAAATCTGGTTGTCGAAGAAGCAAGCATATTTGGGTCTATGCGTCAGAGAAAGGCAATTGCCCGGTATATCAAGAAAGAACCTATATTAGATCTCGTTTGTCTAATCCATGCCGTAAACAAACCCTTGCACAACACTCAACGTTTCTTTCATGCACTGTCCGCATCCTCTCTCATGCCACAATCTTGAATTTCTCCGACGCCCAAGTACTCAAAGCCCTCTTCTCCAACTTCGGCGCAACCTTCTGGCCCCTGTAAGATATTGTTAGAACCACCTTGGGGGGAGATCAGTGAACGTCTTACTTAATCGCGATCCTCTTCCCTTGCTCTCCAAATCCACCAGTCGAACCCCTCTGCCCAGCGACCCCTGATTGCAGACCCGAATTTGCATTTGATTCAGTGTCGCTGTCCCATGTCTTTCCTCCGTTCCTCGATGGAGCCTGCATATTATTTACCCCGGCAGGTGTCTTGCCCGCATATGGTGGAACGGCCCATGGATACCCAGGATGTGCTTGTACCGTCTCTGTGGTGAACGCAAAGCGGACTGTAGGCTCTTGAGGTGGTGGAGGTGCTGGGGCAAGAGGAGTAGACGTTTGTTTAGGGGCAGAGGCTGTGTTTGGGCTCGTAAGGTGGGAGAACAGATCCCTGATTGGTGCAGACATGGTGTTGGTAATTCTATAACTATGTAAAGTGTGTCGATTACGAGTCCGAAGCTGAGATTGCAATTGATGGTGCTGGTCGTCGATTGCCGTTTGTTTGGTTACAAAGAGCAAGTCGACGTTGCACCTCCACGTGATCTAACCAAATCCGGGATCCAGAAACCACGACCAGGACGCAGAAAGCAAAAAGATACAGCACCCGAGTATTCCCAGCTGGTCTCCCACGCTAGTACTGACTGGGCCCTATGATGCTTAACTTAGGAGATCGGACGGGATCCTGTGCTTTCATCATGGTATGGCCGTATCTGGCATTTTCGTCGTCTTTGAATCTTTATTACCCCGAAGCAAAAGGTCGAGAGCACTCGCAGGGAAAGATCAAAGGCCCTTCTACGTGACGGCGAACCACGGACACTTCGACGATGTGGAGCGGCAAGACAGCGTTTCAAACCAGAGTATGTGATGGAGAGGAGCCTACGAACTTTCATATCCAACACCGTATTGCTGCAAGAACGTCAAACCTGCCCGTGGAATATATCCCACAATCACATTTGAGGCCCAAGCATCAAAGCTCAGCTCCGAAACACCCCTATCAAACGTCGATACAAAACATGCAGAAATCTAAAAAAAAGAAACAAGTCAGCCAAAACTACCCCAACGGTCAAGTCAAAAGCAGCCGCCAACACGCCAAAAAAGCAATGCTTTGTTCCATAGAATTCAGTACTCGTAGCCGTGTCAACGGCAGTATCGTCAAAAGTAAAGACTTCACGAAGACCGTCGTGAGATTGAGTGTTTGAGATCTCATCCTTGTATGGAACAACGTGCTTTTTGGGTGGATGTTGGCAGTGCGAGAAAACGACTAACCTTGATGGTGCGTGTGGAGGGTCCAAGGTATGCCGATAAATGGTAGTAGACAAAAGCGTAAACATATCTGATGATGCTGTTAGCATCCCTGTTGGACGGAAAAAGAAAGCTTCCGTGAGGAGAGCACGCGTTTGCATCAGACAGGTACAACACTCGTCAACGAGCCCTGTCACAGGCCTTGGACATATGCTTGTCATTGGTATAGTAATATCATCCATTGCAGCCTCGCGTACTCTGCCTCAGAAAGCAGAAGACATTGAACTAACCTTATCGACATCACCGTCATTCACCTTGGCCGCAACACCAGAACGAAGCGCGTCGTCGTCCAAAGTTGGAGGAACATGAAAAGACATCTAAGAAAGAATATCAGCACACGTCCATGTGTCATGCCACGAACGAAAAAAGTACAAGAGCCAAAAAGACAACGATTGATCAGAAATGCATGAATGGTATTAAAATAAGTTTGTCAGCATGGCTAACGCCGATCTGACTCGTCATCTAAAGGGGATCATCATATCGTTGTCTTTTCTTTGGCTTTGCACGTTTTCCTCCGAGTTGCAACTCACCATTCAGTCGACGTCCTCACTCCTGATTTCCTACACTCTCCGGACACGAGGTCGCGGAAGAATACGTGCGTAGAAGTGTATAGTGTAGCGAGCACACTGCGGTCAGGGTCAGCGACCAATCCCTATGCGCATCTTCCCCCAACCATGCCCTTCACCCGTAAGGGTCAAGAAGCAAGGAGGCAGAACGACCAAAGATTCAGTTAAACCAGGTTTCTGAGGCCTGGCGATTAATGCAGTGTCTTGGCTCACATTGCCCAAAAGGACGTCGGTGCCCAGTGCGATACATCATCATGGTACGTTCCAGCCTCCCGTTGACACTTCTTGGGCACGATAGGTTGGGTGGTAATGGTGTGGGTGCTAACCTGGAGATATAACAGTCAGCTTCTGAGGTCGGAGGAAAACGAAGATGAGTTCGTGAACGACGACGATGATGACGACAACAGCCGGTAACGACCCTCGATATCGACTACACCCAGTGATGGGTTCGAAGATATGTTCAGATAAAGAGTACAATGCAGCAAAAATTTTGTCCTCAGCTTTAGCTCGGACGGTAATTCCAATAGTTTGTGTATCATCAGATTGGGTCTCCGGGTGTTGTATCGTCTTCGTCGTCGTTGTCCTGAACGGAAGATAGGTACTAACCTTGTGCACATCACATCGTGTCGCTATGTCGGGCTTCTCAGCTCATCGAACGAGGTGTGTTGCAAATGTATGCATGTGTTGTAGTTTGATCAAATCTATCACCAACAGTCAGCACGGTGTCCACGAGAAAACAAAAACTCCTCATCAACAATGCACAGTCCAGTTCTCATCAAGATCAGATTATGCAATTACGATCACTCGACTTGGCCTTTTTGGGTCCAGAGGTCGTCACAAACTCTAGTTTGTGTTATTTAATAAAGCTGTCATCAATTGAGACGCGACTTTGAATCTGCATCGATGGACTGTGCACTGCCAATAAGAAGATAAGTTCGCCTTACCTTTTGAGGATGATGATGGTTCAACCAGGCATGTTGGTCATGGTTGATGGTTGGTGGTTGGTGGTGAGTGAGGAGCGCTGCTGCTTCGAGATTTTGTGCGTGAAGATTTTGCGGTGCGAGCTAACGAAGCACGAGGATCTCACGGTCCAGTCACATGACCGAAGCCAAAGATCTGTATCAAGAATTGTATCAAGAATTGTATCCTGCCCGCAAACCGCCGTCTGTCATCCCGGCCTCGGGTTTTGTCGGACTCGGACCCGTTCCGTGCCGGGCGTTGCCGGGATGAGCGCTTCCGGCGTCATACCCCGCTTGTAGCGCGGTACACGTTCACAACATCGACTCCTCCGCATCAACGTTTCTCCGGCCAGCATGAATAGCCCGTACCCTCAGTACAGCCTGTCCATGAAGCCAGTTGACGGGGTGAAGGCTCGAATCATCCGTCTCCATCCTGCCTCTGTCTTTCTGCTCCTTGGCAACGTAGAGAGGTCGTGATGTAGCATCCTCGGCTCCCACGCTTAATGTCGCGCTTCGGTCATATGGGGCCGTCGGAGGGATTGACAACCCCCAAGTTACCCTGTACGTGCACCGACATATAACAACCCTGAACACCCCTACCCGCCCCAGAACCACACATTTCACATCAAACACATAGATCAATCATGTCCGAAGTCCCTACTCAAATCAACACTGGTATGTCCTTCATCATCCACAAGGCGTTAATTGAAGCAGTGTGCTGATGCAGAAGGGCAGATATCCCAACCTTGACGAGGTTCATCCTCCAAGAACAGCAGAAATTTGGACAATCCGCTTCGGGAGACCTAACCCAACTCCTCAACGCCGTCCAACTCACCTGCAAATTCATCGCTTTCAACATCCGCCGCGCCCAACTCATCAACCTCGTCGGTCTTGCCGGGGCCTCCAACGCCACCGGTGATGATCAGAAGAAACTGGATGTATTGGGTAACGACATCTTCGTAAACCAAATGAAGAACTGCGGAAAAGTCGCAGTGATCGTCTCCGAAGAGGAGGAACACCCAATCATTGTTGAAGGGCCCATGAAGGGAAAGTACTGTATCGCCTGTGATCCCATCGACGGATCATCCAACTTGGACGCCGGAGTTTCGGTCGGAACCATCTTCGGTATCTACAAAATCCGTGACGGCTCCGAAGGTACCGTCGAAGACATCTTGAACCGCAATGGCCTCGACATGGTATGCGCCGGATACTGCATGTACGCCGCCTCCACCAACCTCGTCCTCACAACCGGCCACGGCGTAAACGGATTCACCCTCGACAACGCCCTCGGTGAGTTCATCTTGACCCACCCCAACATGACCATCCCCGACTCAAAGGCAATCTACTCCGTTAACGAGGGAAATGCAAAGTACTGGGACGAACCCTGTACGGAATACTTCAACTCCATCAAGTTCCCGTCTGAGGGTAAGCCCTACTCTGCCCGTTACATCGGGTCCATGGTCGCCGATGTTCACCGCACGATTTGTTATGGTGGGTTGTTTGCTTACCCCAACGATACCCGCGGACCCGGAAAACTGAGGATCTTGTACGAGTGTTTCCCGATGGCGATGGTTATGGAGCAGGCGGGTGGTGAGGCCTGGAGTGGGGAGAAGAGGATGTTGGAGGTTGTGCCGACGAATATTCACGAGAGGTGTGGAATCTGGCTCGGGTCGAAGAAGCAGATGCAGGAGGTCAAGGCTGTTTATGCGAAGTATGGCGGCGGTAACAAGGCTAACTAGAACTGAGTTCGAGTTGGAGGTGAAAGAGTGTTGACTGGAGTTGCTAGTGGATGATGAATTGTAAAAGTATGGGATACCCTCTTTGATCATGTTATTGGTCATACCCGATATGGAGCTTTATCTAGCTATACTTGTACGTTGCAGTTATGGGAAATGAATGAAAGTTGTCAAAGCACAGACCGATTGAACGTGTAGCAAGCACGGACGTTCCCCCGTCCATCCAATCGCCGAGTATCTCCCTGATCATCGATCACCACGAGCTCGACCAACCGGAACCATGCCAGCACAGCCCCACCCTCGCTTCCATGTAACCCCTAATCTCCCTCGGATAAAACAATTAATCCTACCCAAATCGAACACTCCCGTCCATTCCGTCCTCTATACGACTTACTTTCCACTGTTTACGCGGTATGACTTCACCTCGCACACACCAACCTTCACCCCTATCCCCCGCGGGTTGCGATTGGCGCAGATCACCGCTCGAAAGGAAAGCAGAACCCGTAGAAGATGCACGACGGTGTTCAGCATTGCAGCATATGGGTCCACCACATAGGTCATTGCTTCAGCGTGGTTTGCGCCGTTGACGGTGTTGATGGTTCGTTGAGGGGTATGGTTGTAGATGGACGGGGGGGATACGAGACTAGAGACGGGGTAGCATGTAGTTGGGGAGGACGGGTATATATCCTAGTGTGTATGCCATGTTCTCGAATACCCAAGCTTCCAGTCGGACTGGGAGCAATTGACTCTCCACGATGCTCGACTTTACCAAACTCCGAGGCACAGCCCTCATTTATGCCATCACTGCAGCCTCGGGCTCCTGTTTCATTCTCTTCGGCTACGACAATGGAGTCATGGCTGGTCTCATCACTGCTCCCTCTTTCACCTCCGCAATGGGGAACCCTTCGTCGGGGACGACGGGTACGATCGTCGCCGTGTATAATTTGGGGTGTTTTATTGGGTGTATGCTCGCTGCTGCCTTTGGTTTCAAACTCGGTCGTCGACGAACCCTTCTCCTCGGAAACGTCGTTCTTATCATCGGTACAATCATCCAGGCTGCGTCTTATGGCGTTCCACAACTCATCGTGGGGCGAATCGTGACAGGCATGGGAACAGGTCTCAACACAGCAACAATCCCAACCTGGGTCTCCGAGACTGCAAAGGCCGAAGCGCGTGGTTCCCTGATCGCAACCCAACTCGCTATCGTATCAGCCGGAATCGTGATCGCGTATTGGCTCGATTATGCCATGGTCCGCGGTGCATCCGGGCAAGTCGTCTGGCGCTTCCCTATCGCGTTCCAAGCATTCTTTGCACTCCTCACCATCTGTATGGTTCTCTTCCTGCCTGAATCACCACGCTGGCTCTACGCTGTAGGGAGGACAGAGGAAGCAGACCACGTCATGGCCCGTCTCCTTGACGAACCCGCCAACGGGGTGATCTTACAGCGTGAGAGAAATGGTATCTTGGAAGCCATCAAACTCGAACGCGAACAACCGAAATTCACAATCCGCGACATGTTCCGCAACAAAAACTCCGAACTAAAAATCACACGCCGAATTATCCTCGGCTTCGTCGTGCAATGTATCCAGCAATTCACGGGTATTTCGGTGGTGGTGAACTACCTCCCTTACCTCATCGAAAATCAACTCTTCCTCTCCGGAAATCTGGCCCTCATCATCGGTGGAATAGCAGCAGTGGTATACCTCATCGCCTCTATCCCACCGATCTTCTACGTCGACCGTTTGGGAAGACGCAAGATGCTCATGTTTGGGTCCGTGGCAATGTCACTCGCTTGGCTCCTCTTCATCATCTTCGTCACACGCTCATCCAGAGCATGTCTCTACATCGCCATCGTCATGATCTTCCTCTACCAAATCGCGTTCGCCTTCTCCTGGCTTTCGGTACCCTGGATTTACCCCTCCGAAATCACGCCCCTCAACGTCCGCCATATCGGTTCAGGATTCGCTACATCTGCAGAGTGGCTCACGGCATTCCTCATCGCGGAAGTCTCCCCGGTGGCTATCGACACCATCTCCTGGCGCTTTTACCTCGTCTTCCTCTGCGTCTGTATCATTTCAATCCCAGTCGTCTACTTCTTCTTCCCCGAAACAGCGGGCAAGACCCTCGAAGAGATCGACGTCATCTTCGCTTCGGGCGCATTGACAGAAGGCAAGACTGGACGGATCATGAAGGCACAGAAGGATATTGAGACAGGAAGTCATGGAGATGATGAGAAGGTTGAGCATAAGGAGAATCTGAGTAGGGCGAATTCGGGGAGTTCGGATCAGACGCTGAGGAATCTATAGGATGGCCTGGATAGAGATAGAGGGGCAGATGAGGTGTACGATACTAGTTTTATAGTCAGGATTCTGTACGATAGCTGTTAGTTAATTCCCATGATACCCTACTTTTACCTGTTCTGGCCCTCTCTCCTCGGAACTTTGTTTCCCGTGAACATGGGAACCGAATTAACGTGCATTGATTCAACAGTGGCATATTGTTGTTGAAGGTCTTTGGTATCAATCTCTATCCAGTCATACTACGAACCTCCAAGCTGCGTCCTCCCCTCAGTCCCTCACAGGCCGTACCTTCTCATCCACCACAACCCCCGTAATCTGCCCCCCCTCCGCCTCAATTTTCTGTACCGCCTCCCCAATACTGCTCGCAACGCCCTTCCCATCCCCACTCAGTCTCCCACTCGCCCCCATTCCTCCTCCCACGCCTTCACCCTGTACAACAATCTCACCCTCCTCGACTTTCCCGGTCTCCTTGTTGATCTTTTTGTATTTAATTGCACCCTGTGCGACGCCTTTGAGTAGTGCCCGGCGTGTCACGCCCATTGCGTCGATGTACACCAGCCCCAAGTTCTTCACTGACCCACCGACAGCCATCGCGGCAGCTTGTGCGTCCGGTCCATACGTATGTCCCACAACCGTCCCAATCGCCGTCGAACTCTCATTCAAAATATGCTTACCCGCATCCTCCGCCGAATCCGCAACGATATTAAACGCATTACTCGCTTTAGCCAGTGTGGCACGTAACCCTGTGGGTTGTCCAGTTTTGGTGTTGGTTCGTTGTTTGGGGAGGACGGTGGAGGCGATTTGTGCGCCTACGCGGTTTGCGACTCCGACGACTGCGCCGGAGGCGACGCCAGAGTAGCGGGCGGCTGTGTCTGTCGCTGACTTTACCTTTCGGAAGCTCTCCTTTGTGCGGGGGGTGTATGAGGTTGCTGTGCTGGGCTTTGTGCGTTTGGTGTAGGCTTGTGCGGCGAGGTGGAAGCCTGAGCCAATTGCGCCTGCACCGACAGTGAGTGCTTTCCCGATAAATCGAGCCGTGGTATTGAATGCGTCAGACTCTTCTTTGTCGGTAATAGATGTTGCGGATTCGGCGTGGAGGACTGGAGGACGTGTTAAGCCCAAAGGACTGGGAGAAGCGGAAGGAGAGGGCTTGGCGAGGTCGATGAGTACTGCGTCCTTTTCGTGACCGGGACGAGAAAGGATGGGTGATTCCCGGATTTGGAGGTCTTCTGAGACGCGCCCGACGATGGAGCCGTCGTCTTCGTCGATTAGGACGAGTGCGTTGCGGATGGGCGCCTTCTCCGAGACTTGGGTGCTTGCAGCCTCAAACGCACACAGTTCACCCAGATAGTGCTCAAAATACTCGCAGAGGTCTGTGGGTGTTGACTGAGGGAGGTCGATCCGGATTGATGTCGATTCAACGTCAGCAATAGGGATGATGTATGTGTATAGTGACCGTGAGATCACGTTGGTATCAGATTCGAGGGGAATGGTGAGGTCGGGATGAATAGCGAGGATGGAGGAGCCATTGTGGGCAGTAAGCATGAGTTGGCCTTCAGCCAATGGGATCTGTGGGTAAGACTTTGTCAGCAAGAGCGCTTCAAGACACCGACTCTCTACACACCTCCTCGCCGTCGTAGAGCTGGTATGCCTTGACGGAGTCAATTGTTACAAGATGCTGCTCAGTCATTGTCGTTTGGAATCTTGAGCTGCTGTAGTCTATGGATCTGTCTTTATACGTGATCAAGCTTCGAGGTGTAATTTTAAAGTCGCAACATTTCAAGTCCAGGTAATATGGCGTGTGCCGTCATATTTGGGGCGCAGCAGATGGCTGAGCATAGGAAAGGGAACGAACAAAAAAAGAATATGGTGACGAAGACGAGATTCGAACTCGCGCCCTTTCGGACCGCGGGATTACTGATAGTAACCTTAACACGGCGCCTTAGACCGCTCGGCCACTTCGCCTAGATGGTGGCACGGGGCCGCCAATTTGACTATTGTACACTGACTTCCTGGACGTTATTTTCCCACGAGATTTGCCAGTCGTTCTCAGTGGATCCTGGTATGTATCGCTACTGTCGGTCTTCAGAGCTTTGACTTAACTTTGGTGCGTGAAGAATGCCTGTGTCCTCTGGCCCACCTGAGCTTCAACATACTTTCATTACCAAATGACTACAGCTTGTGTAAACACTCCTCGGCAGTCTCGACCTTCAGATGGTTCAACCTTGTTCGCCTCTGGCGAGTTCAGTGACGGGCTGTTTGCCGGAAGGAAGAACGTATCTTCATTTGGTGCTCGCATATGTGGTTGACCACGAAAGCGTGGGAACACCTGTCGCAGAATGAACAGCACACAGGTAGGCATCTAGTAGCAAGAAACTTCACATCACAACAAGCGAGTGTAACAACGGTTGAGAGATTGTACTGCAGCTAATTCTGTCACGCGAATGCATAGATGGACTGCAGGCGTACGGACGATATCGATGGCAGCAAGACGCAGGGAACAGGGAACCACGGTCATGAGCATAACATACATACTTTCCATTCTCACTCTCATAGTATACCTCAGCATAAGCAATGCCCTATAAAGAAGAAACAAACCGAACAGAACAAATCCCCGCAGCAAGAGAAAGACGTACTCCGGAGCTCCCATCAAAGCAGTCCAAAGGCACAAAAGGGTACCAACAGAAACAACTCCAAACGCAGAACACGTAGAAACACAAAACAACAGGAAAAGAAAACCAAAGAACGTAAATATCCCAAATAAATCCCTCGAAGATCTCAAACCAAACCCTCACGCGCACCCATCACAGCTTCCACCCAAAGATTGTTGTCACCTCAAGCGACATACAGATTCAACACCGACCCGCCACCAAGAATGCCCCCTTCATCTCTCGGCCCAATAGCCTCAATCGCCATCCCCACATCCTCATCCGAATTAATCGTAATCAAATCTCCATCTTCATCCATGTACTTCATCCGAATGCCCTGACTCAAATCCGCAGCACTCCGATCACCGCACAACCTCACCTTCTTCTCAACGCGTTCCATGAGTTTCTCATATGAGATGCTGGGGGCGACGACGACGACGAAGATATCGTCGAGGTAGTTGACTTTGACTTTAATTTGGTTGTTGGGGATGCCCGCTGTTGAGGGGGTTGGAGGGATACTCGACGTACCCTGGCTCGACATTGATGTTCGTGAGGATGGTGCATGCAACATAGACGGTGGCGTAACATTATTGCTCTGGGCCCTGTACATCGCAGCAGACGTCGGCGGAGGCGGCATAGGCGGAACCCCATTAACACCCGGTTTCGCCGCTGTAATGCTCGGCACATTGGGACTACTCGCACTCCTATTCCGCGCCAACACAGCAGGTCTTGACATCGATGGCTGCCTGCTCGGGGGATAGTTGTTACTATCCCTACTCGTCGTCCTCCCCATCGCTGGCGCTGTAAACCGGTTCTGATCACCGTTGATCGAACTACCCATCGAGGTTCTCGGGAAGGGGTATCCTCCATTACCAGTACTTCCCCTCGCCGAGCTATTCGGCGACTCCGTAATCGGCGAAGGAGAAAAAAAGGAATGCCCATACGACGCGGAGTCAGTCGACGTCGACACGCGTGGTCCTCCAACGGGATACCTGCCCGAGGGACCCCGCGCAGGATAGTTGATGCTCCCGGCAACACTATCCGCCGTCGTCGACCTCGACCTCACACTCGACGTACTCGCCTCACGACTCATCGGGAACGAACTCAGCTCCTCATGACCCACTTCGTAGCTAGGTCTCGTGCCTCGGTATGAATCTTCCTCATCATCACTCTCGCTATTTGGTCTGTATCCGAGATCCAAATTCTGCAGTGACACAAACTGCGTGTTCGAAATCTGTCTTGGGTTCGTCGAATTTGGCACATTCGGCAACCGAGCCTCCTCCATCCGCGCCCGCATCGCACGGGTATCCTCAATCAACCTCGTCAGCGACGCCGTCCACTGCTTCAAATTCTCCTCATTCCTGCACCTCAGCGAAAAGTACTCCTGATCAACATCACCCCGCCAATACACCTGCAAGGTATAAAGCCCAGGCGACGCATGCGGCACAATCTCCACCATGTTGTTGATAAAGATCCGTCCCTTCAACTGCAAACTCCCCCTCTTCTTCGTCTTCTTATTGATACTCAGGTTCTTCGCCTGCTTCTTCGTCGCACTGACTTCCTTACAGCACAACAAGATCCTCTCGAACAAGTACACATGGTACTCCCTCTCCACCTCACCCTTTGTCACATGGAACATATCCTCCAACAGAAGCGACCCGAACGACGCAACCGAATGCCCCTTCCAATCCTCCACCCGCCTCTCAAGCTCCATCACAACGACCTCATTCTCCTGTTTTCGTCTCGTCTCGTTCACACGGTCCGTAACACGCTTCACACTCTCCATACCCGCCTCCAACTCCTCAAAATTCGCATCCGCATTATCGGTGTACTTGACCAACTCTTTCAACAGCAATGGATATTTGCAAATCCTCTGAATTGGCTTGATCAACAAACTCGGCAACTCATAACTCGGTTCCACGAGATGCGATAGCTTCATCAACTTGGGCGTCTCCTCAATCGCGAGCTCGTTTGCGTAGGTATAGTTTGAAGAGAATGGTTCGTAGACTGAGAAACCTTCTTCCATGGTAAGGAAAAGTGCACCGAAACGCTGCTGATCCGGTGGCTTTGCTGCGTTACCCTCCACACCAATGAGGAACCGGCGCTGAAAATCGACAAGAGTGTTCAAATTCGCAAAAAGCATATGGATAGTATCCGCAGAGACGATTTCCTGTGCCTGAAGTTCACGCATATAGTGCTGTACAAAGCCGTTAGCGAAAGCCATGTCATCACACAGAATTACATACCTGTAACAGCTCCAAATCCTGTACGTATTTCCTCTCAGTCTCTAACAGCTCGAGCACAACCTTATCCCGATTATCTTTAGGCCCCTCCGTCTCAATCGTAGACTGTCTCGACTTATCCCTCTTCACCAGCATATTCTTCTCCTCCAATTTATCCAATACCAGACTGACCGTCTTCGTAATCTGTATCCTCATGTTAGCACTCGTCCACAACAATACCCGATACCCAGCATACATGAACAAATCCACTCGTATCATCCTGATACAACTGACTGATAGTAAACAACTCATCATCCTCCATCCCAAGCTCATTCCTACACCCAAGCAGGAAGTGATACACACTCGCTTTCCCTGCATTCGGGTTGCTGAACGTCACATCCGCATTCACCACCAACTCCTTCTTCGGCTTCATCGCATTGAACAAAACACATAATGGCGCACCCAGCCTGAAACATCTCCACAATTGACTGACGGGGTCATCCGCCATCCCTGTTGCCATCGCAATGGACGCCGTAGAGTCTTCTGGATCATTGGCTGCGACAGCGGCAGCGGTAAGCCACAACTCGAATCCCGGAACGTCCATGAGTCTATCTCGTAGGTTCAGACAGTATTGATATAGTGACTTGCCGGGGACTGCCGTTTTGTTCATGATGCTGTTCGCCGCTGTCGGCGCGGAAAGGGGTAGTCCATTCGCGATGGGTGTTGTGTTGCGTGGGGTCGATGAGCTGAGCGATGTCGGCATCGATGGTGTGCGCTTTGAGAGGCCGGAGAGAGACAAGGCTTCCATGCTGGAGGCCAGGACTGACATCTATCGAAGATTGTCGCGTTGTATGCACCTACTGAATCTGCCGTGGTATGTCGGGAGCCGAAGCAAAGCAGAGAACGGTACCGAAAGCCGTCAAAAGTCCAGATATATGCACTGGGATTGTATTACCGATACGCGTCGACTTCAAATACTGTGCTTCCTGAGCGAATTCAGAACGTCGACAACCGAACCGAAAGGGTACCTCAGCCACGTGTGTGTGCTATGTATGTGCCCAAACGCCGAACTTTTATCCGAAGACAAGTCGCAAGAAGCTTTGTATGCTCTCGACTGGGTATAAATGCTCGACCGCGTCAATCAGTCGAGTCGTTGTTGCCGTCGATTGTTTGCGACAGCCCGCGATCCTCACCGTGCCCCGGACAATGCAGGTGCGGCGCAGGTTGTGCACCGCGGATTTGGGCTGCTCCGTGAGAGGAAGCTGGGTGAATCATGAATTATCGGAAACAGTCAACGCCAAACTCAACAACAGGACTCTGGAAGTGATGGACAGGCCAGACGATTCATACGGCTATGAGGATCACCAGCATCAGGAGGGCGGAAACGTGTCGCTACAGGGATCAACGCAGCCGTATCCACAACAGTCCGCTGTCGCAACTAGGTATGAGATGCCGGTAGTGAACCATATGGTTGCGCAGTTCTGGCAACAGACAGTACACAATATTGAAACCGAAGACCACGACTTCAAGGTGCACAGTCTGCCGATCGCGCGTATCAAGAAGGTTATGAAGACAGATGAGGACGTCAAGATGATCGCCGCAGAGGCGCCGATTTTGTTTGCGAAAGGTTGTGAAGTCTTTATCGAGGAGTTGACGATGCGAGCATGGCAGCACGCGGAGGAGAACAAGCGGCGCACATTGCAAAGATCGGACATCGCAAACGCAATTCAAAAAAGCGACATGTACGACTTCTTGATCGATATCGTACCACGAGAGGAAGCTGCGCATGGACATAGAGCAACAGCAGCTGCACCTCAACCGCAGCTACCGCCGGCTGAACCCATATCACCCCCAGTTGAACTTCCAGATATGAACATTCAGCAGCAGGAGAACGCACTTGACGAATATGCGTTCGAACAGCAGGCATATGCTGCACGGCAAGTACCGCCATCGCCATCTGGAGCCTATGTACCTCAGCAAGCTACGGCAACATCGCCATCCGGCGGCTTTCCGAGTGTCACTATCCCACGGCAGGAAACCACCGAGTCCTGGGAAACGCCTGGGCTAAACGGCATGTATACACTAGACACACCTGGTGAAGAGGTAAGCAAGATGCGCCATGGTTGAGATCCATGATATTGATTTATATTAGATTGCACTGCCGAACTTTGGTAACCCTGCGCCTACGCCACAACAGAACTCCTCTGGACGGGACCCACAGCCTGCGGAGCAGCAATCGCTTCTCCCCCACCAACAGAACGGTATCGACGAACAGCAAAATGGTGCAGAAGAGGTAGAGCAGTATCTGGAAGGACAAGACGATGAGGAGGAAGAAGAGGTTGGATTGGAAACAGCTAGTGAAGGGCAGGAAAACGCGTAAGGAATTCGAAGCTTGATCGCGATTTTAAGTCTGTCGGTCTGGCACTCAATGTTTGTGTGTTTGGACACGAATGCGAAGCAAGTGCAGAGTAATGATAGGAGCTGCAGCTGGTGCTGGAACTGCCGAGCATTGGACACGCAATCGATATCGTCGCTATAAATTCGTACGACATAGATAGAGGTGAACTATCTTTGATCATCAAATCTCTCCAAATATCCCACGTCCCATACACCAATTTTCCAACTGTCCAAACTCACTCCCAAGCCTTCTCTGATTATTCGCACGACGTCGCTTGCATATGACAAGCTTTCCACATTTTCCTCCACATCTGCATCCCCATTATCTACCAAGCAATGGAAGACTTTCATAACTCTGACAGGGGCATGTGATACATCCTGACTTGTTACGGGGTTTGTTAGCACATGCTACACGTGTTGTAATGCGCAACGACGGGTTGAATATCCAGATCCTCAATTGCTTCGCTACCGTCTTCAGACCGGAACCAGAACGATATGTAGCGTGCGCACCAACACTTCCCAGCAGTTCTGCTGCAACAAATTTGGATGCGGGGTGTGATGCTCCATTTACGGCAACCTTCCATTTAGGTAAACGAATCACCATAGTGGAGGTGCAAAATGTTCGAGTGCCCTGCTGATACCCTGCTGATACCCTGACGGACTCCAGACAAGAAGGAGGAAGCAAGTACGTTCACGCTCATGGCGTGTATTCGTGGGAATAGTTCTGCGAAGTACGGATTCTTGTGTTTTCCGTTCTTCTCACAGCCCTTCTTGATGTCAGCCTGCTGCCTGCACCTCAGCTTCAGTGACATTCTGATCCTCACCCTCTACACCTTCCTCCTTCCTCTGCACACACGGGAACCTCTTCACAGTTCCACATTGACCACATGTAGTCTTGAGCGTATCAGCGTGTTCAGCATTCTTCCTTGACAAATTTTCAATCTCAGTCGTTGACGTGACACCCGGGATCAAGCGTGTATCACAGCGTTTGCAGAGGGTGCGCTTGACATTGCGATCACTACACATTCCCTCAATCAGCACAGTAATACAACAAAGGAGTTCATGGACGTACACTCGTAGTACGGCTTTCCGAGCAACGCCCTTCGCCGTAGCAACGTAGAACCTCGACAAACCCTGTCCTCCTGGACCCTGATTTGCGAGGAATGTCGATGCTTGGTATAAGAAGGATATACGGGCGTGGATGTCCTTGTTCGGAGCCGATTGCTGTTTCTGGCCTTTTGCCATTGCCCAAAGAGATCGAAGAAGAATAGAACCTCGAGGGGTGAATTACGTCCGGGGTCCATTCAATGCGCCTTCCTTGCGCGGCACTGGGGCGCCCCACCAGCAGCCGAAATGCGATCAAGTTCCTCGGAGTCACCGACCCCGTAGATCAGTCAGAAAAAATCATAACATCCTCGATCCTGAACACACAGGTATCGACCAACCATCTACCCATGTCTGGCTTCAACCTACAAACCGCCGCAAGGCCCAACATCCTCTCTCTCCACCCATACGTCTGCGCCCGCGACATCTACCCAGCAACAGCTGGCACAATCCTCCTCGACGCCAATGAGAACGCCCACGGTCCCTCCATCCCCGGCGCAGCAACTCCCTCCGTCGTCGCGAACGGTGACTCTAGCAACGGCGTAATCTCCTCCGCCGAACACCTCGCCGAACTCCACCGCTACCCAGATCCCCACCAAGGCGCCGTCAAGGACTTATGGTGCAACCTCCGTAACGCCCCCAATGCCCAAACACCCGGCTACAAGCCTCTCAAACCCGAAAACATGTTCCTCGGTGTCGGATCTGACGAGGCAATCGATATCCTAATGCGTGTCTTCTGCGCGCCCGGAAGAGAGAAGATCCTGATCTGCCCCCCAACATACGGAATGTACTCTGTCTCCGCCGACGTAAACGACCTCGGCATCGTCCGCGTCGACCTCGACACCACCGACGGAAAGTTCGCACTCCGCCCTGACGCAGTCTGTGAGGCACTATCCGCCGACCCATCAATCAAGATCGTATACCTCTGCACACCCGGAAACCCCACCGCCGCCGACCTCGACTCCGACGCGATCAAGCAAATCCTCGCTCACCCAACCTACAACGGCGTCGTCGTCCTCGACGAGGCTTACATCGATTTCGCACCGGAGGGTAGATCACGCGCTCACTGGGCAAACGAATACCCCAATGTCGTCGTCATGCAAACCCTTTCCAAGGCATTCGGATTGGCCGGTATCCGTCTCGGAGCAGCATTCACCTCCCCACCCATCGCTTCCCTCATGAACTGCATGAAGGCTCCTTACAACATTTCCTCCCCCACCTCCGCATTGGCAATGCAAGCCCTCTCCCCCGAAGGCCTCGCAATCATGCGCAAGCACGTCGCGGATCTCAACGCCCAACGCGATTACCTCGCCTCCAAGGGCTTCCCCTCCATCCCCGGCGTCGGCCGTATCATCGGTGGTCGGGACGCAAACTTCCTCCTTGTCGAAGTCCTCGACAAGCCTGGAGGCAAGCCCAATAACGAGGTTGCTGTCCAGGTGTACGAGGAGCTTGCTGGAAACAGAAACGTCGTTTTGCGATTCAGAGGAAAGGAGTTGGGATGTGAGGGATGTATTCGCGTTTCTATCGGAACCAAAGAGGAGAACGAGATCTTGCTCAAGAAGTTCGCCGAGGTGCTCAAGATTTTCCAAAAGGCATAGTAAGCTATAGCTATAGAGAATAAATACTCACTACACATATCATATATGTCAAATCTAGATCTTTCCCACGCCAAGTTTATCCTGCAACGTCCTGACTCTCAATTCAAGTGCCCTCCTCTCCTCCCTCTCCTTCCCAAGGTCAGCACGATGCACCTCCCTCATCTCCCTCACCATGTTTCTGAACTCCAATCTCAGGGTAGAGGTACTAACCCCCTCCCTCAACTCCCTTGAATCACCACCACTCAACCCACTCCCCGCACTCGACGGGGTTTGCGGTCTCCGTCCAAGCAACGCGACCTTCGCATCCGCAAGTTGAGCAGAGAGTGTGTCGACCTGTTTATGCAGCCCATCGATCGTCTTGTCAAGCTGTGCCCGCTCACTCTCGAATGCGAGATGGGAACGTGTAAGGCGCTCGTAATCACCCAACATCCCATCCAACTCCCTCTGCAAATCATGACATTGCTGACGAAGAACAGGCTCATTACCATCTCCATGACCATCGAGTTCGCCATCAGGGACAGCGCGATCCTTGAGAATCCGTATCTCATCCAACAACGCAACATTACTCGTCCTCAAACTCTGGACCTCCCTCTCCATCCCCCTCAGCCTCTCCAACTCCCCTCTCATCTCACCCTCCATCGCCTTCCATTCCCCCTCACTCCTACTCAACTTCTCCCTCAAGCCGTCCTCAGCAAGTTTATGCTGCTGCTCGGTCATCATGATCTTCTCCTCATGCTCTTTCTTCATCTTAGCTTCCTGGGTAATCATGATACTCCTCAACTCCTCCAACTCAATCCTCAACCCATTCATCAAACTCTCAATTTGCCTGACCCGTCCCTCCGCACCCTCAACCTCCTCCTTCGCATGCTGCTCAGTAGCCTTGACGCGTTCCTCCGCATCCGCCCTCTCACGCTGCAACTTCGTAAATGTCTCCTCCGCATCAGCAAGATGGTCATCAGCCTTCTTCTTCTCCATCTCCATTCTAGCGAGGTCGACCTCAACCGCCGCGACGCGATCCTCCGCATGTCCAGCCCGAGCACGCATCTCATGCAACATCCGTTCAGCATCATTATTGAACTCGATCAACTCCGCAACCTCCTTATCCAACGCAGCCTTTGCATCCCGCAACCTGTTATAATCAGCTTCAGTTTTCGCCGCCTTCGCCTGAGTAGCGGCAAGCTGAGCACCAACAGCTTCAAGCCTCGTCTCGCGCTCAGCAAGCTCGGATCTAACCTGCTCCAACTGTTCCTCAGTCTGCAACAGCTCCTTCTCCACCTTCGCACTCTCAACTAACTCCTCCTTCAACGCCGCAATCTCAGTCTGCGCCTCCGCCAACTCTGCCTCGGCCTCCTTGAGCTTGAACCTAATCTCCTGTTCATCAGCACTCCGTTCATCCTCCATCGCGCGAATCGTCTGCTGCAAGTTATCAACTTGCTTCCTCAAGCTGATTTCAATCTCCTTCGCGGCGGTAATGGCTGCAGCACGCTGACCCTCCCTCTCGACCATCTCATCAATCGTCTTCTGCGCCTGCTCGAGCTCAGAAGTAGCCGCAGTATGCGTACTCATCAGCTTCTCGAGTTCAGCGGACCTAGACGCATGCTCAAACTCGAGGTTCCCGAAATTATGCTTCAACTGCTCATGCTCCGAGAGCAGACTTTGAAGCTGTGCAGATATCCCCGAATGGGTCGACTGCAACGTGTCGTGATCACCAGCGACCTGCTTGTAGAGTGCCTGCAGAGACGACAACTCAGACTTGACGTCCTCGTGCTCCGACCTCAACTGATGATGCTCACCCTCCAACGCAGAAACATCATCTCGTTCCTTAAGCACGCGCTCCAACGCCGTCGCATGCTCATCCCTCATCTTCTCCACACCAGCCATATGTTCCTCAACCAACGCCGTCCTTTGCGTCTCATGTTGAGCAGTCAATTCCTCCATCTGCTTCCTCATCTCCTCCTTCTCCTCCTCATTCGCCTTCCTCAACCTCTCCAACTCATCCTTCAACCCCAAAATCTCACTTTCGTGGTTCTGCTGAACATTCTTCATGACCCACTCCCGCTCTTCTTCAGACTCCTTCGCTTTTGCTTCAGCCTGATTCAATTCAACCTGTAATTGTTCCTGAAGCGTGATCATGCTTTGCAACCGCAATCCAAATGCATCAAAACTGGTATCGAGCTCGTCGTCGCCGCCGCCTGTAGCGGGAAGAAACTCCCACAACTTGCACAACATATTTTCAGCTTCGTTCAATTGCGTGACCGAACGGTGATCGTAGCTCTCCCTCAACTCCAGGATATGGTTCTCGACCCTTGTCACAAGATCAATGATCGACGTCTCCTTCGAATGCTCGCCGTTCAATACCTCCTCCCCATCATACGAGAAACTCCTTCGATCCCGTTCTTCCGTCCGTAGTTCCTTCAACCAGGTTTTTAGGGTCTGATTCGTCGCGCGTAACCGTGCCTCAGCCTGGAAGACGTCTGCACTCAAAGGTGGTGCGGTGGTAGTAGGCGATGAAGCAGAGAGGGCAGGTGTATCAAGCGACAACGAAAACCTCGAAATCTCAACCGGAAACGCCTCCGGATCCAACGTCAACGTCGGCCGATAAAACGAAGGCTCACTAAAATCATCCATATCCTCAACCCACTCCCTCGCCCTCCCTGCAGCGGCCCCACCTGGAAACACGGCCGAAAACCGATTTTTCCCATTTCCGTACGGTTGCACATCTAGCCCAAGGTCATGGTACACCTCGAGTTTCTTTTGCATGTCTGCGCTACGTTTACTTAGGACCAAAATCTCCGAAGCAATTTCGTTGACGCGGTGGTTTGCGGAGGTGAGTTGTTCTTCGGCTTGAATGGATGTTTGACTGTTGACATGGAGTCGCGAGAGTGACACAGCGGCCTCGCAGATCTTTGTTTCGAGCTGCATCTTTCGAGCCAGGGATTCGATACGGGCTGCGATGTAAGCATGCTCCTGGGAAACCTTAAAGTCAGCACACGTGTCCCCAGCCTGTAGTTATTTGAGGTGAATTACCTTCCGGAGCTCCTCCGCGTCTTGCGAAGAGATGCAATCGGTCGTCATGGACTGTTTGGATGCGGCTCCTGGCGACATTCGGTGGTGAGGAGGTCTCCCTGAAGGGTTACGGGCTTCTGTTACGGGCGTGCACGGACGTTCATTTGGTCCTTTGTGCTGCAAAACAAAGGCCGGTGCAACGACGCGGGAGCGCATAGCAACCGGGGGACAGAACCGTAGAAGAGGACGGGTGATGTAGAATAACTTCTTTGAATGAAAATATAACTATATGTCAAGCCTTCCCATCATGCGGTCGCTTTTCAAACCTCTCTCTGGGTCCCACGGTGACGGCAATCATTCCCGCACGACGTCGATAACCTTAACCACCAACCGGACCACCTTCACCCTGATCTGGTCTGATCCAGCCTGATCCACAATCATGGCACCCCAACAAACCCGCTTCATCGCCTTCATGGCTGTCATGACAGTCTTCACCGGCTTTATCCAACCCTGGATCCAAAAATCCACCACAATCTTCGGCTTCAACCGCGAAGCAATCCAACACGGCACCTCAACCTGCACCCTCGAATTCCCCTCCCACCTAACCGGCTGTGAAGACATGCACCTCTACGAATCCGAGGATGGGGAGACAAGGATTATGTATCTCGCATGTTCGGCGGATTTGGGGAAGAGGACGCAGTGGTTCCCGCCCGGTTTCCATCTGAATAAGACGGTGGTGCCGGAGGGACCAGTGAGGGATAATGTCTTTGCGTTGGATTTGAATACGAATCACCTCACGAGACTCGACTTCCACAATTTCCCCGCCGACGAAGACATCGTCCTCCACGGCTTCGACTTTGCCCAAAACTCCCCGCACCACCTCTCTTTCTTCTTCATCAACCACCGCCGAACCGGTTCCGTGATCGAGAAATTCGCTCACAGCATCGGGACGGGTCAACTCTACCACCACGAGACATTCAACGTTTCCGAACACGGTACCCATGTCCCGAACGACGTCCTCGCCATCTCCGATTCCGAGTTCTACGTCACGAACATGCGCAGCTCAAACCCCCACACCGCCCACCCCCTCTGGTCCCAATTCGAAATCTACACCCGTCGTCCCTGGGGCCACATCCTCCACTACTCCCCCTCCTCAGGCTACTCCATCGCCGCCTCCAACATTCCCGGCGCGAACGGAATCACGGGAACCAAAGACCAGGTTTTCGTCTCCGCCGAAACCGATGGAGCGATTTATGTGTATTCGAGGAGTGCAGCGGATGGGAGTTTGGTGAGAGAACAAATCGTTCCGTTGAATTACATGCTCGACAACCCTTCGCTCAACCCTCACACCAACGAACTCGTCATCGCCGGACACCCCCAAATCCGCGGAATCAGCCAACATCAAGCTAACCCCTCCATCCCCGCCGGATCCCTTGTCACCAGAATCAGCGTGGCGCAGTTAGGTTCAGGTTACTTTGGTGGCGGGAATGAAGTCGCGGCACCGGCTGTTGAGGTATTGTTTAGTGATTATTCGGGGATGGTAAATGCGAGTACGACGGCTGTTGTTGATGGGGAGGGAACGTTGTGGGTTACGGGGTTGTTTACGGCTGGTGTTGCTAAATGTCCCAACCCGGAGGGGAAAGTGCATAACTTCAAGAAGAAGGCGGAGAGGGTGTATTAGTACACCATCAAAATCTAGAATTTCTAGAGAGCTATAGATCCATGTTATCGAGGATTTGTTCGACGCGTCGCTTGACCCAGCTGGCATTCCCCCACGTTCCCCACCCCTCCATGAACCTCATCCAATCAACCATACATAACGCAAAGTGCTCCTGCATCACTTCCCTCGTATACCCCTCTCCCTCCAACCCCTTCGTCAGTTCTCGGTAGTAAAAGTTTAATAGCTCTGCCTCACCCTCCCGTGTCAAAAGCCGTGACGAAACAGACGTGGCGAGGAAGTACACGACATCCCGCATGCCCAACCCACGCCCCACATATTGGAAATCATACATCGCACATTCCTCGAATTCCTTCTTGAACACAATATTCGCCGCCTTCAGATCACCGTGTAATAAGGTCATATATCTCCTCTCCTCCTTCAATTTCTCATCAACCCACTTCGCTGCAGCCTTCACACGGGAGTCCGGAGAATCTTCGAATTCGGATCGCCGGGTATCGAGGTACCAGTATCCACCCTGCTCCCACACTCCCACCTTCTCTCCCCTTTCCTTCATCGGTGGTGACCGCACAGGCCCCTCCCACCCCCAGAACTGTACATGGAACCCAGCAAGCCACCGCAAGACCGTCTTCGTCTGCACGAGACCACAGCTCCAAGCATCAAGTGGATACTCAATACTCAAATCTTCCAACAGTAGGCAGCAACCGAGGGATAGGTCTGCAGCGTGTAGGAGGGTCGGGATCTTCGCCGCTTTGTTCTGAAGCTTGAGTGAAGGTAAGAGGTCGGTGTAGAACCACCTCTCAACCTCGTAGCTTATCACCTTCCTCCGATGGCCTTCCTCTTCGTCGTCGCGGGAGGGTGAGGGCGGAGTTATGCGTTTGAGGATTGCGGTGCGTTTGTGTGGTGCGCCGAGGTGGAGACGGGTGATTGAGCCGTAGCCGGACCAGAGGGTTGCTATTTGTTCGGAATTTGTGACGGTGAAGGAAGGAGGGAGGTTTTTTGATGGGTTATTTGATTCTTTCATGAATGGCATCGCTGGGGACGTTTGGTTTTTCTGGAGACGTATGTGGGAAATAAGGTGTGGCGCTTGCGTTGCGTTGCAGAGCCATTGTCCGTGCACGGCTGCTGGCCTCAAGTATGGCTTCCAAGTCTTTTACCTCAAGTCAGACGGGTTGGGCAATGAAGGAGGCCTTGGTTGTCTTTGTGAAGGATGGAAAGAGGGTGCGCGGAAATGGTAGAGTCGTCATGGGCATTCGCAGTATGCTTAGCTGTATGTTCGCACACATTTCTGATAGCAGCCGCTAGGACAGAGCATACATCTCCCAACATCTGTCAGCCCGGACCGTCGGGTCGATGGGCAAAAGGCATATTAAGCAAGTATAACCTGGTCCATGCTCTCTAGTACTCCATCCATCCAATAACGTACAGTGGTGCGAAACCCCCTATTCCATAATGACTCAAACAAACTATTGCATTCCCAAAAGTGAAGCGATTTACTGAGTCTTCATCTCCTGGTCAACCTCCATATCATCAATCTGTGAGCACACAAGTCAGCCCACATCCACAAGTTGACAGAGATTCAGTGATAGCCCACATGTTGGTGTCCCTTCAAAGAGTTCGCAGCCTCCTCTGGAATCCTGGCCGAGAATCCAGTAAACAGAGTATTGTACTCATGATCAATCGAGCCTCCACTGGACGTGATCTGTTCCTTGATCTTGGTGACCTCGTCTGCGGGAGTATCCTTCTTGATGCGGACCTGTTTGGGGATGTTAGCATGGCATGGAGGAAGTGTTATCAACGAACACGGACGATGAATGATTGAGCGGTCATTTTTCTTGGGAGTGTTCTGAGAATTGCGGTTGTGTTGGTCGTTGGTTTGTGTTGTTTTGGTCTCTCTCTCTTACGCGTACGTGCTCCAGGATCCATGGGTTGGCCATGACGTCGGAAAGCCGCGCAGTCGATAAGAGAAGGAGGAGGAAAGGAGGGGCTAGAAGTGCCACTCTTTTGACCGAAATAAAAACGAGGTTTTCTCACTGGCCCTCTTCTTCACTTTCCGTGCGAGACATGTCGTATACCCCGTTCCCGCCGTCGAGGCCGCGGGTCAACCGTCACTTTCCCAACTCCCCCAATTGATCCAGCAACGATGTCCTCATCCTCCTCCTCCCCCCTCCTGGGAATGGCCGGCTGGTTCTTCCTCCCGTCCATGGCTACAAACGCCCTCCAATCCGTCTACTACCGCCTCATAACCCCCGCCGGCTCCCCACAACCACCACCAAACTCCCCCCGCTTCAACCGCGACAAACGGAATATCTACGTATTCGTGGTGTTGCTGTATTTGGGGTATACAGTGTATGAGTCCGTATTGAGTTTGAAGCCGAATTATTATGCGATGTTGGGGGTTCCGGTTGATGTTGATGAGAAGACGTTGAGGTCGAGATGGAGGCGGATGCCAGTTCACTATTCTTCCCTTCGTATATCAATTCGCTAACATCATGGCGTACAGATCTATCCTTCTTCACCCAGACAAGACAGGCGTGGAAGACGACCAACGCTTCATCGCCCTCCGCACAGCCTACGAGACCCTCTCCAACCCACCCAGACGCTTCGCCTACGAACGTTTCGGTGAGCAAATAACCGGGTGGAAAGATGCGATCACGATCAAAGACTACATCATCCACGGCGTGCAGTCGACTGCGCCGATGTATATCGTGTCGGGATTATTCCTGGTAGTGATGAACGTCCTCGGAAAAGGACAATTCGCACAATACGTATGTCCACTCAACCCCCCACACCCAAACCACTAACAACTAACCTCCCGGCGGCAGTGGCGCTTCCTAACATTCTTCATCCTCATGGCCTACGAAGCCCTCGTAATCACCCGCTCCAACTTCCTCCCCCCATTCTCCTACATCCTTCCCGGAAGACTCCCCTTTGAACACCTCATCATCGCCCACAAACTCTCCCTCGCATTCTTCGTCGCACTAAACCAAATCGGTCCCATCGTCCGTGCCGCGACATCCTCATCCTCCTCCTCGGGCGACGAATCCCTCCGCCTCAAATCCGCAGCGGAAAAGTTGGATGGAATCACGAAGGTGCTGGAAGTCGAGAGTAATAATGTGTTGGTACAGGATGTGCGGCCGTTTGTGGGGAGACACGAGTTGGTGGGTGAGTTGAAGAGGAAGATGGTGCTGAATATGGTTGAGGCTAGAGTTGGGGGTGAGGGGGATGTTAGGGAGGTTACGGCGAATGCTGTGCGAAGATTACAACAGCAACAGCCACGGGCGAACTAGATTTCTACAAAAAGATCATGTTTCTAGTCTAGGTTGAATTTGCACAATCCGTATTGGCACAGCCTTTGAGTAGAAAAACACCTGCGGTATCGAGGACATATCCACATCCGTCCGTCTAAATCCTCTCTCATCACACGCCTTCTCAAACGCAGCGAACGTATCCTCATTCCTAATCGTTGCAGCAATCAACACCAACACCCCAGGCCTCCTCGCCAACGCTTCCGCAATCGTCGCGACCAGCGACGGAACGACCGCGGCGTCATATGTCACGTCCGCACCCAATACGACGTCCCAATCCTCTTCTATTGGATCCGTTCCCCACCATAGGCATTTAGCCGTAACCATGGTATGGTCGACCTCGTTCAATGCGATATTCCGTGCGATACCGTCGACGACCTCTTCTGAGCCATCTGTCATACACACCCGTTTCGCACCCACCATCGCTGCCAAGATCCCGATAAAGCCAGTCCCTGCACCGAGTTCCAATACCGATTTTCCCTTTAGTAGGGGATGAGAGGATGGGTGTAGCAGATATTCCCCGAGTGCGAGGGCTGCTTCCCAGGTTCGTAACCCAGTCGTGCCCGACGAGGCGAGGAGTGAGCGGCTTTCCATCAACGTGACTTCCATGGGCGAGCTCTTAGTGTCGACGTCGGAACCGAGGAGATATGTGACATGGGAGGGTTTGATACGATCGCTCAGGCCTCCCGCAGTCTGGCTTGACGCGATGAGTTCGGTGCAGATCTCGTATAGACCGTCGTCGATTTCCTCGGCGTGGGGTTCGAGGAGGGAGATTATTTGTTTCAGGACTGTTGAGCGGTACCGTGGCGGTGGGGGGTATTTCACCGCATCCTCTGCGAAAATCTGGGAAGATAGAGATGCCTGCACCTCTGGCTCAGCTAAGAGGTGGTAGAAGTCGGCCTCGGCCCCTGTCCAGGTCGTAGGCACCCATTGGAAGTTCCGCACGTCGACAAGTGAGAGATATTGTGCTTTGATCCAACGAATGATCTCTTCCCGTACGTCCGTCGGCATGTCGGGGTTGGGTGGTTCGTGGGGTGTACCGTACACTTTTGTTTTGTCCTGCGAGTCACGGCGACAACCCCACGGCCCACATCCGCCGAACGACGAAAAAACAGCGAAATGAGGATTAAGCTATCTACACTTCCACCGATACCTCAGATTAGGATTTGGTATGATGCGGGTTGTGCGTCGCCGTCGTATACCGTGCATGACCTCCTACACGTTCTTCATGAGGATCTGAAGTTGTTGCAGGAGTGTCCTGTTGATGATCTCGTGTTGAGGATAGATGGGTTTGATTTGTTGCCGAGTAGTAGGGTGGAGAGTGTTATTAGGGATGGGGAAATGGTGGTGTAAGTCTAACTCGGTTATCGGTCTTTATATCGCGACTGACGATGTGCTTACAGAATCAAGTATGTGCCGACTCATACGGAAGCCAATAGCAGGCTTGGGAATGAGAGTCGTTACAGCGCGACTCCACAAAGGCTCCTGAATGCGAGCGCAACCAGCGAAGGGCTCCTGTCTGTCAGGGAAGGCGGCTCAAACGGCAGAAAGAGATCCTTGTCTGTGGAAGTGGAAGAGCCAACCTCAAGGCCAAAGAGACAGCTAGTCAATTCCAAGGCAGCCCTATCGGCTGTCGGAGGGAAAAGTATCGATCCGCATGTACCTCAACCGAGGGACAGCGAGTCAAGCAATCAGGAGGAGCACAGGGAGGAGACGGCCCTGGCGAAGGCTGCGCTCGAGGTTAACAAGGTCGAGCCAGATGTGCCCAGTGACGACAGTAGTTCATCAGATGATTCGTCGTCAGACTCAGGGTCGGAATCAGAGTCAGAGTCAGATTCAGAAGCGGACGACCGAGGTGACAGGAAGAATGGCAATAGCTCAGACTCGACGTCATCAGACTCGGACTCAGATTCAGATTCAGACTCTTCGTCAAGCTCCTCATCCGAATCATCCTCAGAAGACGAGGACAACGAGAAAACCTTCAAGAAGGACGTAACGAGCAAATCCCAACCTGTGGTGCTCGCCAAACCCACAACAGCCCAGCAAGGCCCTACTAAACCTCCAGGTGAAGGCTCACTCAAGACGAAGTTGCGTAACGCACGAAAGCGAAGACGGCAAAAGCTTACCGAGCTCATCGCCGAAGGGAAGCTACCAGCAGATGCTACCTTCGATGACATGGATACATATCTGGGTGTCAAGGCTCCACCCACGAAGGAACAAATTCGTCAACAGAGCAGCGCGGAGAAAGGAAAGGGAAATGCAACGACTGATGGGTCAGGGGAGCTGGCTCTCGGCAAGGCAGAGCCGGGCTGGGAGAAACGCGTAAAAATTCGCGCGATTGAGTGCGAGCTTGAGGGCGCACCGTATGATATCGACGTCCCTCCTTTCCCCTTCCCTAAGGACCCGCCGCGAAAGAAACGGAACCATGCGTCTAACGCGAAGACAGCAGAAGAAAAGAACGGAGAGGCAGAACAGCATGGGAAGAAGGTAGAGAATGGCACCGAAGCCCAGCTGCAGCTACGCAACTTCATGAAAGAGGGAGATGAGCCACTAAAGGGATCGACTCTCCAGGAACAAGTTGAAGAGCTACTGGAAAGGCGGAAACGCGAGTTGGAGGGTGCTATTGCGAAGCCACTCCCCACCCCTGCGCACCCAGCACCCACTCCGGCCAAGCAAGAAGCCGACCTCCCAGACCTCCCGACCGACATGTCCACCCTCCAACCCCTCGACACTCCGCCACCCATCGGCAGTATCATCGCCTACAAACACCTCACAATGAACATGTACTTTGAACCCGTTCTCTCCGAGTACATCACCGCTCGAGTCCTCGAAATTAGTGCGGATGGACGCAACCAGTTGACGTTGGAGTTGGCGAAGCGGGATCGTCCGGAGAAGAGGTATGACGAAGAGACTGGGGAGAGGATTTATGGGAAGTTTGAGATGCCGGCGGTGGACGAGGGCGAAGAAGGGGACGAGGGGATTGTGACGTTGGAGTGGGCGGATTTGGTGGAGCCGAGGCTTGTGCAAAAACCTTGATCAGCTATTAGACATTGTTCTACAGCTATGTACCGCTTCATAACCATCCCACGAAAAAAAGCATCCAAAAAGCTCATCAACCTTACCTCTCCCTCCCATCTTTCGCCGACACACCAGGCAGCGACTCTCACTGCGATGACGCTGGGTGGCAGGCCCCTGCAGCACATCGATACAGACCGTATCAGCAATTCATACAAAAGTCCTCTACACCAGAAATCATGGTGAGTTCAGGTCATGAAGGCTACTGACTTGGAGGTGTATGCTAACTCTATCACCTCAGTCCGCACAAAACTCCGCTGGAATCCAGAGCTTGTTGGAGGTACGCTCATTGCTAACCTCTCGGTGTAAGAGAGACCGTGAAAGCTGACGATGGTATACAGGCCGAGAAGGAAGCACAGAAGATCGTTCAGAAGGCCAGAACATGTATGTTCTTGATGAAGCCTGCTCTATGATTGCATAAATGGCTGACCATTCAAGAACAGACCGAACACAACGATTGAAGGACGCCCGTTCCGAAGCCGATAAGGAAATCGAGGAATACAAGCGCAGAAAGGAGTCTGAGTTCCAAGAACACGAGTCTGAGGTATGTGTCGCATTGCCCCGAGGTCAAGCTGATTCTAATGGCAATGGAACGCAGCACACCGGCTCCAACACCAAAGCCGAAGAGGAAGCAAACAAGAAACTAGAGCAAGATTTGGCTGAGATTAAGCAGCAAGCGGAGAAGGGGAAGGGAGATGTGGTGAAGATGTTGATTGATGCGGTTACTTCTGCGAAGGCTGAGATGCATGTGAATGCTACGAAGGCATAGAGTGTGGCATCAAGAGGGATGGAAGAGAGTTTACGTTGTTTTGTCTTGTTCGTGTTTAGCCCTCGATTGAGGGGAGATATCCGGAAATGCTAATCTACTCCACCATAATCCCTGCTTATTGTTGGTGATTCGAGGGAGTCCCTTATACATGACGTGAATCGTATGTGTCGCTTGCCCTGGCCTCGAACCGAGCTAAAGTATTGCTGGTCGTACTTTAATATACGCAATACGACACCGCAAAAAAATAACGACCGAGGTATAACGGAAGAGGACCCTGCTGATTACTGTTTCTTCGTCTACCTCATCCCATCCAGTTGGCTCACTGTTGCATTGATCGTACACACTCTCGACGAACAAACTCATGTTTGCGCGATCACGGATACAGTTTGCGCGATCACACGGCGTGCGGTCCTTCTTTTCGTTTGGCGAAAAGAGACCATCTAATGCACTTGTTAAGCCATCCTTCTGGAAGCGAACAAAACAGCACCCGTCAACACCTTTCATCATTCTCTGGGGCATTGTTGGATCACAGGCAATTCACCTCATCACTATCCGCAACTTCCACAAGGACCTCACGGCTAAGGGGAATGCAAGAATAAGTGCTCTCAGAGATGTACTGGAACGTTTGAAGCAGGGCGAGGAGGTTGACGTGAAAAAGGAGCTGGGAGCTGGTGTACATCATGTGGAACAAGAATGGACAGATAGTGAGTTTGACATTCTCTTTGGGCAAGATGAGCTGAGCTAACATGGGCAACTACAGTCCTCAAAAACATTGAAGAAGAAGAACGGGAGTGGCAGCGCAAGGCCGAGGAGATCAGATCACGGAAGGCTTCTGAATCTACCAACAGCGCTGTTAAGCAGACGACACAGGCTCAGCCAGCGGAGACATCTAGGGGAAAGACGCAATTGGTCTTCTGAGAGAGCTTGTATATCTAGTGGTTGGCTGGTACAACATGAGACAAAGACCTCAATATTATTGATACCGATCTACTTCCCTCCATTATCCCTCTTCCGCTCCTCAAGTTCCCTCTCATTATACGGAAACAACACCGGCTGCACAACACCCTTTTCAGGCCCATACCCACCCTTCCCAAACACCGCATCGCCCAATCCCCTCTCACCCACGGGCACCCTCCACATATCCAGCAAAATCTCTGCCTTGTCGGGAAGGAAAGGTTGTAGCAATATCGCCGTGATGCGAAGTGCTTCCGCGGCGTTGTATAGGATATCGTCGAATTGCCGTTTTAACGTCTCTGCATTCTCTCCAGCAGCGTCATTCTTCTTGAGTTGTTTTGCAATGGACCAAGGCGCGGTGACTTGGACGTAGGCGTTTGCGGCGTAGCAGAGGTTCATGATTGCTTTTAGTGCGTTGTCGACTTCGTTGTTGTCCATATGCCCCTTGACCTTCTCCATAACCATATCCATCTCTTGCCTCAACTCGAACGCAACATCGTCCTTCTCAGTCGGCATGGGTTTCGCGTTGGGACCGCCCATGTTCGCGATAGATTCAGTGATATCCCACTTCTTTGGCGAGTTTATCCTCTGATTCAGATTTCCGATCTGATTTCTCAACTCCCTCAAACTCTTCCCCATCTCCAACTCAGTATAATCTCGATCGGCGTCAAACCCCCCACTCCGCAACAAAAACCACCTCAACGCACCCGCGCCTCCTTCCTCCTGGATCGTCTTGACGGGATCCACCACATTACCGCGCGATTTCGACATTTTGGACCCGTTCATGGTCCAGTGGCCGTGGGTTAGGATGTGTCGTGGGAGGGGGAGGGACGCGGCGAGGAGGAATGCGGGCCAGTATATGCAGTGGAATTTTAGGATGTCTTTTCCGATGACGTGGATATCTGCTGGCCACCCTCCCTCATACTCCGAAGCGTTAGGTGACGACCAAGGGTATCCGGCTTTGGTGAGGTAGTTCGTCAACGCGTCCAGCCAGACGTAGATCGTGTGCTCCTCATCCCCCGGTACAGGAATTCCCCAGGATAACCGTGATCGAGGACGGGAGATAGAGAGATCGGTTAACCCGTTTTCGACGACGGTGATGATGTCGGCGAAGCGGGTTGAGGGGTATACCCACCCTCGATTCTCCTTGTAGAATTTGAGGAGCGGGTCGCGCATTGCTGAGAGCCGGAAGTGGTAGTTTTCCTCGGAGTGCCATTCGACAATTGTCCCGGTTTCTGTAGAGACCATGCGTTCGGCGCCGTCCACGATGCGCTTTTCGACGGATGATTCGGGGTAGAACGTTTCGTCGCTGACGGAGTACCACCCCTCGTGGAGGCCCTTGTAGATGTACCCGTTGTCTTGTAATGTCTTCCACAGATGGTGTACAGCAACTCGATGATCCCCATCCGTCGTCCTCACGAAATGCGTATACTCGATCCCCGCCAACCTCGCCAACTCCTTAAAATTCCCCGAAACCTTATCGCAAAACGCTTTTGGGTCCATACCCACCTTGTCCGCAGCTTGCGCGACTTTCATTCCGTGTTCGTCGGTGCCGGTACAAAAGATCGCAGGGCGGCCTTTGAGTTTTTGGTAGCGGGTGAGGACGTCGCAGATTACGAGGGTGTAGAGGTGGCCGATGTGCGGAGCTGCATTGACGTAGAAGATTGGAGAGGTGAGGTAGAAGGGTTTGTCGGCTGGGATTGGTGGGAGAGAGTGTGATAATGTCGTAGTGCTCGAGGAACTCTTGGTTGTGAATTGTGCCGAGATGCAAGAGCGACATGATAAGATCCTCGACGTTTTCGGGAGGATGAACGACGAGACCCGGAGTGATCTGGAGATCATCCTGTGGATCTGGCTGCTGGAAATCGTACGTGATTTTGAGTCCCCAGCTGGGGCGCATGGACGTGCAGGACCGTCGTACCGGTACGGTGCAGTCGCGTTGAACCGACAAGACGTCGACCTGTTGATCCTCCAAAATGGTCAATCCCTTCGACCTTGGACGCTTCGGAGTGCTCTCAGTTGAGTCTATCCTTGATGAGCTCCTTGTGCCCAAGTTTCTCGCTGCTCTCGCGGCGCTGATCCTCGTCCCTCGAGTCCTCGCCTGGCTCCTTTCCCCAAGCGAAAAGGCCGTTCCATTCACGCTGAACGAACCATTGGAGTCTATGCCGAAATGGAAGGGGACAGTGCTCGACAAACCGTCCATTAAGGTTCGTTAGGCTGCATTAGGAGACCGTCTACATGGCTAATACTTCTGACGAACAGGGATCATCTTCATCTGAGATCAAATGCTACTGTCCCGCTACCGCTCAATACCTCGGTACCATCAAAGCCCAATCAGCATCCGACATCGACGGAGCAATCGACCGCGCTGAGAAAGCACAAGTCGCGTGGGCCAAGACGAGCTTCGCGGAACGCCGGAAGGTGTTAAATACCCTCCAACGCTTCCTCCTCGAAAACCAAGACGAAATCGCCCGTGTCGCATGCCGCGACACCGGAAAGACAATGGTCGACGCAGCCCTCGGCGAGATCCTCGTGACTACTGAGAAGATCCGATGGACCCTCAAACATGGAGAGGATGCGTTGAAACCCGAGAAGAAACCCACGAACCTGCTCATGATCTACAAGAAAGCCGAGGTACGTTACGAACCCCTCGGCGTGGTCGCCGCTCTCGTTTCCTGGAACTACCCTCTCCACAACTCCCTCTCCCCCATCATCGCCGCCCTCTTTTCCGGAAATGCAATCGTCGTGAAGGGAAGTGAGCTAACCGCCTGGTCAACCCAATACTTCCTCCAAATCGCCCGCAAAGCACTCATCGTCTGCGGCCACTCCCCCGAACTCGTGCAATCCATCACATGCCTCCCCGACGTCGCGGGACACCTCACCTCTCACCCCAAAATCCGACACATCACATTCATCGGCTCCAGGCCCGTCGCGCACAAAGTCGCCGAATCAGCAGCTCAAGCTCTTACCCCGTTGGTGATTGAACTTGGAGGAAAAGATGCGGCGGTCGTGTTGGATGATGTCAAGGATTTGGGGGCGTTGGCGAGTGTGCTCATGCGTGGTACGTTTCAGTCGAGTGGGCAGAACTGTATTGGGATCGAGCGGATTATCGCACTTCCCAAGTCTTACAAGAAGTTGTGCAAGATTTTGGAGCCTAGGGTTAAGGCCATGAGGCTCGGTTCCGCGATCGATCAGGGTGAGGGTGTAGATATGGGCGCGATGGTATCGGATAACAGGTTTGAGTATTTGGAGGAGTTGATTGGGGAGGCCGTGGCACAAGGCGCCAAGCTCCTGGCGGGAGGAAAGAGGTACACACATCCGAGGTATTCTAAGGGTCATTACTTCCAACCAACCCTCCTTGTGGACGTCACCCCCACCATGCGCATCGCCCAAGAAGAACTTTTCGCCCCCGTCTGTGTGCTAATGCCAGCGACTTCGGTTGATGATGCCATCCGTATCGCAAACTCAACCGACTTCGGCCTAGGCGGCGCGGTCTTCGGCTCAAACCAGCGCGACTTGGACAGGGTATCAAGGGAAATGCGAACAGGCATGGTCGCCATAAACGACTTTGCAGTATTCTACATGATCCAACTCCCCTTCGGCGGGCAACGCGGCTCCGGCTACGGTCGTTTCGCAGGCGCCGAAGGCCTTCGCGGACTTTGTAATGGGAAGAGTGTGTGTTGGGATTTGTGGCCGGGGGTGGCGGAGACGAGGATCCCGGGGGTTGTGGATTATCCGATTAGGGATGGTGGACGGGCGTGGGGGTTTGTTAGGGGGTTGATTGGGATGGCGTATGGGGAGACGTGGGGGAGGAAGGGGAGGGGGTTGGTAGAGCTTATCAAGAACTCTGTTTAGGAGGGTTGCAGAGGACATATAGAGAGTAGCATTTTGCATCAGGACTCATCGCAGATACACTTAGCATTTGAAAACACCACTGATGGCCTAGGGTGTACTCCCAACATACGCGTACGCGTGGTGTTGCTGCGGATTAGCTAGCGAAGTCCCAGACCACCAAGGTAACCTCAACCCCAACATGCTTGATATATTTACGAGGGGTCCCGGCTACAAACTGTTGCGAATCATCAATGGAGACGCAAAATGTTAATCTACGCACTCATAACCTTCACTTCAACACGGATGCACAGTACAGGCGGAGGCCAGTTTGAGATTCCCACGGTGTACGAGACATCAATGAACCTGAATGACGGGTAGGGAACGAAAATGAGAAAATCGAATCTTTTGTCCATTTGCAATTCCCCTGGTAAACGCCGAGAAGAAAGGAAAGCATCGCTAACTAAAAGAACCCAGAACCCAGGAAATGTCCACAGTGGAATTGATGATATACAACAATAGATCAACATCAAGTTCCCTGCCACCTCCCCGAACGAACTTGATTCAAAAACATCCGCAAAGCCAACGAAAACCACTCTCCTTCACCGGGAGCAAGATCAAGCGAATGACTCACTCCAAAACAACTTAAGCCTCAGCAGCAGCAACACCGTTAACCTCAGGCTGGATCTCGGCAGCGGCAGCCTGGCAGGCAGCCCTCACGTGTCCGACCTCACCGCAGTTGTAGCAAGCCTTACCGACAGCGCCCAAAGGTCCACCACCGGGAGCGGAGCAAGCGGAGGAGATGTGTCCGTACTTGCCGCAAGCATAGCACTTGACAGCCTGAGCCTGGCAGTCACGAGCGAAGTGGTTAGGACCACCGCACTTGTAGCAAGTCTGAGCACGGCCACCAGCGCGGAAAGCAGGGCGGGGAGCGAAGGCGCGGGGGGCACCGGCTCCGACGACACCGGGAGCACCGACACCGGCGGCACCGGCAGCGGGGCAGGAGCGGGCCAAGTGGCCGATCTGACCGCAGGAGTAGCACTTGGCTCCGGGAGCGGCACCGGCGATGCGGAGGGAGGGACAGTCAGCCTGGACGTGACCGACACCACCGCAAGAGTAGCACTGCTTCTGCTGGGTGCTGCGGGGCTCAGGGCAAGCGTTGGACTCGTGTCCGGGTTGCTTGCAGCTGTAGAGAGGTGTCAGAACGGGTCCATCGCAGTCGTGTAGGGATTGTAAACTCACTTGTAGCACAAACGCTCAGTCTGGGAGCACTGCTCCGCAAAGTGGCCGATGTTTCCACACCTGCACACGCTTGTTAGTTCAACTGCAATGGGCGAGAACAACACGTCGTCACGGACGACGGAAAGTGACTTACTTGTAGCAAGCACGCCTGGCAAACGACATCTTCAATACAGCTGAGTCTTCAACAACAACAACGACCTGGGAAAGGTTGATTGGGTGTGGGCTTTCGCAAGGAAACTCGAGCTCAGTCAATCATTTCGCCCATTTTTTCAGTTTTTGGCTGCAATTAACTTTTCGCCTTTCAGACGCTCGAAGGGGTTTAGTGCGGTGCCGGGGGGGGCAACCTCGCAATTGGGCCGGGGATTCTTCTAGGGCGACGGCGCGACGGGGCGACAGGGCTCGATGACCTGACCAAGTGCAATGGACAACGACGGGAGAGAAAACCACATAGCTAAACCGCAATAGACAAGACAGAATCAGACAGACTGTAAAAAAAACCAAAAGCTACTCCTTCTGTTCGTCCTCTTCCTCTTGAGATTCTTTCCTCGGGCATTAGCTGCAACCCCCCCCCCCCCCTCCCAAAAAAAAAAAGAAACTCCGATTGTTATGAACACGACATTGATATTTCAACGAAGAACTTTCTTTCCCCTGACAGAGCGCGGTAACGCTTACTGGGGCTCCTCAGCCTTGGGCTCGATGGCAGCAGGTGCCTCCTCGGCCTTCTCACCCGAAGCCTCGTCGTTCTGGAGATCTGAGGTCCAGAGGGTAAGGTTGTCCCTCAAGAGTTGCTACACGAATGTTAGCATATGAAAATTCGTAGAAGTATTGAAGGGCACAAACCATGATAAGGGTAGAGTCCTTGTAAGACTCCTCAGAGAGGGTGTCGAGCTCAGCAATTGCGTCATCGAAAGCCTGCTTTGCCAAGTGGCATGCACGGTCGGGAGAGTTCAAAATCTCGTAGAAGAAAACAGAGAAGTTGAGCGCCAAGCCCAAACGGATAGGGTGGGTAGGAGGCAACTCAGTAACGGCAACATCAGAAGCAGCCTTGTACGCCTCCAATGACTTGTCCGCAGACTCCTTCCTCTTGTCACCGATGGCGAACTCGGCCAAATAACGATGGTAGTCACCCTTCATCTTGTGGTAGAAGACCTTGGACTCGCCGGAGGCGGCGGAGGGGATGAGGTGTGCGTCGAGGACCTCGAGGATGTCCTCGCAGATCTTGGCAAGCTCAGCCTCGATCTTTTGGCGGTACTCGCGGATGAGGGTGACCTGGGCCTCGTTACCCTTGGACTCCTCCTTCTGCTCGATGGAGGAAACGATGCGCCACGAGGCACGGCGGGCACCGATGACGTTCTTGTAGGCGACGGAAAGAAGGTTTCGCTCCTCGACGGTAAGCTCTTGGTCGGCGGAAGCAACGGTCTTCATGTTCTCGACCATCTCTGTAAGGACAATGTTAGACTCGGTCTCATCCTGTTGGTGTGCCTTTTGTTAGGCTTTATGGAAACGTACCCTCGTAGCGCTCAGCCTGCTCAGCGAGCTTGGCAAGGTAAACGGAGTCTTCGCGGGACATTTTGATGTGTAATGTATAGATGTGTAGTCTAGAAGATGTTCACTGGAACAGAGAAGCGAGTTAGCACGCGTTCACCAATCAGAGATGACGTTATGAGATTCTGATGAGGGCCAGCCAGACAGTGATTCACCCTCCTCCAAGGAGCCGGTTTGATCGGTGTATGCGAGAGTTTGATCGGTTTCGACGCGACTTTGAGGTGTTGCATAATTTGTCAAAGTTGTATCACTCTCGAATGCCAAGATCTCGTCATAAGACTCAAACAGCGCAAAGAAACGCCGGAGTTTTCATATAGTTCTTGCGCATCAAACCGCGCCTTCACACATTCGTTTCCGTCGGTCGTTTCTTTCGCAGGTCGCTCATTTGTTCGGCAAGGCCCCCTCACCCCAACCGAACCCCTCCCCTTCCAGCCCTCCCCGGTAGCATTTACCCGGCCAACAATTCACGCCATCGACACGCTCATCACAATCTCATAACGCACATGCACTCATAACTCACCTCCTGTTCAAAGAGTCGTTGTTGGTTGTTGTGTGTAGATGGGAAGAAGGGGGTGTGGGTGTTGTGGGTTGGTTTGGTAGTGCAGTGCTTACGCCAACGCCGGGGACGAACCTGTGGAATCTCTGGAGGGACGCATTTAGACTGGGCTAGTGACAGAGGACTCTGCGCGCGCAGATGGAAGGGAGTGGAAGCTGGCTGTATTAAGGGAGATTGGATGGAAAGGAGACAGTAAAAGGAATTGGAAATGATGTTTGTTTGCTATATGGCTGCGGTGCCGGCGGTTCGGGCTTCTCCGGGAACCCCGAAAGCAAGGCTCTACGGCCACCACGACGGGACTCCAGGGCAAACGAACCCTTCCGTCCATCTCGATTTGATTACAGTAGCACGCTTGTCGTCGGTCATACTCGACCTGCTCCATGTTCCCATCGTGTCTGCCCCGTTACGTCACCCGCTCCGGCCGCAGCATCAGTGGCAGCAACTGACTCGGCCAGCGCATATATAACCTGCGCATACAACTACCACTTCTACTCCACAAGCCAATTGAACAAGATGCTCCGTACTACCATCAACACCACCCGCCGCAACATCCTCGGATCCGTCCGTACCTATGCCATTGACCAAGGATCTGGTGCTCCGGATGCCATGAACAAGCGCGAGAAGGCTCAGGAGGACATGGTACGTCTGGTCCAGTGTTGACGGAAGACAGCGAGCTGACTAGTCGTACAGTACATGCGCAACCGTGAGGCCGAGAAATTGAAGAAGCTCCGCGAGTCGCTATCGAAGCAGAAGGAGCACATTGCCGACATCGAGAAGCAGCTCGATGAGTTGCACAAGAAGGAGTAAACGAATGGAAACGAAGCGCATACATACCCGGAAGCTGTTACCACAAGGATGGAAGAGAAAGAGCAAGCATGAGGACTGTTACGATAATGATACCTCGACTCGATCAATATAATGCATGATATTCTCTATGGTCTTCGTGATATATGCTCTCCGGTGGGTGCGAGTTTACTCCTCCATCGCACCGGATTCCTGGTGGATTTTCGCCTCACCGACCTCCTTGATCTTGACGTTCGTCTCCTTGAGCACCCGTGCCGCGATACCCGTGCCCAAGTCAAACTCACTCTTGACCCACGGAGTCGTGCATCCGCTTCCACCAGTCAATCTCAATACCTCACCCTCCTTGACCACCAAAACCGTGGTCTGCGCACGGCTCACCACAACCTTCTGGGACTTCTCGACCATAACCTCCTGCGGGACGAGGAGCTGGTGAGTAACGAGCTCCTGAACGCCCATCTTCGTCCTCGCCTCACCCAACTCCGTAGTCGCCATCAAATCCCGGAAGGTGAATGGGAACACAGACTGTGTCGCCTGCAAACACGCAAACACATCCCTCGCAGCCTTCAACTTCAAGTTATACACCATAGAGACATCCCTCGTATACACCGTCGCCTTCAAATCCGCATGTCTCCGTACGACACTCTTTCCCTTCTCCGCACTCGAGAAAGCGATATCAATCATCCAGCACTCACCCTCCTGCGCAAACCACGCCGCCTGGCTCTCATCATCGATACTCTTCGCCTCGTCGGCCAACTCCAATTCCTCAGCGGGCCAAGAGACGACTTTTCGGCCCATTTCGGAGGTGTCGACGTTGCCGGATTGACCGACCAGGAAACGACGGTTTCGGCGCACGCGGGAGCCGTCGCAGATTTGGACGCGGAAGCGTTTTGCGATGTCCTCGACCACTGTTCTGATCTTGTATGGCGTGACGGGTGTTTGTGGTGCGCAGGTGCCAAGGAGTCTCATCACGGCCTCCACAGCAAAGTGCTGAGCACAGATCACGTTGGCATGTGCACCGGTCGAGGGCTCTTGAGGGTTAGGTGCGAGGATGGTTTGTTGGGTGGAGATGGCGGCGTATCCGTCGATCTGAACACCGAGGGTGATCTTGACGAGGTCGGAGGGTTGGAGGGTATAGGCGGAGGAAGAATCGTAGGGTGTGTAGCCTTTTACGCAGTTGTTTACGTTGATTTGAGTGGGTTCTGCGATACCTTTCTCGTAGGTTGACTTTTTGTAGACATTGCCGGTCTGCCACATACCTGTCAGCAATCATTCACGACGAAAGAAGGGAAATTGAGACGTACGAGCTCCTGAATCATGGAATCACCGAATGCACACAGCTCCGCGACGTTCGCTCCAACGACACATCGCGACAAAACGGCCTTCGCAACGGTATTCGCGAACGAAGCGGCGGTACGGTACTTGCTCAACGTCAAAGGAGTAAGGGCGTTATCCTGCTCGGGAACGGGGACTTTGTCGATCTCCATTTCTGCGATATTTGAGAGATGTAAGGAAAAATAAGGTTATCGAGGACCTCAACTCTCTCGAATTTTTGGAATCGATTAGCTGAGCCACCGTCTCATTAGCCACACCGCGCTGGGCCACCCCTCGAGCTCACCGAGAAGAGATGAGATGAGGTTTGGGTGCGTGCGGTTGGTCCATCATGGCACCACCTCTTGTCCTAAGAAAAGCAACCGTCGAGGATGTTCCTCAAATCCTGAGATACATCACAGACCTCGCAATTTTCGAAGATGCCGAACACGAAGTCGAAGCAACCGTCGAATCCCTTACCCGCACCCTCGGTTTCTTCGGCGAGAAAGCCTACGCTCATGTCATCATGGCTGAATACGATTCGTCCCCGGCCGGAATGGCACTCTACTTCAACAACTACTCAACATGGAAGGGCGTACCTGGGATTTACCTCGAGGATCTGTATGTGAAGCCGGAGTTTAGGAGTAAAGGCATTGGACGGGCGTTGATTGCTTATTTGGCACGGGAGACGAAGAGGATTGGGGGTGCGAGGTTGGAGTGGAGTGTTTTGGATTGGAATGAGAAGGCGATTAGGGTATATGAGGGCGTTGGAGCAAAGAAGCAGGATGGGTGGTCGGTGATGAGGGTTGCTGGAGAGGCGTTGACCAAGTGAGTTCCTCCTGTTTGTATCGTGAGCATCGCTAATATTATTCTAGGCTTAGCCACTCGGCTCTGGATGCAGTGCAGAAGAACTAAAAGAAAAGAGGAAATAGGAGTATATTATACCACTTGTAATGCCTGTGAGCCAACCTAGTTGATCTCAACTGACTCGCCCACTGGATTCCCCTAATACATAATCGGACTCACAGCAGTATCTTGCAATTATATCGTACGTCACGTTGAGATCCGCGGAGAGAAAACGCGTTACTAATCTCCATCCTACGGCCAGACTGTCCTCAGGTATATCGTCAATGGAACAAGCTCCTGAAGCTCTTCCTCGTGCTCATCATCGCCCTGATTACCTTCATTGCCTTCATTGCCTTCATTGCCTTCGCTGCCTTCGCTGACTTCGCTGACTTCGCTGCTGTCTTCATCCAATTTCTCATTACCTTTCAACTCTCTTGCGAGTTTCTTCGTCCTGTCGAAGCAACGCGCCAAGTTCAGGTGATACTCCACGTTCTTCACGAGGTCTGCGAAATTGGGTTTTACAGGACCCCATAACGACATGCTTGGACCACTCATCTCCGCTATACACCCGTGCCGAGCATATGGTCTCTGCAATTCTACGTAAAGTGTGTCAAACTTCTCATTGCACCGGAGGCTAGCCTTCTCATTTTCATTTTTGAATAGGGTGAGGACCAGGATGTACGCTGGTCCCACAATATCGGCCATATTCCTGTAGATCCGGGTTGCGTGGGGTTCAGGGAATTGTCGCCACGTGATTAGAGTCGCTATTTCCGTGAGAGCTATCATAGCTTTGATCTTGGTCTTCAGGGTACTGTCCCGATCCAGGTTACTCAGGATATGTTTCTTGATAGCTTTGTGCACCCATTCCTTGAGGCGCTCAATTGGGTCGACGCCGGAAGGAAGATCAATTCTATCCCCGAGGCAGAGGTGCACCAACTTTACAATCTCGTAAAGACGACTTGAGCACGACTTGAACCTGATCAAGGCCTTGCGTTCTTTGACTGCGGCTTTCTTGGCGTTCTCCAGATGGAAAAGATCGACAAGCTTTCTCTGTTCCGGGTGATCCATCAGAGCGTCTACTAGGCATAACTTTACCTGCCTTTCCGACAACCCATCCAGGTAATCCCAAACCTTCTGAGCGCCCTCCACCCCTGCGAGCGAAATATCTTTGCTCAGTCGATGCCACCTGTGCAGCGCGTCCTCGACGAGCGGGCTGCTGTGACGGATTCCCTTAAACTCCCCATTGTGCAATGTGCGCATGTGGTTCTGGCGGTAGAGGTGGATCCAGTGGCAGAGCATGCATTGGGTGGGGCCTGGGCTCATCCTGCTGTGATCCGGATTGCGCCGGTAACGTCCATTGTCCAGGCTCAGGAGCGGCGACGCGTTGGCGTTTTGATACGTCTCGAGCCTGTTGACTTGATCGTTTTGGCGGCATGGTTCGATATTCGGTATCAGCTGGTAGAGACTGTTAGATAGGTGAACGGGACGACGTACTTACGCGACGCGCTCGGGGAGGTCCGAGCGTGCAGCTCACGTAAATCTCCGGGTGACATCACGTTGAAGGACATGATCAAGGTCCTTTTGACGAGAGATCTGAATTATAAGTACGACAGAGGCTCGTGATAATCTTCACATTTGGGCGGCCCCGAGCGTCCTCACACGGCCGCGGGGCCCGGGTGCGACCTGCATCGCCGCTGCGAGCGCCGCACCTTAAATTCCATGTCCCAAAACTTGGAAAACTTATACAATACATGGTCTCGGCGCTTTATCAACTGATCCCGGATGAGAGGAAACGGAGTAAAGCGGTAGCGACCAGGAAAATCCCAGCAGGGACGGAATTTGTTTTCCATCCGTTGGTCACGGTGGTCAACGCGGAGGAATCCGTATGCGAGAATTGTCTGTTATTTGGGGAGGGGTCGCTGAGGTGTTCGAGGTGTAAGCAAGTGAGGTATTGCAGCGCAGAATGTGAGTTAGCTTTCCATTGTCGTTGGACTGAGCTAATGGACGATAGAAGGTCAGGCAGAGTCTTGGACGAAGGGTATGCACAAGCACTGGTGCAAGAAACAGCGACCAGATTTTCCGTCAGATCTGAAACTACTTTTACGGCTAGCGCTGGCATTGAAGCAAGGCGGACCTCTGGCTGAAACCTTTGACGAGCTCATCGCCGCGCAGGACATGTTGAGCCCGATTCATCAAGTACAGTTCGAGCACAACGCCAAGATCATCCATGCTATCCTGCCACACTGGTCCGAAGCAGACCTTATAACCATCCAAGCAAAGAACTTGCGGAATTCATTCACCGTCACAGATGGCCGACTCTTCGACATCGGCTCCGGCGTCTACCCACTGGCAAGCCGCCACCTGAACCATTCCTGTTACCCAAACTGCGGCGTTTCGTTCCGTGGACCCCAGATGATGGTAAAGACACTCGTTGAGTTGAAAGAGGGAGATGAGTTGTGTATCAATTACTGCGACCCTATCGTACCGCTGAAGAGGAGGCGGAAAGCGCTGGAGGATCAGTATGCGTTCAAGTGTACCTGTGAAGCGTGTACCGGAGGTGGATGGTTCGAGACATCGAGACAGGGGAGGAAGACGGCGGATGAGATCGATGTTAATGCGGAAGAGGCACTGAACGCCATCTTCCGATCCTCGATATCGGAACAAATCCTCCTGGTCTTGGGTACTGATCCAGACAACATCATACAAGCACGCCAGAAGGTCTTCACCACCCTCAATATCCCACCAATATTCCTCAACATCTCCGTCCTCTCCCTCGCCACATCCCGCTCAAGTTCCCTCCGCACCTCCGCCAATTGGTCCGAATCCGCATCATACGGTCTTTACGTCCTGGCGTATTACCTGCTGATATACCCGCCGGCATACGCATTGGTTGGGCTACATGCGAGTGATTTGGCGATTACGATGTGGAATGCGGGAGGGTGGGAGGGGATGGTGAGGGGGGTTGCGGAGTTTGCGGTTTGGAGTTTGGGGAGGGGGATGGGGGAGGGTGAGGCGCTGGAGCATGCTAAGGAGTTGGTTAAGGTTATGAGTGAATGAAATTCTTTCAGGAGTACATTATCTACGCGGGTATCTTGCGCTCATCGGACCAGGTTCTTCTCCTTCTGGGTTTGTGCGTGCCGCCGAACATCGGCGGCCGCGAGCTCTCCGCCGCTCGTCAGTTTGCCCCTTCCTTTTGCGGTTTGACACTGAATGACAACCTCTACCACAAACATCATATCTCCCCTGAGCTTGTCCTTGACAGCCGTTCCGCTTACTTGGACTTCACTGAACCCATCAAATTGCCGATGTAGTCGTTCAATGACTGATTGGTGACTTGGAGTTTGTCGTGTTCGGCCTTGACTTGCTCAATTCGATCGAGGAGAGCTTGAACACTCATTAGTATGCGATATTGGACCACCGTATTGTCGATCTGTTCGTACCGTTGAGGGCGTCTTGCTTCGACTTTGCTTCCCTAAAGCTCACCCGTCAGCACCGCAACGGCGAGAAAAAGGCGAAGACACCGACCTCAGAAGTCCTTCTCGTTGATCCACTTGAGCCTTTCCATCCTCTGCCATGATTCCTTCGTCTTCAATAGCTGACGTCAATGTTGTCGTCCCGGTCGCTAATAATAGAACCTTAAACGCGCCCTGAGACACCTCATAACAACACCCACCCCCTCAATTCGCAATTGCGATATTCTATACACCAGCGACCTCGATACCTTGACAGGGCGCCATGAGCGGCCGTCTATCGTCAAATCGGTCGAGTGTTGCCATTCCTCGGCGGCCGGTGCCGGTGGTGGTGACGGACCAGACATGTTACACGTACGCACTACGTGTCGCATTTCTGGCGTATCTATTGCACCCGAATACTCGTGCGGAGAGAGTTAAGATTGCTGCTGTGAATGCGAGCACTGTTGCTGAGCGGAACAAGCCGTCGCGGACCGCTACGGCGCTGGACAGCATGAATGAGTTGGTCAGAACGTCGACTGGAGTGAAGGAGAAGGAGGGGAAGAACAAGTTTCCGAAGGATCTAGTGAAGATATTGAAGACCAAGTTGGAAGTGATATCGATGGGCAAGGATCCTCAGTATCAAGATCCATTGGTACGGGCTACATTTGCTGGGTTTTACGCACATTACACAGAGCCAGGGTTCTACAAGCAGGTCAAGGAGAACAGGAAGATCGAAGAACTTGTCATGATCTTCATCTCCTCTGCTACCGCTGTGTTGAAGAAACGTCTTAATGATGATCACGAGGCCAAGGAGATGGTTAATCAGCATGTCGTATTGTTCGTTAGATTGATCCGATATACGATGAAGACGAATCATTTGGCCAGTTCAGCACCTGATCTCATGCAGAGGTTGGAAAACTACGAGACGAAGCTTATGACGAACAGCCGTGTTGGACATGAACCTGGAGTACAGCCTGGCGCACCTCTGACAATCAGCTACAATATTCGCGATATGCCCATGGTACAGACTGTTATCAAACTCTTCAGCGTACCCGAGTATAGGGCGCAACAGGAGATCGATGCGCTCAAGGGTAGTGTCAACGAGCAGACGGCCATCAACGATATGAAAGCACGGATCAATAACATAAACGCCAATTCGCCAGCAGTGCTCCAAGAAGACGACTTCCAATCCGAAGAAGCTTACCAACAATGGAAGACCATCGAGCTGAAACAGCTCTCGCAGATGATATCAGACATGATCGAAGGGAATCCAGAGTTGACGTTGAATCCAAATGGCGAGGCGGTCAGCACTTTGCTGAGCAACGGCAACGGACAAAGACGTAGTGCGAGCGATGCAGCGACCAACCCTAACAGGCTGAGTATGATTAGCAATGGCGGTGATATGGACAGAGTGCGGAGGACACACGGGGCAAGCAAGAGTATTGCTAGCATGCAGGATCTTGAAGGTGGAGCAACACTAGTCCCACCGGATCCGAAGAGATTCTATCGACATTTGATGGAAATGTGTCTCAGTCGTGACTTGGCTCTCAAGCTTAGCGGTGAAAATCCGGACGCGCCCATGATTTCTCGTGCTCATTCCGAGCTTCTGGTCGAGTGTTGCCAGCGATGGAGGATGCTGCAGGCCTACCGCGTTGCTTCGTTTTTGGACGCGATCAAGACGAAGTTCGTGGACGGCGAGGTGGGATTAGAAGTCGTCGACGAGGCGTTCCATCATGCGCTGACAATGCATGATGGTGATTTTGAGTCCTGGTGCTTCCCTGACCACCAGTTGTATTCGCAAGCACTCCTCAGATTCAGTGAGGCGCTGATGAGGATGCTATACGATCAAATCCAGCATGCATTCGATACCAAAGCTCCGAAGCCGGGGCACGGATATGTCCTTCATGTCCTGAACGAGTACATCTTGGAAGACCCTGTATTCAAGGAGACTGGAGCACCCATGAAGGAGTATATCCAACACCTCGAACATGGCGTACGTCAAGTAGCCATTGATAGGTACAATAGTCACCGCCAAAAATTGCTTGAAGTGCAGGACTCCGTCATGAAGGTATCTAATCACGTTGATGCCGTAACTGCCGACATGGACCGGGTGGTGAAACGATACAAACATGACAAGATCCTTGAGTGTATCAGCGTGCTTGAAATCGTCGTTAAAACAACCGCTCTCAGTTTTGCTTTGGATCTCCGCAACCTTATCTTGGAGGTTGATTTGGATGCCAGGACTAAGGGATTAGAAGTACCCTTGGATGATATGCTGGTTTTATTCGGGAAGGTTCAACCAGCTGTTGGTCCAATGCAACATCTCTGTCCAGAAAGTGATATAGCAGCGGTTGTAGAGGAAAGCTTTAGACCGTACGTTCATGCTTGGTTAAATGTCACTGAGGCGAAAACACCGGAATGGGTTGACCGTGCCATAAGCATGGACAAGTTTCAATCGGAAAATCCGGATGAACCAGGGCATTCCTCCTCCGTTGTGGACCTGTTTGACCAGTTCTGGCAGGCAGTCGGGTTTCTTAAGGACCTGGAGTGGCCAGATGAGTACCAGGACGCAAAGTTCCGTACCAGACTGGCGAAAGCGTTTTCGCTAGGTATTGCACAGTATTGCAAGCGTGCTGAGGAGTTGTTTACATACGAAACGACCCTCAAACCTGCGGCAGAACAAGAAGCCACGTCAAGTGCTCAACCCAACACCGAGCGTTGGATGGCCATGGCGAGAAATGCTATTCGTGGGAGAACCAGGGTCGAACCCTTCAATTTTGCGCCGGAAAGTTGCGTCAAAATCAACAATATTGAATATGTTCAGAAGAAGATGGAGGCTATTGCGGAGGCCCTCGACGTCGAGACGATGGCTATGATCATTGAAGAACGGGAACCGCAAAAGCCACGCTCCTCGCACGAGAAGGCTACATTCACCATCAAGATCATCTCTGGAGAAGATTTGAAACCATGCGATCGGAACGGCTTAAGTGATCCTTACGTTGTCCTGAGTGATGAACATGGGCGACGCGTTGCCAAGACGCGCACGATCTATAAATCACTCAACCCTCGTTGGGATCAAAGTTTCGATGTCGACGTCAAAGGACTGTTATGGCTGCGTGCAACTGTGTGGGATGCGGATGTTATGGGTGACCATGATATCTGCGGGTCATGCTACTTGAAATTGGATCCACGGTTGTTTGGCGATTATGTTCCTAGGGAGCAGGTTGCCGATCTGGATACCCAAGGACGCCTGTTGCTTAGGATCAGCATGGAAGGTGAGAAAGACGACATTCTTTTCTATTTTGGCAAAGTGTTCCGCAGTCTACATGGAACTGAGAATGCAATGACGCGAATTGTCGTGGACAAGATGACCGCATACATCCAGGAATGCTTATCCAGGCAGGTCCTGAAAAGCCTCCTTTCGAGGCCGGTCATCGACGTGGACAAAGTCTCCTTGCAAATGTCAAATCTTTTCAGTCGGGCCGGGTTGCGACAAGCCACTCCTCAGCCTGAACCTGCTCCAGCCAAGGTTGGGTTGACGAAGCAAGACATGGAGAGCGCGATTGACCCGCTCTTCGATTACCTAGACGCAAACTTCGCCGTCTTAGCAGCAAATCTTACGGAATCAGCCATCCGAAACATCATGTCGAAAGTCTGGCACGAGGTGCTTACGACGATCGAGGACCTTCTCGTACCCCCTCTTTCCGAAAAGCCCTCAAGTATGCGTCCACTCAACGAAGCAGAAGTTGATGTCGTGTACAATTGGCTAAATTTCCTTCGTGATTTCTTCCACCATGGCGGAGAAGGCGTGCCCATGGATGTCCTGACACAGTCCAAATACCAGGAGGTCGTGTCAATTCGATTCTTCTATGACCAGGATCTGAACACGCTCGTTCAGGAGGCGGAGCGCACGGTACAGACGGCAATGGCTCGCCGACAGGAAGCAGCTGCACACGAGACGACGTCAGCTACTGGTGGCAAGTTGAATTCGCGCAACTTGGGAACAATCAAGGCAAAGAGGCAAAAGCAAGTGAAGGATTTGCAGAGCAGTGATGATATCATTTTGAGAATCATGAGGATGAGGGAAGGGTGCGAGAGAGTCCTGTACGAGAGATTCAGGCAGCGCAGTCGTTTGCAACAGCAGCTGATTGCCGAAGAGACCATGAAGATGTCGAACAGGAGGTGATTGAGCGTAACAATGTTTTTTTGGCACAATTTTGCTGGGTCGATGGCGTTTGGGGAGTACTTTGTGACCGTATTATAATACCTGGGATATGCGCTTATCAAAAACATTCCTAATCTTATTCTTCATACACTCATCCCTATTCCACCCTTCACGCAGACTCGTCAATCCTAGCCGCCCGAGGGAACTCGTCACCTGGCAAACCACCCAATTCTCTCTCCAAACCGCCGTAAGGGTACTTCCTGCGCACCATCGGAGGTCCATCCCACGTCAGGTAAACAAGTCCCGCAATGGTAACGAAAATCATCGCAAAGCCAGCTTGAAGCGCCAAGGCCTTTCGCGGAGTAACCACGGTGTGGATATCGGGGGTGAAAATGTTCAAGACATCGGCTTCCTCGTGGAGCTATGAGAAATGATCAATAAATGCATTCGATTTGTTGAAGCAAAAGGAGGACATACCGGCTCACCGAAGTTACGGCGTCCCTGCTGGTCCCAGTACTTCTCATGCGGTGAAAGGAACTGCGCGTTGATAGCTGGCGTGTCGTTGGGGTATTCGACCAGCTGTAAAGAAACGAAAACGGTCAGTGTCTGCACCCGGAGGAATTGCATGGCTATCTTTCACAAACCTTGATTGTAGAGGGATCAGGGTGCGGGCCAGGACCAGCAGTAGCAGTGGAGCCCTGACGGGCAAGAACGACAGGCGAACAGATCAAGCGTGATGATGCTCTCAGGGTTCGTGCAAGCATTGTAGATTGTATATTTGGTCGGGACTGAATGCTATGGAGGTTACCCAATGACCTCCAAGCGTTAGCGTTTCAGGCACGGCCTGCTGCAAGTCACCACCTCGCGCACATGAGTGAGTCTGTGACGACCAAGATCGAAGAAGTCAACCATCACCGGCACGACACGACATCAAAAAGTGCCGATACGGACCTGTCGACTACGGTATTCGATTGACCAAGTCTTTAGCTATCTAGCGCTGTGTTTTTCTCCGGAGTATACGCGGTATATGTCGAATAAAGTTGATAAAACGACAATTCGCGGCCTCTGAACAGCGATACCGAGCACGGTCAACAGCAGCCCCCACCGACTTCTAGGGCTTGAATTGCGTGCATTGAACAAAGGGCATGCCTAGACCCGTCGACACGGCGCCTACAGCTCTTCGAGTTTCCGAAACAAAGCGGCGAAGGATATCACGTTCATCCAGAGACGCGCCAGCACCTACAACAGTCGAGGAATGCAGGACTCAAGAGCTCGCGAAGCGTCAAGCTCAGTTGACGCAGATCGTAGATGAGCAAGATGATCGCGTCAGACAATTGTTTCACCTGGAGAAATTCTCGCTCGTCGAATACGACCCCAGAGTGGCCAAGGAGGACCGGAGTCATGTATTTATGCAATATGCTCAGCCGTATGATTTATGGGAGAAGCTTGCGGATGCGAGGACTGCGGGTGCTTCTAGGCCTACGAGGAGGAGGATCAATGCGCAAAGGGACTCGCTTGGAGTTGCGGAGAGCCCTGCTCTTGCGCATGCTGCTCCGACGGCGAATGGCGTGGCGAAATCAATGGCCAAAGGTACACCTCAAAACGTCAAGAGGGAGTCTGTTGGTAGGGGTCGAGGAAGGGGGAGGAGGGCTTCACGACTTGCGCAGAACGAGGTTGCGGAGGGTGAAGGTGGAAGTCGCTCGGATGACACGGCGGCGCGAAAACCGGGCCGACGAAGGAGACAACGGGCAACCCCAGAGTTCACGTCATCAGAGGGCGAATCAGTGGACGAAGCGGAGGAGGTCCCGTCATCCACGTGTATGAAATCGATACCCAAGATCAAACTAACACTCAAGGCACCAAAACCTACAATCGCGAATCCTATCCATGAACCAGCAAAACCTCAATTCAGCTCGTTTGCGGAGTACTTGAAATCATTCGTCGTGTTGGATGAGGATGACGTGGATAAAGAGCGGCTGGAGGAATTGATTGAGGAGCAAGCTGCAACCCGGAATCGAATTGAAGAATTACGCGCCAAAGGACTTCTTGATGCACCAGCACCGGTATTCAAAAAGCAAGTTGAACCGCCACGCGACCCTGATCATCAGGATGCATTACTCGCTCATGCCGTGAACTTTTCAAAACTCATGTCTAATGAGCGCCGGTCGAACATATCTCGTGCCAAGAAGATTGCTGGTATGGTTACAGCTTACTTCAAACGCCTCGAAGGAGCAGACGAGAAGGAGCGCAAGCTGGAGGAGAAGCGTATTCGTCAACTCGCTAAAAGGACCGTGCAGGATGTGAAGAAGAAGTGGAAGCTGGCTGAAAAAGAGGTCTTGAGGAGGAGGGCCGAAAGAATTGCGGAGGAACAACGAAAAGAAGGAAAGAAGCATCTCAGCAAGATCCTGGAACATTCAACTCAGCTTTTGGAGAGACGCGATACCTTTGGCAATGTCCCAGATGTGGAGGACGAGGAGATGGAAGACGGCGATGAGTATCAGTCGGATGTTGATGAAGAGGAGACGCGACGGCAGCCGGCGTTGGAGGAGAATCCGTACGCGGCTGTGCCTGACTCGGAACTAACGGTGGAGCAGCTACGGGTAAAATACGCAAGCGTATTGACTACTACGCCTGGTGCCATGGATTCAGATGACGAGTCTGCAACTGACAGCGATGACGAGTCAGGAAACGAGGAGGAAGAGGAGGATCAGGCTACACTCGAAATCTCGGCTGAAGACGCTAAACGATACGAGGAGGCGATGAAGCTGAAGCTGGACCAGGGAGCTCCCGAAATCGTCGACGAAGACGATTTTGATGAGCTGATGGATTCGGAGGACGAAGATGAGGACAGCGAGGAGGAGGAGGACGAAGAAGAGGAAGATGAAGGACCTGGATTGGCCAGTTTGTTCGGGTTTGGGTCGACGGCAGCTGCTTCGGAGGAGGAAGCAGAAGAAACAGAAGTCGCTAAACCTGCAGAAGGTGATACTACAATGGATACAGCCCCTGAGCATGTAGCGAGGGAGGTGGCTGTAGATGCTGCGGAAGCCGACGCCGCCATGGTGACGGGTCCTGAGCAACCCGGAGGCACTGATGTGCTTGCAGAAGTTGAGGAAATGGAAGTCGACGAGTCCGTCGCCTTGGAGGTTTCCGATGAAGATGCTAAGCGGTATGAGGCAGCTATGGCGCTCGATGCTGATGCACCTGCCCTTGCTGAAGAGGACAATCTGGACGAGTCAATGGATTCCGAGATGGACTCTGAAGAAGATGAGGAGGATGCTGAAAGTGATGGAAGCGAGAAATGGGAAGGTCCTGGCTTAGCCGCACTTCTAGATCCCATACCAAAAGCGAAGGATGATGTGCCACCACCGGCCGTCAATGGCGAAGCCATCGAGCCTATTGGTGAGCCTAAGTTGCCTCCTGGTAATGAGGGTAACCCACCTCTGCGGACGGAGACCGACCCAGGCAATGTCAAGGACGAGGCTGCAGTGCTCAAGGCAGAAGCTGAGCAGGCTGAGGTCGAAGCGACTGTCGTTTCGCCTAAAGCTGCTTCTTCCACCATTGACACGGTTGCAACGCCTGGCGACGCTGGCCGGACGTCGGAGTCACCGGACACTAACGTCTCTGCGACTTCCGGTCTCAAGACACAAATTCCATTCCTCCTCCGCGCTACCCTTCGTGAGTATCAGCATATCGGTCTGGACTGGCTTGCGAACCTATACAACAGTTCTACGAACGGTATCCTCGCTGATGAAATGGGTCTCGGTAAGACCATCCAGACCATCTCTTTGCTGCTCTACTTGGCTTGTGAGAAACAAATCTGGGGTCCACATCTCATAGTCGTTCCGACATCCGTTATGCTGAATTGGGAAACGGAGTTTAAAAAGTTCGCGCCTGGTATGAAAGTGATGACTTACTACGGTAATCCCAACCAGCGTAGGGAGAAGCGTCGTGGATGGTACAAGAAGGATTCGTTCCATGTTTGTATCACGTCGTATCAGCTCGTCATTCAAGATCAGCAGCCATTCAAGAGGAAGAAGTGGCAGTACATGGTCCTTGATGAGGCTCACAACATCAAGAATTTCAGGTCGCAGCGATGGCAGACGTTGCTGAACTTTAATACGGAACGCCGTTTGTTGTTGACTGGTACTCCTCTTCAAAACAACCTCATGGAGCTGTGGTCGCTGCTATACTTCCTCATGCCGAACGGTGTATCCGAGAATTTGCCAGTTGGGTTCGCGAATCTTTCCGAGTTCCAGGAATGGTTCGGTAACCCGGTCGACAAGATGGTCGAGAATGGTGCTCAGTACGCCGACGATGAGGCGAAGAAGACCGTTACGAAGCTGCACACCGTCCTTCGTCCATACATCCTCCGTCGGCTCAAGGCAGATGTCGAGAAGCAGATGCCGGCCAAGCACGAACATGTCATCTACTGTCGTCTTTCTAAGCGTCAGCGATACTTGTACGACGACTTTATGTCTCGTGCGCAGACGAGAGAGACACTCGCTTCTGGTAATTTCTTGAGTATCATCAATTGTTTGATGCAACTGAGGAAAGTTTGTAACCACCCTGATCTTTTCGAGGTCCGTCCAATTGTTACGTCCTTTGCGATGCCCAAGTCTGTGGTTTCAGGTTACGAGAGTGAAGAGCTTTTTGTTCGTCGCAGGTTGTTGACGGATGACACTTTCAAAACGGTGGATCTGAATTTCATGAACCTCGTCATCACCAACAATGAGGATCTGTCTCTCACCGACGCATACCGCTCCATGCAGTTAAACGCCGGTGGATACATCGTTAACGAATGCAACGAAGTCCACGCCAAGATCGACTTCGCCATGAAGCCTGACTACACCTCCATCGAGAAGCACGCCAAATACATGGCCAATGAACGCAAACTCAGTCTCCTCATGCGTATGGAAATGTTCCTCTATGTCTCCAGTCTCCGTACCGCACGCAAACCAATTTACGGACAAACCTTTATCGAGATGTGTCGTAAACCGCCGAGGGCAGGGTTTGAGATAACTGCGATGCATACGAGGTATAGGAATCCTGTTGATGGGTTTTGGAGGACTTCGAATGCGTTGAGGGAGATGGTTGTTACTTTGCCGGAGAGGGTGGAGAGGATGTCGACCGTGGTTGATAAGTATGCGTGTATCACACCTGCCGTCGTTGCTCGCGATCTCCCGTCCCTCGCACTTCGCGGCCTTCCAACCCCCGTGGTCGAGGAACTCCGAACGAAGGAAGAGGATCCCCTCCACGACGCCCGCACAAAGCTCTCAATCGCATTCCCTGACAAACGTCTTCTGCAGTACGACTGCGGCAAGCTCCAAAAGCTCGCTGTCCTTCTCCGGGACCTCATCGCCGGCGGCCACCGCGCCCTCATTTTCACTCAAATGACCAAAGTCCTCGACGTTCTCGAACAATTTCTCAACATCCACGGACACCGCTACCTCCGTCTTGATGGTGCTACAAAGATCGAGCAACGTCAAACTCTGACAGAACGGTTCAACACTGACCCACGTATCCCTGTCTTTATTCTCTCCACCCGTTCTGGTGGATTGGGTATTAACTTGACGGGTGCGGATACGGTCATCTTTTACGACTCGGACTGGAACCCATGTATGGACCGCCAATGCCAAGACCGCTGTCATCGTATCGGTCAAACCCGCGACGTCCACATCTACCGCTTCGTCTCCGAACACACCATCGAAGAAAACATCTTCCGCAAAGCAAACCAGAAGCGGATGCTTGACAACGTGGTCATTGGCCAGGGTGATTTCACCACGGATTGGTTCGGGCGGGTTGGGTGGCGGGATATGCTCGGTGATGATATTGAGATTAATATCAAGGAGGGGGAGGGGATGAGGGGGAAGGTTGTGGAGAGTGCGTTGGCGCAGGCGGAGGATGAGGATGATGCTGTTGCAGCACGGCTTGCGGAGAGGGAAATGGAGACTGATGTTGGTGACTTTACCGAACGTGATCGGGAGAAGGAGAGGGAGAGTTCGAAGGCGGTGGAGACGCCAGGTGTTGGGACGCCTGCGCCTGTCGGGACTGGAGGGGAGGCGGAGACGGAGGCGGAGGTGGAGATTGGGGACGTTGATACATATATGATTAACTTCTTGGAGAGGGAGGGGATTATGGATGAGTGGTAGGACGTGGTGCACTGGATGTGTCGGCATGGTGATCCTTCGCTCTCTTGGGTTTCGGGTAGGCGTTATTATGTTGCAATTAGGATGGCATATAACATCTACACAGTCTCTAACAATTGATACATGGACATGGACGATTAAGTCGTGGTGAACGAAAAATGCATTAGGTAGTAGCATATGTTGACTCCTTCGGTATCTTCCCAACTTCAATGTGCGTCCTTCGATGCATCGCTCATCTTTCCTTCTCATATCATACAGCCATACGAACCAACCAGTGATTCTCAGGCGTAAACCTCGTACAGCATACATTCAGCATACAACACCCTTTCTTCGTAGTGGCGATGCGCTTAGTGGGCGCCCAAGGACCCAATAGAGGCATTCCTGTTTCCCTCCTTCTCACCCTCGTAGGTGGCCTGCACCTCACCCTCCTTCAAAATCTTGACGATAGCTTCCTCGGGCTTAGACGTCCCGAACTCGTTCTCAAGCTGCAACTTGGACGCATGATCCAAAGTTCCCTGCTTTCCGTGCTTGTGGGTAACAAAGATGTCGAAAGAGTTGACGACGTCGACGAGTGGGGTGGAGGAGGAAGCGCGGTAGGTGTCGACGGCGGATTTGGATTCGACGAAGATGATGTAGGTTTCTGAGGTTCCAGAGGTGTTTGACTTTGCGGTGTAAGTAACGCGAGTCTGGGTTCCGGCCTTGGTCATTTTGATTGTAGTAAGTGTTTGGTTTGTTTGATGGGACGAGGCGGGAGGGAGGATCGGGTGCTGCTTATATGCTGGCGGTGAGGTTTGGCGCGAGCGTTGGGCGGAGCACGTCACTGAGTGGGCATGACGTCACGGCGAGATGGATAAGAATAATTAAGAATAATATAATTAGGCAGAAGTAGAAGTAGCAGTAGCAACAGTATCAACCGTCATCGTCACCGCCATCGTAGTAGTCTTCGTCGCGTAAACAGTCGAGGTGTAGTACTCGTCCTCGTCCGTCCACTCCTCGCCATCAGCAAGGCAGACCCACTCGTACTCATCGGCGTCGGCGGAGGAGACAGCGGAAGCAGAGGCAGAGGAGGTGACCACAGCCTTGGCGTTAGCAGTGGGGGTAGCGACGTCGGTCAGGCTCGCGCTGGAGGTGGAGGAAGCGACGGAGGAGACGGGAGTCTGAGTACGGACGGGGACAGTGGCGTTGTATCCAGTGCTGGAGGCAGTGACAATCGCAGCAGAAGCGTTCACACTGACGACAGGGGTAACGATAGGCACAACCGAGCTCCAAGTCGAAGACGAAGAGGCGGAAGCAGCAGTAGCGTTCCTCGGGTTAGACAACAGGTTGTATCCATTCAAACCAGCAGCCGCACTGACGGTACCGTTGCTAGACCCGCGGGTAACGGTGTAGTTACCGTATGCTGAGGCGATAACGACAGCAGTAGCGGCGGCGGAGGTCGTGGTAGTGTAGACATTGGTAGTGTCAGCCGCGTTGGTCTTAGTCACGACCTGAGTAGACGTGGAGTAAGAGGTCGTGGTGGAGTTACCGGGCGCAGCAGCGGCAGAGCCAGCAGCGGAACCCTGGTTAGCGAGGAGGTTGGAACCGTAGGGAGTGACGGAGACGGCAGTGGTCTCAGCGGCAGCGGCAGCGGCAGCGGCAGCGGCAGCGACAGTAGCCTGAGTCTCGACAGCAGCGGGAGCGACGTAGGCAGTAGCGACAAAAGTGGAAGAAACAGTCGCGACCTCGGTAGTCGTAGACCACGCGGTAGTCACACCAGTCGCAGCAGCCTGAGCAGCCTGGGTAGCAGCAGCGAGCGTAGAAGTAATGTACGTCGCATACTGCTCACTCTCGTCCCAAACACCGCCAACAGCGACAGCACCTCCCTCATCATCCTCTCCAGTCACAACCCCAGATCCATCAACCGCCACAGCTTGGTACGAAGCACCGTTGTTCGTGGCCGCGCATCCACAAGCAGTGGATTCAGGATCCTCGAAGGTGACCTCAACGATGATGTAGTCGTCGGTTGAGGTAGGGGCCCAGGAGGCTGTAGCGGTGGGGGCCGCGGAGTGGGAGGCGAGGAGAGAAGAGAGGATGGAGGCTTCGGCAGAGTTCAGGGTTGTGGGAGTTGAGCCAGGGATGAGGACGACAGTCACGACCTTGTTGGCGTCGGTGGTGGCAGCAACCTCAACAGCGGGAGAAGAAGCGGCAGCAGCGACCTCCACGGCGGCGCCAGATGAGGAGGTAGTACCAGCAGCAGCGGCCGCTACCTGGACAGCGGCACCTGCAGCAGAAAAGGTCTGAGCAGCGGTGGCAACGGCAGCAGCAGAGTTAGTCTCGGCCACAACGTTGGAGCTCTCACCATCAGAAACAGCGACAGGAGAGACGGCAATGGTACCGTTGTTGTTAACAACAGCGATGATAGTGCTCTGAGCAGCAGTAGCGATGCTCGAAGAAGAAGAGGTGCCAGCCAGGAGCACAGCAGCACCGGCAGACGAAGAAGAAGTTGAAGAAGAAGTAGTGTCGACAATGATAGAACCAGTATCCGGCGCGGTAGAGTTGTTCACCGCAGTAATGGACATACGAACAGTAGAAGTAGTGGCGTTCAAGTAGCGAGGCTGCAAGACGGGGAAAGCAGAAGCTCCCGAGACGAGAAGCGCAGCGGCGGAAACGAGAGAGAAGCGCATCTTGTATATGTGTTGGAATCAGACGTCCTGCGTGATTGAGTGTGTGTAGTAGTTGTAAGAACGAAAGTAGTGATCAAAGTTGTGAGCCGATCAAGCGTGTTGATGAACGAAAGACTGTTGTTGGATTAACGAAAGTGAGTGATGCGACCTGCGCGAAAGATAGTAATCGAGCTTCAAGCTTCGAGGTGTGAGGTGTCGTGGTTCAGAACGTAAAGAAGAGCAAGAAGACTGGGAGCGGGCCCTATATACGGAGCCAGGATGCTTGGTCGCCACCATTGAGTTAGAAGGAGGATCGAAGGCTGGTTGTTGCTCACATGGTGGTCGAGGTGGTTGGGTTTACCTTCTGGCGCGTCGAGTGTACGACCGACTTTACGCGCACGGACCACCCCGGTGCTGGTGTGGCGCGGGTCCGGTCATTACCAACCTCGCGTACCAGCCCCCCCCCCCGAGACACTCTATCGAAATTATTGGATGAAATTCGAATGAGAGTGGCTGTCAATATGCTTTGATTGAACGTTCATGACGGGAGGTCGGTACGTTCGGAAGGCTTGGCGGGTGGAAGATTGGCGGCGTGGGCTCCATGCGTAGAGCATAGACGGAGGCGCGTGGGTGCTTAGCCCATCGATCGCTCTTTCTGGAAGCCCTTGTATCGAGTCGAGCTGCTGTAACGCCTATCTTGACATTGCTTCGATACAGTTGCTGCTTCTATCGGCGCGGACTGAGCCTCGGGGCGTTCGTGGAAAGGTCGGTACCGTTACCGGCCGAAGTTGTCCCCACGAATTCGAACACGGCATACCCCGGCTTGGCAGTTGTCAAGTCCTGTGGTCAATGCACAGTACAGCTGCCTCTATGTAGCTTCGTTTTCAATCCTTTCATTTCGTCTAGCTGTGAGAGTTTTGGAAGCCGTGTGAACTCCGATTATGCAATTCAAAGCATCCGTTCACTACCCTAAAGTACCTATCAAAATGAGCAATACGCCTATCCAATTATCCCAATCCCAAAATATCACGCTCCATCCAATCAAATATTCATCCCTCACTCACCGCCTTCGGCGTATTCTTCCTCTGCCAAAACCACCCACCACTCCCCGCACTCTCCTTAACCGGCGTCTCCGTCTTCCCATCACTCCCAGTTTCCACAGAAGCATTCGGTTTCTTCGCTGACCCAGACCCAAACCATCCACTCTTTCCTCCCTCCTCTGGAAGCGGACTGGCTGCTTTCTTCGCACCAGCAGCAGACCTCAATAACATCCTTGAGTAATTCGAGTTAGCCATAGTGCTCTTCGCTGGAGTCAGGATAGCCGTCGTGTCCACATTCCCGGCCATTACACTCGTTGGACTGAGCACAGAGTTTGTCGGGCTGGTGACTTGGAGGGGACTGGCGACGGGTCTACGGCCTCTGTTGAGCGTGCCGAGGAGGAGTTTGTTTGCCGGGTTTTGTGAGACGGCTGGTGGGGGCGCGAGGGACAACACAGACTCATGTGAAGCAACACGTCTCAAACGGCCTTCGGTACGTGGCAGAGTGTCGGGAGTCGGGTACATGTGTCCCTGCAGACCCATGAAGCTCTCGTGGCTCGTCGTGCGCTTGAGGGCAGGTTCCAAGTTCAACGGGGCAACACCCGGAGAATGAGGCGGACTCGGCAACAAATCCTGCTGAGCCAAGAAGAGGCTCTGACGATGCTGCTCAGGCGAAGAAAGGGGCGGGTCGGTGTCGTTCTCTTCCTCGGAAACAGGATCAAAGATGGTACTCTGCGTACGACTGGAAGAAGTACTAGAAGATGTCGACCTAAGAATAGATGGCGTCTTCTGCTTTTTAGACGAAGCACGCCTAACCTCGAGCGGGCTAGGCGTCGCAGGCATGGAGGACGACGTGGCAGCATCTCTGATCAAGCTCGTAACGGGCCCACTCTTCAGGGACATACCAGGCATACCGACAATACTCCGCTTCCTCGAGACCATTTTGCCCGATCTTGCCGGGGTGAGCATGGCACCAGGTGCCTGGTAGCGCGCACGAGGCGGGTGCTTGATGACACCGTCCGTAGTGGTTGACCTGATACGCGAAGTCCCAGGAGTGGGCGGCAAGTTGGGATCCGCGAGGTGGTAGTAGTGGTGGTGATGGTGGTGTAGTTCCTGACTCGTAGCCTTCCGGGGCGGCATGTGCATACCAATACTCTTGTCGAGGGAGACGGGCTTCTTGTCATCATCATCCTCCTGTCGCTGATGAAGAAGAAGCTGCTCTCTCAATAAGGCCACCTCGTCCTGGGTGGACGACAGCAAGGCCCTGAGCTCAGACGTGCTCGTCTCCAGATTCTGGTTCGTCGCCAACAGGTCCGCCACGAAAGTTGCCATCTGGGGGTTATCAAGGACATCCTCCTTCGGCTGCTTAACAACCTCCAGTTTCGTCTCCTTCCTCTTCTCCTCTAACTTCTCCCAGAAATCTTTCGTCTTCTCCCTCTCTTCCATAACCTCCCTCTCCATGGCCTCCATCTGCATCTGCAACTCCTCAAGCTGTTTCTGGGCTTTGTGCCATCGCGCTTCAGCACTGCGTTCGTTGCGTCGCGAGTGCTCGAGCTCCTGTTGAATCTCCGACTTTTCGAGTTCCACTGAGCAAAGCTGGTCGTCGAGAGTTTGTGCACGCGAAGCCATATGACGAAAACGAGCGAGTTCGGCTTCGGTCTGCGCAAGTGAGTGATTGAGGCTTTCAACCTGTGAGTCGGCGACAGAAAGACTGTTGTTCAAGCTCTCCAAGCGCTGTGAGTGCGGTTAGCATAACATTTTTATGCCAGGCGTATCGACTCACCTCAAGTAATTCGCGATTCTCCCTAATGGTCCTCTGATTCTCCTCCTCCAACTCCTTATTCCTCACCTCCAACTTCTTCACCGCCTCAACCATGACCTCATGCCTATTCAACAGCGCCTGCCCCAACTCCGCCGCAATCCTCACGTCCTTCTCCAAGCCGGCAAGGACGCGTTCATTCGATTTGAGGCTCGCGCAGTCAGGGGCGCCGCAACAGCATTCGATGGCGGTGGGGGCGGAGGTACCCGGGGAGGTGGAGAGGTCGTGTTGGTTTAGGAAGGAGGTTATGAGGGTGTCGCAAGAGCCTGTTGAGAGTTCGTGGGAGTGCATGGCGTTGGACACTCCCTGACTGTGCTGTTCCGGTGTTTGTTGTGGTGAAAGTATGCGAAGTTGTAGGATGATGTCGAGGTGAGATTAGAGAAAGAAGATGCCGAACATATGCTATTTAAAATGGTAGACGGAGTGATGTCGTCAGCTGCTTGTACCGGCAGTCTCTTAAGAATGAACGTCGATTGTTTGGGTCTCTTCCTTCAGCACAGACCGCATCCGGGAACCGCGACCCACGCGGGTGGCTGGTACAGCAGAGGACACGGCGCGACCATCGATAACGACTGGAATCAACTTTAAGCTGAAATACTACGGATTCGAATAACGATGGGTATGCTAATAATGCGAATGCTGTGCAAGTAAAACGCCGATAATCCCGCCCTTTCCCTGGTACAACTCACATCCTCTCTCCCCAACCTCCGATAATGACCCCCAATTCATCGCTCTTCAACACCTTCGCACTATCCCTCGCATCCTCCACCCCGGATGCAACCTTATACTCCGCCAACACCTTCACCTCCTTCATGTTCTTACAATCCTTCTCACACAAATGCCTTCCAAGCGGTATCCTTGCATCCAACTTCCGCAACGACTGGTCCAACAACTTGCTCGCATTCGGCGCCGGTGCTTTGAGATTGAAGGGTATCTGCCAGTGCTTCGCCCGGACGGGTGTGATACTCCGAGTTTTCTTGTGAATCGCCAAAAGTAGGAAGACAAAGACCGTATTCCAATTCCCTAGCGCACCGAATGCGATGACGACTTCTTCCCTGATGATTCGAGGAAGAATCGGTAGGTGAGCCGGATTCAAGACTCTGGTACTAAATGTTGTGAATTTGGGCAGGCCGGTTGTGGAGAACGGCGGTATCTTCGATAGTAGAGTCGATGTGTAAATATCGAGCTCGAGGATATGTACGGCCGGGTTCTTGAGTACGGGTTCCTCCGGATCCGCAAACGGTTTGCGGTAATGAATATCATCCGGGGAGCTCGGCGGCCAGAACTGTATTATCCAGGTTAGCAACTCTTCCTGCTCATTTGGATCCTCTTACGTACCTTCGCATCCGGTTCTGAGCATACATCTGCCTCGCTCGAGCATGCTTCGTCGCCGCTTTCATCTTCATTCGGAATCTCAATCCAGAGCAACCTAGACTCCATCCCAACAACAACTCTCCCCTCCTCCAAACCCGCAAAGCAAACCCCACCCACGAGCCGCTCCTCCTCACCAGCAGGAACACAAACCGCACTCATAGCCTTCCTGCCCACATCCCATATCCGACACTCGAGATTACCACCGACGTCCATATCCAAATGCCTCCTTAACACGACCTGCACAACCCTGAACTGGTTTTTGGCCTTGTCCATGTTATGGCACGCTGTGAAGAAACCGACGGGAGGGATGCAGCAAGCACGCCACCCCATATCATTACTCTTTTCGATGAACCGCAATTTCTTCCCCTTAACATCCAATCGCCATATATTTACAGCCGTACTCCGGTCCAAAGGCATCACGAAGCCTTCTCTACCAAGCCTTGATTCAATCTCCCACTCCGGAGCCCTCGTCTTCGCTTTTCCGACCGTGACAAGATAGAATGGCCAGGATCCTGTGAAACCGAGGATGACTTGGTGCCTTAAGAGTTGGGAGACGTTTGTACCGCTATAGGGGATTTGATTTTCTTCGAGGGTGGAGATTGGGATTGGGCTGTAATGCTGGGAGGGGTTTGGTTTGCGGGTTGGACAGCCGAGGGAGCGGGAGAGGATGTAAGAGGCGGTCGAAGGGCGAGTAGACGACTCGACGGAATTTGAGGATGAATTTGACCGCTTCATCCTTTGTGTTTTTCCATTTGGTTGATGGAGGAACTTACCTTTGAGAAACGGACGTAAACGCGTGTATTTACTGTTCCCTGCTTTGGGACTGGCCAGGGCGTGACCATGACGGGAAGTCGCCAGCGGGAGGAGTTGTTCAAACGGGTTCGAGATAACACGTCCAGGAGTTTGGTACTCAAAGATGTCTGTGGTTGGGCAAAGGGCAGCTGAGCGTATTTTGGGGAAGCAGATAGTCGAAGAAGCAGCCATCCAATGGGAGTCCAATACGGACCCTGTCAGCAAAGACATCGTATCGAAGTGGTGGGATGAATACTGCTTACACGACAGGCACAGTGACTTGGCCGATGAAGACGAAAGCTTCTCAAAGTTTCTACTGCGTATACTCGGCGAACATCTCTTCTCTGACTTCACCTCTGCCTTCACTTCGTTACTCTTCATGACAAGCACCTTCTTCTGGGGATGGCACACTCTCGGCGTACACGTTCCGGCGATACTCAACAGAGCTCACTCCTACATTTTCCGGCCTTTGTTTGACTTCCCGCACGTTCGCTCTCTGATCGATTGGTTGGCGAATGACGTCATGAACATAGCGAGCGAGGTGAACGGCAAGGTTGACGGCCTACGCTTGAACTTCCTCAACGAGCTCGATACACTCGGGTCGCAGCTATACAGCTCAGCCATAAGCTTATTTGGTTCAAGACATCTTCACGTCGGCTTTGATTGGCTGTACGAAGCGCAATGCTCGGTCTTTTGCTACTGCCGTAACATCGGGTATATTCTCTGCTCTGACGTCGTCCAAGCGGTGGTAGGGACGGCGCAGACAGTTGACGATAACTACTTTGGCTTCTGGGAAACGATCGGCAGTTCGGTAGGAGGGCTGTGGACCTGGGGTTATGACTGGGTTTCCGAGTTCTTTGGCACAGAGGCTGCCTCGAAGGCGGCGTATTTGGAGAGGGCATTGGGCTGACAAGGAAGAGCGCCGCCATTTAATCATACTATTCGATACCCTCAACTCTCCGTAATTGACTGCACCCATCATATCTTACATGTCTGAATGATGGTGGGCGTGCGCGTACTCGGACCTCCCCGATCCCTTCCCCACAAAATCCCTGGAGCACATGCCCGCTTCGGCCGCCGGTGACAGGGCATCCCAACATTAAACCCCCGACCAACCTTGCCCGAACAGAACACCAATAGCTATAGACCAGCATGGCAGCTTGAGCCACTGCTACCACCAACAGTCATGCCAACAACATTCGCCTCGCTCCCCTCCATCCAAACATCCTTTCCCTCCTCGCTTCCCCAGGGACCGAGCACGATATCACCCCTCGGAGCCCGACCACATCTCAGCATGAGAAAGACGAGTACGACATTGCGCGATCCAAATGACTGCGCGCCCGACGACTTAGACCCCGACGAGAATGCCGAACTATACGTCAATTTACTGGTGTTCGAGGAAGCGATGAGGAGAGGCTACGTCGATCTACAACGGCGGAAGCGGAAATATATGGGTATGCGGGCGATCTTCCATACCCATCAAACAGGAAACTGACTCTTGCATACAGTCTTCTTCGCTGGCCTCCTCCTCTGGAATGCGTATTTCTTATATGGAACGATGATCAACCCCTCACCCTACTACTACATCTCCCTCTTCCACACCCTCTCCCTACTCCTCGGGCTCGTGACACTCTCCCTCTATTTCTTCGGAGGGTATTACCACTCTACCATCGCTGAACCACGGAAGTTCCTCCCGTACGCGAATCGGACGTTGAGGGGGATGAATCTGCGGTTGGTTGTTGTGCCGAGGGGCGTGTGGTGGACGGTGCGCGACTGGTTACCATGCCTATTCCCGCCATTTCCATGGCGGAGGAAGAAGAAGGGGGAGGAAAGACCTCCCATACCACCGGAGAGGCGGGAGATTAGGTTAGTCGTGGGGGGCAGGGTGGACGCTGACATACGGGAGGGCTGGGATACGTACCAACTCGAATACTGGGAAAAGCGTGCAGAAGAAGGCATACCTGAGAGTGATGACGAGGATGATGAGACGGACCTGTTAGGTAAGGGGAAGAGGAAGGATGGGACTGTGAGGGGGCAATCGAGAAGGAGGAAGGATGGGAGTGTGAGGAAGAAGAAGGCTGGATAGTGGAGAGGGGAAGGCCAGGGTGGCATATCATATATCATTAAGATTGGGCGGTATAAAGAAAGGTGAATGACGCCAACTCCTCCAGGAACAATCATAATCGCTCATGAGCGCATCACACCTCTCCATCAACCTGCCCCCCCTTCCTCCCCGTAAACGGTATATTAACAACCCTTTTTGGTTGCTGTACAACTCCATATGACGACCCATCGACTTCATACCATCCCCCCTGCTTCACCTCCCGCCTCCTCTCCAAGTTCTTCCTCATCCACCCCTCCAAAAGCGCAACATTCTTCGTCGCACTCCCCCTCCTCCACTGAAACCACGCACCCACAACTGGAAGCCAAAACGTGATGAGTAAGTCGAATGTGATGTTTGCGTGCATACGACCTACGACTTCGACGGCTGGGGCTCCGGCGTCGGAGGCGTGTGTTACGATTCGAGATTGGAGGGTGAATGTGATTAGGGGACCCACGACTGGAAAACAGCAGAGGAGGGCACCGACATTCAAATCGTCGAGGCGGTAGGCCATCTTCCTCGCGCTCTTCAATAAACGCTGGTGGGATTTGGGCAGAGTGAGTTGGGAGAGAGGTGTTGAGAAGGGGTCAGATTGGGGAATTGTTTCTTCGGCGTAGGTGTTCCAGGTGTCGTTGGCAGCGTCGAGGGGGGCGGAGCCGAGGGCGTAGGAGAGTGCGAAGGCTTGGACTGCACTGACAGCGTTTGTTGCGGCTGCTGGGGCCGACATAGTGGGTGATGACCGTCAATTGACAAGATTTTTGGGAATATCGGTGATCCGTAGTTAAGGAAACGCAGATCAAGGTCCTTCAGCCATTAGACAAGCGTCGCACTGCCAACCTTCAGCGTTAATTCCGGCGAAAAAAACGTTCACCCGGTGTTGGGGTGTTTTTTTCCGAACATCGAATATCTTCGTTACACGCAAGTGCAAGCTCATGCACAAAGCCGTCACCAACACTCGGGGAAAAAGAGACGACAAAGATAAAATGTGTGGGGATCATCATGGAGATGGAGAAGTCGAAAGGGTCACGGAAGGCGTCAAAGAGCTTGCTGTTGATGACTCGAAGGACGAGGACGAGACGACGGTAGACATGCCGGACGACCTACTCGGCTTGATTAGCGATGCTCATTGTACAATTGCCCCCAGGTCTCCATTTGTCATGAACCTCGGCTTAATCAATTGGACAGGCCACGCAACAGACTCCATGTCAACAACCCACCTCATCCTCTCCCTAACCCTCAACAAAATCTGCGCAATGGCAACACGTCTATCAGATCAAACCCTCGTCGCACTGATCGCGAGAGAGTACCCAAATAAAGTCATCCCCGCTTTCGGTCGGTCACCATCGCATCCGAAAACTCAAGGGTTCGACTCATGCATAGGTGACAGGCTACCACCCATACTTCACTCATCTGCTGTATCTGGATGAACCACCATCCTCACCACACGAACACTACTCCGCCATTCTCCACCCACCACCCGACGAATCATTCACCGCCCTCCTCCGCAGCCCACAACCACTCTCCGCCTTCCTCACCTCTCTACGAGAAAACCTGGAAGCACATCCAGATGCATTGGTCGGCGAAATCGGTATCGACCGCGCATTCCTCCTCCCGCACCCACTCGAGAACCCAACAAATGGCCGCTGGGGAAAGTTGACGAAGCACAAAGTAAGAATCGAACATCAACTCGCCGTTCTACGGGCGCAATTATACATCGCGGCGGAGATGGGAAGGGCTGTGAGCGTACATAGCGTCCAATCCCACGGCGTCCTCTTCGAGTTCTTTCGAAAGGTGTTCGAAGGACATAAACCACCCTCAAACCGACAAAAGAAAAAGTTCCGGGACGCCCCTTCCTCCAACCTCGATCCCGACCCCGAACCACCATATAAACCACCCTTCCCGACGCGGATCTGCCTCCACTCTTTTTCCGGCTCCGCAGAGCAAATCCAACAATGGACGAAACCCTCCATCCCAGCCCTTGTCTACTTTTCTTTCTCGACTCTGATTAATGCAAGGTATGAGAGGTTTGCGGAGGTTGTGCGAGCGGTGCCCGGGGATAGGGTTTTGGTTGAGAGTGATGTGCATGGAGTCGGGGAGGTTGAGGAGGGAGTGAGGGGGGCGGTGGAGGTTGTGTGTAGGGTTAAGGGGTGGACGTTGGAGGAGGGGGTTCAGAGGTTGAAGAGGAATTTTGAGGCTTGGAGCGGGACCGCGAAGAATAGTGCGTGAAACATAGCTGGGGTGAAAGTTGATCAGCAGGAGAGAATAACTTTAGATCACGGGTATATTTCTCAGCAATCTAGACCTTGGGTATGACCAGCACACCAATACCAAAAAAGAACAAACCTGCAGCCATGTCCACCATTCTGTCATTTCATCATCATCAGCCCAATGCTCAGTCCGTCTTGTTCGCCCCTCCCGCACCATGCCCAACATAAACCCCATTCTCAAACGCATCCATCGCTCTATCGACGCCGCTTGCCCACCTAACAACCCGTCCCACCCCACCCGGCAAACACCGCATGAAACACATCCACCTCGCATACTCCGGCGCATAAACCCATCCTCCCCTTCCCTCCTCTACATCCCTAACAACCAACTTTGCAATATCGACTGGTCCCAAAATCGGAGCCAAGAAATTCGAGGGCGTCTCGACGCCGATGAAGAGCTCGGTGGAGAATTGGCCGGGACAGACGAGGGTTGTTTTGATGGTTGGGGACGAAAGGAGCTCAGCGGTTAGGGATTCGTGGAAAGCGAGGAGGGCGGCTTTTGAGGTTGTGTATGCGCTTGTTTTCTTGACGCCGATATAACCCAGTGCAGAGGCGACCGTGACGATGTGCCCGCCGTTTGGGGAGTTGAGCATGGCGGGGAGGAAGGCTTGGGTAGTGTAGAAATGTGCCAACACGTTCGTCGAGAGGACGGATTGGACTTCAGAAGGTGCGAGCTCCAGGATGGATTTTCCGCCGGCGACTTGGCCTGCGTTGTTGATCAAAATTGTTGCATGTCCGATTTCGGATTGGATTTGAATTGCGGTACGGGAGACGGCGGAGGGGTCGCCGACGTTGCAGGGGTAGTATTTGATCCGGTCTGACCACTGCTCCATCATCTCCTCCGGCGGCGGACGAATATCCAACACAACCACAGCCTTAACTCCCTTCCCCGCCATCATAGCCGCAATACACCCCCCCAACCCCGAACTCCCACCCGTAATCACCACGATCTCTTCAGACCAATTCACCTTCCTGTACTTCCCGCCGTTGTAGATCCAGTCATTGAGCTGACGCAGCCACCAGAAGAGGACGACGAAGAAGGAGAAAGCGAGGGAGTAGCGCATGGGGGGCATGTGCCAGTGGAAGCCTTGGGCGCGGAAGGTGAAGGGGAGGAGCCAGGTTAGGAGGGGGTGGAAAATTGTGTTTGCGAGGACATGGATGATTGCGTCGAGCGTTATTCCCGTCATTGCCATTATTGGGATTGCTGGTGGTTGGTGGTGAGTTGGCGGCTCGTCATCGGAAGCGCGCATGGACTGAGACGTCGGGGCCAAACCTTACCGCGCTGAATTGCAAACAACGTATACCCATCGTTCAAGATGTCCCTTCCCGGGCTGGCCGGCTATGGAAGCTTCCAGGTAAGTTCATGGCCCATGGTACGTGTATGCCGCTGCTAACATCACATGGCAAGGCTGCTACCGAGGAACAGTCATACACGCTCAAGCCTTCGCAAGAATACCGGTTTGAGGCATCTCAGAACGCACCAGTCAATGTCACCCTCCTGTCTGGATCAGCAGAAATCTTCGGCACCGAACTGACTATTGGCCCGACATATACCTTCACCAGTACCAAAGCTGCCGTTTTCACATGGCAGGGCTGTGAGATCACAGTAAAGGGACCTGCGGGTGCGGGATATCTCGCAGAAGAGACACCAATGGCGACATACGTCAATGCACATTTTGGCTTGGAGAAGCAGAGAGGTTTGTCAAAGGAAAGAGGAGAGCAAGGGCCAAGAGTTATGATCGTTGGTCCTGAGAATGCTGGCAAGACTTCATTGGTCAAGCTATTGACATCATATGCCGTTCGACAAGGCAGAAAGCCTGTTGTTGTTGGATTGGATACAAAGGAGAGTATCCTTAGCATTCCAGGAGCGATGACAGCCGCCCAGTTTACCAGTATTCTCGACGTCACGAGCGGATGGGGTACCAGCCCCACAAGTGGTCCTGGTCACATTCCTGCAAAGGTCCCTTTAACATACTATTACGGATACGACAATATCGAGGAGAATCCGAAGATGTACAAGACGGTTCTGTCAAGACTAGCTCTGGCTATCTCCTCAAAGATGGCAGATGATGAGGCAGCGCGGACATCTGGATGCATCATTGATACTGCTGGCCTCATCTCGCAAAGTACAGGCTATGAAATTATTGCTCATGCCATCACCGAATTCTCCGTATCGGTATTGGTTGTTCTTGGCTCTGAACGTCTCTACAGTGACATGGTGAGAAGATTTGATGGACGGAGAGGACTGAGTGTGGTTCGTATGCCTAAGAGCGGTGGAGTGGTTGACAAGGACGAGTCTTTCATCAGTGCTTGCAAAGCACGGGCTGTGCGGGAGTATTTCTACGGGAACTCGGGGCAAGTCCTGAGTCCATTTTCGAGTGTGGTTGGGTTTGACAACATCCATGTTTACCGTGTTGCGTCGTCGGATGCATCTATCAGTGCTTCGGTACTTCCAATAGGGCACGAAGCTGGAGACACAAAGGTGCAAGTATTGAGGGTTGAGCCATCGTTGATCTTACAAAACTCGGTTCTGGCTGTCAGCGTGGTTGATTCGGATGAAGACGCGTCTGCCATTGTGGAGAGCGCTGTGCTTGGTTTTGTGTTTGTGAGCGATGTGGACATGGTTACAAAAAAGATTACGGTATTGAGCCCAGTAGCAGGAAGGTTACCGGCCAAGGCATTTGTCATGGGTTCCTTAAAATGGATGGATGCGTAGAATATTAATTCACAATGGGATTCTTCTTGAAGTATCGGTCCCACTCCCTGCTCAATTCGAATTCCGTGTGTTACTTACGAAGCCAGCGTGGACAGCAGAGACACAGGGCCCGCGCCCGGTCCAAACCTTAGTTGCACGCAACCCCCGTTGGAATCCCCCGACCTTCACCACTTCAGCGACTTCTGCCGACTCGCTTCCATTGGTCTTTTCTGCTTTCTCCATTACTCAAAATGCGTTACCAAGACTTTGATGTTATCCTCTTTCCTGGGACTGTTCATAGCCAGCGAGTTCCCTTGCCGGAGTTTCGCACGACTCATTGGTTGGTGCTGTACCCCTTTTTCCTTGATGAACGAGAAATAATGGAAGGAACAGTTTTACTACGGACCCTGATGCTCCTGCTGCCCTTCCAAAGCTTCAGTTACCTACACCTGGTGAGCCTGGTGCCGGGCACGAGGACGTGCCTTCACCTGTATGCTTGCCCACTGTGCATACATTCGTGCCAAGATTGGGCGTGGACGAGCGATTCGTTGTCAGGTGGCTGGAATGGCACAAGCGGCAGAAAAATGTCGGTTAATGTTTTTCTGCTACAGCATTCACTCATGGGCACGACTCATCCCTAGCCCTTTTACCTATGAAATGGCCGCGGCGATGTCGAATGAAGGCATGAGAACGCATATAGCGTGGGAGTTTAGGGTTTTTGTGGATGGCGTTCCTGTGCGGTTCTTCCTCCTCTGGTTACTAGGTGATACAGTGCTGACGACAGACTCGTACAGGTTGCTTCGAGTCATTGCGTTCAAGATACGCTGTTTCCTTTCACGATTGACAGTGCTGGTCACGATGGTGAACAACAGACCCGGCTTGCGTTTTCTCCCGTTCTGACTCGATGTTACTCACAGCTCGAGGTCTCCCAATCCCTCTTACGTTTCCACCTCAACCCTGCCCAACCACCACCGATCCCTGGATCTTCTCCCCCGCATCCACCGCCTCCTCCGTCAAAATCGTCATCACGGAAGGCTTTTTGTCGTATCACACGAATGGGAGCATTAAACCATATTTTACGAGGACGAGAAATGTTTGTGGGTTCATTGCGAGGTATTGTGAGAGAGGTACGATGCTCCTAACGACTTTGATACTCTTGTGAGTATACGTAGGGAAGCTGATAGGTTTGGTACAGCGTTTTTGGAGGCGGCTGGGCTGTATTATCCTTCGACTCGTCCGTTGGATTTGGCTGCTATGTCGCTTGTTGAGCCGCGTCTTCCTCAATTGACTGAAGCCGCCGGTGCCGGGTTTGATGTGGATCTCTTCGAGCCTGGAGCACCTATCACCCCTGCCACGCCCGGAGAGTGGTCCATGCCTACTCCACTCGAAACTACTGAATCGACAGATCCTGTACCTCAAAACTCTTCGCACCCAGAGCCTGACCCTACTACCGCATTGTTCGTCTTCGAGGACCCGTCAACCAACATTGGTACTAGCGAAGTTCCCGAAGAAGTCAAGACGCCCGGTAAAGGCAAGAAGGCCAGAGTCAAGGTGGAAGACGAAGGCTACAAGTTAAAGGGAGTGAAAGACAAAGCGATTGAGAAGAGGAAGAGTTCGAGGTTGGAGAGGACTTTGAACGGCATGCCCCTTGAGGAGATGAAGAATATTTGAATCGAGTTTGAGAAGGAGCGTGATGTTTCGTTGGGTAATGTCGCGGATGCCATATTTTCATTGCATATACACATTATCAAAAGGCGGCTATACACGGTCACGTCTCATATACACACTCAATATATCAATCACTGGCCTGAACAAGATGTGAACTCCAAGAAAGATGCTATTCCTGCTATGCAACGGTATATCCCAATAAAATATGCATCCCGGTTAGTTGTCCATCGGCTTCTCCAACGGATCCACAATCTTTCCACGCTTCGTAATAACCCTCGGCATCGTCATCTTCTGATAAGCATCCCTCGTATTCCACTGAGGCCCAATAGCATGCGCCAAAGTCCTCTCATACTGATCCCTCGTCTCGAACTCATGAGGGAGCTTGGTAGCGAGGTACTTCGAATTATGCTTATTCCTCTTCTCATTGATGACCACACCCTGGAGTTTCGCGTCTTTACGCTTCGTGGGGTCGATTCCCTTGGTGACCTTGACGATTTTCTTCGCCTTCTTGTGCTTGCGGACACCAGCGCCGGTCCAGGAGCCCCAACCGGGGAGGGTAAGGTCTTCTTCTTTGTCGCCTTCGTCTTCCATGGTTTGTTGCTTCTCGGCTTCGAATTCCTGGACGACGTCGTCACCGGCGAATGCACGAGCAACGAGGTCACGCTGGAACTTGACGGCCTTTTTGCCCTTTGCGTGGACCATGAGAACAGCGGCGTCGTTGTCCTCGTCGTCGTCTTCGTTGTCGGAGACGATTTTGAGGGTTGCGTTGACGTCAATTTCGACATCTGCTTCGTCCTCGGCAGCACCGCGCTTACGCTTGAGCTTGGATGCGGCCTTCTCCTGCTTCGTTGAGTCCTTCGTAAGGAGGTTTTGTGTTTTGCGGGACTGGACGAGAGGACCCTCGCCAGCGGCCAACCATGGGTTAGACTCTTCCGGCTCGTCGATCACCCGACCACCACCGTTCGACAGAGGCTTAGCGTTCTTGCCACCCTTCTTGCCGTTCGCCGGTCTGGATTCGTAGGTGACCTGACCCTCCTGGATACCAACAGGCGCACCGTGCACGGCGAGCACGTCCTCATCATCATCATCCTCGAATCCCATCCAGATACCACCATCCTCATCACCAGTCAACCTTGCCGTAGGCTTCTCACCATCCGTACCAGCTCCCGGCGCAAACACCCTCCGCCCAGCATTCTGCCCAATTCGGGTACCAGCACCAGCGTCCTCTTCATCGGCCCTCTTCCCTGTCATCTCCGCCTCGAAATCATCGAGCTCTGCCCGGTTCTTCCTCGCCTGCTCTGCCGCGGCATTTTGCATGAACTTCATGTTCATCAACCCCTTGAAGCCCTTCGACAACTTGACACCACCATCGACCTCCTTATCCTCACCCGCCTTCTTCGCAGCAGCGACAGCGGCGAGTTCGTCCCACTCCCCAACCTCGTCATCATCGTCGGAGGACTCCTCATCTGACTCCTTACCCTGGATCCGTCTCGTCAACTCATCCCGACGACGAAGAGATTCCTCCATATCCGCCCGAGTCTCCTCATCGGTGTGATTCATCCTCACGTTTCCACGCGTGTTCTTATGTCTTTGGGTCATACGCTCCTCAGCCCTCTGCTGCTCCAGTCTCATTCTCTCTTCCTCTGGATCAATGCCTTCTGCGGCACGAACAGCGGCTTCCTGTGCGTCGCGCTCCTTTTTGTGAACCTTGCGGTAGGCTTTGGATTTGATCTTTGAGACGCGCCTGGCTTTGATTTCTTCCCGGAACATGAGTTCGCGCATTTGTCGTAGCTCGGTACGGCGTTTGGCGACTTCCTCGATCGAGAGCTTGTTCATCGCGAGATCCTCGAAAGCGGAAACCGTCTTTTCGGTCTTCAAACCGGACTCCTTCAGCACTTCATCGACTTCCTTCTCCAACTCTGTAGATGGCTGAAATTGGGAGGTCATGGATGCAGCAGTGGCGACCTGCTTCGCCGGCTCGTTCATGGGGAAGAAGAGGTGGTCAGCTTCACGGTTCCGCTTGACGGTATCCTGCCATTTCGACACCTCCTCCTTCGCGAGCTTGAACGCAGCTTGACGGTCAACACGAGCTTGGACGCGAGTCGGCAACGGCGCGGCAAGCGTCTCAACCTTATCCTTCGGGTCAAACGTCTTGATCGCATCACGAAGAGTTGGGTCAGAGAGCGTACCGGTGAGATCGGAAAGGGAGATCTTGTTGGATGAGGAAAGGTTGTACTCGGATTCCTTGCGGGACTCGTTACGGTCGATGGTCGTGACTCGGGAACGCTTGGCGATGGGTGCGTCTTTGACGGCGTCTTCAGTCGAGCGCTTCTCGGATGCGTATTCTTTGGCGATGAGGTTGCGGACGGCTGCGAGTTTGTCTTCGTCCTCCTCGTCCTCATCCTCGGAGTCGGTCGGCAGCTCCATTTTGTCCTCTTCCTCATCTTCGTCGTCTTCCTCTTCCGAGTCCAACTCCTCCTCACCAGAGTCTTCTGGGTCGAGCAATCCATCCAGACCATCGTCATCCTCATCGTCCATGTCGTCCTCATCCTCGTCCTCATCCAAATCGAGTTCATCCTCATCTTCCCCCTCAACTGGCTCAGGCTTCTTGCTCTTCTTTGTTGGCGCAGCAGGTTTCGATGATCCACCGAGCATCTCGGACAAATCCATATACTCCTCCTCATCCTCCTCGTCACTCTCCGCATCCTCATCCTCGTTCAAGTCAATCTCCTCGCCTTCCTCCTCGTCACCTTTGTCGCCAACACTCTCTCCGCGCTTCTTGGGTTGTCCACCGGGGGTAGTTCTAGAACCACGCATAGACCAGTCACCGTATTTCTCCTCATCGTCGGAATCCCACGCCTCGTCGGAGTCGATTTCCTCGTCGTCCTCGGTCTTGACGCCCTCATCCTCGGATTCTTCCTCCTCAGCATCGGCAAATGCCTTGCCGCGACGTCCTCCGATAGCCTTCTGGGGCTTATGGTCGTCATCCTCGGCAAGATCGAAGGCGTTCAACGCACGGCTGCGGGAGCCCTTGATCGTCCTGGCGGGTGCGCGGTCCGGCGCTTTCCCTTTACCGTTTCCATTCTGTCCGGGCTTCGCAACAGCTGGCATTCCCTTGTTCCGCTGCTGCTTCCTAGCCATGGTTGCCGTCTGTTTCCTTGGTCCCGGCGATACTTCGAGGCGACTTTCCTGCCAGATTTTTGGTGCGCCGCGGGTTGTGCCTGCTGCGCCCATCGATAACCGACTTTTTCCAGGAATGCGCAAACTGAACTCGAAGAAAAGTAAAAGTTCTCGTTAAGGATGTCCAGCTTGATCTCGTCCGTTGCTTGGGTTCGTCGTGGATTCCCGGCTGAGTTCCCTAAAAAATACCAGCTCGATGAGGCCGAGTACGAGAGAATTGCGGCGTTGACAAAGATCAAGGTCGACGATGCGAAGGAGGCCCTCGAGGAGGCTCAGGAGCAGGCCAAGAAGGCTACCGAAGATCTTGTTGTGGAGGATGAATTGGCGGAGTACAACTTGGAGGATTACGATCAGGAAGAGGAGCAGCCCGAGGAGGTGGGTGAGGCCGGTGCACCCATGGCTTTGTTCGGTAATGCCAAGGGTCTCGCATTCCACCAGTCGAACGAGGAGGACCCTTATATCACTCTGCAAGACGTCGCAGCAGACGAGGACACCGAGGAGCGCGCAGATCTCCAGATCCTCCCTAGCGACAACTTGATCCTCACAGCAAAGACCGAAGATGACCTGTCCCACCTCGAAGTTTACGTCTACGAAGATGAGGAGGCGAACCTTTATGTACACCACGACATCATGCTTCCCGCATTCCCTCTATGCATCGAGCCCCTCGATTACCCAGTCGGCAGACCAGTCACCGAAGACAACAAGATCGGTAACTTTGTCGCTATTGGTACTTTCGAGCCTGATATCGAGATCTGGGATTTGGATGTTGTCGACGGAATGTATCCTAATGCCATTCTTGGACAGGGTGGCCCGGCGGGTGCGGCGGCAACGGGTAGTGCATCAGACGCTACAGGCAAGAAGAAGAAGAAGAAGTCCAAGAAGCAGGGACCCAACTCCGCATACCACGTCGACGCGGTCCTCACCCTCTCCTCCGCACCACTGACGAGGAACTTGTTGGCGTCCGGATCAGCAGATACCACCATCAAGCTCTGGGATCTGAATACTTGTTTGGCTGCGTCTTCATACAACTACCATACTGACAAGGTCGGCTCTATCGCTTTCCACCGTACCGAGGCGGCTATTTTGTTGACTGGTTCTTACGACCGCACCGTCGCCGTCGCCGATCTTCGTGTCACTACCGGCGCTGCAGGCCGATGGGGTGTCGAATCCGATGTCGAGAACGTCGCATGGAACCCACACGACCCCAACGGTTTCTTCGTCGGTACAGACTCGGGTATGGTCCACTACTTTGACGTCCGAAACATCCCGAAGACTCCGGCACAGAGTAAGCCGCTGTGGTCATTGCAGGCACACGATTCTCAGCCTGTGTCTACGCTCGCGATCAACAACCACATCCCCGGGTTATTCGCGACTGGATCGACGGATAAGATGGTTAAGGTGTGGAATGTGCCTGAGGTGGGCTCGGGTCCGCGTATGGTCGTGAGTAGGGATTTGGGTGTTGGAAAGGTGTTTAGTGCGTCGTGGGGCCCTGATGCGGAGGTTGCCTTTAGACTTGGTGTTGCTGGGTCGAAGGGTGTTGTACAGGTTTGGGATGCGTCTACGAATGCGGGTGTGAGACGGGCGTTCGAGGGACGTGTTGCTGCGCCGGTTGTTGAGTATGGAGAGGATAGGACTGTGGGTGTTGTCGATGACGATGAGGAGGAGTCTGATGAGGAGGGTGAGGAGGGTATTGAGATCCCGATGGAGGAGGGAGATGAGGAGGACCTCGAGGGTGAGGACGAGGAGGACGACGACGAGGAGCACCCTGAGGGATGGGAGAGCATGGATGAGCAGTAAACTGAGCTGCCATACTTGTACCAACGAAAAAGCTCTAGGATAGAATTTTGGCATTTCAGGGAAATCGCATTTTCAATTGCCCATCACGGAAAAACATCTCATCGACTTTCCCAAATTCTGCATTTTTGCCTCACAGGCGTTCGCACGCGCACGGCCAATCTCCACATCCTGAACGCGATCTGAACCAAGCTTACAGTAAGATCGTCGGAGCGCAGTCTGCATCTTCGGCGAACAGTGAAGCGAAGTGCAAAAATGGCTAAACTGAATGTTAAGGACTTTCCGCGTCCGCCTTTGTGCGAGAGGGTTCAGAGGAGATTAAGGGTCGAGTGGGAGGGGCAGGTTGTTGCGGACACGCGAGAGGGTTGGTGGGTGCTTGAGACTTATGGAGCGCCGAGTATGGATATTCCTTCCCGGATACTCGAGCGTAAGGGTCCAAAAGGCTGATTGTTCTAGCTTATTATATTCCTCCGAGAGATATCAAGGGTGTATTGCCTCCGAGCAGTGCGAGGCAGACGGTGTGTGAATGGAAGGGATTGGCTACGTATCTTGATTTGAAACATCCGAAGACGGGGGAGGTTGCGAAGGCGGTTGCTTGGAGGTATGAACAACCTACCAACCCCTTCCGCAGCATCCAAAACTACGTGAGCTTCTACGCCGGCCGCGAAGTCGACTGCTTCGTCGATGACGAACACGTGAAGGCACAGCCCGGGTGCGTCACTCCCACACACAGCTTCCACGTATGACAAGCTGACGCTTATCGGACAACAGGAGCTTCTATGGAGGATGGGTTACGGACGACATTACGGGACCCATCAAAGGCGGTATGACATTTCCAGATTCTGGGTGAATTACTCGGTGGCTAACGCGAGAGGACGTAAGGCCCGGGCACATTAGGTTGGTGACGAGGCGTGCATAATGGCGGAGGAGTGGCAGCCTCGACCGGGGATTTGCCTGTTCTGACGATGCGTATTTCTATGGAGATGGAGTAGCGATTCTTCGACGGGGGTGGGGGTGGGGGTTGGGTTTGTTAAGGAAACGGCGTTTGGTGGGAGGACTGGCTGTTTTTTCTCAGTTGTCTTTCCGTCTTTGAATTGATCGGCGAGTTAAGCGCTCCGGTTCCTTAGTTGACGGTAGCACGTTCCGACAGCCAGATCGCGCCACGCTCGATAAAGCTCTAGCAAACGATCGCCCTTAACTTGGAATCTGGACCTTTAGCTGGACCGAGGGGGAAGAGTCGCAATTTTGACCCACACTGATCAACAGTACATCGACCTACCTTAACCAGGGATCCTCCTCACGGGGAATACGGACATCCAATACTCTACCAGGGAGCAGCAACCGCCATTTTTGCGGCTCACCTGGCTCGTGTCTTTTCGCCTGTTCTTCTCGAATGCCAGCGGGCTCGGGCTTCAATAACCACCCGTTTCCAGCATCACCAGGGCCTACATTCGCCCTTCACTCGCTATCGCAAGCAGCTTTACAGAGGAGGAAAAACGCAGAGAAGGCGTCGAAAGGCTCGGACGAGGGCTCCGCAGACGGTTACTTTCAGAGTTGGACGAATGTATGCTATGCGCCATCCACGTAATGGACTTAGTGAATGCGGCAAGGATGCTAATTGTTATGTGCAGTCCAATAACGCATCACCAAGGGAGAGCAACGATATGGCAGATAAAGTTCCGCTTGAGAAATCAGCTACTACGGACGGCGTTGGCGTGGGAGAAGTGGAGAACGAGGTCAAGTCGTTCGTCAACGTCTCCGGCGCATCGGCGGTACCAAACACCGGTTTTGCAGCAGCTGAGGGTGTTCATCATGGCGAAGCGGAGGACGGATCCAACGTCCGAGAAGAACGGCCCACAACTGCCAATGAAGAACATGAACTGGAGGAAGCGCACATGACGGTTCGGTTTCAGCACGTCGAGACGGACGAAGGGCACATGATCATCACCGGGCGCAAGGGTGAATTGGCAAGGTGTGAAGACGAACCGATTCATATTCCAGGAGTCGTACAGATCTTTGGATGTCTTGTTGCGGTCCACCAGGACGAGACGAGCGGCGACCTTGTCGTGCGCCAAGTATCCGAGAACTCCAAGGATATCATTGGCTGGACGCCCAGGGCTCTCTTCGATTTGAAGTCCTTCACTGCATGTTTGACAGATGATTCCGCAGAGGATTTACTCGAGCACCTGGATTACGCCAAGGAGGACGGCCACAACCTCGACGAATCCGGTCCCGAAATACTTAATGTCGTGGGAAGGACCGCGGAGGGAGAGGAGTGGAAGGCGTGGTGCGCCATTCACGCCAGTCCCGCGAACAAGGAGTTAATTGTGATGGAGTTTGAGTTGGAGGATGATCCGCGTGCACCGATCCCCAGCACCCCTACGAGGGAATTCGGACCGGATGACATCCATCTCGAGTCGCAGGAGGAGCCTTATGAGCCATCCGCGGATGATTTGGCGGAGTCGACGACGAATATGGCGAAGCCACTTCGACAACTCGCCCGTGCACGACGAACGAAGGGTAAACAAGGTCCGATTGAAATCTTCAACATTCTGAGCCAAATTAGTGAGCAGTTAGCTGCCGCGACTGACTTGGAGTTGTTCTTGAAGATCGTGGTGGGTGTCGTGAAGGAGCTGACTGGATTCGCACGGTGTATGGTCTACCAGTTTGACGAAGACTGGAATGGACAGGTCGTTACGGAGTTGGTTGATCGACGGGTCACCAAGGATTTGTACAGAGGCTTGCATTTCCCTGCGACGGATATCCCGAAGCAGGCGCGAGAACTGTACAAGATCAATAAGGTGAGATTGTTGGTTGATCGGGATGCGCAGACGGCCAGACTTGTGTGCAGGGAACAGAAGGACTTGGATACACCGCTGGATATGACGCATGCGTACTTGCGAGCGATGAGTCCGGTGCATTTGAAGTACCTGGGAAATATGGGTGTGAAAGCTAGTATGTCCATCTCGATTATCGCGTTCAATGAGTTGTGGGGGTTGATCTCGTTGCACACGTATGGGAAGAATCCGGCACGGGTACCCTTTCCTGTGCGAAAGTTGTGTAGGTTGTTGGGTGATACTATCTCGAGGAACTTGGAAAGGTTGTCGTATGCTCAACGACTCAATGCTAGACGACTAGTATCCACGATGCCGACGGAGGCAAACCCGGGTGGTTACATCATTGCTAAGCCGGAGGATATGTTGAGTTTGTTTGGAGCGGAGTATGGTGTTTTGTCAATTGCTGGCGAGGCAAAGATGCTTGGTAGCGCACCCAGTTCCGGGGAGGTCCATGCTGTTGTTCAGTATCTTCGTGAGCGCAAGTTTCCGACAATTCAGACGAGTCAAAATATTAGGAAGGATTTCCCGGAAATTTTGGCTGGGTCGCCGTCGTTGACGTCTATTGCTGGAATGCTCTACGTGCCGCTCAGCACGGAAGGTAATGACTTTATCATCTTCTTCAGGGCTGGTCAGTTGAAGTATATCCATTGGGCCGGTAACCCACATGAAAAGACTATGAAGCAGGGTTCTAAAAACTATCTTGAGCCGCGAAAGTCGTTTAAGATGTGGACGGAGCAGGTGATGGGGAAGAGTAAGGAATGGACGGATGAGCAGGCGGAGACTGCGGCGGTGTTGCAGATCGTGTACTCTAGGTTCATCCGGGTGTGGAGGCAGAAGGAAGCAGCTGTCAAGACATCGAAGATGACGAATTTGTTGCTGGGTAATGCCAGTCATGAGGTTCGGACGCCGCTCAATGCCATCATCAACTACCTTGAGATCGCGATGGAGGGTAACATTGACTCGGATACAAGGGATAACTTGAAGAGGAGTCATCAGGGCGCGAAGAGCTTGATATATGTGGTCAACGATTTGTTGGATTTGACGAAGAACGACTCTGCTTATGAGCCTGCGCTTCGGATGGAGGCTTTCGACCTTCGGGGCGCTATCAAGGATTCCGTGAGGATGTACAAGAAGGAGGCCAATAGGAAGGGATTGGCCTGGAGAACAGAGTTTAATGAGCGTTTCCCAGAAGCGATACTCGGTGATGATATTCGTCTGCGGCAAATCATTGGTAACCTTGCGGAGAACGCTCTCAAGTACACCGCTCAAGGACAGATTACCATCGAATGTATGACCACTGCTCGGCATGATGAGCAAAAGACGGCAAAGATCGAGATCAGTGTTATCGACACTGGTCGCGGAATGAGCGAGGAGATGGTTCATTCCGTGGTTGCTGACTTCGAGTCCACGCCTGTTGGGGCTCCTGAGGATGAGGGTGAGAACAAGGATGATAAGGAGGGTACTGGTCTTGGTTTGGCCGTTGTTGCGAGAACTGTACAGAACCTCAAGGGCTCCTTGCGTGTCGATTCGGAGCTTGGTAAGGGATCAAGGTTCACAATCGCTCTCGAGGTTACAACCGCTGCATTGAGTGACATTACGGCACCGGAGGCGAGGTTAAGCTCTCCTGGTGGTTCAGACACTTCTCGCGGCCCGTCAAGACGGAACAGTGATGAAAGCAGCTTCAACGGTTCTGGAAAGAGCGAGTTGGACCGCCTTGTTGACGAGATTCAGTCTCTGGGGAGCAATAACTCTTTCCCCGGCTTAAACTCGCCAAAGGAATCACCACGTAAGCGGCAACCGCCGAAGCATCCCCCCCACGGACCCGTCACTGGTGTCAAAATTGAGTCGGAGGGGGTACCTCCTTCCGAAGAGCTGAAGAAGTTGCCGCAAAGACCACCGGCTCTGCGATCAAAAACGAGTCACTCTCCGCCACGATCCTGTTCGAGCGTCTTGGGTGGCCGACGGCGATCATCCACGAAATCGCATGTCAAGACTGGAAGTGACGAGAGCGTGAGTGGTGGTCCGGGTGATTTGACCTGTCTAATTGTCGAGGATAACCCGGTGAACATGATGATGCTCATCAAGCGACTGCAAAAGAGTGGCGTGAGCACATTAAAGGCTAACAACGGTGAAGAGGGTGTTGCTGCCTTCACTAAGGGTAGAGGTAACATCAGTGCGATCCTCATGGATCTCCAGATGCCTATCTGCGATGGACGGACTGCGACGAAGCGCATTCGTGAGTTTGAGACTCAGAACGCTGATGGTAATGAGGGCATCCCTATCTTCGCTGTCTCGGCCTCCGTAAGTGAGTCCGAGCATGAAGAATTGCGACAACTTGGATTCAGTGGATGGATCCCTAAGCCTGTCGATTATGGGCGATTGAACACCATTTTGGAAGGTTGTAATGACAAGACAAGACGCGAGCAGGAGTTATACACGCCTGGAAAGAACATTTGGGAGTATGGAGGATGGTTGTACCTTAACCAGGACGAGTGAGAGCTGTGAAGGACATTCATGATTTGCGTTTCATTTGTCGGTTAGGATACCTTTTTGGGGGATGGGCTCGGCATGGTACTGTAGCCAGATGGGGTTGCATTCGTTAAACTTACTACTTTTTAACTACACGGAATATTATTCGTTTTTTGAACATATATTTGTCTCGAGGACCCTTCATGTGAGAGTGGTTGCGTAATGGCCCTGTAACGTTGAATTCATCCTACCGAAACAGCCGCGTCAGCTGGAGGAGACAGCTCAAACAACATCCTCGGCAATAGGCAATAACCCAAATTCAGAAACAAGGCGTCAAGATGGTTCGGACATACCCGTACAACGAGGTGCTTCCATATACCTCCGGGCCTCTGTCGTCACCTACCTTTGCCGCCGACCATCTCAAACAGGTCCTTAAAGATATCTACATTACCCTCGCGGCTGAGGATTACCCAGCAGCATATAAAGCCGTGCATGAGTTGAAGAATTATTTGGCTCTAAAGAACGACTTGTCGCCCGAGGAAAGAGCGAAGCTCGTGCATATCTTCTATGATGTATGCATGCACAAGTCAATGGATGCGTCGAGTTTCGCCAAGTTTGCAAGCATCTTCCAGGAGTTGACGAGGAAGCGGTGGATGATTGAGGGAATACCTGAACTGGACTGGCGCCCGTTACACAAGGAAGTTCTCCTCGCACTGGGAGAAGGTGAATCCCTGAGGAAGGGAGAGAAGGACATTGGTACATTGGTAAAGCTTACGACACATGCACAGTCGCTTTTTGGTGAGGAGCAGCTCCTGCCAATGCTGAAGGAGTTCTTGCCTCTGTACAACACTACGAACAATGCCGACGCGGTCATGTCAGTAGGTCTGATGAACCTTTTTCTGCCAACGACTTTCACGGACACTCCGCCGCAATCATTTGTCCCGGCATTGTTCAACTTATGGAATCTCAATCCCTCATCACCCGTCATGGATACCCTTTTCATCGACTACTTTTCCCGCCTTGCCCGGGATTCCATGGTGTCTCATCATGTCGTTTTCACCGAGGAACAGATTGCGAAGGTCTTTGGCACAATCCTACGCAATATCCCTCTGCCGCACTCGTTTTCGAGACCGAAAGGAGGTGAGGATAGGGCTGATCAGTATATGTATTCCTACCTAAAAAGGTCGGAGAATCCTGTGGGTACATTGCGAGACTGGGCACGTTTTGTGGTGTATCAGTTCCACGAAGAGAGTGTCTGGAGGAACCTCGAGACGTTCATTCATGGTGTGGAAACATACTTCTATCCTTCAAACTCTGGCCGATGGTCAGATATCCTCGTAGGATTCGTCTACTATTTAACGGAGTTCACTGTACTGCGCTGGAATAAGGAGAATGGACATGAGCCAACTAAAGGGGAGCCCATGCCCCCGCCGGAGAAGAAGCTCACGGAGGAACACAAAGACCGCCTGGTGAGGTTGCTCCGAGGACCTATATTCATGTCTATCTACGCGAAGAGCGGCAATGTGGTGAGCACGGCGCAATCCGCACTTTCCAGTCTTGCATACTTATCGCCAAACTTGGTGATTCCCGGTGCATTGAAGCGTTTCTATCCTTCGCTGAGCGGTCTTGTAGAAACCCATCGCACATCATCATCACTGGGCTCGCTAAGAGTGTTGGCGAAGACGCTTTGCGCTGAGCCTAGGTGGAGAGCACATGTTCCTAGTTTGTTGATGCTTGCACTACCGGGTATCGACCCCAATGACCTGGACAAGACAGTTCAGACTCTCAAGTTTATCGAGGCTGTGAGCATGCTTGTGCCGTTCTGGGAAGAAAATGACGGCGAAGAGGGCCTCGCGGACGGTTTCGTCATGAGGGATATCCAGGAGTTCGAAGAAATGAAGGGGGATGACATGCCAGAGGCCATGGAGGAGATCGACCTGGACCTTGTGCAGAAGTCAGCTGTGTGCCGCGGCGTTTTGGGAGAGTTCATCACTGCCTTCTTGGGCAAGCTTTTCATCCTCTTGGAGAACTTACCTGAAGCATCAAGCCGCAGATCGAAACACAAGAGTGGTGAGGACAGGGTAACTAGCGAGTTACCTATCGTTTGCTTGGCGCTGTTTTCCAGTTTGAGTCCCGAGCTCTTCGAGATCGCCTTGACGAAGGTTACCCACTTTGTTACAAACACTGTCGTGCACCATGGTGGCATGCCTTTTATGTGTATTGTAAGCGCACTTGCAAAGGCGAGACCGGCTGAAACAACAGCTAAACTACTGCCAATATTCCTGCGTTCAATCAGGTTTGAGGTTGCTGAGAATGATGCTGGTGCAGGCAGAACGACTCTCGATGATGACCTTCCAAGGGATCGTGCGCTGGTCTGGTACTTCTCCTTGCTGAGAGGTGTTCTTGCAGCGTGCGGAAATCAGGTCATCAGGCATGCACCCGACTTACGAGAGTTTATGACGTGGATGTATAGCGAACGCGCCGGAAGTTCTGTTGTTGGTCCACATCTTGGCAGCTTTCTCTTCGGTCTCTTCCACTCTCTCACTGTCATATACGCCGATGACACACGCCTGAAGAACGACGACAGCCAGGGCTACGACATCAATGACTGGGGAGTGCACCTACGTCCTAGAGATCTTTGCATCAAATGGCACGTACCGAGCGACGAGGAGGTTAGTTTCGCGGTCGAGTTATATCTGACGCTTGTGGAAAAGGCGTGTGGTCAGCTCGATGCGTTGATCAGGGATGGGGAGCAAGCCAAGGGCAAAGAAACAAGTGACGTACTGAAGTTCTGGCTGAGACTGTTATCCGATTCAACGGGTGGTCTTGCAGATTTGTTCGATGCTAGCCGTGGAGAAAGTCTCGACCCCAAGGCTGATGAAGAGAGGAAGGTGCCTCACCAGTACCCAACTGGTTACTTCTTCTCGGGAAACCCCGATGACGAGAGATACGTGCGTATTCACGAGGCGCGGGACAGGATCGGGAAGACGCTGCACAGCACGCACCAATTTCTGATTGCCCACAAGGAAGATGATGTCGAATGCTTTCAAACATGGTCAAGCTGTCTGAAGACATGGTTCATGGACGTTGGTTGTAACAGGACAGTCAAACTCTACAACAGGCTTGAGAGTTATTACTCGTCCAGTAAACGACCGTTCCAGATGAGTGGGTTGAGCAAGCCTTTTCCTCGACCTGTCATGATTCGCAGAGCCGCACTGTACCATATCGAGCTGCAGAGGCACAATCTTGGGCTGAGGAAACGCACTGAACTTGACACCATCCTGTTAAAGGATTTGGCAGGCTCCTGTGTGAGTGTCTACACCTTGACAAGGTTAAGCGCACAGTCTGCGTTGGAGAGTGCTATCAAGGTGATCAACGGCACTCGCACTGTGCTTGCGCCGTTTTTGCTTAATGAATTGGCCAAGGGTGTTGAGGCCAACAATCATGATAAGGTGAAGGGCGCAGTCTTCACTTTCTTGATGAAGGCCATGCACCGTACCGTGACGCGTGATTGGAGGTTTACGGCCGACTATGTTCTGAATATTCTCAAGTTGAGAGGAATGGACAAACTTTCGCTGCAGGCTCTCAGTCAGAAGGCGTACGTTGTAACCGTCATGGAAGTGAAAGCCACGCCTCCTGTCTTGAGACTGCCTGAAACGATCCTGACTAAGATTTATCCACAGGGTGATGAGACCAAAGCCGAAGTGGACAGGCTTGCTGCAAAAGTTAAGCGTAAGATCGTACAGAGAAACGAGAGGCGCCTCGAATTGCGCGAGAAGCTATTGATGGTTGCCAAGGAGTCGCACTGGAAGACATCTGTCATGGCATCAGGCATGGGTTTGGGTTCGCTGGTCGGACCCCAGGAAATGCCCTCTCCGGATATGGTGAAGATGATCATCAAGGGTGCAATTGATGAACATCCCTCTGTCCGTGTGCTTCATGCGTCTACTCTAAGTCAGACTGTTCAGTATATCTGGCAATATTCATTGAGTGACGGCAGCATCGAGAAGCTGTTGCGAGATGAGGTCCCTGTCCCGAACTCTGTCAAGTTACCAACACCTCGTGATCCTGATTTCACGTTAAGGTTCGTCAAGTCATTTGGCGAGCCTGTCGGCGATGTCCTCGTTGATCAGACAAGAGCTGGATGGTTGGTGTGGCCCGATGAGTACGTTGCATCCAAGATCCCAGAAGACCATTTCATCTTCAAGACGAATGACGTTACACAGCCCCTCGTCGATGCACTCGCTGGGCTTGACCATGCATGGTTTGAGAAGCTTTTCTCATACATGAAGGAGGAACCACGTGAAGGGCATTCAGAGGTGTTCAGGCCCGTCTTTGCTAACGCTCTGACGTCCATTCTCGGATCACTCAGACACTTTCCTGTCTCTGAGACGGCTGTGCTGCAAGAGGTTCAGACGATGGTAGCCGCGTTGTTGGCCGATGGTGATAAGCATCACCAGCGAGCGGGTAGTGAGGGTCTTGCAGCACTGGTGATGTCAACCAAGGCTGCGTCACGTCAGGAACAGGAGGAAGTCTGGACCTGGGCTCTTCCTCTTTTGAAGACCGTTTTCGATGAGAAGTTGACACCTGAGAATCTCGGTACATGGACTGGTTTCGTGAGCCATCTCTTCCACAAACAAGATCCACGCAGAGCCATGCCATTGATGAAGATGCTGAGTGAGTTCAGGCTCAATATGCATTCCAACGAGGCATTCAAGGAGAGCGCTAGGATTGCTTTGTTAAGGAAGTGTATGGCTTTGGCTGGGTGGCACTATACTTTGGAGGAACCCATCGTGAGCGACTTCTTGGCTCATCTGGATCATCCGTATAAGGGCGTCAGGGAGGAGATCGCTAAGACATTGTGGGTTGTCTACAACCGACAGAGGTATTATGCGTACGCTTCCGTTGAAGATTTACTTGCTGCGAAAAAGCTGGAGCCCGTTCCGCGTGCAAACAACCCGTTGGACGAGGTTTTTGCAAAGATCATCCCGGAGTTGCATGAGCATAGGCAAAATGGTGCTGGTACTGAGGAAGCTACGCCCTATAAATCGGCTGGAAAGACGCTTGCCATTTGGTTGAGGGCTGCAATTACGGCTGATAATGCCAACGCATATGTTCCATACATGCCGAGGATGATCCCGGAGGCTCTTCCTATGGTGGACGTGAAGGAAGATACGGATCTACAGCAATTGACGGCGCAGTTTCTGGTGTCCGTGGGAACTGTGCAGTACCCACCATCGCAGCATAAGGAGCTTATCGGTATCCTTGCGGAGATTGCGAAGACGGCTGAGTCGTGGCATCATCGTGCCAGAGTCATGTCTATCGTGCACGTCATCTACTTCTCGTCGTTCTATATCCTCAGCGAGGAGAACAAGGCGGCGTTGAGGGACATCATCATCAGCCTCTTGGCGGATTCCCAGGTGGAGGTACGAGAGAGTGCAAGCTTGATCTTGACCGGTATCGTCAGGTTGTCGCCAGATATCATCCCATCTTTGATCGAGAAGTACGCCGCACAGCTGGATGGAGTACCTCGTCGTACTTCGCCACCACATGAGCCGATCTTGGCATTGAGTACGCTCATCCGTTCATTCCCGTATGGCACACCTCCGCCTTGGGCACCACCTCTCCTGGCGCGCCTGGCGAGGATCGGGGGAAGTAACAGTCCTGTCGGGCGAACGATCAAGAACACCCTGGGCGAATTCAAGAAGACGCGTTCGGACAACTGGAAGGAGGATTCCAAGTGCTTCACTGCGGAGGAGCTGGAGGATTTGGAAGGAGTGGTCGGGCATAGGAGTTATTTTGCATAGAGGGTCATTCCTTCCCTCATTAGAAGAATCCATTCATATTTTTCCATGTACTCTGGAGAGTATGCGGTCATTTGATGTCTAAGCGAGATCACCGAACGTTGCTTAAGCTCCCCGCCTACCGAGACACCGTGCATCCGAACATCTGAGCAGTAGACAATCCTAACAACTTCGTCCAACTTTTCTTGTCCAGTTACCACTATATAGGGGTATATTTCAAGCATCCAACCACATTTATCAACGTAACCTATGGAACTACCTCCCGACTTCGATGCTTCCAAGCCGATCAGGCGGAGGAAGGGCCGTGGCTCAGCGTCATACGCCATGGGACCGTCGCTCGAGTCGGCCCTGGAGGAGGAGCGTAAGTTCTCAGTATTCTACCTCATTTGGCAACAGATGCTGATAGTCTCATAGGTTTGGAGGTTCTGAAGTTGCTCGAAACGCCGTCTACCACCACACGCACCCATCGCGGCTCCAACAGCAGCGATACAAGCGCTCCTCTCGCCAAAGTGCCTTCTCCGCCCCTCGGGCAGCAAACACTATCTCCCTATGCTAATACACCGTTCGCTCACCGAGCCGGTCAGTCTGGCGCACACGGGGGTATTCAGCGAAGTGCGTCACCGTCTCGCTATGGCCTTGCACTAGACATCGACCTCAAAAACGCAGCAAGGAGGCTGTCCGACCATGCTATGGCGAAGAGTGGTGGTATCCTCGCTGATTTGCCAGAATCACGTCACAGACGCAATAGCTCGATGGAAAACAACGAGCAGATCATGGTGGACACGGATGTGGACCAAGCAGTCGAGGAAAGCAGTGAGGAGGAAGAGGAAGATTCTGATACTGAGTCGCGCTCTACAACTCCGCTTACGAGCCCGCGTGGATCCATGACTGGCAATAGACCTGTTATGAGTCTTACAGCGGCTGCGGAAGCTGAGAGGTTAGAGGTTGTCAGCACGATGCCGAAGAAGTTGCCGAGTCAGACTCCGACGACGAATAAGCCGCTGAGCAGACACACGCCTCTCGTCCTCATCTCGGATTCCACGCCGGCGGCAATGAAGAAGAAGGGTGTCCGTCCGGCCAGCGCGTTCGATCCTCCGAGTGGAGCTACCACTCCTTATTCGAGTGACCAAGAAGAATTGGAAAGACAAGTGCTGAAAGCGGCAAAGATGACGATGGATATCACACCTATCAGCGCGCACAGGGAAGCTGGACGAACGACGCAGACCGTAACGAGAGGAAACTGGGAAGATCTGTTACGGGAGGAGAAAGAGGGGAAAAGGCGTGCGACCTGTCGAGGATATCTTGTACCGACGGATTTGTCTGCCGAGGCACAGTATGCGCTCGAGTGGACGATCGGTACCGTGTTACGCGATGGGGATATCCTCTACGTCGCGCACGTTCTCGAGAATCCGGCGTTCGCGGGGAACATTGATCATCGACTACAGATTGAGCAGATTATGGGTTTGGTCACCAGATTGTTGAGGCGAACGAGGTTACAGGTCAAGGTCCGTGTAGAAGTCATTGAGACAACTACACCGGCAAGGTACATGTTGGTGGAGATGATCGATGTCTTGGAGCTTACGATGGTTATTGTTGGGAGTCGGGGACGGTCGGCGATTAAGGGTGTGTTGCTGGGAAGTCTGAGTAACTATATCGTGAACAAGGTGAGTGTTTGGACGATCTTGATGTCAGGTGAACAAATGAAGCTAACAGGATATCTAGTCTTCGGTGCCGGTCATGGTTGCAAGGAAGAAGCTGAGAAAGACGAAGGGTACTGGGAGGAGGAGTAGTCAGAGGCCAGTTATTCAGTTGGCAAATAACTTGAGTATGGCGAAGATTGATTAAGTATGGATATTGGAGGAAGTGGACAGGGGATGTGGAGTAGGGGCCTAACGGGAAAGATACACGGCAAGGACCGGGCCCTGGCGTTCGTTGCACGAGCAGCTGTTCTCTCCTTACTACTTTTATCACAAACTTGGATGTTGGGAGCATTCTTACTTCAGCGAGTCAAACAGAATGATACTTGTCGAACTTCCTCCTGAGCAACTCTCGTTATTGCGTGCCAAAAGGACTTTGCCTGAGAGGCGAAAGTTCCCGCGGCCCCGCCCGGTGGTCAAGCAGAAACGAAGAAAGGTGAACTGTTGCAGCGTCTTCGATACTGAAAGTGCGAACTATAGAGAATGAGGTGAACGTCAAACTGGTCAGCCGGAGGAGACCGAATCGAAGGGAAGCAGATGGGCAGTGCCCCGGGGTGTGTGGCACAGCCAGCACCAAGCCACGCCCATACAGTATGCGCCTTACATTTTTGGAAACGGGAACAGCAACGACGTACAAGAAAAGCAGCAATGTCGGTGTCGAGAAGCTTTGCAAGGGTTGTTGCTCGTTCGGGTATGCTTCCTCACTCCATCGTCACGGTTCCCTGTCACTTACGCGGTGCAATATAGCAAACCGCGGTCCTGCGGCAAGATGGATCAGCAACACTCCGGCACCACGACAGAGTACCGTCAACGTCATGGATCAGTTGGATATGTTGACGGGATCAGAGTTTGATAAGGCCGCTGAGGCCGCTGCTACCTCAGTGCCAACACCTGAAGCATCTGCTGCGCCGGAGGCACCCCAGACCGTCGAGGACCCCAACTCATACACCCGGGCGGAGCTCCACGAGAGACGGGAAAGAATGGGTAAGTTCTGACGACGCAAAACGAGAACCTACAGCACTCTAACTATCTGGACAGCCAAGTACTGGAAGACCCTCGGTGCTACTCCCGAGTCAGCATACAAACCCGTCAACGACCTCAACAACCCTCCAAAATCCAAAGACGTCACCCTCTCCCTCCTTCTCGCCGCGCAAGCCCATCTCGGACATACCCCCGCTCTATGGAACGCATTGACGCAGCCTTATATCATGGGTATCCGTGACGGAATCCACATTATCTCCTTAGACGTCACCCTCGCCCATCTCCGCCGCGCAGCAGCAATTGTGGAAGGCGTCGTCAGAAACGAGGGTATCATCCTCGTCGTCGGAACCAGAAAGGGACAGAAACAGACCGTCGTCAGCACCGCGGGGCGTATGGGTGGATACCACGTTTTCGGCCGTTGGGTCCCGGGAACAATCACGAACCCAGAACAGGTCCTCGGTGGTGATAAGCTCCGTGCGGACGTGGAGCACAAATCGGAGGAAATCAAAGACTTTGCGGCAAAGCAGCCTCAACCGCGTTTCGTTCGTCCGGATTTGGTGATTGTGTTGAACCCGTTGGAGAACGCGATCCTGTTGGCGGAGACGAAGAGGCAGAACATCCCGACGATTGGTATTGTCGACACGGACATGGACCCAACGCAGGTGACGTATGCTATTCCGGCCAATGACGACAGTTTGAGGTCTGTTCAATTGATTGCGGGTGTTTTGGCGCGAGCGGGAGAGCAGGGATTGAAGCTCAAGAAGCAGGATGCATTGAAGGCAGGGAGGAAGCAGTACCAGATCGAGGGCGGAGCAAGACAAGAGCGCCTTCCGGGCCGTCGCTAAGATATACGAAGTACATATTCAGTCACAAAAAGAAGTCATTAACCATATTCATTGTGTGCTGGGTATATCAAGATCTATGCACTAACACTCCACTCACTGTCTCGACCCATTCCAAAACTTCCCGCGCTCGAGTTTACCTCCTACTCGCGAAGAAGCTCTGCGCAGTCCCGTCAAACTCATTGTTAACACCCTTAACCTGCTCCACCTTCTCCTGCAACTTCCTCGTATTCGCATCAATCCACTGTAAACTCGCCATATGCGCAGTCATAATCTGCACAATCTGCGTCAATGGATCACTTTCCTGCGTCTTACTGATCGCAGCACTCGAGGTGTTGATCTCATCGATCATCGCACCCAAGTTCTTGCCCATGGAGTCGAGGCCGACAGAGAGCCTCTCAGCGAGTGCATAAGCTTTCTGACGCTCGGCATCAGCGGGCTGCGCACCCTCTTCCGCCGACGACCCCCCCCCACCACCACCACCACCAATATTCTCATAAACATCCCTAATCTGCGCCTCGTAATTCTCCAACAAATTCCCCAACTCATTCTGTTGATCCTCGATATATGTCAACTGCTGATCAACCCTACCCTGACTTTGCTCGGCCTCCACCGTGTCGGCATAGAGCTTTGATATTTGGTCACCGTTCTCGATGAGGACGCGGTCCCAGCGGGAGATTTCGGAGGCTTGGTGTTTGAATTCGGAGGAGTATTTTTCGAGGTCGGAGGTCCATTTTCCGATGATGTCGTCCATTGTCTTATTCTTCAAACTTGAGGGGAGAGGACCAGTAGGTGCTGTGGGCTTAGGAGCACCGGCGGCGGTGGCGGCAGCGCCTGACTTCGGTGCCGCTGCACCAAGTCCAGCTCCAGTCATCGAGAAAGGCGAAGCTTTGGCAGCATCATCCTTCTTCGCCGCATCACCACCGAGCGTGAATCCAGCAGCAGGCGTACCAGCAGGCGTAGTGCTCCCCGCAGCCGGTGTCCCAAAAGTGAATCCGCCCGCGGGCTTAGCAGCCTCATCCTTCTTCTCCTCAGGCTTCGCCGCGGCAGCGGGGGTAGATCCAAACGTGAATCCACCAGCCGCGGCGGCGGGTTTAGCTGCCTCATCCTTCTTCTCGTCAGCCTTTGGAGCGCCGAAGGAAAGTGAAGCGGTCGCAGCTGGGGTAGTAGACGCAGGTGTACCGAACGAGAACCCACCAGTAGCAGCGGGCTTGTTCTCCTCCGCCTTCGCAGGCGCACCAAAGGAGAACCCACCAGCCGCGGGCGCAGCCGGAGCGGCCGCAGAAGCAGAGTTAGCAGCAGCAGCAGCACCAAGCGTCGCACTCGCCGGAGCACCAGGTTTCGCGAACGAGAACCCTCCAGCTGCGGGAGCGGGAGCAGCGGGTGTAGTCGAAGCTGCGGCGCCGAAAGGCGTGGTCGTGGGTGCTGCTGCGGGGGTAGCGGGGGTGGAGCCGACGAGGTTAGAGGTAGTGGTCGTAAGGGCGGGAGCAGCCGGTGTCGTAAAAGCCGCACCGAATGACCCATCCGTCACGGGAGCCGGCGTGGCTGCTGTGGCACCAAACCCAGTAGCAGCAGCGGGAGCAGCCGGAGGAGCACCAAACCCAAACGCAGCAGGCTTTGCCGGCTCAGCAAGCTTGTTCACAGCACCGAAGGGACTCGCACTCGTCGTAGCAGGCGTAGTCGTCGACTGGCCAAACAAGTTCGTACCAGCGGGTTGTGCGGAGCCGGCGTTGCCGAAGGACGCGAAACCTCCAGTCGTGGCAGGAGCGGGCGTGCCCATTGGCGTAGTGGAGCCAAACGCGGGGGTGGAAGTGGGAGGGGCGCCAAATGCTGTTGTGGTGGTGGAGCCGAACGCCGGAGCAGTGCTCCCCCCACCACCACCGAAAACTGCTGGCGTGCTAGTGTTTAACCCCGTTCCTCCAAACCCACCCGATCCAAGCGCCGACGTACTCCCAAAAACACTACCCGCATTCCCTGTTGCGGCAGGAGTAGTACTCGCTCCACCGAAACCGCCGAAGCCGCCTGAGGTTGGTGCAGCCGGAGTCGTGGAGGTAGCTCCACCTCCGAGGGCGCCGAAAGGAGATGCGGTAGAGCCGGGTGCAGAAGTTTGTCCGAAGACGCTGGAGGGTTGGTTGTTGGTGTTTGTGGGTTGGCCAAACCCTCCGAAGCCGGCTGAGGTATTGGAATTATTGTTGTTTGCACCAAAGCCGAACGCTCCAGAAGATGTTAGCATATAGCCCGGAGTGTGCTGAGGTTAATTGGGAGCTTACACATGGTGATCTGTTCTGGCGGTCAAGAAAAGCTGGTGGAGTATTTGGACGTCGCTGTTTGGACATGCGCAGTGATGCAGGGCTCAAATCGTCGACAAGGAGCGTCTCACGAGCAACAACGAAAAAGTTCAAGTTCATCTGGTTGAAGGAAGACGGGGTTTGGCATGGGATAGACTCTGGAGAACACGTACGTAACAATCTGGAAGAAATGTGATTGCGAATTCAAACAGCAATGCTCCACTCATGATCAACAACACCCCACATAATGTCCGCCAAATATCCTCTCAACATACTCCCAATCTCTCCTAATCCCTCTCCCGGCACCGTAATCGTCTGCTCGCCATACCGTACAGACCCAATAGGCGTAACAAAGTAGTGCGTCCCCGTACCAAAACACTCCAACAACGCCCCACTCGCAGCAGCCTCACAAAACTCACTCATCGTCAACTTCCGCTCACTAACCTTCACCCCCTCAAGATGCCGCCTCGCCAACTCCAACACCGAACGCCTCGTCACACCTGCAATGATCGCATCACTCAACGGCGGCGTAACCAACTCCCTCCCCTCCGCACCTTGCAAGACCACAAAGAAATTCATCGTCCCAACCTCGGTGATCTCATCTTCCTCGCCCCACAGCCACAGGTTCTGCTGGTATCCTTCCTTGGCTGCTGCGACTTGTGCTTTAACGCTGGGCCCGTAGTTCGCGCCCAGTTTCGCGCTGCCGTAACCGCCGGGCCAGGCACGGACATACTCTGTCGTAGCGAAGAGCTTCCATGGCGTAGGCGGTGGGAAAACCGATACTGGTTCGTAACGAGCAATAATATAGAACAACGCAGACCGAGGCGGTGCGACGCCAATACTCGGGTCCGTCGAAATGAGTGTCGGGCGTAGGTAGAGCGACTGTCCGAACTCATCGGGAACCCACCTCTCCTCCACGCGTAAGAATTCCGCCAAAAGCTCCGTCATCTCCCTCACCTCAAAAGTCGGCAACGAAATCCTCTGCGCACTCCCACACATCCTCTCCATATTCACCTCTGGCCGAAACATCCTCACTCGTCCCTCCTTATTTTTATACGCCTTCATCCCCTCAAAACACTCCATAGCATAATGAAATACCTGCGTCGCAGGATCGAGACAGAGATTCCCGTAGGGTGTTATACGTGGTGTGGACCAGCCTGATGCAAGGGTCCATTCGACTTGGAGCATGTGGTCCGTGAAATGTTGGCCTCGGGCGTCGCGGGATTCGAGGGCGTTGGGGAGGGGTTTGAGGGATTTGCAACGCGTAATGAGAAGATTCGAAGCGTCAAGAGGTGCTTGGGAGGAGGGATTGTCCTGAGTGAGGTAGTCGGAGTCGGATTTGATTGCGGTGGTGCCGGCGCCGGCGACCTCGGTATCCGCTGTGAGCTGCATGTTGAGGAGGGAAAGGATGGTTGAAGGCATGCCGAAGGGCGACGGCTCAGTAGTTTAAGTACCTTTGTCGAGGAAGGTAGCGGAGTGTCTGTGTTTGCGGGGTTTCAACGGGATGTCGGCATTTCGATGGACAATCATGAACAGTGTGGCCAGAGACGCTCTGCCGGTCCACCGTCGGTACCATCCGCAGATCAGGCCACCCCAGCATGGCTGAGTAAGGTTGGCAGATAACTCCGATAGGCATCAGACATTAAACCTTGGCCATTAAACTCCCGGATGTCTATCCAGCTGCCTCGCTCGATAACAAAATTAAAGTCGGGTAGACGCTAGTCCAGTCCTAGCCCACCAGTCGGACGTCAACGGCACAACCGCCTGTCCACCGCGGCCGGCCGAACCGATTGAGCCGACCACCATGTATTCGACGAATACCGACAGGGAGCTTGACCAGAATGCATCAGCAGACTTGTGGACATACACGGCCTCGATAACAAATCTCGGGAACGCGGCTCCGCAGCACCAAGTCGAGCTTTAAATCCAGGGCCTCCTCGATCCTCACCTCGAACAACAACCAAATTTCAGATCAATCATCGCTACCCAACATGCCTTCCGCACCTCACAAATCCCAAGTCCCCATCGTCGACTTCGCCCCCTTCCTCAACGGCACGCCCTCCGACCGCAAATCCACGGCAACCCAGATCTACCAAGCCTTCAAAACCGTCGGCTTCGTCTATCTCATCAACCACGGCGTTCCCCAAGAAAAAGTCAACGAATGCTTCGCTTGGTCCAAGAAATTCTTCGACCTCCCCTCGGAGATCAAGAATCTCGCTCCGCATCCGCCAAGTGGGAGGTATCACAAGGGATATTCAAGTGTGGGGAAGGAGAAGGTCGTGCAGATGGTTTATGATCCGGAGGCTGTGAAGGCGTTGAGGAAGGCGCCGGATGTGAAGGAGAGTTTTGAGAGTGGGAGGCAGGATGATGAGCTTTATCCGAATATCTGGGTGCCGGAGGAGCATATCCCGGGGTTCCGTGCGTTTATGGAGGAGTATTTCGCTACCTGCCGTGGTACCCAGTGCCAGATACTCCGTGCCGTTGCTTTGGGAATGGGCTTGGATGAGACGTACTTCGACCCTTTCCACTCCGACAGGCAGAACCAGTTGCGCCTCTTGCACTACCCTCCTACTCCCGCCAAGGAACTCTTGAGCGGCGTGAAAGAGCGCATCGCAGCCCACACCGACTTCGGAACCCTCACCATGCTCTTCCAAGACGACGTCGGAGGCCTCGAAGTCGAAGATATCCACCAAAAAGGCGTATTCCACCCCGCTCCCCCTGTCGAAGACGCCGTCGTCGTCAACATCGGCGACTTCATGCAGCGCTGGTCGAATGACGAACTCAAGAGTACCATGCACCGCGTCCGTGCTCCGCCGGCTGATGACGAAACGAAGATGACAAAGGCGAGGTATTCCGTTCCGTATTTTTCTACTGCGAATCGGGATGCGATCATTGATTGTTTGCCGACGTGTTGGGGGGAGGATAGGCCGAAGAAGTATGCGCCGATTACGAGTGGCGATTATATTGGGATGAGGTTGGATGCGACGTATTGAGGTGGTCTTTTCGTGTTTCTTTCTCTGTACACTTTCGTAGACATATCGTTATGGCGCTTTACTTGTTGGTTGGATACCCAGTTTCTTTTTCTCTTCTGTATGATGCCGTAACTACCTACAATATGTATAACCGATATCATTATAACATCTACGCCGTCCATGGCTACACCAATCGGCGAAGCAAGTGTTCCAAGCGAAGTCACGAACCAAATCGGATATTGAGCTTTGTGACAAGCACATGGGAAATAATCGTAAAAATGGGTCCACAAGAGGGAAACTCCGAAATCCGTGCGTGCGAGAGGGAGAGTTTGCTTTGCGAACGTTAACGCTTCGTCTACGCAAGCCAGGTTTCTCCGTCACACATCCACAGATCTCGAAGTTTCCGTCCCGTGGACATTTATCCTTCCCATGTCTAATAGGTCTCTTACTCATGTGCTTGACACACAGCTCAATATTGAATCCGGTCGTGAGTGTTGCTGTGCAAATTTGCCAACGTTAATTTTGCCCAGCAGTGCACTTAAGGAGCAGTGCACTTAAGGAGAGCGAGCGTGTGGCTCGAGAGGAAAGTTCGCACCTGCCGGGGAAAGTTGCCACAAATATCCAGCTCAATTAGGAAATATAAGTGCAGTTTTCCCTCGAGCTCGAGACCCAGTCGCAAACACGTCGACGACGTCGTCGCTATGCTCAGGTGCCCACCACGACCACCTCAACCATAGCAAAGTCTGAACTCAGATGAACTTGCATCCATGGATCGGCTCCTTCGCGTGGCTGTTTGCCGACACTTTCATGTCCTAGATGTTCATTTTCCCCACTCCTCGGCTAGTTTAAAATATGCCCACCAAGACGCAGTCGGGGCGTGAGCGCCGACAGCTACTATCCGACTGCGAACATTGAGGGATCATGCTGTTCAAACACCTAGCTACGGATATCATTCGCAAGCCAATCTCACAGGGCCGCCTCGGTTCTCTCCACTAAAGAGATAAACTTGCTGTAGCGCCCGTTATCGTTATCTGGCAAGATACCGGAGGCCTGACGTACTTTGTGACCGTATAAGAGGGTCAAGTATTGCTGGCAGAAATCATTTCAGAGCCACGTCGCCTGTACATGTTCTTTGCCCTCGCCTCGCCGAAAGAGCCTTTACCTGTATCAGTACAAGCAGTTTACGAAGAGAGACAAACGGTTGTGAACAAGAGGACTTCGAGGATGATCCCCGAGAATTGGAAGACGAAGGAATATTGGAACAAGTTTCAGGTGTAAGTACCACCCGCTGTGTACGAGAATCTTTGCGCTGACATGCTCGCAGTCCGAAGGATGAAGATGCGAATTATGAGAACACCACCTGGTGTAACCGTGATTTGATCCCCATCCCTCCCGACCGTCGCACCTGGGATGTATGGGGCTACTTTGGCTACTGGACTGTCTCCGGATCATGTGTCTCAGCTTGGACCATCGGCTCCACTATGCTCGCCTTTGGTCTCAACGCAAAGCAGGCCATGGCTTGTGTTACCGTCGGCGGTGTCCTCACTGGTTTCCTCGCCGTTGCGTGTGGATGGATGGGCGAAGTTCACAAGATTGGCTTTACGGTATCGTCAAGGTTCAGTTATGGTATGCGTGGTGCGTACTTCACAGTCATCATCCGAGCTTTCATCGCGAGTATGTGGTTTGGAATGCAGGCGTACTGGGGTGGACAAGCAATCAAAGCGGTGATAGGTGCTGTGATCCCGGGTTTCATTCATGGTTCGTTGAATGACTATACGTCTGCTTCCTCGCACCTGGCGAAGAACGACTTCATCGGGTTCATCTTGTTCCTCCTTGCTTTCTTTGGGATGGTCCTCATTCCGCCGGAGAGGCTCCAGCTCCCCTTCGCTCTCTCTTTCTTCGCCTTTACAGGAGCGTGTTTCGGGATCCTGGGTTGGGCTGTACACACCGCGGGCGGAGCTGGACCTTTGTTTGCCAGTGACGCCGCCAATGAATCCGGTCTTTCTACAGGCTGGGGCATCCTATACGGTATCACTGCACTTCTCGGGTCCTGGGGTGCTGGCTGCTTGGGGCAGAGCGACTGGACGAGGTACGCCAAGCGTCGCGGTGCTCCGATCTTGTCACAGATGTTGGCTGCACCTCTGACTATCACCATCACTGCCTTGATCGGTGTCATTGTGACTTCTTGTGTCAAGGAGATCATGGGTGAGATCGTCTGGAATCCCATCTACCTCTTGCCGAAGATCCAGGACTACTATGGATCCTCGCCAGGTGCACGCGCAGGTGTCTTCTTTGCTGCTCTCGGACTCGTTTTGAGCCAAATGTCTATTACGGTCGTGCTGAACTCCGTCTCCACCGGTATGGACCTTGCCGGGCTTGCCCCTAAGTGGATTAACATCGTTCGTGGCTCCTATTTGATGGCATGTATTGGCGTCCTTACTCAACCCTGGCAACTCCTCGCGACGGCGACGAAGTTCTTGACCGTTCTCTCTGGTTTCGGAATTTTTGTTGCGCCCATGACTGGTGTCATGTTGGGTGATTTCCTGGTCGTGCGTCGCCAAAAGCTGAAGATCCCAGACCTTTACACCGACGACCGTCGCGCTATCTACTGGTATCCCAACAAATATTGCGACGGAATCAACTGGCGTGGGTTTGTTGCGTTCTTCACTGGCGTTATTCCTCTTCTGCCAGGACTGATTGCCGCGAGTGGTATCGAGGGCATTCCCATCGGATTCAGCCGTCTTTACAATCTGACGTTCATTGTCGGCATTGCCATCAGCTTTGTAATGATGATTATTCTCTGTAAGATCAGTCCTCCACCTGGTCTTGGAGAAGAAGCTCAATGGTTTGAGATCACACCGTTGGAGGGCCTCTCACCTACGGAGAGTTCGGAGAAGACCATGACGGATAAGGAGAAGGAGATTAGCAGAATGAACGTGGTTACGTACGATGCGTGAGATATCTATAGTACTCTTTTGTGCTGTTTCTATGTGGTTAGCTTAAAATTTGGTCTGGTTAATTGGCGATGTTTGCTTGATACCTATACTACTTTCTTTCTTGAATTTTCCACAATGGTCTTCCCCGACTGGCTAACCCTCCAATCATCTGCTCATCTCATCTTCCTCCAGGGCCAAGTTGCTGACCAGGAATTTGGTGCTGACAAAGTATTCGTGTAGCCGGTTGAGTGGGCCAGATAACTTTTGCGTTTGGCTGTACGCTGCCGGCGCCCAGGTGCGCTTGGGCCGAATGATCGACAACATCCGACGTACGCGACACATGGAGAGTGGGCGAGATGAAGGACCGAACGACGGATCTTATGTGGGTATGGGTTGACCTACGTGTTCCCTTCAGTGGTTCAAAGTGTCGATGATTACTTAGCCGGAGCTTCAGCCGACCCCGATGGGTGACCTTCCGGGTACTTAAACTCGACATCGGCACTACAACCCAGCTCATGCTTGCTTCATTAAACTCAAGAACCCTTCAGAGAGCGACCCAATTCAAATTGATACTGCGCAATATGTCTACTGGAAGAACCTTTACCCTCAATACTGGCGACAAGATCCCAGCACTCGGACTCGGCACCTGGCTTTCTGAGCCGAACCAAGTTGAAGAGGCTGTCTACCACGCGCTTAAGACCGGATATCGTCATATTGATGCTGCTAAGATCTACGGAAACGAGACGGAGGTCGGCGCTGGGATCAAACGCGCTGGAGGTCCAAGAGAGGAGATATGGGTAACCAGCAAGCTGTGGAACACGGATCACAAGCCTGAGGATGTTCCCAAGGCCTTGGACAAGACGCTGGCGGATCTAGGGCTGGAGTACTTGGACCTTTACCTGATGCATTACCCATGCGCAAACGATGCAGACTTCAAGCCCATTCCTATCGACTTCTGCGATACGTGGAAGGCAATGGAGGAGTGCAAGAAGTCGGGGAAGGTAAAGAATATCGGTATCTCCAACTTTGCCAAATGGGAGCTCGAGAAGCTCTTGGGATCATGCCAGATCGTCCCGGCAGTTCACCAGTTCGAATTGCACCCATATTTGAAACAGGAGTCGTTCGTTGAGTTCAATAAGAGCAAGGGTATCCACGTCACTGCATACTCGCCCTTCGGTAACCAGAACCCGACATACTCCACCGGAGAGAAGAAGGTCCTTGAGACCGACGAGGTTCTTACTGTCGCTAAGAAGACCGGATATACCCCAGCTCAGGTGTTGACATCTTGGGCGATTGCCCGTGGTACTTCTGTTGTGCCAAAGAGTGTCACGCCAAAGCGTGTCGAGGAGAACTTCATCGACTTTGAGATGTCGGAGGAGGACGTGAAGCTTATTAACTCCATCACCACGCAGAAGCGGTATGCTGACTTCTCTGAGGCGACTGGATACAAGTATTATTCGGATCTGGATCATTAAACTCGGGGTAGATTAGCAATTTCATCCTTAGCGGAACAACAGAGACTTGATGCAGCACACTTTTCTGATAAACTGTCATATTCGTGTATAACGGGTATCTCTGTCGCGTATCCTCCCCCGCCGTGCCGCTAAACCTGTCATATCATCTCATAAGAGTATTTCAACCTGATTTGTCGTGATCTGTATACCTCAACAACAACCCCTTCAACACATTATGGGCCCCCGTCACAATCCCCCACTTCACGTCCTGCAGCACGTGAACCGCCATCGCAATGATCCCCACGGTCTGATTCTTCAACGCAACACTCGCCACCGCATCAGGATGTCTCACGGACATCGCATTCAAATACACCTCCATATCCCTTCTCGCAAGCGACGGTTCCACCCATCCTTCCTCTGAAGCGAACCTTCGAGGCTGCGGATCACGTCCCTCAAACGCAGCACCGAAGGCCCAGCAGGTGAGTGTGGCGAGGTAGAGACACCATGGTACATGGACTGCCTTGTTCCAGCTTTCGGAAGCGTAAATCTCTTTGAGGAGGAGTGTGGCGTGGTAAACCGCATTTCGGCCTTCAACCGCCGTTGCCCATTTTCTCATGAAAGCACGGGCCCTCTCCCTTTCTCCTCGCAAGACTGGACGCCCCAGAACACGCGGTGCACCTGCCCAAATCCGAACCAGTACGAGATCGACATTGAGGGCGATAAACGCCAAGTGGTAGATCGGGTAATGTGCCCACTCGTACAAATACTTCTGACGCGGCTTATTCGCCTTCGCAGTCTGATACAACGCATGAGAACCCTCCAAAGCCCGAATCAACCCTCGTTTCCAGTCAAACATCTTCACATCCGTCACGATCCCTACATCATAAAGCCCACGCCACATAATATCCCACGAGACATTCAAAAGTCCATGCAGCAACAACCAGTTCGTAAACGGGTTGTTGATGGGTAATGCCCCTTCCGGTGTAGGATCGGTAATCAATGACTTCAGCGTTGGCAGAAACGCTTTTGGTGGAGAAGCTTTGACGTACTGAACCCGCCATGCCTTCGCATTCGGCGCTCGCCAGATCGACTCATTACATGGTAGGTCCATCCGGAGCTCGAACGCCGACAAAGCCAGCGTATGCCGGAACATCGCCGCATGCTGACAATCGCTCAAGAACGCAAAATACGCTGCCCGTTTCTTTTCTTCGTACTCTACCCACCGGCGCCATGCGCGGTATTCCTCTTGCTCGTCGTCGCTGACTGTGGTGTTGGACCGCAGAGTGGCATACTCCTCACCTCTGAATAACCCCGCAAACCTCACGAAAGCAACCGTGCTCCCATGAAAAATCTGCCCCATGTCATGCTGTACAGAATCCCCCATCATCTTCTCATAATATGAAACCAACAGCATTGTCTGCAAAACCCACAACTCCAACGCTGGACTCTCCTCAGTCATCTCCCACAACCTCGTCCTCAGCTTCGTCACGATCCCCTTCATGATCTCCCATGCACCTCGATCACTCGAATGTGACGCTCCAATGGCAAGCATGATGATCAACAATGGCTCCGGTGTCGTGGGTGGGTAGAACGAGGGCCGGTGAATAATGGGTGATTGTTGGTAAAAGTGGAGCCAGAAGAGTTCCATGTAGGTTCGGAGAGCTGAGAAAGAGAGTTTTGGGGATTTCAAGAAGTCTGCCGGGATGAAGTTCAGGATGCGAGTGCGGCAGGTGGCGGTGAGGAAGCCGGCTTCGCACTCGATGAGTTCGGGGGAGGGGGAATGTAGGGGCGGATGGTCGAGCTGGAGGGGAGGCAGTGGTGTTTGCGAAGTTCTGGGCCGTGAAGAGGGCGTTTGCACTTGTGGAAGAGCAAATTGGGTTGTGGGCGTTGTTTGATTTTGCGCCGTACTTAGATCGACACTGGGATATGTGTAGGATGGTGGATCAGGGTTGGGAGGCGCCATCTGATCCAGATCGAAAAGCCAGGAATAATTATCCGCCGGCACGTCGTTGAAAAACGAGAAATCACCCGAGGCGAACAGCGACAACTCGTCTTGCGGAGACTGCTGCGAGAAGGTCTGCAAAGGTGATGAAGTGGCCTGAGCACCCGTAGGACTGGCGAATGTCAAAGGCGAGACGTGCGCAGGGGCTTGAGGAGACAAAAATTGATGCTGCGGTGTATCAAGTTCGGAGAATCGACGGCTGGGAAGAGGCTGTTCGGAAATCCCTGGAGCAGGGAGTGAATACGCTTGCTGGTCAATATTCCGATGGATAGGTTTCGCCGGAGGAGGGCCCGGTGCAGAGTGTCCTTGTTGCTGCCTTTCGCGATCGCGTTCGTGAATCTTCAGGTGCTTCTCCAGGACATCCAGACGGGCAAAGTCTCGACCACAGGCTCCACAGGCGAACGGCGCAATCGGTGCGTCTGATGTTACGTTAGCCAAGAACTTTCCGAGAATCAAGCAAGATTGCGTACGGTTTGCCTGGTGCCGCTCCAAATGATCCCTTCTCTGAAACGACTTGGTGCACCCCTCAAAATCGCAGGCCCACCTACGCTTCTCGGTCTGCCCAAAATCGCTGACACTACGCTGCCGCTTGCCAAGCGTTGCCTTCGTAGTTTGACCTCCGGTGTTTTCCATCGCGCAACAACAAAGAAGAGCGGATCGATCGTAGTGGACAACTGCTCTACCTCTGACGTGGTGGTGAACCTCCCATATAACTCAGTGGACGCCCTCCGGCTGGGTTAACCGAGGACTCTCGCAGCAGCCGAACCGCAATCACTCTAGAGCTGACCCTTGATCCGCGGAGCCCCAAAACGCCAATTCATCTCTCGCGTGCTCCACATTCGCGTTTTCATGTTGCCCACCGTCCACTTGACGAATAGCATGCAGGGATCGGATACGGGTCGGATACCCCATCGCCAATTGATCCAACTGCCATTTGCGGCCCAGGTTATGTCGATACCAGTTGCCGGGTTCGCGCGATTTCGACGTGGTGCCCCGCCTTGAGCTTGATTGGCGCTAGTCGTACAACGACATTCCATACGAACTCGACGGGAGAGAGTAGCGAATGCCAGACTCTGATGCTCGAGCTCCTCTACCGACTCGTTTGATCTTGTTATCTGATCTGGATGTGATCCCAGCGGAGGAGTTACCTGTCAAGGTGCGGGTATTGGGTTGGTGCGTCGTCGTCAGCGTTCTCCGGTCTCGCTTGCAGTGAGTCTAACGTGGTGCACAGTATCGCCGAGCTTCCATCACATTCCTACCCGTATGCGATCCTCTCCTACAAGTCCTTCGGACTATCTGTGGATAATTCCCTCTTAAACACTGCATACCGCGTCGGTGAATGGGTTTCTGTCATTGGTTACCTCGAGACGGAAGATTCGGCATTCGCGCCAAATGGGATAGTCTTACGAGCTTTGACTATGTTTCTTGCGCAACATGCATTGAGTGGTCCGTTGGATTTGGGTGCTTATGAGGATATGGTACGTGCGCGGCAGCAAGCTGGGTTCTGAGCGGGCGGGCCAGTACCGTAGATGATGCAATGCATTTGTATTCATGACAGTACATATTAAATATAACTCCTTCTCTGATGATCGTACAAACCTCTCAGCTTCCGTCTGTAATCGTACACTGTGTCGATACCACCAAGGTATCCCGCATCTTACTCCTCCTCATCATCATCCTCGTCGTCGTTATCAGCAACCTCGATTTTCCTCTGCCTGTCATCCTCTTCCCCCGGAACAGTCTGGTATCCTGCATCACCCTGTCAATATTCTGTACATCCGCCACCCATCTGAATACTCACCCTTTCCCCCTTTGCCTTCACGTCCACCATGAGACACACCAGCATTCTTCTTCTCAATCTCCGCAGGCAAAGAATGTCCAGTCCCACTAACAACCTCGCCCGTGGCTCCCGAGAGAGAAGCAGAGTCGGGACCAAGACCGACGTTGGGGTGGGTGTGTTGGGTCATGGGGTCGAAGTCGCCGACGGTGGTGCCGCTGACGGCGAATTGCTCGAGGTGGCCTCCGATGTTTGCGGACATGATGTTAGGTGTTGTAAATGTATACTTTTGTAGATGGGGGATTCGGAGGTTAAATAGTCGAAGCCGTGATGCTGTGAGAACCCTGGTGCTTGTCTTGTAATCGTGACGTCAAGAATCGTGAGAGCATGGAATTCCCACGGGGGCGGGGGGGGGGGGGGGGGGGGAGTGACAACAAGAACACGCTCACTTTCTCTTTTCCATGAATAACACTGCTAATATCGACCACCGTCCTTAACTGGAGTTGACCAAACTGCCGACAACACCCGCCATATGCCGCGCCCCGCCGGTGGAAGCAAGCATCCGGCAGACCCTGTCCCCGTATATAACCTCGGCCGCGGTAACACCGACAGCGAGAAGGAGCTGATCCCTACCTAACACTCCTACAATACCAACCAAGATGTCACTCACTCTCTTCTACAACCCCAACTCCCCCTACGTCCGCAAGGTCATCTGCCTCGCCCGCTCCCTCGGCCCCACCTTCTTCTCCCAGCTCAAGCTCATCAACGTCATGTCAATGCCCACCGCCTCTGATCCGCAACTCGCAAAGGCGAATCCATTGGCGAAGGTTCCGACGTTGGTGACGGAGGATGGAGAGGCAGTGTTTGATTCGAGGGTTATTGGTCAGTGGATGCTGGAGAAGGGGAAAGGTGTGAGACCTACGTATGTCTCGATTGAAAGCAGCTTCTGTTGAATGAGTATGACTAATCACGAGAAACAGAATTAGGGACTTGCAGCTTGAATCACTCGCGGACGGAATCCTCGACGCCGCACTTCTTGCCCGTTACGAGACCTTTCTCCGTCCGGAGCAGCTGAGATGGAATGAATGGTATGAAGGACAACTGGATAAAATCAGGCGTTCTCTTCAGGTGTTGAACGAGAAGGCAGCTGGGTTGAAGACTGGAAGCGATATCGGCTTGGGCGAGATTAGTATGGGAACTGCACTTTGGTATCTCGACAAACGTTGGGCTGATGTGATCAATTGGAGGGAGATTGCGCCGGGGTTGAAGGGATGGTACGAGGAGGTTGAGAAGGAGCAGATATTTGAAGACATGCCAGAGGCGTAGACACCGTATGTCCCCTAGAAACATGAAGAAGAGAATGCCATTCGCAGAGTCAGAAGAAATCATATTCGTCCAAATGGGAAGCGTATCATTCAATGGCGAAGTGGCCGAGCGGTCTAAGGCGCCGTGTTAAGGTTACCACAAGTAATCCCGCGGTCCGAAAGGGCGCGAGTTCGAATCTCGTCTTCGTCACCATATTTTTTGCGCTTCTACTTCCTTGTTTCGGGATCCATACCTTCCGCTCGCTTCACCTATGAGCTGTTCATGGTTCAAGAGCTTCATTTCCAACCCGAATTAAACGCATATTCGACGTCGCACGCAACAGTCCCAGTCTACTGTCGGTTTGTGCATGCCTGACGTACTTTGGAGTTGTACGTGCGAGCAAGCACTTCCCGAACGACATCGCAACTGAGAATGTCAGACGATGAATATAACTTTGGCGATTCAGCAGCAGAAGATGATGAAGATATCCTCGATCTAGGCAATGACTCGAGAGGAAAGAAGAGCGCCGCAGCCCCAGGCTACGCTTGGGAAGAACAGTACCAGCGGTCATGGGATGTCGTACAAGAAGACGCCGCGGGGAGTCTGGCAGGCGTCGTCGCAGGCATTATCGAAGCAGGGAAGCGGAAAAGGTTCGCAATACCACACCTGTGTCACTGTACAGAGATGCTGACAATTTACGAACAGACTTTTGAAAGACACAACCCCAATACAACGCGGTATCATCCGTCACCTAATCCTCGTCCTCGACTTCTCCTCCGCCATGGCCGAGAAAGACCTCCGCCCAAACCGGCAAGAACTAACAATAACCTACGCTTGCGACTTCATCACCGAATACTTCGAACAAAACCCTATCTCGCAGCTCGGTATCATCGGAATGCGGAATGGAGTTGCAGTGAGGATTAGTGAGGTTCATGGGAATCCGCAGGACCATATTGCTGCTTTGCAGGCGTTGAGGAAACAGGAGCCGAGTGGGGATCCGTCATTGCAGAATGCACTGGAGATGTGCAGGGCATCGCTGCAGCATGTCCCTACACACGGTACAAGGGAAGTGTTGATAGTGTTTGGAGCGCTCCTGTCATCAGACCCAGGAGATATCCACAAGACGATTCGGAATCTGGTACAGGATAAGATACGGGTACGAATAGTTGGACTCGCCGCACAAGTCGCCGTCTGCGCCGAACTCTGTCGAGCGACAAACGGAGGCAGCAACAGCGCTTACGGTGTGATCCTCAACGAACACCACTTCCGAGACCTCCTCTTTGAAGCAACCACCCCACCAACCCAAACAACCAAAAAAGCCGCCTCAACACTCATCACAATGGGCTTCCCCTCCCGAGCAATAGAGTCAGTGCCGTCGCTGTGCGCGTGTCACTCCATACCCCTACGAACAGGCTACTCCTGCCCCCGCTGCTCTTCAAAAGTCTGCTCTCTACCCATGGAGTGCCCAACTTGTGGCCTAACCCTTGTTCTCTCAACACATCTCGCACGATCCTACCACCACCTCTTTCCCCTACGGAATTGGGATGAGGTACCATGGGATAAAGCGTCGAAATCGACAAGTTGCTTCGCATGTCTTGCGCCGTTTCTGACAACTCCAATAACAAGTGGGAAGGAGAAGGGTCGGGGCTCGTCCGGGAGGTTTGCGTGTCCGCAGTGTGGGAACCATTTTTGTGTTGATTGTGATGTATTTGCTCATGAACATTTACATAATTGTCCGGGGTGTGAGAGTTCGAGTCCAGCGAGGAAGCAGAAGCTGCTGGCGGCAGAGCCCGAAAACGGCGCGACTACGAATGGAGATGCGATGCAGATTGATTAGACAATTCAGTCTGGAGGGTCCGATATTGATATAGAAGGTGGCCTGGGCATCGGAATGAACTTAGATATACGATTAAGGGGGTGTGCGTTCGTGAACGGTTCATCACGCTGAAGTGGAGAATGACATGTGTAAGAGCAATTATAGCAATGAATTCAATACGGAGGTTTCGACCATCAACGGGACTCGCCGTAGCTAAGATACAGCTGGATTGGTACCTCAAAACACCCAAAAACGCCATCCCAAAAATCCAAGGTTGAACTTATCAACAATCCCATGCGCCAATAACAGTACCAAAAAGCCCCAATATCCCCGCCTCCTAAAGTCTGGATTGTTGAAACCAGACTTCCCTCTCCCTTTTACTCTGTAATGCATAATTGTCACTTCGCTCTAATGCTTCGCGTAAACATACGATAGAGAAGCAAAATCAGTGGGCGCCATTGTCCCAAGATATGAGTGATCCTCGTACTCCTGCTGGAAGGACCTCACAGGCTCTTCAGACCCAGCGAGTCCCATCATACCGGTCCTCATAGAATCATCAAGCGATCCGTATAGATGCCCTGCCTGAGCAGCAGCCGTCGTCGGCGAAACAGGAGCAGTCGTAAACCCACCAGTTACGTCAAACGGCGTGGGCTGCTGATGCTGCATACCGAAGTTCACATCAGGCATTGGCGTCAGCGCAGGCTGATTACCCTGGAACTGCGGTACCTGTGGCGTCGTAGCGAAGGACGGTGCAAACTGGTTGTCACCATGGAACGACGCCTGCGGCTGTGCCGAGAAGTACGACGGATCCGCCGGTTGATGAGGGAAGGTACCAGACAGCGGACCCATACCAGTCGGTGACTGGAATCCCATCGGATCAAATTGCGGCGTAGCCATACCAGAGTGGTTGATCACCGATGGCGAGCGTCCCAGCTCCTCGAGCTCACGGTTAACGTGCATCATATCCTGAAGGTAAGGATTGAGCACATCGAACTCTGACCTCGAAGGAGGGAAGCTCGACATATGGGGAGGTAATGCCGAGATCGAAGGCCGAGCACTCGGGAAATTGTTCGAATCATGTCCATGAATCTGGATGTCATCATCCTCCCTCTCGTCATCAATAGACAACGGCGCATACATCGGCTCCTGCTTTCTGAAGTACCGCTCAAAGAACTTGTTCGGCTGAGCATTGGCACTAGCCGCGGCAGCTGCCTCCGCAGTAAGAGCATGACCAGTGACGGGACTGTCGGGATCATCCGACGAATGTTGCTCGTTCTCATCGATACTCTTCCTCTTCTGACCTACGTGATGCGATCCAAACATACTCGTCTGCACCTCATACATCCACGAAATCGAATCACAAAGGGACCCGACAGGCTTGAAGTAATCCTTCATAACAGTCATCACCCTCAAGTTCGTCTGGAAATTCGCCTTAGCAAGGTTTGCCGTCTCCTGAATGCTCGACGTAGCATTGTGAATCAAGATTGTCGAGGCGTTGAACATACTGTACCCAGCAAAAGAACTCAAAACAATAAGCCCCTTACGCTGCATAACAGAGTTCATAACACTCGACACAGCATTCGCATGCAACGTCGCCTTCTGCCTCGACGCCCTCAGGAACTGCTTCGGCACACCAGCCAACTTGACGGATGGACTAGCCGAAGGCATCATCGTACGGTGCAAATAGCAGATCGTCTGATGATACATGACATGCATGAGAACAAACAACCCCGCCTCACCAGTCCCGATATGCGCAGCAAGTGTATTCGGCGAAAATGCAAGATGCTCCGGCAAATTCGCGCTCCACGCCTGCAACTCCAAAGTAAGCGTCGTGAACGACGACCGAGGATGCCACATGGGCAAATGATCCGGCGAGTCAAGTTCAGGTGAACTCTCCCTCTCCCTCAAACCACGCCCCTGCTTCTGCACATACTTTACAGCTTTACCCCAAATCGTCGAGATCTTGACCAGATACGCAAATGCACCCATATTCGGCACAAGCGTCGCCTCCTCCCCAACAATCGCCGCACCACAGAGCGTCTCAGTCTCCTTCGGGCTTTCGCTCAACGCCAACTCAGATTTGACTGGTAACTGAATCGTCAAATCCTCGCCTGCAACACCCAAGACAGGCAGCAGACTAGGCGATCCAGTGATATGCAGCCTCTCCATGATGTAAAGCGTCCACAACGTCCTCCTCCTTACCTCTCTAAACGTAAAGCTCTTACTCGAGCCCGCGCCAGCAACAGGTTCATGTAACCTATCATACCCCAGAATCTGCGCAATTCGGATCGCATTGCCGATATCCATCCAAGCCTTCGCACCACGCGCATTGTCGTACTCATACACCGCCAAGATCGTCAGCGTCTGAACCGTACTCAAGCGCGGCTGCATCGCACCACCATCTACATGCTGTCTCAAAAACGTCCTCGCGAGCGTCGCGAAACGCTCACCAGCAATATAAAGCGGATCAGCCTTCAAACTTGGGTGACGAGAGTACTTGGCGGCGACGGCGCACATTGCATACAACAACCCAGCGGAAACGCGCTCCTTTCTCAGTTCCTCAAGGAACCACTCCTTGTGCAGAAGCTCGTACTGGTGATTGTTGACATGTGTGAAGAAGAGCCCGATCAAGTGCAACACTGCGGCCTTGGGAATATCCATGACCGGCAAGTTGACCTTCCCAGACACCTTCGGTTTCTGTGAGTTTGGCGTCTGCATAGGGGGAGGCGCTTGCTGCTGTGCCGATGCAGATATCGAATGCGAACGATTATGTCCACGCACAGGCGGAACTTCATGCGCATGCGCCAACGTGCTTTGCGCAGAGACCGGGCTAGTTTCTTGATCACTTGCACTCCTCATACTCGCACTATCACTCCTCGGAGCCGAAGTCGAGTTTCGATTTTGTTTGTGGTTCTGTCCAGTATCGCTTCCACTTCCAGGCACTGCTGTTGCTCCTGGACTGGTCTTGTCCTTATTGCGCACCCTCCCGACGAGACTTCCCTTCTTCGGACCTCTCTTGCCTCTCACCTTCTCATAAACACACTCAGTCCCGACCTTCAAGCAATGTCGACAAGGCTCGTCACCACTGCATTTGATTTTGCGGTCGCGACAGGTGTTGCAAGCTTGCGTCAGGCGGACACGGTTCACTCCAGGTTTTTCAGAGTTTCCGTGAGGTTTCGTCGGGACCTTTGTAGGAGATGTAGAATTCGGTGAGGTTCCTTCTGTAGGATGGGGCACGTCGGATCCAACAGGACTGGGCTCAGTGTTGCCCATGACTGTGTCTTGCTGCTGCTGTTGCGGCTGCTGTTGTTGTTGTTGTTGTTGTTGTTGCTCAGGTTGCGTCTGAGTCGACTGTACGGGGGATGATCGCTGCCCCATCGTAATCTGTTGTTCTTGTTGTGTTTCTTGTTGTTGTTGATCCATTTTCGTTGTCCGTTAAAGACCGTGAGTCGCAAAACTCGATTCGATCGATTCAAAATCTGCTCGCCGGTGAAGCAAATGAAGCAGGTTTATTCAGGTAAGAGAGAACGTCGCGTATGTTGAACGGTCGAAGTACTCAATCGATTACCCAAAAAATCCCGACTGGCGTCAAATGTGTGAATCTATAACACGAGCGGCGATCAGTAAGTCCACAAGAGCTAATCAGACCCACTCTGTTGATAATGGCAGAGTGGGCATGAGGGGGACAGCTCCCAGAGGATGATACAAGACACTTCCTTTTACGCATGTGCTAACATGATCAAGTTCAGGCGGTACGCATCTCTTTCTCGCGAAAGTGACGCGCCGAACGGTCTAGCATACATCCAGACCACTCGCTTCTCAGCACCGGACACATTCCTCGTCAACCGCCAAAGCAGAAGACAACGACAGACATGCCCGGGCGCCCGCAGTGTACAGAAGCCTCGCCTTCGATTAAGAAGGAAACGGAGGCGGTATCATTTCTGAGCAGTTATGTTCAGAGCACGTTACCTCTCAAATGAGCATTGCGATATTATGGCAGTGTAGCCTGCACCTCCCTTCCTTGTGAGGCCGTCGCGGTAGCGACTTACGCTTTGACGAGTAGACGGATGTGATCGGTCGTTGGAACTTGTTGATCAAGTTGTTGTGACGATCCTCGTGAGCGATAAGTCAAAAGCGCTGGGAGGACGGAGACGGCGACTATGCTGCTGGACGGTGAAGCGAAGAAGGCCGGGATGGAGCAGACGTAGGCTGGTGAATAGCGGAGCCTGTGGATTCAAGGTTGACGATGTTGTTTTCTGGATCGGAAGGATTTTCTCAGAGTCAGATCTTGGCTGAAGTGAGCAGCACGAGGTCCATTTTAGCGCGGCACCAGAATTTTGAGTTGGCGGAGAGCCCAGGGCCGCCTTCATGCGTACAAACGACGGGTATCGCGAGATCGACTGAAGGTGCCCTCGAGTGGAAAGTATACATCTGTTTGTGTATAAACTCTAAAAACCTACAGTAAATCATATGAACGCCAAGGCCCAAGAACCACGCTCTGAGAAACAATATCCCTAGCTATCCTCCATCCCACCTGCTTAGGACAAATCAAACCCAGCCCCACTCCTGATCGCATAAAGCATCTTCTCCTTCAAGACCTGCTTACTCCTATACCTCGGCAGCTTCAGCAAATTAACACACGTACTCGCCGTAGGCAACCGACTTTCATCCCCACCTGCATCCCTGATCCCGAACTTCGGGTTAAGCTCTTTGAATCCGAGCAACGGTGGCCTCGCAACAGACGTGACGAACTTGACCAACTCCCGACGATCACAGTCAGCGAACTCCTCCATGACTTCCCAGAAGTACTTGATCGTGTCATCCTTTTCGAGATATCCTCCATAATCCGTATTCCGCTTCAAATCCGCAACGTTGATCGGAACTGGCGCACCTCCAATCAACGTCTGAAGCTCAGCTTGATCAAACATCGCCAACCACTTCTTATCCACCATCTCACTCAACCCCCTCACGAACGCCCTGCTCTGATGCGCAAGCTGCGTATTGAGCCTGTAGTTCGACACCAGATAGATATACTGCAACCTATTCGCCCTCGTAACAGCAATATCGGCTCCTCCAGGTAACAGCTCAACCTGCTTCGCTGCTCCCATATCGTTATTCGTCACCGTGAAGTTGAGGGCCAAATCACTTTCCACATCACCCGTATACTGCTTCAAAAACACGAGTCCCTGATAAAGCTCCGGATCCAGCCCAGGCAAATCATCCAGATAACTCGACCGCCCAACCAACTTCAGCAAAAAGAAGGGCGCAAACGCAACATCGACTAAAATCCCTTCATAGAGACACTTCCCGATGATCTTCCCCAGGAACTCATAATACGCCAACTGCGTCTTCTCTCTCGAAAACGCATGCGGATTTGGGTATAAAAGGTTCTCCTTCGTCTCCTTGAAGAGCCCGTAGTTCGCGTCAAACGCCTGTCGACAAACAGCAGTCAAGAACTCCTTCGTCACACCACCCCCATCAATCCCAGCCTCGGCCATCCCATACGAATCGAAGAACGTGACACTCAACGGACCCTTCAACCGAGGCCCCATACTCCCGATCTGGTTAAAAGCGTCCTCGAATACTCGGTCACGACGGATATCGGCTCTCTGGCGATGCGGATGAAAGTAGTTATCGAGCAACCCGACCTTCTTCCGATCCAAGTACACAAACTCCCGAAAGATTTGCACTCTTACATCGAACGGAATGAAGAAAGGACAATGCCTCAGAATATTCAGACGTGGGGTCATGAACGTCTGCCGTGGCCTCGTCCTCTTCCTCTCACCCTCCTCATCATCCTCGTCATCTGAGTTTTCTTGCGACGAAGTCAACTCATCCTCCTCAACAACAGCCTTGATAAACCCTCCCATATCAACCCTCTCCGTCATCAACCACGCTCCATCCACCAAAAACCTTCTCCTCGCATCCCGTGCATGGAGCTGCTGCAACATCTTCGTCACCAATCCCCTGACCTCTTCCCACGTCCATCCGGCACTTCCGAGAATGGTGTCGGGCATCTCGTACCAATACATCGCGAACGCGATGTTTTTGAGGATTAGGACCATTTCTTTGATGAAGGCGAGGGAGATTGGGTTTCGTGTTGACAGGAATTCGTCGTCGACCATCGTCAACAAGACCCTCGAATACACCTCCAAGAACAATACGAGAACGTCCCACTCTCCATCATCCCCCGCAGCCATGATATCCCGTGCGCTACACTCACTCGTCGAACACGAGTAAATCCCACTCTTCCTCATGTTGTCTTCCCACAGCGTCCGCACCAAACTCGGACCCGTCTCGGACGTTGAGGCGATAGAGAGCTGCATCAATACCTCTTGCTCTTTACTCGGCCAGAACTTCATTAAGCTGATAAAGTATCCGGAAAGGTCAGCTGTAGTATCCGGTGAGACATGTGCGAGAAGTGCCTGGATGTGCTGTTTACTCGATAAATGCTCGATAGCGTCCGTGACGAAGGGTGGTGCGACATCCGTGTTCGCCGCCTTGAACACTGACGATGGAAGTCGTCGAAGGAGCACTGAGATGGCTTTAATATATTGCGCCATCGAGAAATCAGAAAACCTCTCCGAAGCTTTAGCGCTCCTCTCGATATCGATGAGATACGCCAAAACCCACTCCTCACCCGACGAGCCAACAAACCCTGCTACTGAAACAACCTGTGCACCGATGAGAAGTCCGACCAAAAACGGCGTGAGATTGGATATGAGCTGTGCGTATCCTTGTTCTCCCATATGCCGTTGCAGATGAGGAACTGAAAGGAACTGCCACACAAAACGACCCATCGTGTCAACGTCAGTAATCTGTAAGGGAGCCAAAATAGCCGTCAGTGCATCCACACTGTACTGAGGAGACGTAACGAAATAAGCTGCCAATTCACGGTAGTAACCCTTGGGTACGAGCTTCTCACAGGATGCCATTGAAAGACGTGACAAAAACCTCAGCAACTCAGGTTGCCGACCATCAAATGGCTGACGTAAGAACGATAACAGAATCTGTCCGAAAACAGCAAGAATGAGGCATGCTCGCGAAAGCCGCGGACCCGAACATGACTTTATGTCGAATTGTAGCAGGTTCTCTAGCAGCCAGAGGACCCGTGGAGCATCTTGCTTCACATCGTGGAAAAGGGACAAATCAGCCACGGCCTCCAACAACCTCCCCCAGTTCTCCTCAGATACCTTAACCATGCCCTGCCCATGAGCCCACTCCTCTATTCTCCGATCCCACTCCCTTCTCTCCTCCTCCTTCATCTTCAGCACCTCCCTCCGCCGCCTCAGGAATCCCTGAATCTTACTAGCGGCCGCATTACGTCTCCTTTCCTCTTCTCGTAGCCGACGCTCTTCCTGAGCTTTCTTGAGTAGTGCTTCCCGGTTAACTTCCTTCTTCTTGCCACCGAGGTTCACGTTGCGTGGACGACGGGCGTCGCCGGAGAAGTTGGCGAACATTTCTCTATTAATCTCCTTCACAAATGGTTATCGTCTTGATTGTATGCTGAATGGTCAAGGTATGGTTGACTTCTGCCCGTCCCAGCTGCTCAGGCGTTGTGCTTCGTACGCTGGGGTACCGGTATACGAGAATACGTCAGCCGCATGAACGCGCATCGCCCGCATTCACGGAGAACACCGCAAGAAGTACAACGGAGGTGATTAGGAGGAGCATACACTCCCGATGGCGACGGTCACAGTACCAGCCAAGCTCAAGAAGAAAGATGGTTTGTCGAATGAGCGTATGCTGCTTCATCATCCGTCTGACACATCTAGCAAACAGGCACACTCGTCCTTACAGACCGGCTGGTATGGACACCAATTGGCTTACCAAAGCCGGAATGTGACTTTCCGCTTACAGCAGTTACAAGTATGTTCTTTGAGACCTTGATCAATTCTGTCATCGATGCTAACGAGGATGTACAGATCTCCAACGACATCCCGCGAAACCTCAGCTGAAGATTCATACGACTGAACCTTTTCTGTTTGCATTTAATTCGGTCGCGGATCGGGATGTGATTCAAGAAGCTGTCACTGAACGGAAACAACAAACCCCCACCCCTGCCGCTGCCGCTGCTTCGGCTTCCACAACATCCTCTTCCTCGACCTCATTTACCCGTCTCGCTCCCGATGATAAAGAACTGCTCCTCGATGGGGCACTACAGCAGAATTTGCTGGACAAGAGTCCAGCTTTGAAACAGACCTTCATGGAAGTCGTCATAAAGACAATGGGCACCGCCTCCCAAATCACAACCGAAGCCTTCTGGTCAACTCGCCTCTCCCTCCTCCGCACCGCCGCCCTCGAGTCTCGCCAACACCGAGGCGGGTACAATGTTCTCTCCACCATCAAGCCTGTCATGGTAAATCAGGAGTTGAAAGTCAGTTTACCACACGAGAAGATCGCGGATATCTTTGAGCAACATCCCGTCGTGAGGAGAGTTTGGAGCGGATGTGTGCCCCCGATGAGCGAAGATGCTTTCTGGAGTCGATTCGTGCAGAGTCGGTTATGTAAGAAGTTGAGGGGACAGCGTATCACTCAAACCGATCCCACAGACGACGTACTCGACAAATACCTCCGCCTCGAGGAAGACCCCGATGAGCGGAGTGCAAAACGACAAAAGACAGGTAATGCATCAAACACAAGCGACGCCCCCTCCGTCCCAAAATTCGTCGATTTAGGGGGCAACGAAGCAAACCTAACCGTCTCCCGCGGAAATGCACCCGACATCACGATGCGCCCCGACCGCATGGCAGCCGACGCCGTCGGCGGTATTCGATCCCTGAATCGTATTTCTATGCGCATTTTGGAGGGGATGGAACCCGTTGATCGAAGAACGGGGGCGGATAAGGATGAGTTGTATCGGGAGCAGATCGTGTTGGGGGACTTGAGGGGGGAGAAGAAGGAGGAGAGAGTTTTGTTGAATGTTACGGAGGATGAGGCGAGGGGGCGGAAGGATAACGACACCGCGACTGTCGAACTACGGGATTCACAACCTGCCACGACACAGCTGGTTCATGGGCTGGAAGGGGAGATGTCACTAGCGGATGCCGTCCCCGACCCGGAATCCCTAACCCAAACCTTCACCTCCATCAACACGCTCATCACCTCCCAACCTCCACCCACCTCCACCCACCTCGCCCCCACGCTCCCCTTACCACCCCACCTTCTCTCGACACTAACAATGTCCCACGCCGCGACCACCGAATTCCTCAAACATTTCTGGCTGGCTTTCCTCAGGAAAGATTACAAGACCGCTGGAGCGATGTTGGAGGGGTTGAGGAGGACGGGAGACAGAGTTGATAAGCTTGTGGAGGCGGTTGGTAGGGAGGGTGTGAGTGGAGGAGAGGGTGTTGTTAGGGGGGCTATGGAGGGGGTTGAAAGGGCGGTGGGACGGGCGGTGGAGGAGTATGAGAGGGTCGTGGGTGCGAAATCATAGATAAATGAGCATTGGGGGTTGCGAATTAAAGTATATTATGAGAGGTATCAAGAACTATCGTACACGTGTATTGTCTATGTGGTTGAAATTAAATTGCCCGATGCTGGCCCTGTCCGGCGATCCCCGTCGTGGTGTGTTCGACAGGCTCATTCAATGTATCCGCAATGCCCGCCCCGGTCGTGGACTCAGTCAACCTAACGTCCTTCTGCACAGCTACGGGCTCAACAACCGTTCCTTCCACGACCTCAGTCCTCTCCACAGCTGCCGGTACAATCGGCTCAGGTTGCGGTACTGGGATCACTTTGTGCTCGACCTCGGTGATGGTGGAGGGGAGGGCTTCGAAGCCTCTTGTCTTGGCGTCGGCGGCAGCTTTGTCTTCCGCAGTCTTCGCAAACAACTAAGCATTCGCTCACCGTTAGCATCACGTTCCGCTCCTAAATCTCGGATAGTATACGGGTAGGCACGCACTTTCTTGTCAAACGTTCCCGAAATCTTATCCCCCAAACTAGGTTTCCCCTCCGTCTGCCTCAGATACTGATGTTGCTCATGCGCGTTCTTCATGTGCAACGGGTGTTCGAGGGCAGTTGCGATGTCGGAGATTGTGGTGCCGATGGCGGAGGTGAGGGAGAAGTTTTCGCCGGGACCGTGGGTTCCGGTGCTGGGGGCGGTTGCTTGGGCGTAGGAGTGGGCTTTGTCGGTTGACATTGGTGGTATGGTAGTGGCGGTAGTGTTTGTCTGATTGAGTATTGATTAAGTCAATTGTGACTAATTGACACGGTCAAGCTTAAGAACAATGAAACCTGGAGATGAATGAGCGGGGCTGACCCCTGCCATTCCCAAACGAAGCTAGGGAGCAAACAGGATTCGCACGGTCGCAGTCAAGGAAACCACCTAGGCCTCAGTTACTTTGCGTAAAAGGAACAAATTGGGGAACAAGAAAGAACTCATCAATTACGGTACATCCAAGAAAACCACACAAACGAAAGAGCTCACAAACCGAAATGTCAACAAAATAGAAACAAAGAAAGAAACGCAACGCAACGTGCACGGCTAGAAGTAACACAAAACTCCTTTCCTCCAGTAACGCATAGGCCGTAGGTGAGAAAAATAACGCCCCTATAAATTGCAATCGCGAAAGGAGGTGGACGGCATACCGTATGAAACCAACTTAAGCCGCATAAACAGAGTGGAAGCCACGGGAGTCAGCTTCCAGCCTCTCGAGTCGGCCATCGCGTGCTGCAAGATATTGTTCATTCAGCTTCGTCACGGGAACGGGAACCATAGGATCCACCGCACCTCCAGGAGCTTGGCCATTCATCGGCGGAATCTGCCCGGGTTGTCCAACAGGCGGAGCACCAGCCCCAGGAGCCTGAGCAGACGGCGGCGGATGCATATGTGCCGCAACAGCATTAATCGGAGCAAATGGACTAAAGTGATGCTGAGGCGGCATACCCATAGACGGATACACAGGCGGAGGAGGAGCAGGCCTACATGAAACAAACGAGCGGTTAGCCCTTGTTGCTTGACTAATATTTTTTGCTTGTTTTTTTTTTCTATATACAAAATCTGCAAGAACTAGATTGGGAGTTTTGTATGTTCCTTACCTGTACGGAGTACCGGCAGGACCAGAGTTGTTCTGGCTGCGTCCCCAGGAAAGACGGACGCGGGAGTTACCGATCGGGTAACCCTGCATCTGGTTGATGGCCATCTCGGCCGCGTGCCTCTGAACGAACTGAACGAAACCACAGCCCTTGCCAGGAGGAATCTTGACGTAGGTAATCTCACCGAAGCCCTGGAAGAAGGAACGGAGCTCGTCCTCGGTAACGTAGCCAGAAAGACCACCAACGAAGACAGTAGTGTTGTTGGGGTCGGTGAACTGGTTCATGGGCTGAGGAGCACCGTAGTATCCCATAGGGGGCATTCCCATCATGGGCATACCCATGTGTCCCTGAGCATGCTGACCCATCTGTCCAGGCTTGTTCTTGGGGGTAGCGGTGGAGATACGCATGGGGCGGTTACCGCAGTAAACACCCTGCATCTCATTCAACGCACGCTGCTGGTCCATCTCGTCGGAGAAGCGAACGAAACCGTAACCGCGGGAAAGACCGGATATGGGGTCAGTCATGATCTTGGCAGACTTGCAAGAAGCGTAACGAGACTGGAAGAGAGAGACGAGAACATACTCGTTAACCTCGGGTCCGAGGTCACCGACGAAGATGGAGAACTCGGGACCACGCTCATCGCGGCGGTCAGAGAGGCCACCACCGGAAGCCCAGTTGAGCTTGAAGGGACGGTTGGTGTTGGGAATGAGGGTACCGTTCAAGGTGAGGGCCTTAGCCGCGGCAGCGGGGTTGGAGAACTCGACGAAACAGTATCCAGCGTTGGGCCTGCCCTGAGCGGCATCGGGTCTGCTGCGAAAAGAGGAGTTAGTATACAGTGATCCTCGTCGCGACTTATCGGATAAATTACGCACCCAGCAAACTTGTCGCGGATCATCTTGACATTGACCTGCTCGCCAAGGTTGAACCAAACTTGACGGATAAAGTTCTCATCGATCCAGGGCTCGAGCTCTCCCATCCTGAGAAAAAGACGCGTTAGTCATGAGTCATGATACGGGACGCGACGATAGCGACGCGAATTGGAGACGGAGAACATACCAGAGAGTAGTCTTCTCGGCCGTAGAAGGAGAACCAGGCGCCGCACCAGCAGCGCTAGGGAAAGGAGCGGGACTGCTCGAAGTCTGAGGAGCGGGCGCGCCAGCAGCCGGAGCCGGAGCACCGGGCGTAGCACCAGCCGGAGCAGCCTGCTGCGGGTTGTACTGATCATAAGCCTGGAAAGACATCGTAGTTGTCGTAGTGTTCTTGTTGTTTGATTGTTCTTCTTCGTTTAAGCGATAGTCAAAATCCAAAAACACGCCGTGTTTAACAAATAGAGTTTAAGGGTCGAGGTGGGGTACTGTCGAAAGAGAAGCAAACGCCGGCGCCGTTAAACCGTGAGGAATGGAGATAGAGACGAGAAATGCGACTTAAAACGACAAACGCGAAACCGAAGACGACGAGAGGTAAATCGACAACGGCGAACAATTGAGGGTTGGGTTGTAATCCGAGGGGGGGTTGTTCGGGGTGAGGTTGACGCGATGCCAGGCGGCCGATGCGCTGCGATTGGTAGGTAGCGTGTCCTGGGTAAGGGGAGGTCGCCGAGCTGAAGACGGTACCGCGGGGTGTGTTCGAGTTGCGCATATCTTTTATTGGCTATAAAGAGGGTATCAATCCACCCTCCATGTATATTGTGCGACGAGGGGTGGGGTGATGTCGCCCGGTACACGGCGGTATCGATAGGCATCGCCTTTGGATCCCATTGCCCATCGTCAACCATCAATCATGTCAGAAGAGAACATCGCATCAGCTGGAGGCTTCGTCCGAGAAGATCAACAGACATCTCTCCCTTCGCCACGCAGAACAGCATCACCACCACATACCGGCGCAGGCGGCCCACGGTTATACAAGTTGAGCCATGCGCAGGAGAGCCGGTTGATAGGGTATTTGGATGAACATCTACTTCAGATATCTCAGAAGTTTCTTAAAAAGTAAGCACTTCCACAGAAAACTCCCCTTAGATTTCTGACACCAATCCTGCAGGTTCCATGAAGGCGGATACCAATCACTGCCGCCTCTCCTCGAAGACCTGAAGCCTTTACTACACCTTCTCGAGCAGACACCGACAATCAACATCATTACTCAATATCTCCTACAAATAACTGACGCGCTCACGGATTGGATTCACGCTTTCCCGCCAAGCCCAGAAGATATGTTCAAGATGTTGGAGACGGTGGATGATATGTGCGTCAGACTCGTGAAGGGTGAAATGGGCGTCGGAGGACGAAAGATGGGAACTACAGAAAGGTTCGTGTGGTTTGTTTGAGGAAGATTTGTCTGCTAACGATCCTTGGCGATCAGGGTACGACTGAAGAGCATCGTTGAAAGAGGGCGGACGGCGGTGATCTTGAAGATGGATCCGGTCGACGGATGGGAGGTCGAGACATCGAGAACATACGAAGGTGTACTGGAGGAACTCGGATGAATCGGTAATCAAAATAAATTCAGAGCCGGCATTTGACCGATGGCCAAGCTTTTCCCGCGCATCCTCGGCTACGCGCCCCACACGGCCGCAGCATCTGGTGCGCATTGACCTCATCGATTTTCGCCACAATCTGAGCCACCTTTGCGGATCATTGAAATAGACCCCGTCGCCTCCGATCACTTGGAACGGCAATTCAATTCAGATCAAGTCAATCATGAAGTTCTTACAAACGTTTATCACAATCAACGCACTGCTGTTTGCAGCGGTGGAGGCGAGTCCTGTTGTCGAGTTCAGTGCGCAGGGTGAGGTTGCTGTTGCCGAGGCGAACAAGGCATTTGAGGAGGTATGTTGGCGTTCGTCCTTTTTGGCTTGCGTTGCTAATTATTTTCATAGCCATCATTCCAGTGGGCTGATATTCCTCGGTTGTACAAGCGTGCTCGAGTTGGTGGTAGTCGCGTTGGCTCCTCCGGTTCGCGCTCTGGCTCTACCTCCTCTGGCTCGTCCTCTTCCGGTTCAACAACCGGTTCGTCAGGATCTACTGGTTCCTCTTCTGGCTCGACTACGGGCAACAGAGGTAATCCACCGCCCTACACCGCCGGCGCTTCCCCACCACCATACTCCTCCATCTCCAATGCCGGTGGACGAACAATCCGAGGCTCGGGTACACCTAAGGCCTCAGGTGGCTACTACTCCGGCGGTTCCGCAGTCCCCTACCGTGCTGGTGCCCGCAGCCCCATTGGCATCTACCCCTTCTTCCTCCCTCCCTTCTTCCTCTTTGGCGCCTACGGAGCCTACTCCTACGGCTACTACGGCTATCGCCTCAACCGCACCGAAACTTACCACAACGAAACCACAAACGCAAATCAGACCTTGCCAGTCGTCTGTGTCTGTCAGGAATACGAGACATGTGGCTGTGACGCGAACGATGCGGGGAATTTTACGTTGCCGGCGGGAGTGTCCAGTGCGGTTATTAACGGGACGGAGTATGCCATTGTGAACGGGAGTTTGGCGAATGGAACTACCAGTGATGGAGGAACGGACGCGAGTAGCGACAGTGAGAGTACCTCCAGTTCTTCGAGTTCGAGTGAGGCGAGTGCGGCTATGCCGGTGAGGGCGGAGACGTTGGGGTGGGCTGTTGTTGGAGCCACGTTGATGGGGTTGGCGAGTCAGGTGATGTAAGATAATCTATTATGATCTGTGAGACAGGCTATAGACGGATCAGGGAGTGTCGGAAGGGATAGAGCGTGGTCATCTTATGGTCTTCCACATCATCGACCTTTACCTTGAGTTACAAGGACGGGCAGTCAGCATGACCTTTTTGCTTAGTTACCTCCATATATATTCTTAAAACAAAACCTTCATCTGCACATTTTGTTCATCTTCAAGTTTACCAGCTGCAGCGCCGAGTCAACCCCTCCATAAAACTCCCACGGTAATGACACCGCATTTATCCCTGAACCAGAACAACAACACCAACCACCACCAACCAGCGACAACTTTTTGGCCATCGAGCAAGCCAATCAACGACAATTAACAACAACTTGCTCATCTCTCGCTACCTACAGTTCTCTTCTTTTCTGCTCTCTTCTCCTCTCTCTTTTCTGTCACACAGCATTCACCACGGCGTGCTTCAAGATGTCAAGTTTATACCGGTTCGAGAAGCCCAACGACTTAGTTGAAGGTGTCATGCATGCCCTGTATACACGTGATCTTGCACATACTGATCTGGACGCATCATACAGTCTTCGAGGATCCGGATATTGAGGATATCGAGTATATCGAGAAGTTGCATGCAGCCGTGCCGCAGTTGGCGAATGATTATCGTGTGTTGCGGTTGGTTGGGACAGGTAGGGGTGGCAAAATGAAACCAGCAGAGAATACTGATGCATGTTGCTCTTCACCTACAGGAACGTTCAGCTCCGTCTTTCAAGCCGTTGACATCAATCATGCATTCTATGAAGGTACTGCATTCAAGCCCCATGATCCTTAGGGGATGTATGCTGATTTCGTCCAGATTTCATGCCTCTCCAAGAATCTACAAACAGACGTCGTTACTCGACTCGTCGTGCGGCGAAGGACCCGAAGTATGTTGCCATTAAGCAGTTGTATGTCAACGCATCGTGTGATAGGATCATCAAGGAGTTGGATATCCTGAACATGTTAAGGTAGCGGGAGGGTCCATAAGCACTTGACGTGATCTTAATCCCGGTGTACAGAGGTTTACCTGCCGTTGCGAGTTTGGTCACTGCGTTTCGGTGTGAGGATCAGATCGTAGTGGTGTTGCCATTTGTAAAGCATTCGGATTTCAGAGAGTTCTACATTGGGTGTGTGTTGAATACTCTGCGAGCTGTCTGAGTTGCTGATATATCCTTACATATGCAGCTGTCCTCTCCAAGACATGTCCTCCTACACTCGTCAACTCTGCATCGGCATTCAGTCGTGTCATTCGCAGGGTATCATTCACCGTGACGTCAAGCCGGGGAACTTTTGTTGGAATCCGGAGACGAAGACCGGGGTGTTGGTTGATTTTGGTTTGGCGCAGGTAAGTCAGAGTTCAGCCGAGACCTTAAAGAGAAGCGGTTAAGTGGCGAAACAGTGGTACGAAGAAGACACGAATTGCCCGTGTTCCGGTGTGAGCGAGGTGCTTGATGCACATGGCGTGCGAGGTGATGATGTTGAGGATGGACACACACCAACTCCATATGATGATCGGTACCGAGATGTCTGTAGTTAGGCGTTCGTTCAGTGACATCTAACGGTACTGTTACAGTCACTCCAAGCGTGCGGAACGAGCTGGTACCCGCGGTTTCAAAGCCCCCGAAGTCCTCTTCAAGTGTCCGAACCAGGGGCTAGGCTTGGATATCTGGAGTGTGGGGATCACGATGCTTTGCTTTCTGACGCAGAGGTATCCGCTCTTCAGTGCTAAGGATGACATGTGAGTTTCGTGCTGATGCTGTTCACCGCGGTTACTGATGAAACCAAACTTGCGCAGTGACTCGATCATGGAACTTGCTTGGATTTTTGGGAGGACACAGATGGCTGAATGTGCACGACTGCATGGTAGTGACAGTAGTCGACGTACTGCTCAATCACAGTTGACATGCGTGTCTTACAGATTGCTCGTTTGAAGTTAATGTTCCCACCATTCGCGATGAACGCGTGCCTTGGGGAGAGCTGGTGAGGTCTCTCACCGACCAGGACCCGGACCACTACAAGTACAAGTGCCAAGAGCCTGAGATGAGGCTTGCTTTGGATTTTCTTGATAGGTGCTGTGATTTGAATCCGAAGACGTAAGTGGATGAGGGATGACGAAGGGAAATTCATGCTGACTTTCAATTTTGGGACCTACAGGAGGATCACTGCGGATGAGTGTTTGAAGCATCCGTTTTTGCTGCTTAGTGTGGGTAAGAGTTCATGATGTGAACATGGGTATGTGATAAGGGACGCTTACTACTGAAGTAATTGCGAGGTGTTGCCGATGGATGGAGTCGACAGAGCTTGTATCTCTATTCCTGTGATATCGATTATAACTTATGGACATCATTGAGTGCACATGAATTTCAAGGTTTTCAATTCCTGATTTGTCAGCATACGACCTATCATACACAAAAAGACCAAAATATTCCAACGCCCTAACTTTTCCTAATTACCCAAATGTCCCAAAAGTGTGTCACGTCCTTCAGCGTACATTCCTCATCCATGTATACATGCGTCTACCCAAGGCTCATGGACCTTGAGTGGCCAGGGATGAACTTACTCGTCAAACTCAGTTTCAAGCTCACGCCGGAGCTCACACGGCGACTCAACTTCCTAACCAGGCCCTCCTTCTTCGCCTCATCCTTCTCCTTCTTCTTCATCTCCAGGTATTCGATAACGCCCCTAAGCTTCATCATAGCTTCATTCACGGCACAATACCCAGCTTCGCTGTCCTCGGGCGTCATGTGCTTGGCGACGTCGGCGAGGAGCATGGGGTACCTCATGATCCTCTGATACGGCTTTGCCATCAAGTCACGGAGGGTCATAGCACGCCTGCCCTTGGGACATGAGGTTTTCTTTGCTTTGGTTCCGGAATCCGCAGATTCGACGAGACTCTCGAGGATCGCACAGGAACTGGCTTCCCATTCGTCGAAGTTGGGGAGCCTCTCGTAGCGGTCGAGGAGTTTTTGGGCTTTTTCTTGGTATGTGCAATAAGGTTCGTACACCAAGAAGTTGAGAGACGTGTCACTCAGGATCCTGGCGATCATGTGGGCACCCTCGCCGCTCTCGAGGATTTCTCTGCTGGGTGGCTGCAAGGCAACGACCTGGCCCTTCAGTTCGGGGAAGTGTTCCGTCAGGGCGGAGAGAATGCGTTCGTGCATGGCCAGGATCTCCCTTGTGTTGCGCTCGAGAGCTTGCTTGTGACGGCTGATGACAAACGTAGTGTGCCCGAGAGACGCAAAATATACATTAACGAGGTAACGAAGATCCCTCACGTAGCCCCATTCCGTAAGGATGAGCTCCTCAAGAACGCAACGGCGACGAGTTCTATTAACAGAAGCTTCATACTCTGCCCTCTTGAGTTCTTCTGCAGTAACTGACTCTGTAGCCAACTGGCTTGGCGCTCTAGTCAAGGCTTCAGGACTCGGAGGCTCGGTGTTGTCGGCGGAGGAGATCGGGGAGGCTGTGAACTGGTTGGTGAACAGCGGCTCAGCCTGACCAGGATGGCTCATAATTTGGGCCCATTCTCTATCGACATTGAAACTCAAGCGGTGGTTCGCCTGGAAATCAACTCTGGGCGCAGCCTCGTTCCTTTCGGTACCGATGTGGGGGAGGATGGGAAGACTGGCGCTTTGCAGTCCACGGGGAACAGGCCTATCCCGGAACCTAGCAAACAGTGTGTAACGAGGCGTACGTTCAACGATGACCGTAGAGCTGTCGGTTTCAACCTTGTCAATATCAGGCTCGGAGCCCGTGTAAGGTCGGCTGAGGAAGGATGCGCCAGAGTCGACACGGATGGGCGCCCTTCGCGCGTAAGCCTCGAGGGTGTCATGAGAGAGTCTCGAACCAGTGTTGCTCAAAGCTTGGGGAAGCATGTGAGGAGCTGGCTCCGCGATGTGAATACTCAGTGCACCCATACTCGTGGTAAAGTTGCTAGGTAAAACGGCTTGGGGTTGTACGGAATTGGAGGAAGCTTGGGATGAAAAAATGTCAAGGAGACGCGTCTGGGGTCTATATCCATCAAGCTTTCCTATGACATAACTTCATCGCGTCCTGCGAAATCATCGATGCACAGAGGTGTGGTGCAGAATTGCCTATTGCGGATGTGAAATTGGGGGCGAGTCGCGCAAGCTCGAGAGTCCGAATCGCGATAAAATAGCAAAGTAGCTTTCCTTTTTTACAATATAATGAATGCTTCAAACGAAGACAGAACAGTGGATGGTTTCTTTTTGCTTCTCATAAGGTGAATCTCTGCTTTTCATGGTCGTGTCTCTCCTCTGTGTTTGGTGGCCAGGGCCCTTCGCGATCTGAGCCAGCGCTTGAGACCTGGCAATGAAGTCATAGTATGAACGCTACGAAGCGTAGAACTGGCTGTATCATGCTTCGAAAGGCTCCAGTGGGAGCTTCAATTGCTTCAAAGCATACGTGCTCCATGGCCAGCTCATGAGTTTGGGAGTGATTTGTACTTGATAATACGCGTAACATCTACCATAACGGTGCCAGAACTTGTCCAAGCTCACGTTCTGAGCGTATAATAGATCAGCTTCATTCGTGGGATTTTGTGACGCTGTTTTCCCAGGTTATTTCTTCCCAGAACGGAATGGGTCGTCCGTGCCACAGCGGTGCCACGATCACGCCTACAACCGCGTAATCATTCAAGGATCCGTCAAGTCAACCTCCAAGTAAACGGTATGGGTATTCCAATGGATAACATTCATGCACCGTCCTCTGCGTCCTCATCCTCGCCTTCTGCGGCTTCCAACGATCTGAAGGAGTTGATGCGGCAGAAGGATGACGTAGAGGCCGAAATGGACGCACTGGGGCAGGTGTTGGAGTCGCATAAGGTGGATATGAATACGGCTTTGGTTGATTCACAAGGATTCCCAAGAGCAGATATTGATGTTGCGCAAGGTGTGTTTTTGATGTACAGGTCTCTGTATAGACTGACTGACAACAACGCACAGTGCGAGTAGCCCGTGCACGGATCATTCGCCTTCGCAATGACCGTAAAGAGCTGTTGTCAAGAATCGAAGCTGGGCTACATGCGCATCATGCTCAGCTGCGGCAGCAATCTGCTGCATCTTCGTCGACATCTTCGACGAGAGGACCGGCCCGAGAGGTGGTGGTGGATACGGCGTTTGCGCTGGTTAACTCTGTTGCTCCTAACTCGCCAGCGGAGAGTGCAGTACGTTTCATATCATTTCGACTTATCTTACTTGGGCTGACTTTTCTGCAGGGTCTTCAACGTGGCGACAGGATCAAGCGGTTCGGTACTGTTCATGCCGGCAATCACGCAAAGTTAACAAAGCTGGCTGAGGTTGTGCAAGCGAATGAAGGCGTAAGTCTTGCTTATTGGATTTTTGTTCTCTTGTTACTAACACTTTGGACAGCGTTCAATCCCTTTGCGAGTCAGTCGAGCTACAGGTGTGGATGAGGCGACGATCGAGCTGACGTTAGTGCCGCGGAGTGGCTGGGGTGGAAGAGGAATGTTGGGATGCCACTTACTTCCTATCTAGGTTGTGTGGAGTTCCCTTCACTTTCCTGAAGCGTGGGTTTCTGAGATACTTGCGTTATTCTGTATCGCACGACGCAGCAATGGCGTATCATACCTGTCATGGAGACTTATCCCCAATATCAATTTCAGGGCTCAAACTCTTCTGTGAGCAGTCTCCTTACTCCTGTTACTTCATTCGCCAAAGCTGTACCACGGGCATCGGTTCTCAGTAATTTCCTAATGCGGCGAGTTCGGAGGTACTAATGCTTAGCGTACGCGTAGTCTACTGTTACCTCATACCTTGAGAACGCAAGCAACTCAGTAGTAGATGAATATGTCTGTTGCACACACGTATAAATATACCTAACTGGAAGCTTGTCGATCCTCGAACAATTTCAACGGTGTTGACGTCGGGTCACATTCAGTTTCCGCTCAGGGGGTTGTGGAGGAGTTTGGGAGGATGGGGGTTCTGAGGTTGGTGGAGGTTGCGCGGGTGTCCTCTGCTGCGTTGAAAGAGCTTCGGCGGATTGTGGAACTTGAGACAGATAGTTCAGAGGAGAAAGAAAGGGAGTGGGTGGACTGGTTCGAAGCTTTTGGTTAGCTTGTTCGCACTTGGTATCTTGGACCCTACTAACCTGGCTATGCGTACAGGGACTCATATTGCGACGAACTTCTACTTGGGCCTTCACAGGTTTGAGCAACTTCGTCTAGTACGGGACTACAATGAAGGACTTTCTCTTGATACCCCAGAGGAAAGTGTGCCACGAGAGATTGCGCGGTTTATTGCAGGCGAGCGGCTGCTTGCAGCTGACGACCTTCTTTCCCTTCAAACCCGGTTTGTGAAACACACTGAGCAGATCAATGGTAAGATTGCATGCGTCGACTTCAACGGCAATGCTGACTGGATGTTTAGCTGTTAACTTATCTGGTACTGAGATTCTACATCCTGTCAACTTGCGACAACAAGTCCATGAACTGGCCGTGATTGCGGTGGATAGCTCTCAGCTTGACACCATTGTGGCAACCCATGGAGGATCAGGCGTTACGCTTACATGTAAGCCCACCCCTACAAAAGCCTGAATAACCGGCCTGACAGATTCTGACAGCTTAAAGACGCTATGGACCGTTTCGTGACCGGACATTCCACGTAGTCACCGTGCGAGGTTGCCAATCATCCGCCAAGCACGCCTACCGGCAGTTCCATTCAAGCGGAAGGATGTGAAGGAGAAAATTGCGGCACCCGAGGAAGAGGCCGGGTTAGGAATTTGGCCAGATCTATCGCTCGACTCTGCGGTTGATCCCGATGTTATATAAATCTGGATATTGGCCTGGGAAAAGGCTGCAGACGAAGACCCCTTTGGAAAATACATGAACTTGCAGTTGCACATAGACGATAGAATAAAGTTTTATAAGTGTATTTCTTGGGCTCCCTTCGAAACTTCACCTTTGGCTTCGGGGACATCCAACCTTAAGCATCGGAAACTGCAGCCGTTGACGGCATCGTGCTGTACGAGCCCTGAGCGCGACCGCGGAACAAGATCAGCAGCACAAAGTAACCACCAAGAGCCCGACTTACGGCATCGAGTACCCATTCTCTGTCTGAAAAATCCAGCACGTATCCGATTTGTTGAGGTCAGTAGAAGGTTTACACTGAGCGACATCACTACCGACCATGCTTGAAGGCTTGGTCGCCGGACTCCTCAACCGCTTTCTCGGCGCATACGTCCAGAACTTCGATCCAGGCCAGTTAAACATCGGAATATGGTCCGGAGATGTTAAACTACGCAATCTCCAGCTCCGCCGTGAAGCGCTCGACAAGTTCAAGCTTCCAATCGATGTCAAGGAGGGATACTTGGGAAGTCTGACATTGCAAATTCCATGGAGTAATTTGAAGGGAAAGCCGGTGAAGGTGTTGATTGAGGATGTCTTTTTGCTGGCGAATCCGAAAGCGGATCAGGAGTATGACGAGGCCGATGAGGAGAGGCGTGCACAGGCATTGAAGCAGGAGAAATTGGATTCTGCTGAGCTTCTGGGTGGATCTCGAACAGTGGAGAGCGACCCGAAGGACGCAAGCTTTACCGACTCGCTCGTCACAAAGATCATCGACAACCTCCAAGTGTCGGTCAAGAACATTCACGTACGATATGAGGATACAGTCTCTGATCCCGGACACCCCTTCGCCGTCGGTGCGACCTTGTCCGAATTTTCGGCCGTGAGCACGGATGAGAATTGGCATGAGGCTTTCGTTCAGGATAGAGTGGAGACGACCCATAAGCTTGCTACTCTAGGAAGCTTGGCGGTATACTGGAATACAGACTCGCGATCGCTGGCGAGCGAGAACGGAGCCGAGGTACGCTCCGTGGAGGAGCTGATCAAGATCTTCGGGAGCCTCATCGCCAGAGAAGGCCATCTCCCTGATGAGCATCAGTATATCTTGAAACCTGTCAGCGGTACAGGTAAGATTAACTTGAACAAGATCCATAAGGCCGGTCTGCCAAAGACGCAGGCTACCGTGTTCTTCGAAGAGCTTGGGTTTGTCCTTGATGAGGAGCAGTACCGCGACGCGCTCATGATGCTGGATCAATTCCACTTCTTCATGAGACATCAGGAATACCGGAAACACCGCCCCACTAGATCGGTCAAGGAGGATCCGAAGGCGTGGTTGCGTTTTGCCGGAGACGCTATCCTGCGCGAAGTGCACGAGAAGCATAGGAAGTGGACTTGGGCGCACTTTGCAGAGCGAAGAGATGACCGACAAGCGTACGTTCGTCTATTCAAACGGAAGGTACAGGAGACCATCGCGCTGGACGAGACGGATCAGTTGAAAGACCTGGAGTGGAAGCTGAGTTACAAAGATATCCGCTTCTACCGGTCGCTGGCTCGCCGCGAGCTGAGGAAGGAGCGTGCCGAGGCTGGACCCATCAAGAAGCAGGCTGAGAAAGCTCAAGGTTGGTTGGGGTGGGTCTGGGGCTCGCACCCGAAGAAGGAGGATGAGAATGATACCGTCATGACAGAAGAGCAGCGGAAGGAGTTGTACGATGCGATCGAATGGAATGATAACGAAATACCCGACGTTGCATTAGATCTCCCTCCGGAACAGCCTACAATGGAGATCCATGCGAAGCTGAAGAAGGGCGGGTTTGCGTTGAAGAAGGATCCGCATAATAAGTATGCTGGGGCGAATGATATACTTTCTGTAATATGGGAGGGATTCGGAGCTGGGTTCAAGGCTAGGCAGGAAGGATTTTGGATCAGCCTGGGGCTTGGGTCGTTGAAGGTTTATGATGGTACCACGGAGGGTAACGTATGGCCACAAATCGTTAAGGTTAAGAACGAAGCGAAACTTAAGGAGCTCGAGGATAAACCGGTGGATGAATGGGATGGACATGGAGAGGATCCCTTTTTCCATATGGTGTTCGAGAAGCATCCGTTGGATAAGCGAGCTGATTCTGCGGTTACTGCTCGTTTGAAGAGTACGGAGATTGTGTATAACCCTCGGTGTATCGAGACCATTGCGAGGTTCTTGCGGCCGCCGGCTAGGCATATGGAGAGTATTAATGCGTTGATGGAAGCTGCTGGTGCGACTGTTGAGGAAATCCGCAACCAGACTCGTGCGGGGCTGGAGTTTGCTCTTGAGGAGCATAAGACGCTCGCTGCGAAGCTCGATTTGCAGGCTCCGTTGATCATCATCCCTGAATCTGTTACGGATAAAGATGCTGATTGTATCATTTTGGATGCTGGTCATATAGGGTTGGAGAGTGATTTGGTTGACAAAGCCAAGATTCGTGAGATTCAGGCGAAGCAGAAGACGCAGTACACCCCGGAGGACTGGAAAGAATTGGAAAGTCTCATGTATGATCAGTTTGATTTGAGTCTAACGTCTACCCAACTCTTGATCGGTCCGAATGTTGACGATACCCTGGCTACACTGGCGTCTGACGATCAGAAGCATATGCATGTCGTGGATAGGATCAACATGACTTTCAAGGTCGAGATGAGTATTCTGCCCAAAGCGCCGAATCTTACTAGGGCGAGGGTGTCTGGGCATTTACCTATTTTGCACGCAAGCATGTCTGACGCGAAGTACAAGACCATGATGAGGATCATTGATGTTGCTATCCCGCATCTCGACGATGATGAGAAGCCTGGTCAGAAGCAGCGCAAGGCTTCGTCGGCTCGGAAACCGAAGGCTGAGGGCACGAGGAAGAGGCGTCCTAGTTTCTTTGGTATGGAGGAGCCTGAGTTAATAATCGATGACGCTTCTGTAACTGAAGTTGAGGACGAGGAAGACGAAAACGACGACGTCGACGACGATGTCTTCGTAGATACCGATGACTCTGCAAACACTGAAGAGTCGCAGATCGTGCACCGGAAAAACTTCGAGTTCAACTTCACTGTTGATAAGCTGCAGGGTAGTTTGTACAAACAGAATGCGGACAGGACAAAGCCAGATGAGCTTCTTGTGGACATCGTGTTGGAACACTTTGCTCTGGATTTCATGTTGCGGCCTTACGACATGGTAGCTGACATCGTCTTGAAGACTCTTCATGTCGAAGATCGGATGGACACACTTTCTCCGCCTGAGTTCCGGAGATTAATCACGTCAGCTCGTGTTGGAGCTGACGATGGAGGCGTCCAGCCCGACCTCGTGCACATCAAGTACTCGAAGGTGGACAAGGACTCGCCAGAGTTCATGACCGTGTATGAGGGTATCGATCAGAACGTTGACGTGAAGATTGCAACGGTCAATGTCATCATCACCAGGCGCAGTATCCTTACTTTGCTTGACTTCATCGTTCAGACTTTTACCGGCGGCAACGGAAAGCAGCCTCCACCACGCGCCATTGAAGATGGGGACAGCAGCGATACAGACAGCGCCGTCCAGGAGGCTGATGGCAAGATCAGAGTCAAGGTGGATCTCTCCGAGGTTATCGTGATCTTAAATCATGATGGAATCCGCTTGGCCACACTGACGCTTAGTGAAGCTGACGTCGGTGTGTTCGTGATGGGCGATACGCTTCGAGTCGGAGCAAGGTTGGGCAATCTCTCGCTAGCAGATGATGTCAACCAGGGTGCTTCGGCTACGTCGCAGTTCCGTCAGCTCATGAGTATTGAAGGGGACGAACTTGCAGACTTCCGATACGAGACGTTTGACCCGTTGTCACCATCATATCCTGGCTATGACAGCTCCGTTTACTTGAGAGCGGGCTCTCTCAAGGTGAACTTCATGGAGGAGCCCTTCCGTAAGATCATTGACTTCGGTGCCAAATTCGCCAAGATGAAGGCGATCATCGATGCTGCACGAATGGCCGCCATGAACCAAGCCGCTCAGATCCAAGAGAACGCAAGCAAAATGCACTTCGATATTCTGATCCGGACACCCATTGTGGTTTTTCCACGTTTGGATATTACTGCAGGTCTGTATAAGGACTTGATCATTGCGAACCTGGGTGAAATCTATGCGAAGAACCAGTTTGCGCCCCTTCATGAAGAGGAGGAAGGATCACCAATTGTGAACAAGATTGCAGCTGGCCTGCGGTCGATTCGTCTTGGATCCGCACTCTACATCGATGAACGCAAGCAGGAGCTTGACATGATCGAAGATGCAGATATCACCTTCAACGTGGTTTACGAAGAACACATCACGAACTCAAAGAGGCCAGAGGTGGAAGTCCAGGGACACATGTCTGACCTCAACATGCGTTTGACTGAGACGCAGTATAAGTTTCTCATGGAGTTAGCTCAATCAATCCCGCGTGCATTCGCTTCGGAGCCAGAAGATGAGGACTCGGAACTTGTCGAGCTGGAGGAAGACGAAGATGTTGATCCCAGCACCCCGACTGAGAAATCTGCATCCACTAAGGTTGATATGGCCCCGGAGTTAGGTGCTGTCACCGAAGATGGGAAGCGTATTACCACATGGTCAAAGCTCGACCTCGTCTTCAGCCTTAATACCGTATGTCTCGAGATTTTCCAGAGCAGCGAGTCCCACAATTTCGACGATATTGATCGCTCTACTTTGTCGAAGTTCAGGCTGTACAAAACGCACGTCAAGATGAGAATGCTTACAGACGGTTCAATTGAGTCCGAGGTGCGCCTTAAGTCTTTCACAGTCAAAGACACTCGCAAGGACAAGGCGAATAAATTCCGGGAAGTGATTCCTGCCGTGACGCATGGTGGTTCTCAATTCATGGCTTCCGTGACCATGTCAGGTGGAGATGACAAAAACATGGTGGTTATTCTCACTGTTGACAGTCCCAAGATCATCTTCTCTCTGGAGTATATATTCGCCTTGAAGGACTATTTCTTATCGGCCTTCTCGGACAGTGCAGGGGTTTCAGAAGCAGTTGACATGCAAATCGAAGAAGCCTTCCCAAGCACGGATGCTAGTTCTACACAACTTGCTCAGACTGGAGGTACTTCGCAGAAGACATTCGGAAAGAACGCACCGAAACCGGCGGCAGCGTCCAAGGACGAAGGCGGTATGAATCTAAGATTCCGCGTCAACGTCGTCGATGCAGCAGTCATCCTATTGGCCAACTCTGCCATCGCGAATTCTGAAGCCATCGTACTCAGCATGAAGCAGGTTATCATCGCCCAAGAAGGAATTATGGCTCTGTCGGTGGACCAAATGGGCATGTATCTTCGTCGCATGGATATACCGGAAGAGAACAGACTACGAATTGTAGATGACTTCAATATGCGGTTTGCTATGGATGACAGGGGGTCCGATCTACAGCAGCGTCTTACAAGCATCGACATCGATATCGAGCCTTTGGTTTTGCGTGTCTCATTGCACGATATCCTGCTTGCTGTCGCAATTATCAGCAAGGCTTCGGAGCTCTTACAAGGAGGTCAGGCTACAGATGATGCTCGCAAGCGATCTCGCTCATTGTCACTAGGCGGAGCCTCTGCTGGTCTTCGAAAACGTACAGCTAGTGGCAATGTGCTAACGGCTGCCTCGAGGAAGCCATCCACGTCCTACAGAACGCGAACTACTTCAAGCACAACACAGCGCCAATCAATAGATTCAGATGAATCTGCATTCGTCATCAAGCGTGAGGTATTGAAAGCTAGTATCGACGGCTTGAGGCTTGTGCTCATTGGTGATCTTCATGAGTTGCCGATGGTGGACCTTTGCGTGAAGAAGTTCGATGTGAACGTAAGAGATTGGTCCGGCGATTTGGCGATGGATACCAATATTGAGACTTACATCAACATCTACAACTTCTCCAACTCACACTGGGAGCCTCTGTTGGAGCCTTGGCAGGCGACGTTCCACATGGCACGAAAGAGTAATCCTGACTGCTTGACGATAGACCTGAGCTCGCGTAAGCGAATGGAAATGATTGTGACATCTAAGACGATTGCTACAGCATCGAAGGTCATCGAGTACATGTCACAGCCTAAGGAGGATATTCTCAGCAAGCCGCGGGGTACAGATGCGCCTTACAGAATTCGCAATAAAACAGGCCACACCATCAATGTTTGGGCAGATGCCGGTGCAGCGGAGAGAGAGCACGGCTCTGCAGTCAGGATCGAGGACAGTGCCGAAGTTCCTTGGCGGTTCGAAGATTGGCAACGCATGCGTGAAAACATTCGCGGTGATGCTGAAAATAACACCGTCAGCGTCAAGTTAGAAGGTACCTCCTGGGACACTATTCAGAAAGTACGCATTACACGTGAGGGTGAGTCGCTGTACCAGTTGCATCCCGACCAGCAGAAGTACCATCTCCTTTGTGCGGTGGAACTGGGTGAAGACAACGTGAAGTATATCACTTTCCGTTCTCCGCTGTCCATCGTGAACAACACCCAGGTCCCTATCCAAATGATGGTTTTGGGTGACAGCGGCAACTACGCTCAGAAGGTGTACACCTTGAAGCCTGGTGATAGCGCCTCCCCATCCATCAAAGCAGCGTACACTCAAAGGCTCCGTTTGAGGCCGGATCCAGGCTTGAACTACGCTTGGTCTACAGAAACGTTGGTATGGACTCAGATGCTGGAGAACGCCACCAAGAACATCCAGTGCAAGTCGCTTGATCCCATCACGGAGGAAGGAAAACAACCTCCGCCCTTCAACTTCCATGCGTTCGCCGACTTTGACAGCAGCGATCCATTCACCAAGATTAACCCCTACATGACCATTCGTCTCAGTCCGCCAATTGAGATTCAAAACTTGCTTCCGTTTGACTTCACGTACCGAATCTATGACAAGCAGAGTAAGGAGGATTGGACGAACTTCTTGCGCAAGGGTGGAACAAGCCCTGTTCATGTTGTTCAGAAGTCGCATCTCCTGCTTTTGTCCGTGGATATGGAAGACCAGGTCTACAAGCCTAGTACTTTCGCCATCGTGAACAGCCCTGATACAGAGGAGTATCGCTTGGAATCCAAGCTTGTTCTTGCGGACAAGCAGGATTTGAAGCTTCACCTCCGTATTCAGTACACCGAGATCCCTAACTCCGGTGGGGCTTACCGTGCGTCAGTATACTGCCCGTACATCATCCTCAACAAGACTGGGTTGGATGTCCAGGTGAAGTCAAAGTCCTTCCTCCAGTCCGCCCGTGTTGCAGCTGGTCAGCTCCGATCATCTGATGGCACCAAGTCGGCTATTCCGTACATGTTCTCTTACCACACAGATGAACGCGGAAACCGGGCTGTTCTGAAGGTTGGTGATTCGGCATGGAGTAAGCCGCAGAGTTTCGAAGCGATCGGCAGTGCTGTTGAAGCCGTCATTCCTGCCGCGAGTGGTAGCCAGGAGATCCATGTTGGTATCAGCGTGGCCGCTGGTGAGGGCAAGTACAAGCTGACCAAGGTCATCACTTTGACACCAAGATTTGTTTTGAAGAACAACCTTCCCGAGACGCTTAACATGCGTGAGCCTGGGTCGACAAAGATCATGACCTTGAAATCAGGCGAGATTGCTCCGTTGTACTTCGTCAACTCGAATGCATCAAGGCAACTCAGTCTCTGCTTCCCCGGAATCAACTCTGAGTGGTCTGCGCCCATCAGTATCCAAGATCTTGGACACATGCATGTGAAGCTGAACAAGGAGCACAACCATCAGGAACTTGTCAGAAGCGATGTAAACATGGAGAATGCTACCGTCTTCGTCGGCTTTAGCTTCGAATCTCCTAGTCGCTGGCCGATTGTGATCAGAAATGACAGTAGTACCGTTTTCCAGTTCTGGCAGGCTGATCCAAACTTCACGGAGGAGAATCGCGCGAATCTTAAGCCGAAGAGCGGCACAAAAGTGCGCGAGATAGTCGACAAGTCGGAGATGCCGTACGCATGGGATTACCCTGCTGCTCGGGATAAACTCCTGATAATTTCTGCGAACAACCGCGTACGCCCTGTTAGGCTGGAGGAGATTGGAAACCTTCGACCCATGCAACTTACGCCCGATAAGAAGATCGAGATCAATGTTGTTGCTGAGGGTCCGACCTACGTGCTCTACTTGTCAGACTATGTGGAGCAGGAGAGTAGGTACAGACCGAGGGAGAGCTTCTCGAGGTCTAGAACCTCTTTGCGCAGTGAAACGGACTCGGTCAATGACTTTGATTTGATTGAGGCGAACACCCATGTCAACACCAAGATTCAGGTCCGCTTGGAGGGTATTGGAGTGTCGCTAATCAATAGTCGTCTCCACGAGCTGGCTTATCTCACTTTCCGAGGGATCGAGCTCAAATATGCTCAGTCGCCCTCTCATGAATCGTTCAACGCCATGTGTAAGTGGATCCAGATTGATAATCAGTTGTACGGTGGTATCTACCCCATCATCCTTTATCCGACAAAGGTTCCGACTACGGGTAAAGAGATGGATCAGCATCCTATCTTTCAAGCTGCAATTCAGCGGGTGAAGGATGATGCGCATGGTGTCATCTTCATCAAGTATGCGACTATGCTGTTGCAAGAACTAAGCATGGAGATGGACGAGGATTTCTTGTTCGCGCTTCTGGACTTTACGAAGGTTCCTGGCGCGACCTGGTCTGAGATGAACGAAGGAAAGCTTTGTGATGATACTTTGACGATTCCACAGCCAAAGTCTGATGCGTCTGGCATGGATCTCTTCTTCGAGATCTTGCATATCCAGCCGGCACAGTTCAATCTGTCGTTCGTCCGTACGGAGCGCGTCAATGCTGAGGATAGGACGACATCGCATAACCCTGTGATGTTCTTTTTGAACGTGCTCACGATGGCGCTTGGTAACATCAACGATGCACCTGTCCGTTTGGATGGATTGTTGATGGAGAACTTGCGCGTGACTACCCCAATGTTAGTTCAACGCTTTACGAAGCACTATGGTGATCAGTTCTTGTATCAGGTACACAAGATCCTTGGGTCTGCTGATTTCCTTGGTAACCCTGTTGGGTTGTTTACGAACATCAGTTCTGGTGTGGCCGATGTGTTTTATGAGCCGTATAAGGGCTTCGTCATGAGTGATCGACCTCAGGATCTTGGAATCGGGCTCGCGAAGGGTACGGCTAGTCTTGTCAAGAAGACTGTCTTTGGTGTGACGGACAGTGTTTCCAAGTTTACTGGCTCTATCTCGAAGGGATTGGCTGCTGCGACGATGGATAAGCAGTTCCAGGATAGCAGGCGTATGTCGCGTATCCGCAACAGGCCGAAGCATGCGTTGTTTGGCGTCACTGCGGGCGCTGACTCTTTTGTGAGGAGTGTTGCTAGCGGTGCGACTGGTATTGTCACGAAACCCATGGAGGGTCTGCAGCAGGGCGGTGCAGGTGGTCTGTTCAAGGGTATCGGGCGAGGTCTTGTCGGTATGGCGACGAAGCCCATGATCGGTGTGTTCGATCTTGCGAGCAATGTCACTGAAGGTATCAGGAATACCACTACGGTGTTTGACGAGAATGCAATTGATCGTGTCCGCGTCCCACGGTATATCGGCCGTGATGGAGTCGTGCGGCCGTATTCGCAGCGTGAGGCTATTGGGCAGCAGTGGCTGAAGCAGCTGAGCAATGGGAAGTTCTTCGACGAGGAGTATCTTGCACATGTCGATTTACCTTCGCATGAGCTCGTGGTTATGGTTACGTACAACCGGATCATGCTTGTTCGTTCCCGGCGGTTGACTACGGAGTGGGATATCTCGTTGCGAGATCTGCAGACGATCTCAATTGAGAAGAACGGGCTGTCGCTCATTCTTAAGGGAGGAGTTCAGGGACCTTTTGTTCCGATCCCAGAGCAGAGCGCCAGGGACTTTTTGAAGAAGAAGATTGGAGTTGCGGTTGCTGAGTTTAACTCCCACCACAAGCACCGGGTTGCACGATAAGCTTAAGATAGGACGAGTGCAATTTTAGTTATACCATATACTTCAGGAGTTTAATATCACGTATTTTTCTGCCTTATCTCTGACCTAAATTGAGGGTTCCTACGTCGATCCGCCTGTGTAGGATTTACGTCACTTCACGCAGATCCGGCGCTCATGACATGGACCTGCCAATCTCTGTGATGAATTCAAGATGGCTGAGTCCCGACCCTTCCGGCTGATCCTACATAAGGACAACTGACATCCAGACAATCGATCCATCTGATAATCGATAACATCGTACGCTTACTCAGTTGACAATGCTTCCTCGACAGTCGCTTCGCACGATCAACGTTAACGCTCGTCTTCCCTTCCTTCGCCAAGCTGGTTGGATTGGGCGCCAGGTGCCTGCCTTGTCCGTCAGGCCATTCGCTCAATCGTTCCCTGCCTTGAACAAGAAGGACGCTACTTCTGATTTGACGAAGGAGAAATGGGATCCAAAGATTCCCGACTCCGCGACTACCGGTACCGCTTCAAACACCAGGAAGGATCCTGTCGATGCGCTTAAGGATGACGTCAAAGCCGTCGCTGCTACCTTTGAGGGTGTTCCCCGGGATGCGCAGTTGGCTGGTGTCGCTGGTACGATTCCGTATGTCGTAACCTCCCTGGCTGCACTCTATTGTGGGTGGGATATTCAGACCGCGGGCAAGATTACGGAGATCGGAGACGTGGCGCAGAAGATGATGATTGACCCATCTGTCGCTCACCAGTTGCTGGCGTTTTTGGAGCCGATCCAGATTGGGTATGGTGCTTGTATTCTGAGTTTCTTGGGAGCGATTCACTGGGGGTTGGAGTTTGCGAAGTATGGTGATGCACCCTCGAGGTTGAGGTATGCTGTTGGAGTTGCGCCTACGTTGATCGCATGGCCTACTGTGATGTTGCCGGCGCAGTTTGCTCTGTCCACCCAATTTGTTGGGTTTACGGTCATGTACGCCATCGATTCCGCCATGACAAAGCGTGGGTATACCCCGAGGTGGTACGCACAGTACCGCTTCATGCTCACTGCTGTTGTTTGTTCTTCGATTCTCTTTACCCTTCTTGCCAAGGGCTGGATGAGGTCTCCTGAGGCTGCTGACCCTGGAGCGATTGAGCAGTTCAAGAAGTACAGGAGTGAGGAGTGGGCGAACCTTGACGTTGCTGAAGGACGTGAGCACCCTCAGAACCCCAAGTCGCAGACGCAGGTCAAGCAGGGTGAGAGGGGTCAGGAGAGGCCTGATAAGCCTAAGGATGATGGGAAGGCTGATGTGCAGGGGGAGGGGATGAAGCCCTCGGACAAGGAGTTGGATGAGGAGAAGAAGAAGGACCAGAATGAGAAGGAGACGAAGAAGACTGAGAAGAAGGAGGATAAGGAGCAGGGCAAGACTGGTGGGAGTAAGAAGTAGAGTGTGAAACGGAAGGGACTGTATGATTATGTATACCCCCGGAGTGGGAATGCTTCTTGTAGTGTACGATTAGGACTGGACAATTCTTAATGAAACGACGTTTGATTAAATATTATGATTTAGTACAGTAGAAAACGAAGAACTCCAAGCCAACGGCCATCAACATTAATGCAACAAACAGCAAACGCAGAACCCAAAAAGAAAAATTCATGACCCATTCGGGACGCCTTACAATGTGAACTTAGTAGTACCACCTCTTCCACTCCTTGGTCTCCTCCTCAAACTAAGCTCACATCCCTTCTTAAGGCAGGACTTAAGCTCGAAGTTGCCCTCGTAGCGCTTCGTCCTCTTAGCGTTCACTGCCTTGCGCCCATTCTTGCGGTCCTCCTTGAGCTCAGCCTTGATCGCAAGACGAGTCTCGTGCTTGAGAGGCTTCTGGATCGTATCGAGGACAGACTCCCCAGCAACGTTCTCCAAGGGAAAGAAGATATCCGTAATGGACTCACTGTCGCGGTCGGAGGCGGGGGGAGTAGGGAGAGGGGCAGGGAAGGCGACGGGAGCGGAGGCGAGGATGGGAGTGCGGGGGATGAGGATGTAGGTGTGAGGAGTGGCGAGGTTGTACCGCTCTTCCTCATCCGGCTGCCGAACTCCAGTCCTCATGGGCTTGTCCTCCTTCGGTACGGCGGGGATGGCGAGGACGGCGGGGACAGTGGCGGTGCGCTCGTCGACGTACTCCTGAAACGTCTGCATTGCGAGAAGGATAGCAGAAGCGGAGGTGGCCCTCTTATGCTCCCTCTCCTGCTTCAGCGCGGCGAAGAACGGCGGTGAGAACGGTGGCGGCGGAGATGGACTTCTGGTGGCTCTTCTCCCTTTTGAGCGTGGCAGCGGCGGTGGTCGTGGTGGTAGCCTCTCGTTTCTTTTCAAAGTACTGCAACTCGGCCCTCATCGGGGTGTTGGGGTCGGTTTCCATTTGCTTTTCGAGGATGCAGAGCACCTTGTAAGCTGCGGAGGCGGAGAGACGGTTGTTGATCTCGTAGGGGTACGGCATATTCGACAATCTCTCAATACGTTGTCGAACATGCCGAGCTCCGACAACCATGTCTTCTTGGAAGTAATCCCATTTTGTGTCATCTAAGATGTCGTCCTTGGTAAGAGTGATATCCTCCGCCCAGTGCCGAAGCTTGCGGCTCTTGACCTCTTCAGAGGCGGTAGCCTCACAGGTGATCTCAAGCTTAGGCTTCTTGACAGCGGCAGGCTTAGCTTTGACAGCAGGCTGATATCTGTTGCGAGCAGAGCCACGCATCGTGTGGCACAAGTTCTTCTTCTGGGAGCGGAACTCCTTCTCAGCGACACCTTAGTCACGGTCGAAGAAGATGCGAGCAGCGGCACGGCTGTTGGGGGCAACACTGGTGATAAGACAAGCAAGAAGGGAAGACATGGTTGTAGTAGAGCTTTATGGATGCTTGTACAGATCGAGAGTGGTTGAGAGACCGTTGGTCCGTATACTCGGTGTAGAGAGGAGTGGTTGGTTTGGGTGGAAGTTCGAAGAGCAGAGCTCGAGCGAACATTTTTCGTCGAGTTGCGCTAATCCATAAGCTCTTCGATCTCAGTGGACTCGATCCATCACCTCCTGTCGTCGCGGAATCGTCATGGCCTGTCTCTGTCGTTGCACTTGGTGTTGCACTTTTCTGCGCTGCGCGTACCAGAATTGCCGCTTTCGGCACGCTCGACCCGCTTGAGGTGTAACGTTGACTTAGCCACCGCTAAAACTTGCGGATGCACCTGAATGCAACCTTCTGCTGGCCGGGAACGCGTCCAACGTTAAACTCACCACCAAGGAGATAAAGTCACGTTGGCCAGTGCGGTCTAATAGGCATTGTCACAAGAGTATCAGGTGCCTATCTATCGGTCTTTATTCTCTCTGCGGCCTACAGAACGATAGCATTCATTCAGCTTATCGCGGAGGCGAATCCCGTGTCACCAACGATAGCCAGCATACAATCCGCTATTCGGCCATCGCCGTCGGTTGCAGCAGTAATGCTGGATCCTAAAATTTCTCAGGAGATTGATCTGATCAAGGAGCAAACCGCCGTATACCAAAACCTTATTGAGAAGTCGAACAAGTTCTCGCCGCGGTATGCACAGCGCGTCAAGAATCTACGGGAACAGATGCAGGCGTGTGAGGTGAGGCTGGCAGTCTTGGAGGGACGTGTTGCGTCGACGCCGGCGACAGCGACAGCGACGGAGGTGAACGGCGCTGGAGACAAGAGGAGGATCGAGGAGACGGCGTTGAGTTCGGACGACGACAAACCTGAAGCCAAGAAGGAGAAGATTGATGGCGAAGAGGGAACTGGTACTGCGAACGGAGCAGTGTTCCATGCCAACGCCGGCGACGATGACATCAGCCTTGCTGCTATCGAAGCTTACAACATTCGCAAAGAAAAGGAAGAACAGGAACGCCGCGACGAAATTTTCGCCCGTGCGCTCTCATCCGAACTCAACGGCGGCATCATCGACATCACTGACGGCGAAGCGCGAATCGTCCCCTCTCCGCAGGAAAAGAGCCAGGAAGAAGCCGATGCGGTACTAGCGAGGAGGATGCAAGAAGAGTTTGGGCAGAATCGGTGGGCGCCTCAGGGGCCGCAGATGAGCGTTGATGATTTGCCGAGTATGCCCAATATGCCAAGTCAGGCAAAGAAGCATGGGACGATTGATGGGTATTGGGGTGAGAGGGAGGAGAGGGTGGAGAGGAATCCGATGTTGTTGGGTCGTGGTGTGGTTAAGCCTGAACCTCTGGATCACGGTGAAGGTTCCTCTATGCGCTCCATGACGGATATTGCAAACAGCTTGATTAAGCGGGAACCCGCACCATGGCATGCATTCGGTAACGGTAACGGCGAGTCGAGTAGAGGTTTAGCTGGTGGTGTCATCGATCTGACCAATGACTCTGACTCACCACCACCGGTGGTTAAATACTCCATGGCATCCTCGATTGCGTGGGCGATGGATTATGTTGCGCAGGCTATTGCGAAGGTCGCGCCGTACAATCCTGCACTAGCGCAACAAATGAGGAATAACAGAGCGTTTGCGGAGAGTATGGCGAAGGGCATTCATAGCTCTAAGTTGCCTCGCCCGTATGAGCACTTTGGCAGGGCTGCGCAGGTGGCACCTCCCGGTCTCGTGATGGATAGACCCAGAGGTATGGGTAGTGACGCCATCGGGACAGCGATGAATTATCTAAGTGGGTTGACGTCTGATCAGATCACTGCTGGCGAGGGTCTCCCAGCAGGCGGAATGCATATGTTGGAGGAATTGACGGGAACGAGTAAGAATGAGTTACTCGACTTGCTGAACAACATCAACGCGGACGAGGATCTGAAGATGGAGGATCGTGAGGGTACGCCTGGAGGCCTCAAGCCAACATTGATGGAGCACCAGAAGGTCGGGTTGACGTGGTTGAAGAAAATGGAAGCGAGTAAGAACATGGGAGGTATTTTGGCGGATGATATGGGGTTGGGGAAGACTGTGCAGACACTTGCCTTGATCGTGGCGAACCGGAGTGAGGATGAGGCGTGTAAGACTACGCTTGTCGTTGCGCCGGTTGCGTTATTGAGGCAGTGGTATGACGAGATTAAGGAGAAGACGAATTGTAATCCGAGGTTGAAGGTGTATCTGCATCATGGAAATGACAGGCGGCACGTGCATTGGAGGGAGTTTGCGCGGTATGATATTGTGTTGACGTCGTATAATCTTATCGGCAACGAGTGGAAGGCGGTGCAGAAGTACGAGGATCGTGTGTCTGAACTACTAGAGGCTGCCGAGGGTGCGACTTTGACGGAGGGCCAATTGCCCCTTCGGCCAAAGGCTCCATTCTTTGATGGTACGTGGTATCGTATCGTACTCGACGAAGCGCAGATGGTGAAGAACTCGAACACGAATGGTTCCAAGGGTGTTTGTGATTTGAAGGCAATGTACAGGTGGTGTCTAAGTGGTACCCCCATGCAGAACAGCGTCGAAGAAATGCACTCCTTAATCAAATTCTTGAGGATCAAGCCGTACAACCAGGCTGACCGTTTCCGGAGGGATTTTTCGCGTCCCTTGAAGAACGGGTATACCTCCGACAAGAAAGCTGCGATGACCAAGTTGCAGACGTTGTTGAAGGCAATCATGTTGCGTCGCACAAAGACGAGTACAATTGATGGGAAGCCGATTTTGCAGTTACCTCCCAAGACGATCGAGATGGTGCATCCTGTGTTTAGTGAGGATGAGTTGGACTTCTATAAACAGCTCGAATCGAAGGCGCAGGTGCAGGTTAGCAAGTACCTCAAGGCTGGTACAGTTGGGAAGAACTACAGTAACATCTTGGTGTTGTTGCTGCGTCTAAGGCAGGCCTGTGATCATCCTTACCTTCTCGGTGACCGCGGCTCCTCGATCGACGAGTTGGTCGAGATCGATGAAGAAACTGCAATCAAGTTGGCAAAATCTTTGGCGCCGGACGTCGTTGAGAGATTGTTAGCTGAGGATACCTTCGAGTGCTCGGTGTGTATGGAATTACCGCAGGAGGCGCTTGTCATTCATCCTTGTGGTCACTTCTTCTGTCGTGAGTGTATCGTGTCGATCTGTGAGACGCAGAGTGCGGAGGCTATCGCTGCTGGTGATGAAGGCAGGAAGGGCAAGTGTCCTACGTGTCGTGGCGTGCTTGACACGAAGAAGCTCGTTTCGCTCAACAAGATTAGGGAGATTCATGGTTCAGCTTTGGGTAGTGAAAGTCAGGCTATGGATGATTTGCTTGGCTTGAAGGGCGATGATGATGACGAGGACAACTGGGGTTCGCAAGCGGAGGAGAGTGACGGCGAGTTCGATGACATGAAGCCTAAGAAGAGCAAAGGCAAGGGCAAGGCGAAAGCTGTAGAGCAGCCGAAGAAGAAGAAGTCTAGGAAGAACCAGCATAAGGAGTGGCTCGAAGAGATCAAGAAGGCCGGGAGTTGGTACTCTTCTGCGAAGATCGATAAGTGCGTGGAGATTCTCATCGAGACCAGAGGCAATGACTACACCGAGAAGTCCATTGTCTTTAGTCAGTTCACCTCCTTTTTGGATCTCCTCGAATTTGAGCTTTGCAAGCATGGGTTTGATCCGATCAGGTATGACGGTAGCATGAACGCTGGACAGCGTACCGCTGCTATCTCAGAGTTCAAGCAGTCACACGAGAAGACCATCTTTCTCTGTTCCCTGAAAGCTGGTAACGTCGGTCTGAATTTGACACAGGCTTCCCAAGTCATCATGCTTGATCCTTTCTGGAACCCATATGTCGAAGACCAGGCAATCGATCGTGCTCACCGTATTGGGCAGACTCGTCCCGTCAAGGTTCACAGGCTTACGATTCAGGGTACTGTTGAGGAGCGTGTCCTTACTTTGCAGGACAAGAAGAGGACGCTTATTGAGGCTGCGTTCGATCCGCAGGCGCTCAAGAGTATTGGAAGGCTCAATGTCAGGGAGCTTGCTGGGCTGTTTGGTATCAATGTTTAGGGTTGTGGGTTGATGTGTTGATGTGTAACACAGGTAAAGGGTTAGGTCGGGTTATCTGGCATATGGAGTTAATGTCTTTAGAGTTTTACGTATACAGGAAGAGTTTTGTGGTTTCTTTTCCTTCCCGACATGGTCGGCTGGCAAGGAATAGGAAGGTTGTTATTTGCTAGATTTGCTGGAAGTTTACAAATCTGTACTCAGTTCTGGCTGTTTTGTTGCCTATCGTCTATCTTTTCATCCTCATCAATCATCGAATTTGCTGAATTCTGACCATTTCGGCAGCTCTGGTAATTTGAACTCTTCGTCCTTTGACAGCGGAACGGGTTTCCGAGGGGACTTTCCGCCCCCCCCATGTCTTCCACCTACAGCCTCTCCAACAGGTCCATGCGAGACAGTACTCGCACTCCACTCATCTAACCACGCCATAGCCACCCAATGCGACAATCCAGCATGAAGTCCCTTATAGTACTTCGCATTCGCCCGCCGCAGGGCACTACCCATAATCTTCTCCATCCCCGAATCACGTAACTGTATCCTCAAACCATGTCTCTGCATCCGCTGTTCAGCTTCAGATACCCTCGGTTCCGCATACGCAACAATCAGGAGATTGAGGAGGCGGACCATCGCGGTCATGTATGAACATGCTCCTTCTTCTGGACTACCCACGAAACCTGATGGTAATTCGGCGGCGGTTTTGGCTTCTTTCTCCGCGAGGATTCGGTCTTGATAGTCCAAGTTTGTCCATATAGAGAGTTCGAGGGGAGTTGATTGGATGATGTTGCTGCTGTGGGACCAAACCCAGAAGACGTCTCTCGTAACAGCGCCCATTTCTTGACACCAGCGATGTTTGAAGGGACGTGGTGTATGCGCTGCTTCAAGGAAGAGAGGGATCGTTGAGGATGGTGTTGGGGGATCTGAGAGGTGAGAAAGGAGAGTGCGTGCTGCGGAGTGTCGTGAATCAAGGGTCGCGTATGATAGAAGGAAGGTCGCTACATTGTGGGTTAGCCCGATCTCGACCGCAATCTTCGTAGCTCCAAAGAATACTCACTCATCAGCTCGATTAAAATGCGCCGATCCTCGTACTCGGCGGGTTGCTTCTTTGAAAACAGGAAATCCGTTAACTTGGGTATCAGGGTCTTCGACGCTGATAAGAGCATTCCCACTGCTCGCTGCACCGTCCATAATGCTTTCAGGCACAACAGGATTTCGTGTAGTAGTTGATCGTCGTGTTGCTCCTCCCTCCACTCCATGTCGATCAGCTCATTCAGCTGGTTCATCAGAACTTGGAAGCCGCCAGCATTCAGGAAGCTGTCAACCCAATCGATGGTCTCATTACGCAGTAACATGCCCAGTTTGTGTACTTTTGCGACTTCCACCTCTCTCGCCTTCGTCTTCTGAAGGTACTTGACGAGACTTGTTGGATCAACTGCTTTACACTTCTTCGTCGGTGACAGCGGAATGCTAAACTTCTGCTTCTTCTTCGATGGCGAGACGAGGATATTGAACGAAGTATCATGATCGCGTTTTATTGACTTTGTCGGTGATCCGTGTTTAACAAATGCAGCTTTAACGTCCGGTGTCATCGCCGATCTGAGTTTATTCCGCATTGAGGCTGGGATGTTTCGTTCGTCCTGTGAGGAGATTGTCAGTAATCTTCAGATGTCACCAGCTGTTCATTCATTCTCCTCACCAATAACTTTTCGAACTCGTCGTCCTTGACGTATGCATTCTTTCTGGGAGTTTCCGGTGCCGAGACCCTGCTATCCCTTCCGAACGAGTCTCCATCCTCCTCACCCATGTTCTGCCAGCCATCGACTTGCAGGGCATCCCGTAACGATCCAACCTTTGCGTAATCGAGTTTGACAGGTGATGGAGGCCGATTCAGTGCACTTGGCTTCGTGGGTGACAGCTTTTTGGAGGGTGAGAGCAGTGCCTTTACCTGCGAGAAGCGCTTCTTCCGTGGCGTTGACGGTAATGGAGAAGCTGACATCGTTATGTGTCGGAGTTGAAGGGCCGTGCGGGCTTCACGAACGGTGTGGATGACACCTCCTGATCTGTTGTTTATGCCTTTCCAATCTCTGGAGCCGGTTTGTGTGTTGTATTTGTCCCAGGATATCTCAGCTATCCAATAGGCGAAGTGGCCGAGCGGTCTAAGGCGCCGTGTTAAGGTTACCACAAGTAATCCCGCGGTCCGAAAGGGCGCGAGTTCGAATCTCGTCTTCGTCACCATATGTTTTTCCTTGAGTCGGAGAACCGTGGGAAACCTGGGAGTTCTTGCCCCGGAAGTCGACTGAAAGCATATAGAGATACTCGAGCTTCGTACCCAAAGGAGGACGTGGACGCGAGACACAAAGAAAAGTTCAAAGACACTACCATATTTTACCTAAACTACACAAAGACCCAACCTACACTCCGGCAATAACAAGAAGGGAACGTAAGAAACCCCAAAATCACACCCTAACATCGTACATAAGAGCTAACAGTATTCTTTACACCTTCACTCCACGCTCTGCACCGCTCACAAGTCGATCAAGCTACCGCTCTGCTGATGTCCACCCTGCTGCTGCTGACCCCATTGTTGCTGTCCAAATGCCTGCTGCTGCTGAGGCTGCGCATACCCTGTGGCCTGCGCCTGCATTCCATACTGCTGCTGCTGTTGCTGCTGCTGCTGTTGTGGTGCTCCGAACGGCGACTGCCCAAACGCACCACCATTCTGCGCGTTGAAGCCAGCATTGCTAGTGTAAACATTGCTCGCAACACCCGTCATCGTAGGCTGCAACGGACGCTGCGTAACAGCACCCGTGACCTGTCCACTGAGGAAGGGGTTGTTGAGACCACCACGACCAGCGGAGTTGACGTAGGCTGCGGCGGTGTGTTGGGAGGGCAGGCGGAGGTCACCGGTGTTACCGAAGGTATCCAAACCAGAAGCATTTCCAGCCCCGATGAGGGAGGCGAGCTTGGCATATCGGGGGTCGTCCTGTCTTGCCTGCTCTTCCCGCTGACGCTCCTCTTCCTGGATCATCTGTAGACTGTTAAGCGAGGGCTTTCCGGCGTTGGCGGACTGAGGACGAGGAGCCTGTGACACCTGTCCGAACTGAGCGAAGGGGTTGTTGCTTCCGGTAGGTTGAGGAGCAATAGCCTGCGGCTGGTTTGCCTGCGCATAGGGGTTGTTTGATCCCGTAGGCTGAGGCATGACTTGCTGTTGCTGTTGCTGCTGTGCGTAGGGGTTATTGTAACCTGTTGGCTGAACACCGACATACTGAGGCTGCTGAACGGGCTGCTGGTACTGATCGTACCCAAACTGCTGCTGCTGGTAACCAGTCTGATCTGGTTGCATGAATGCGGTCTGCTGAGGCTGAACGTATCCAGTGTACTGCGGCTGCTGAAACTCCGCCTGCTGTCCATATGGATTTCCGAAGAAATCCACCGCCGGTCCCTGCTGGTATCCCTGTGCTCCATGCATCGTCGTAGGCTGATCAAAAGTATCATCAAACAACGTCGCCGCAGTGTTGCTGTTCAGCTCAACCTGTCTCCGCTCCTCTTCCTCCTTCGACAACTTCAACGCACGCTGAAGATCATCATCCTCATCCCCAGCCACCGGAGCAGGACGCGACCCCCGCGCCTCCAACTCAGCCAACCTCTTCGATTCCTCAATCGCCCTTCTCATCTCCTCATCGTCGTCATCATCCCTTGCAGTCCGTTGCCTCCTTGGTCTCTGACTTTCTCTCCCCGCGAACGCACTGAAATCATCATTTCGACTCGATAGCCTGTCGCGCATATGTGACCGGTTCTTCCGTTCCGCGCGGAGTCGTTCGTCGTCTTGCAACAATGCAGTAAGATCCTTTGCTTTTTGTCGGACGTTCGCGCCTTGATCCTTCGCTTCCTCGTCGACATATTGGAATTCGCGGAGGGTTTTGATGATGTAGAGGTTGTCTTTTGCCCAGTTGACTACGTTCTCGGATCCAGAGTGGACGATGTAGTCCAATACCGTCAGTGCCTGTACCTTTGATTAATTCTAGCTCTCCTGCCATGAAATCATGGGCACAAACCTTAAACACATGCCTCCAGTTCTTCCCCTTATCATTCATCCGCTTATCCAACATATCCATGACCTCAAGGAGATCATTATGGTTAAACGTCAACTGCGCGATCTCATTCATATCCGCCCCACTAGGTCCCCACTCCTCATTACTCGTCGCTTCTCGGACCTTGACCTGGATGTCGGAGTACTTCATGTTCTTCCTGCACCCCGCAGTCAGCAACCATTCATCGGAGAGGCGGGAAAGAGGAGAACGTACACTGAGCGCATCACGCCCCGGCCTAGAGATGCCATCCTGACTGACTATTGGGATCAGATGGTCTTTGGTTGGTCGCTTCTCGGAGATCGCGGCGGCCGGAGTACTCGGGGTTTAGTGCGCGTCAGCCTCACATGTTGCGAGTCCCTTTGCGTCATTGCGTGTTGACAGCCATTTAATCATTAATCATTAACTGGAAATCATCTAAACCTATATGAACCTGTAATTTTTGATCCTTTTGCATTGATTACACCCTCTCAGCATCCTCAACATGCCTATAATACTCCGGCGGGACAGCCAACCGCCTTCTCTCGCCCTGCCCAACCCCTACCTCACCCTCCAACCGCTCCGTAAGGACCTCATCGTACGTAGGCGGTAACTGTACCTCCGCTTCGACATTGTCAACCGGGACAGCCTGTGTTTCAGCGGCAGCCTCAGCAGCTTTACCCTGCTGTGACGGCCTAGCAGGCATAGGCGGTGGTCGCTCCGGAAGTGCAGGCGACAACCCTTCCTTCCCAGAACCAGTTGCCGGTCGCAGCGGATACGCCGGTGCCGCAGCCTGTGCCTTCCCATTCCTGTCCCGAGCAACCAATCCCGCCGGCGGCTTCATCCCCGAAAAGACCTGAATTCCCATGACCAACGTAACAGGCGAAACCTGTCCCGCACTCTCAACCATAACTGTAACTTCCAGCACATAACCTCTCTCCAGGTTGCATGTTCGAAAGGTGGGTACTACGGAATCCGGTAGCATGACTTTCATCGTCAGGGTACGTGCGCCGGAAGTATGGAGGGGGTGTGGAGTGGGGAGTTTGAGTGCGTGGGTTTGCTTGACGGGGTGACCGTGGGCGGTGATGCGGGTTGTTGAGAGGAGGCGAAGTTGCAGGTCTGCAACGGTGGCTTCTTGTGCGCTATTTAGCATGATAACTAAATCCGTCGGGATGGTTGGCGTGAGGACTGGTGGATTAGGTAGTCGTGCCTCGACCATCACCGAACCGCTGACTCCATTCCCACCACCACCCCTAAGCGCAGCAAAAAACCCTCCCTTCTTCTTACCAAACTGCTCCTCCTTCCGCGCAAACACCTGTAACCCGCCCTGCGGCACCGGTCGCGGCGGCTCAATCGGCAGAAAGATGAAAGGATCATACGCGCGGTAGTTGGCCTTGTAAAACGCTTTTTTGCTTACCGTCACTTTGACGAAATACTTGACGAAGCAATCTTCCCCGCCTGCTACACTTGGTGGCAAAATGGCTTTAACGTGGGAGAGTGGAGTGGAGACGGTGGTGATTCCTTTGCTTGTCGAAGCTAGGTTGTTTAAGGAGAATGCACCAGTCTTGGGTGGTGGAGCTTCCGTGCAGGAGTGGTTGATCGGGATCCGGAGGCGGAAGGGGTAGGTGTATTGCCCAGTTGGGAGGGTGAATGAGCCACTTGACGTCGTCTGAAGAGACCTGATATCGGCGGGTGGGAACACCACTTGTTCTCGGTGCAGTAGCTGTATACAGCGTTAGAAAGTATCTAAGAATAGCTGCAACCGTATGCACACCTTATGGATCTCAACGTATGGCTTCTCTTTCCGATCACCTGGTCTTCTGGGTGCCATCACCACGGATCGCGAAACGCCTGAACAAGGTGTTAGCCCTATACTTGGAGCATCGTGAACACTTTGGCACCTTCTAACTTCACCGTAACCTTCTCGATATCCTCATCTGTGCGTAGATCAAGCAGTACGGTGCCTTCGACATAATCGAGGTTGGTGAAGCTGTGGAATCATTGTCAGCTCGGGAAGCGTGGTATGCAAGTATCAAGGATCCAACGTTTTCCCTTGATCCTTCAATTGGATCTTGACGCTCATTCTTTCTTCTCGGTGTCTGATTCCTTGGTGGTTAGGACTGAGCAGAAAGACGTCATGCTCACCCGCGCGCGGTTGCGGTTCCCTGCAAAACACCAAGACGACCAACGACCACCACCAAGTCAGTCCCCAAGCACCAGCATGATCCGCCGTCCACCATCCTCATTACGTGGCCCCTCCGCCCGCCTCCTAACACCCGGCCTCCACGCCCACCCATTCACCCACACACCCCTCCTCCACCTCCAGGATTCTCGTCTCTCAGACGTCGACGAAGGTTCCCACCCAGACAAAGGCGCATCTGGCCAAACAATCAAATCCTACACCGACGAATTCGCATATATCCGTGAGAAATACGATACTCCGCGATATCCTGTGGTATTGTGTCATGGACTGTTTGGGTTTGATACGATGAACATTGGGGCGATTGAGGCGTTGCATGTGCCGCCATTAGCTGTGGTTGCATATTGGAGAGGTCAGTTGCTTCGATCTGAATACCTTTGGTAATTGCTTACGCGGAACAACTTACAGGTATTGTCGACGCACTCACACAGAATGGAATCGAAGTGCTCGTTACACGCGTCCCCCGGTCTGCAACCATCGCTGAACGGGCAGAGATGTTACATTCCCAAATATCCGAGAAACTCCCCGGCCGAGAGATCAACCTGATAGGGCATTCGATGGGTGGACTCGACGCGCGGTATCTCATCTCAAACATCAACGCCAAGGATCCCAAGTACGAGGTTAAATCCTTGACAACGGTTGGCACACCACATCGAGGAAGCAGCTTCGCAGACTGGGCTTTTGCAAAGATCCCCCCACCACGGCTCCCAGGCCTTTACTCTCTTCTTAACACCCTCGGCCTCGAAACTGGCGCCTTCGAACAACTGCAAACAAAATACCTCTCAGAGAAGTTCAACCCCTCCACCCCCGACTGCCCCTCCGTCAACTATTTCTCCTACGGCGCAAACTTCACTCCCGGGTGGTTTTCCGCATTCCGCGGAAGCTGGGGTATCGTGAATGGAATTGAAGGTGCCAATGACGGGCTTGTGAGTGTCGAGAGTGCGAAGTGGGGAAAGTATCAGGGGACAATTGATGGGTGTTCGCATTTAGATATTATCAATTGGACGAACCGGATTAGGTATAATTGGATGAAGATGTGGGGGACGGGACCGAAGTTTAATGGCGTTGCATTTTATCTGCATATTTGTGACATGTTGGCGAAGGAGGGTTTGTGATTGTGGAGAGAAGGAGGGAGCTATAGACATATATGAGTATAGGAACAGCTAAGAACAATATGAGGAATGTTTTAGTAGTAGCTACATCTGGTGCTGTGTCGGTGAGCTTGGAAGAATTGCGAGTAAGCCAGCCTGTTCAGGCAGACGTACGTGAACTTTTGCAGCAATCGTGGGAACTGAAAAAGTTCACCTCACGCAGCTGATACGCAGATTCACTTGTAAGTGTATCGCCCTCGATCTGACACGCTGTTATCTGATCATTGTACCATACTTGGTTGGTCGCACATCCTCCCGGGAATGGGATGCAGCACGGCAAAAGCATTCGTTCCCACGTACTGAAAGGAAAAGGGATGGTGACGAAGACGAGATTCGAACTCGCGCCCTTTCGGACCGCGGAATTACTGGTAGTAACCTTAACACGGCGCCTTAGACCGCTCGGCCACTTCGCCATTGGATAGCTGGGAAATATTTGGACAAACATCAACCAATGCAGATCCCCCCTTTCACATGTTGGGTTCCCCGCATCCCGCCTTTCGGTCATGCTGCTTCCGAATGAACACCAAGCAGAGAGGAAGAGCAAGAGCATACATCCAGCACACACCCAGGAGGACAGGCAACAAGCAACAGACAACAGACAACTGCATGGCTATCAAGACAAAGCTTACAGAGGCGACGGGTATCAGAATCCCTGTGGTTCAGGGAGGGATGATGTGGGTTGGACGCGCGGAGCTGGCAAGGTGTGATAAGCCTTGCTCTCTGACTACGCAGTGCTGACTGGTTTTTCACAGTGCGGTGTCGAACGCAGGCGGAGTAGGTTGTTTTGTCGTCCTCGGCGGCTACAATACTGACAGTATCGTTGTAGCTCGGCATCCTCACTGCCCTCACTCAGCCCACCCCTGAAGACCTGAGAAAGGAGATTCGCAGGTGTCGCACCATGACTGACAAGCCGGTTCGTCTCGTTCTCCTCCCAACATGTTGCATGCTGACAGTTGCGTAGTTCGGCGTCAACCTGACCCTCCTCCCTGCCCTCATCCCCCCAGACTACCCCGCCTATTGCAAAGTCATCATCGAAGAGGGCATCAAAATCGTTGAAACAGCCGGTAACAACCCAGGCCCCGTTATCAAAACCCTTAAAGGATCCGGAATCTTCATTATCCACAAATGTACCGCAATCCGACATGCGCTCAGTGCGCAGAAGTTGGGTGTAGATATGTTGAGTATTGATGGGTTTGAGTGTGCGGGACATCCGGGTGAGGACGATGTGACTGGGTTAATTTTGTTGGCAATTGCAGCGAGAAAGTTGAAGGTGCCGTATATCGCGAGTGGTGGGTTCGGGGATGGACGTGGTCTTGCCGCGGCGTTGGCGCTTGGTGCTCAAGGGTAAATCTATATCAAGCTGTTTCGAACTTTGACTGATATCGACTTACAGGATCAACATGGGCTCCCGCTTCATGGCGACTGCTGAAGCACCCATCCATCCCAACATCAAGCAATCCATCGTCAAAGCCGACGAACGCTCTACCGCTCTCCTCCTCCGCTCATACCGCAATACGACGAGGATGTACAAGAACGAGGTCGCCAAAGAAGTCGTCTCCCGCGAGAACCAGGGTGTCAAGTTCGAGGGTGTTCGTGAACTTGTTGCCGGTGCGAGAGGTAAGAGGGTGTATGAGGAGGGTGATGACAATGCGGGTGTGTGGACGATGGGTCAGGTTGCAGGTCTTATCGATGATGTGCCGACTTGTCAGGTCTTGTTGGAGAGGATTGAGAGAGAGGCGGAGGAAATCATCGCTGGTAATGCCAAGATGTTGGTTGGCAGTGGAGGAAAGGCGAAACTCTAGAGTAGACGGAACGGACAATGAGGTAGACAGAAGTCTATTTTGCTACTATAGTTCGCAACTCATCTGCCCAGACTTCCGAAGTCCAGCTGCAGTCGTACTTGTGAATTTTCGTACCGGATTGACTTCATCGTCTCGCGGCCATCCCCGGACAAAAATCCGCCGCGCTCATTGGCCAACCCCTGCGCTCACAAATTCAGAGTACACCTGCACACATCACCATTCGGTACCACACCCTTCGACCCTCACACCATACCGAAAATGTCATCTTTCTTCGCCGACATCGTCTCCACTATCTTCCCTGCCGCCCACGCTGAGGCTCCTGTCACTACCGAGGACGAGCACTCTAGCGCCGGATCGTCGGATGAGCCTGAGCCGGAGGTGATTGAGCAGGAGGAGAAGGAGGAGGAGGAGGAAGAGGAGGAGGAGGAGGAGCCTGAGGACATTATGCCTGCGCTTGAGGAGGGTATGTTTGATGCGGGTCGTCTGTTGTTGCTTGCGGTGGCGGTTGAGATGGCTACATCGACATGATGGGATATCGATACCGACACTACACATGCGATGACGGACGATCTCTACTGTCTTGGAAATGGAGGGACAGATTGCTGATGAGTGGTGATATAGAGTGTGCCAACTCCAAGGCTTGCGAGCCTGCTAAGCACCACTTCGAGGAGTGTGTTGCGCGCGTTACCAAGGACATCGAGGAGCATGAGGCTCAGGGCAAGAAAAGGGCACACGGAGAGGACTGTGTTGAGGAGTGGTTCCACGTACGACGATACCATACCCCTCTCTTGAGATAAAGAGAGTGAGTGTCATAGACGGAATGCTAATCGAAGCGTTACAGTTGGCTCACTGCGTCGACCCTTGTGTTGCCCCCAAGCTTTGGTCCAAGTTGAAGTAAACGGATCATCGATGAGATTTCGTTGTGTGGAAGGAGTAATGGAGGGTGTGTGCTTGGAGGAGCGTTGATAGATGTTTGTGTCCTGAGACGGAACATCGGCAAAATGGACATGGAGGTGTTAAGACGGAGTTCAAGATATGATGAGAGAGGAGATTTGGGCCGTCTCCGACTGTACGCAATAGTCCGCAATCAAAACTGGATATCTATTATGGCTTGTTCCATCTGTCGCCTGTGTGAGTTAAGATCGACGTCGACATAACGGGAGCTTGTACCAACATCGAGTAAGATAATGGGAGTCTGCGTATAGGTCACGAATTGGAGCAAGAAGGGACAGCAAGAATATGATTAACGTCTTTATTGAAGCAGAAAGTATGTCCGAACTACCGACCCACCCCCCTCAAAGCAGAACACAATGAGCGAGGTACGGACCCGTGAAGGCCCAGGGCGCTAAGATATCCGTATTCCTCTACGATACTACTGACGCTTGTAACCCTCGTAGGATATATAGAGGACTCAAGCAACACGGAATTAAAGTATCGAGCCGCACACCTCCGGCGGTTTTACGGCCGGAGGGTTTGAAGAGAAACTTGGGGTCCAGGGGGACGGACTGGTTTTGTACTCTGCGGTGTGGCGGTGCAAATTTTGCTTGGCTAAGGTGAGGCGTGAGAGTGTGTCTGGAAGCTGCTGACTACGTTACATTGATGGTAACTGGAGACTGATTTCAATAAGACCTCGAAGTTGAATGATGTCCTGAATTAATAGTATTACGCCTGATGCTGCTAATACCCTCATCGCGATGCCTCCCTACCTATGAAATGACTGAAAAACAAGAAACGAAAGAAAATAAGACAGACTCCAAATATCCCTAATTTCGCCTCAAAGAAAACCATATGCGTGTACCGGCCACTGTCAATATTGTCCCTCACTTACTCAGAGAGTGAGACTTGCTTAGATGCACCCCTTCTCAACCTTCTTCCTCGCCAGGATCTCCCATTCATCCCCGCCACCGACACCGTCAATCCACTTCCTACGTCTCCTGTGCTCCACGACCCATCCACCGGCTTTGTCGGGTAAATACTCTGTCACAACTCTTCCGTCATCGTTACCCGCACCATTCACGACACCAGCTTGAGAAGCCAGAGACGAAGACTCAGATGTGGGGAACCTGTCATCAAAGTCCTCCCCAACATCTCCATTGATCTCGCGAAGCATAGCGGAATCAAGAGAAGCAGTGTCATCAAAATCCTCCTCATCGTAAAGATCGCAAGGCATATCTTCGTACGAATCGGGATCGAACTCACCAGTCACAGCTGCGAACCCAGCATACTGCCTCGGAGGCTCGTCGTCACCAAAAGCACTCTCCCCGCACTCACTCGCAGGCAAATCGTCTTCTTCTTCGGCATCGTAAGCTTCCGTGTCGAATGTGCCAGCATCAATGACAGGTGAACGAAGGGATGGAGCGAGCTGCTCTGAGATAATGTAGTTTGGCGACAGAGGACGTACCGGAAGTGCGAAAGACGGGGGAGCGAATGCTGGCGTGGGTAACGCAGTACTGCCCTCGTCCTCGCTTTCGGCCTCGTATTGGTCTGGATCAAAGCCATCCGCACCATTGATCTCTTCCTGAAACCTAGCAATGCCCAAGCCACTCGACAAAGGATGTACACTCAAGCCACCAACCTCAGTCCGGTTTGTCGATGGCCTGGACGGAGATTCTTCCGCACCTTCATCGATCTCCCGTAGTGCGAGGATTGCGTCGACACCCTTAGCGGACTCAGCATCATCATCGATCGGGGTCATCTCGAAGGAGAAGCGACTCCTAACAGTGTCCGTCCGAGTTGGTGTGACATCGATGGTAGGGAATGAAATTGCTCTCCTTGGTGTCAGCGGTGCAGTCGCTGGCGGGGGCGGTGTTGCCGTGGGCGATATGGGCTCCGCCAAGACTACACTCACTTCCCCCTCCTCCTCCTCTTCCGCAACAGCATCCTCCACCACAACTTCGTCATCCACCACAGCCTCCTCATCACGCAACGGCCAATTAGGTGGAAACGCCATCACCTCTGGTACAATTGTCGGAAAGTACGAGCCTCCCTCGGCAATATCCGTCACCTCCGCGGCAGGAGTGAGCAACACCTCCACCCTCTCAAACTCCGTCTTCGTAGCAGGTGCACTCGTTATCATCGGCGCACTTCCCCTCCTGCATTCCGTGATCACAAGTGATGGAGACCCAATCCCAACACTCCGTACACTCGTTCCACTCGCACTCCAATCCACGCTGCGCGTCGCACGGATATGTAACCCCTCCCGTTCCCTCTGTTCCAATTCCTCCTGATTGAGTACCTTGAGCTGCACCGGTCCAGGCTTCGATCGACGACGTTTAGGACTCTTCCTCCGTGGTGATTTCTGATCGAAGGGGCTGGTTATGGTCGAACTCGTCGTAGAAGGGGTCCGTGGTGCATCTTCGGTAATGGTAGATCGAGTGTCTCTCGATGAGAGACGGCGTAGGAATGGTGGAATAATGGCTTTCAATGTCGCTGCTGACATACTTCCAGGGATGAATGCTATCGAAAATTGACTTCTGGTGTCGTAAACTCCCAGATCGATGGTGGTTGATGGGTGATATATGGGTATCGATCAGAAACTCCCTTAATCCTCACTCTAGCAACACTTGGCGACTGAAAGGCCTCGCTGAGTAAATATAGCCGTTTTCGAGTAGGTTCCGTAGAGCAACCGTCCCTCAACGTCCACGAGCCGTTCCGTATGGAAGCTGTCCGTATCCCAGTCCTTATGGTCCGCGGTACTTGGCCGATCTCAGAGCTGAACGCACGTCGGCAGGTGTTGCACAGACCTTGGCTACTTTTAAATTCCCGTCCCAGGTTGGTGTGTAATTAGCAGCCACCTACGGAGCAAACGCGAGCAAGGGTCGGTATGGGTATGGCAGGGATAGAGCGGGCGGTGCGGTTCAAATGGGTGCGGCTTGGGTGTGAGATGAAGGAAAGCGGCCGGTGTCCTATATTTAGCAACATGCAGCCAGATGCACTCCGGGGTCGACTTTGGTGGGTGGAGGCTAAGCCACCTCGCAATTGCAACACCACACTGGAACACTGCAGTTAAAGGAAAAGCAAACTTGAATTAACCTCTCGCGATTATAAACACAATCAACAAAAGCAAGAATGACTGTCCCTCCTTCTCTCCATCCCATCCAGTAGATCCCTATGAACTTGTAAAATATGTTCATCGAAGCTCTACTTCACATTCCACTCTCACCCCGTCAACAACATAACTTCCAACTCGCAGAAATGCTAGTCCTCCTAACAGTTTTGTGCGTTTAAGCCTCGGTCTTCTCCTCAGCAGCCTCCTCACCCTCAACGGCGGGGGCCTCAGTAGGGTCCTGCTGGGCCTGGTACTCCTTCAAGACAGTCAAAGCCTCCTCAACCTTAGCGTTCAACTGAGCGTCATCATCGACGAGGGAAACCAACTCGGGGATCTCCATGTCCAACAACATACCAGTGATCTTACCAGCGAGCTCAGGCTGCTGGGCGGCGATCTTGGGGTACATAGCCTCACCGAGAACCTGCTTCTGCTGCTCGATGGGGAGACCGGCGAGGGACTCCTCGGTGATCTTGGGAGCCTGGGAGATCTCAGCGGGCTGCTGGGGCTCGTTGTTGCGGTAAGGACCGCGGGGGCCACCCATGGGTCCACCACGGGGCATACCGGGCATGGGGCCACGCTGGTTACCGCGGGGAGGGTATCCACCGAACTGGGGAGGAGGCATGCCGTAGGGCATGGGGGGCATGGGGGCACCGTTCTGCCAGCGGGGACCACGAGGCATTCCCTGGGGAGGGAAGGGACCACGGGGCATACCGCCCATCGGGCCGAACTGAGGAGGCGGGGCCTGACCGTAGAACATGGGGGGAACACCGTTAGGTCCGGGGTAAGGTCCCTGACCCATACCGGCAGCGGCAGCCTGCTGCTGCATGCGGATCTGGTTGCGAGCAGCAATCTGGGCCTCGAGCTGCTGGCGGCGGACGTCCTTGCGCTGCGCGAGGGCAACGTAGAGGGGCTTGGTGCCGATCATGCGGGAGTTCATCTCGGTGACAGCCTTGGTAGCCTCATCGGGGGAAGAGAAGCAGACGAATCCGAATCCCTTGGACTTCTCCTTGTCGTCCTTCATGACCTTGGCGGACGTGATGCTACCGTAGACGGAGAACTCCTGGCGGAGCTTCTCGTCATCGACGTCGTCCTCAAGGTTCTTGATGAAGAGGTTGACACCCTGGTACTTGTTCATCTTCTCAATCTTAGCCTGCTCGTACTGGCGGCGGAGCTCCTCCTCACGCTCATGCTTCTTCTGGGCACGACCGACGTAGAGCTTCTTGCCCTTGAAGTCGGAGTCGTTGAGGGACTCAACGGCCTTGGTGGCCTCCTCGTGAGACTCGAAGTTGACGAAACCGAAACCACGGGCCTTACCCTCAGCATCCTTGGCCAAGGACGAAGAGGTGATCTTGCCGAAGGGCTCGAACAAAGCGGCGAACTCCTCCTCGTTGGCCTCGGAGTCGATGTTCTTGACGAAGACGTTGGTGAAGTTGGCCTTCATCTGCTCGAACTTGGACTGACGCTCCTTCTTGCTGACATGGTGACCGACGAAGACCTTCTTGTCGTTCAACAACATGCCGTTAACGTGCTTGATGGCGTTCTCAGCGGACTCGGCGGCCTCGTAGTGAACGAAACCATAACCCTTGGAGTTGCCCATCTCGTCGGTGGCGACCTTGCAGGAAAGGATGTTACCGAAAGCAGAGAATGTGTCATGGAGGGCCTTGTTGTCAATAGCGGCGTCGAGGTTCTTGATGAAGACGTTACCGGCACCGGTCTTGCGGAGGGCAGGGTCACGCTGGGACCACATGATACGGCAGGGACGACCCTTGATCAAAGTGTAGTTGAGCTCCTCGAGAGCACGCTCACCTAAAGAAATACGGGTTAGCTTTGCTCATGACGCACAACACGTAACAAAGTGACAAGTGACATGTTCCGGTCCACACTTTCTCCAGTGACGAGGCCAAAGTTCAGCTTATAGCGAAACCCTTAGGCGGGCTGTAGTCTTTTGTATAATGGGGTCTTAATCCCACATCTTAAACACGGACCAATACTTATCATCATGAAGCGTCGTCACTGGAATAAATGTCGACCGTCGAGTCTTCACGGGTGTATGCACGTCGAAAGTCTCGGAAAAGCGTCGTAGGCGATATAAATGCTGTCGAAGAGCACTTGTCGAACATATCTCCCATCCGTCTTCACTTTCGACGCGCATACATCCCGAGGACTCATGACCGCATGCACCACACACAAACAAAGAAGGAGTTTGACTTACCATCAGCGGTGGAGTGATAGTTGACGTAGGCATATCCCAAAGACTTCCTGGTAACGGCATCCCTGCAGACACGGATGGAGGCGACGGGACCGATGGAGTTGAACAACTCGAAGAGCATAGCCTCGGTCACGGTGGGCTCGAGCTCACCAACGTAAAGCGAAGCGCTGGGGGAGGTAACGCTCGAGGACTGGGCGGCCGGCGCCTCAGCGGACTGGGTAGGAGTGGCCTCCTCAACCTTGGGGGAGGTGGCAGCAACCTGCTCCTGAGCCTGAGCCTCAACGGCGGGGGTCTGTTCGGCGACGTCGGACATCGTCTATGTAATGTAACTTTTTTTTTTTGGGTTTTCTCGGAGGACTGAGGCAGCTGATACGAGAGAAAGAACCTAGTTAAAGGGCTTTCTTCGGAAGGCTTTTTTTTGATTTTCTGAAGGGGGGAAGAGGTGGGATGGCGAAGGAGTTCTTCGACGCAGCAACGATTCAACAAGTTTCGAGGGCCGCGCGAACGGTCTCTTTGCATTTTTCGCCGGGGGAGTGCGCGCGCTCCGTCTGTGCATGTCGTCCCTGCCTGGCCCCTGCGCCGTGATTAAGGTTTAGATTGCACCTCCAGACTGACAAGGGTGTGGTCGACAAGGGTGTGGTGACAAGGGTCTGACAAGGGTGTGACAAGGAGCGGGGTGTATGCGGTCCGGTCGTGCCAGGCAATCAAGTGACGAGAGCAATATATGTATGACACCTCCCTACGTCCCTCCATTTTCCCCTCCAAACTATCTGGACAACTGTTCAAAATGTTTTACTTCGAACAACTTTTGATCTTCGTTCTCGTTCTTGCCCTTACCAACATCATCGCTCCCGGCTTTGTCGACTGTTTCGATTTCCTCTCCGCTTCCAACGCTACCGTGAACCGTAAGGCTGCCTGGCACATCTACGGCCTCACCGTCGGCTGCGTCGTTGTCGTTACCGGTATTCACGTTCGGTCCATCGAAGCCGCTATTTATGCTTTCGCCGAGTCCATTGTCGAGTTCAACGTCTTCTGGGATGGTTGCCTTGACGTTGTTTACCTCACCACTATGACTATCTCCATCGAGCTCTACAACTTCTCCAGATTTGTCTCCGCCGAGCTTATCCCCTCTGTCCCCCTCGTCGCCTTCCTCGCCGCTACCCTCAAGGGTTTTGTCGGCACTTGTATCTTGGTTGCAGGCCTTGCCGCTATCTACGTGATCTGGGCGACGTGGATCAACGCTGTTCAGTACGTCTCAAGCACGACAAGTTTGCTCATTGTCAAGCTCCAGACATTCATCTACAACCTCTTTACTTCCCAGGTTGCCGACCTTGCGGCACCCTCCGTCGAAATTGACAACTATTCCCCCGTCAGCACAGTTGTTATTTCACCTACCACTACCATTGCCGTCACGCCCCAAGTTTCCCAGGAAGCCCTCCTTACCTGGGCCACGGTCTTTACCTATCAATACATTACCGCCATGTTGGTGGCTACGAAACTCTACGTCGTCATGACCCTCACTGCCATGTCCAACCCCGTCAAGGTCACCGCAGAACTTTACCACACAGCAAACAAGAAGCCCCTTTTGCTTGCCGCCAAGCCCGGATCATCCCGCCGTCGCCGAGACTCCATCTCCGAGATCCTCGACGTTATCGGACTGTCCGACGACGGAACCACCACTGATTCCTACGCCGGCTTAATCGACTTCTCACTTCCCCGTAATGCTGTCGTCATGATGACCGACATCAACATGGCCGCCGCCGAAGGTGACAATGGCGGACAAGGTTCCCAGGGCCCCGGACCCCCTCCTCCCCCGAATGTGCAGCCGCCTCGTCCCGCAGGCGTCAATGTCGATGCCTCGGTCCAACAATCGCTAAACTTCCAACAAATGCGCGAAATCTCCCGTGAATTCTTCGCTTCGTGGACAGACATGTTGGATCGCATCACTGCTCGCGAAGAACGAGAGAAAGAGATCGTGGACGCAATCACGCATAAAAATTTGGCGGTGTGGCCAAAAGACTTCAAAAGAGAGTGGCCGGCTTTCATGAAACGGGTGAAGGAATCGACACTTCCTGACCCCAAGGCAAAGTCGAAGACAGTACTGGCCAAACTCTACCAAGATTTTTTGCACGAGTACAAGGAATTCCTCGCGATGGAAGCCAGGGCCGCTGACGAGGCAAAGGAGAAGAAGGAAGAGGCGGCGAAGAAGAAGGACGAGGCGGCGAAGAAGAACGAAGAGGCGGGAGTTCATATTCCGGGTCGTGGTACGCCGGAAGTCCGCAAGAAGATCCTGACGCCTAAAAGTCGTTTGGGGAAGATGACGGGAATGCCAAATGCGCAAGCCAATGTTGGGAGCACGAGTGCGCCAACACAGACGGCCCCCGTTCCGCAACCCGCACCTCCTGTCCCCTCGTCTTCGTTTACGCCTGTGGCCGCGGGGGTACCGCAACCACCGTCTGTGCAACCGCCAGCCGGAGTCCAGCCTATGCAACCGATGTCAGAGCGTGCGCTTGGGAAGTTGCCTGCCCTCGATTACGGCTTCCAAGCTATGCCTGCACCACAGGCACCACCGATCACACCCGCACAGCAGGTAACACCCGCCGCACAATGGCAACAAGCACCTCCCTTCTCGGCTGAGACGCAACAACAGGCTGAAAGACCTGCTCATTTGCCCACCCCGCCATCTTCAGCCGTGGAAGGTGTTGATTCCACGCCTTTGCCTCCGATATATATGGATTTTGATGAACTGGTGGCCGAGTTGAACAAGGGCTTAGCAGAAATGGAAATGGAAGACGATAGTATGGATCTGGATTTGCTCAACGCTGCCACGCGGTTATTCGTCTACGAACAGATGACTGCGTCGTATATGACGGAGCAGATGGCACAAGCACCTCCAGCTGGGCCGACACAAGCACCTCCAGCTGGGCCGACACAAGCACCTCCAGCTGGGCCGACACAAGCACCTCCAGCTGGGCCGGCACAAGCACCTCTAGCTGGGCGGAAGATTGCAATACCCCGGTCGAAGTCTCAGTTCCAAACCTCTAACGTCCGGGGTTCAGCAAGTCACGGTCTTCCGGTACCGCCTCCCGCTCAAAATATCCAGATGCTTCCTGCCCAGCAGCAGTCCACGTTTCCAGCGCCGTCGACGTCGACGTATCCGCAGACTCCATATATGGACCCATGCGCACCGGTACAGCAAACCTTCGGCCAGCTCCCAACTGACGTGCAGACTCCATATATGGACCCATACGCACCGGTTCAGCAAACCTTCGGCCAGCTCCCAACTGACATGCAGACTCCATATATGGACCCATGCGCACCGGTCCAGCAAACCTTCGGCCAGCTCCCAACTGACGTGCAGACTCCATATATGGACCCATACGCACCGGTCCAGCAAACCTTCAACCAGCTCCCAACTGACATGCAGACTCCATACAGTCCCGTGTACAACACGTCCGACATTCGAGGCCAGGTTCCCGAGCAACAGCCCTTCTTCATGTCGACTACTCCTCCGGCGAGCACCTGGGGCAACAGGCAGTGGTCGACGGACTTGTCTGGTCAACCGGTGCAGCAAGCTACATACACGCAGGGAACTTTTAATATGGAGAATCTGGATCCGCAGCTTCGCCCTCAGCAGCAAACCCCGTTTACGGGCTCCGCGACCAATGTTTCTCAAACCGAATCCGCTGACCTGCCCATGAACGAAAACACCGCCGACTCGGATGAAGACGAAGGTATGGAAGACGACGATGACGATGATGACGATGATGAAGGTATGGACGACGACGATGACGACACCCACACGGTCATGAACGATGAAGCTCCCCCGACGGAGACGGACACGGACATGCTCACAGCCGAATCCAGCAGCGCTGAAGGTCAGCTTGGTGGGCTTAACATTCTCGTATCAGCACTCGAGATCATGCAGGCGCAATACGGTACCGGTCAACAAGATAAACCGAGGTCTGCAAATGTGGACATGACGGATATCGTGCCTTCGGTACAGCAAACAGAATTGCCTTCATCAGATGCAGTGGCTTCTCCCCCAGGAGACATTGCGTACACACCTCAGGAGCTACCTGCGATTGCCGATGTTCCTACGCATGGTCCCGCTGTTGCTGCCGTTACCGAACAGCCGTCTAGCATCAGCACATCCCAGGAAACCATTGTTCCTGCTGCTGTTGATGATCACACGTCTGATCCCGAGTCCACCGTTGTGGCTGTCAGTGGGATTCCAATGCCGGACGTCCACCACGCCGTTATGCCAGTGCCTGAGGAAGAACCACGGTCAGATGGTGCGGTCGTCGCTGAGAAAGCAGGAACTGTCGATGACCTCACGTCTGATCCCGAGTCCACCGTTGTGGCTGTCAGTGGGATTCTAATGCCGGACGTCCACCACGCCGTTATGCCAGTGCCTGAGGAAGAACCACGGTCAGATGGTACGGTCGTCGCTGAAAAGCTTATTGTTGAGAATCTACAAGATCCGGAGAAACCCATACGCCTACTAGAACCAAGCACAACGACTGAGCCTCTTGTTGAACCAGTTCAGTCCGCTGAGCAAGTCGAGATTACGGGTCCTGAGATTGCGGCTCCTGAGCCTGAGGTTGCCAGCGCGGTCGCTGAAACTGCGGAAGTTGAGATTGTGGATAATGAGACTGTGGCTACCAACACTGATGACGACGAACACGCGCCCGTCGAATCTGCGGCTGCTCCAGGAGTCCAAGTTGACTCACTAGACATTACAGATGCCAAAGATGCCGATGCCGATGTTGACGCCAAAATGTCATCGTCTATCAAACTCACTGATAGGGGCATACGGTCTGCACCGCTTCCACCTATTTCGTTCTTTTCGCGATCGGCTGCTCGTGGACGTTGTGTTCCGCAACCGTCGGTAGACGAATATGTCTCGGATAACATTGCGAGGAGAGATCACCGCCCATACAAGGTGATGGCAACTTACGAACCGCTTGTCTATGTTGCAGACGTTAATCGGAGTCGTTGGCCGACGAAGCCCTTTCGACGTCGACACCAGCCATATTTTTTTCAACCTGTCGAGCAGGAAGCAGGGCCGTCCAACGCTGCGCAGCCATCAAATATGTCACCGGCGAACGAACCCGCAGTAACCACGATGCCAAGCAATCCGGCTTCGATGCCCAACGAGGTCCAACCAGAGCCCGTCGTCCAAGACCAGGTTCAACCAGAGCGGGAAGCGGAAAATTATTTCCCCAGTCCTGGATCAGATCCATCGGACTCAGAACCCGATTCTGATGATGAAGGTGCTGAGAGCAATGACGACCGTTCGATCATCTTTCCTCCGTCAATGATCGAAGTCATGTGGTCGATGATTGAAGTATTGTTCGTAGCATTCGCCTTGCCCTTCTGGCTCGAACCTTTCCTTGATTACGTGCTCGTCCCGCTATTTGAGCACGTTCTCATCCCCTTGGTCAAACAAGCCCTCATCGCCTTAACTAAATACGCAGTGCAACCAGCGCTCGAGTACGTGCTGAACTTGGTGGCCTATTTTGCTGTCGAATGTCGATATTTTGCCGCCGATTGTCGATACTTTACCCTTGACGTCATTGAGTTCTCTTCGGAGTTTATTTCATGGTTTCTGGATATTGTTCTGTGGAATCCCATGTCGGCTACATGGCAGTTCTGGACTGTCCAGGGCAATTATGGGTGGAATGTATGCTTTTTTATCACCTTGGTGTGGTTATCGTGGAGGCAACAGGAGTGGTCTAGGCATCGGAGGGGCTATGTGTCCCGAATTGATGGGCCATCTGCCTTTGGAATTGGGATTGATTGGTACGGCGGGGTTGCTGGTTTCATCAGCTTGATGTGTATTCCGAGAATTCTGGTGGAGCTGTGATGAGGTTCCCGAGCCCATTTGGCTAGAACGTGTTCGTGTTTGGTGTTGGTTGTGCACCCAAAGTTATCATCGGAGCGTCCTTTCTCATGAATATATTCACAGAAACGACAGTGCTGCAAAAAACAGAACAGGCATGACGGGACACTTATACAGGGGACATTGTTATGGATGGTTTGGTTATAGGAGACCGGCGTTTTGTTTTATGGGTTTATATGTTATTGGGATGGTGCGGGTTGTTGGGAGGGTCGGGTGGTCGGGTGGTCGGGTGGTTGGGAGGAGGGAGGAGGGAGGGCCTTTTTTTTCCTTTTTTCTTTTCTTTTTTTCAGGGAAACAAGACGCGGGGGTCGTGCATGCTGTGAGTGACGAGAGAGGAAGGACGTGCCCGGAGGTGCGCTGCATCGGCAGCTGTCGAGACTAATGGCTCAGAATGGTACTCTCGTGGGTACCATGGTGCCAGCCGACGCTTCTGAGCGTCGCGCTATCCGACTTGCCAGCAGTCTTCGGAGCGAGGAACACCAAGTTTCGAAGGTACAGTTAGCCCAAGAGGCGATGCGACTTCCAACTAACTTGTCTTGAGCAGTGTCGATTCACACGCCTGAGGATCTCTTTAGTCTTTAAGGGACGGGTGATGTGTGAAGCTTTTCAGCTTCTCAGCTTCTCTTCATAGGCATGATGTACAATTCACTACGGTACGTACTCCCTATGACCTTTCCGTCTGGGTATACGCTAATTCCTGCTATAACATCATGAGCTTTGTGAAACGTCCATTACGCCCCGCAGGCGATCGAGTCGTCGCTGATTCCTATACGGGTTCGGCTCGAACGCTGTTGAGAGTGCACACATACACACGCCTGCTGCTCCAGTCAGCATCGCCTACCGTTAAGCTGCTCCGCGCAGCCTCGAAAACGGTATCGCGGTCTCCAGCTTCGCCAAAGAATGCCCGCACACCAGCACTGTTCCTTCCCCATATCATGCTGTCTCCTAAGGCAAGGTTGTCCCACCGTCGGCAGACGGGATTGTGGCTCTTGCTGAGGCTCGTGGTATGCCTACCATCACACCGATTGGATGTCCCCTCGTACCTCCTGTCGGAGGGCCCTTCTGCCGAAGGCTGTCCAAAGCTGTGGCTCTGCGACGGACGAGTGCGTGGCTCCTGCACTTCGGTAGTCGATGATGAGTGGTCGCGCCCAGTTGGGTACATCCACACCTCCCTCGTTTTGCCCCGGGATTGTCCGGGGAAGGTGAGGAGTGCTTCTCCACCAAAGCACTCATGCCTCCTGCCTTGAGGAGGCCTCCCTTGACGAGATGTGTGGATTGCGATTGTCTCTTAGCTTACACTGTTAGCCGCTAGTTATCCCTTGCGGTGGATGTTTCCCTGAAAGAGAGTTTAGGATAGGTTTAGGATAGATTTTAGAGTAGATAGGCCCGGTAATCCAAGCTGTACCACAGAAGGTTGTGGTTGGTGTAATTCTTCGACACGGCTAATTTGCATACTAAATGGTGACATCAGCAGTTATCATTACTTTCTCGAGTAGCCCTATGGTCGGCAGCGAGGAGGAACAGAACGCCCGTCAATGCCAACATCGATTGACATGCAGCCGGTCCTCGTTACTTCCGTACGAACCCTTACATTGGTATGTTTGGCCAGTTGTGGAACGTCTTTCTCGCATGATCCGGAAGCTTAGGTGTCAATATTTCCCTATATTATAGAGCTTACCGGCCCTGCCGTGGTTTCCTGGCCTCGTTAGGAATTACATTTCTCAAGACAAGCTCTCGATCAGCTGCTTATGACGCTTAACGGACAACTTCGTCGTACCCCGGCGGTGCGTCGTCATGTAGGACGTCCGCTCTCCTCCTCTTACTTCCCTCCTCCTCTGCCGTACCCTCTTCACCTTCATTCTCTTCAGCAGTCGTGGTTCCGATTGCCTCTGATTGCAATGCAGATGTACCCTGTCGCTCCTCATACTCCGGCACTGGATCTACCTCCACAACTCCCAACCCCTCATTCCTCGCTCTCTCCATCGCACCTACAACGCCCCTGAAGAACACCTCTGCTCCACCCTCTCGAAAAGTACATCTGAAGTTCGCGGATGGTGGAGGGAGGCCTCCTCCGGGTGTTGGGAGAACGGAAGAGGAGAAGGAAAGAGGTGCGAACCAAGGTTGGGTGAGATTTGGGTTTCGGAGGTTGCGGAGGGGGGCGGAGAAGGAGCGGAAGGAGGGTGTTGGAGAGGTGGGAAGGTAAATGATCTGTAACTGGTTAACGTCTAGGCAAAAGAACGCCAACCAATATCACTTACCCGACGCGATGTTACCCATGCCTTACCATCTTTCACTTCCAGCTTCACCGGGGGCGGGACCTCTTGATCCGCGCCACCGCCAGCAGGCGGTCGTATGGTATTGTTCGTCGTGACTGACTCGAGGTTAAGACCCACTGCCGAATGACATGATATGACCGTTTCTTCTGGTAGAGGGATGAAGGGGAGACTTGAGGCACTTCCCGTTGCGGGGGAATCGAGGAGGACCCAGTTGAGAGACATGCTCTTGATCCGGGATGAAGACGATTTGTGACGGCGATAACTGGATGTAAGGCCGGCCTACTCGTAATGAAGTTTGGCTTTGGACCTTGTTTGTAAACGGGACAGGGACTGCTCGAAAGTCGCTGGTGTTGTGGCGGACGTCACGGCTGCAGCTGAGCCCGGCGCCGGGGTGCAGTGGATTGCACCGGTCCAGTTCTGCCGACAGAAAGACCGCGGGAGATAGGGAAGCCTACAACTGCAGCTGATAATGTTGGAATGGCGATTACGCTGTAGAGTTGCTAATAGCCCACGTAATATTCGTTGGGAGATCCTCATACTGTTGCCATTTCCGAGTGGGGCGGTGCAGTGTGGCGTGCGCTCCAGTGCTGGATGTGCGAGAGGGTGGGTGAGTTGCATTGTTAACCTTGCATTCTTACGCTGGTAGAGGCATCCAAATGACGGCAGTACCTCATCACACGGAGATCGTGAACGTACAAACGAAAGATGATCACCAAACATGCCTAGACCTGCGAATCCGGGTATTTGTCGAGGAGCAAGGTGTGTTAGACGAACCGGAAGTGCCTTTTCCAGCCGGGATTGATCAGACATACAGGCTTTGCTATGGAAGTCGAGAGAGATGAGTATGACAACTTTCCACGGGAAGACGTGATTCATCTACTGGCGAGAGATCGGGATACGAACGAGCCATTGGGTAGGTCATCGAAGCGTCAACTGAATCCATAAATTAGTGTTTAACTTTCGGCCTACAGGAACCATTCGGATGATCCGGAAATCAGCAACAACAGTCAAACTCGGCCGACTCGCCGTCCGCTCCGATATCCGCGGCCGATCCATCGGGCGTATCCTCGTTGACGCAGGTGAAGCCGCCTCGATCATGGCATGGGGTCCAGGTACAGATCATGATGGACGGAGAGCACAGCCCGGTATTAGGGAGATCGTGGCGAATAGTCAGGAGGACAAGAGAGGGTTTTATGAGAAGTGTGGGTATGTGATGGATGAGAAGTTGGGGGTGTTTAATGAGGATGGAGGACCGCATGTGAAGGTTGTGAAGATGCTGTAGAAGATATATTGTGCGTTGGTCGTGGTGATATCGTACTTGTGCCCCCTCCGGTTGTGATCCATGGCTTTACTTGTCCTCCTTATACTCCGTTGGGAGATCGAATCCGACTCTCCTTCCAGTCAATCTAATCTTCTCTTCAGGATCCATACCGATACTGGGGTTGTATCTCTATTTGACAACCTGTTAGCACCCGATGTCTCGCAATACAGTTTTAACTGTCTCGACGAACCTCCAACAACGCCTTATACTCCCTCTGTCCCTGCAAAAAGTGCAAAAAGTCATCACCCTTCTTCAGCTCGCTCTCAGGATTTGGCAGAGTTTTGTCGAATGTTGCTCGGAGGTGGGTAAGGTATTGCGAGTTATAGGGGACGTCGGCATTGTTGACGGTGACCACTGGGTGGGACTAACATTTTCAATCAGACATCATTCCACAGATCCTGAGGCGGTCAAACGAACCTGGAGCTTGACTTCTCTGTAAAGAGAGCGGTAAAGGGATCGTGCTCGTGCTTGCAATGCCATTTTCGTTGTTCTTACCGTGGATTTTCTTCGTTATCGAAACGTCAGTGCGCCCCACACGCAAGTCGCCTCGGGAAGTACTTACTGCGCCTGCACAGCCACATGCGGTGGTATACGGCAGCTGGGCGCTAAACACCCACCGAGGAGGGAGGAGGGAGGAGCGCATCCCGTCCATGCACACCACCTGGGCAACAATAAATACCGTTCGACCATTTCCTTTGTGCTTTTGCTTTGATCTGCTGGAGTCGAGATAATATGGACGATGATTTTGAGGCTTTGGCGAGGGAGTATGGGATTGAGCACGCAGGAGAAGGCGTTGGTTCGGGGTACCGAGCATCCAGGGATTTTGAGATGGATGACTTTGGTATGTAACGTGTGTAGGTTGAGACAGGCGTCTTTGCTTACACTGCACTGCAGATCGTCAACTGCTCGAAGAAGAGCCGTGTCAGCTTCAACACGCCTCATACAACCAGGCAGATCCGTTCTACGAACCTCAGGAGCACGTCCTTGCGCAGCGTCTGTCACTCGGTGGTCGCGGTTCTGGTCCTTCAAAGTCATTCAACGGCGGGAAGGTTATGGAAAGCACGACCGGTAGTCGCCCTGCCGCTACAGGACTGAACTTATGTGAGTGTATGCTACTTTTCTCACGCATACATTCCCACTGACCGCGTTGAACAGCACAATATGCATACACCCCGACCAACTCGTCTCCAGCAAGGCAAACTGGTGGCCACGTATATGCAGGTGCACAGTCCACTCCGGGGAGTAATGGAAGCATACAGGCTTCGTGGTCCAAAAGGCGGGCGAGGCCGGTTGGGTTGTCAAGAAAGACCTATGGAAATACGTCGATGCCACCGGCTGTGCCACAGTCGACGGTAGCTGTAACCAAGCCAAGTAGGACTTCAGCGTATGCTACCGGTCCAACGACGATCAACGGCGTCAGATTGAGACCTGTGAGCGAGTTGCCGGATCGGTTCAGAAGTGTGTTTCCGTTCGCCTTGTTCAATGCGGTGCAATCCACAGCACTCGACACAATCTGGGCTTCGGACGATAATGTGATCATCTCAGCACCTACTGGAGCGGGTAAGACGGCCATCTTCGAACTCGGCGTTTGTCGTGCACTTTCCACGGTTTCCGGGCAGGGCAGTAGTAAGATGATCTACATGGCCCCTACGAAAGCGCTTTGCTCTGAGCGTAAAAGAGATTGGGACAAGAAGTTTCGTGGGTTAGGAATCACTGTTGGCGAGTTGACTGGTGATACGGATGCCGGTGGTTTGAGTGCCGTTAAGGAGAGTGATATCATCATCACGACGCCGGAGAAGTGGGATAGTATGACGAGGAGGTGGCAGGACCATAAGAGGTTGATGGAGCTGGTGAGACTGTTCATGATTGACGAAGTGCACATGTTGAAGGAGAAGAGAGGTGCTGTCCTTGAAGGTAGTACCAGTGCCATTATTAACTTGACCTGGGTCTTGCTTACTAACATGGACTACAGTTGTTGTTTCTCGTATGAAAACTTTGGGGACCTCGATCCGTTTCGTTGCTGTTTCGGCTACTGTTCCAAATGTGCAAGATGTTGCGGTCTGGATAAGAAGGAACAGCTTTGATTCTGCGCCAGCAAGAGTACTCGCATTCGGAGACGAGTTTCGCCCGGTGAAGTTGCAGAAGTTCGTCTATGGCTATCCACAAAACGACAAGGATTCTGACTTCAAGTGGGATACGACGCTTAACTGGAAGTTGATGCCTCTTATCCAGAAGCACTCTGACAACAAGCCTACCATTGTGTTTTGTAACACGCGGAAAGCAGTTCTTGACTCAGCTAAGGCTATTGCGAAGCAGTTCATCGAGATGCGGGACAAGCGGCAACCGACGCCGTGGGATGCACCCGCTGTCTCATGCTCATTTCGTGATAAGGCAATCCAAGAGCTCGTCAAGTCTGGCATTGCAGTGCACCATGCAGGCCTTGATACGAACGATCGTGCACTTGTAGAGAAGCTGTTCCTCGAAGGGCATGTCAGTGTGGTGTGCTGTACCTCGACGTTGGCTGTCGGTGTCAACCTTCCAGCACATCTGGTCATTATCAAGAACACCATGCAGTATGTCGGGAGCCACTTTGAGGAGTACCCTACTTTGGAAATCATTCAGATGCTGGGTCGTGCTGGACGCCCGCAGTTCGATGATTGCGGTACAGCCGTGATCATGACTCGGTCTGACAAGAAGGCGAAGTACGAGAATCTCGTTAGTGGAACGGAGACTTTAGAGAGCTGTTTACACGAGAATATTTTGGTACATCTCAATGCCGAAATCGGGCTAGGGACGATCACGGACGTATCCACTGCGATGGAGTGGCTGAGGTCGACATTCTTCTATGTCAGAGTCAGAGCGAATCCGAGATACTATAATATCAACACTTTACGACAAGACATGGAGAAAGGACTCGAGGCCCACTGTATGAAGGATCTCAAGCTTCTGGAGAAGACTGGCATGATCAGTATGGAAGGTGAGAGGTTGAGATCGACTGGGTACGGTGATGCATCGGCGAAGTATTATGTCATGTTCAACACGATGAAGGCGATTCTCGAGATGAAAGATGCGCCGGCTTTGAGGACGGTGTTGGAGACCCTTTGTCAGGCCGAAGAGTTTGCTGAGCTTAGACTCCGTCGCGGTGACAAGGGGTTCTACAACGAGCTCAACAAGGCGAACGGGATCAAATCTCCGTTGAAGGGTAAGGTGGAAACCACAGCGCACAAGATCTTCATCCTGGTTCAGGTTGAACTCGGCTCGGTTGACATTAGCGGATTGAAGGAGAAGTTCCAGCAGCAGATTACCCAGATGGGATTGGATCGGTCATTCGTCTTCCAGCATGCATATCGTATCTGCAAGTGCATCATCGATTGCAAGCTCCAAACGAAGGATACTACTGCTGTGAAGAATGCCCTAGAGTTGAGCAGATGTCTACGGGCAAGGTGTTGGGAGGGAACGCCGATGGTGTTGAGACAACTGAGAGGCATTGGTGAGAACGCCCTGAAGAATTTGATCAACCACAATATTCGCAGCTTGGAGGAATTGGAAATGATGGATCCAAGGCGGATCGAGGTAATGTTTAAGCGTAATCCTCCATTCGGAAACAATATCCTCAATGATATTGCGGGAATTCCGAAGTTTGGCTTAAAGCTCCAGCAGACGAACTTTGCTGGCGATGGACTTAAGCCGTCAAGACTATCGATGAACGTGGAAGTATCAGTCTTAAACAAGGATACAATCAAGCAGAAGTGGCATGACATAAACCTGTATGCCGATTTCCTGGCCGAGACCGCTGACGGCGTGCTCCTGGACTTTCGAAGATTACCGGTCTCCAAAATCAACGGCAGCCGGTCCTTTGTGTTGACTGTTGAGCTGCACAAGTTCGCTTCAGCAATTGTTTGTCATCTAGTGTGTGAGGATATCGCAGGGACTGCGATGAAGAGCGAGCTTCAACTGCACATCGATGCATCCAAGTTCCCGAGGCCAACAGAGCCTAAGGTACCTAAGGTCGCCAATGAGGACGACTATGGCGAAGGAATTTTCGATTATGATATGGATTTTGAGCACATTGACAACATCACGAACGCCATTCTTGCTGGCGACACAACGAACAGCCACAAAGGCGCTGCATTGAAGGTTCCAGCAGCTGCAAACTCCACTGCAGTCGTTCAGAACACCGAATACGACTTAGTCGAACCTGAACGTTTGGAGAATGGAAACTACAAGTGCGCTCATAAGTGCAAGGACAGGGAGAAATGCTTTCACATGTGCTGCAAAACCGGTACGACTAAGCCAATTATGAAGAAAGTGGCACGAACATCATCCACTATGCAAGTATCTCAGCCTGCTTTGACACAATCTACGCTGGATCACTCATCACTAGCAGCAAATCCTAGAGCGAAGAGGGCTAATGGAAACGGACCTTCGCGCATATCCAATGAAGTTCAGGTTCCAGACCATGATATTATCGATCTGATGGATCTACCGGACGAGGTCACTATCGAGTCTGAGGACGTTCCTCGCATTCGCAAAGCGCTAGGAGCCACAACTGCTTCTTCGCTGAACAAGCTATCCAATCTCCACGCGAAGACAAGTACTCAGAAGACTGCCGTGCGAACTCTTTCATCAAAGCCTACTCGCGCATACAGCAAACCGCAACGAAATACACTACCACCAACGCTCAACAAAGACAAATCAGCAAACGATGATACCCTTTTCTCTTTTGATCTTTTGCCATCTGCTTCTGAGATTATACGTATTACTAACCCGAGAGTCACGGCACCGAAGCTTTCGACTGACTATGATGATTCAATCTGGGATGCAGAGGTAATCGACTTACAAGACGTCATACCTGAGCAAGCGGACAACCTCACAAATATAACCATACCCTCGGAACACTCATTCAGGAAGGCGCAGACTCCAGGGCCCAGTCGTCACACTCGTGAAGGTCACTTGTCCTCATACCCTGTGAATGTATCTAACGTTGATTTAGATCCATCGACCAGAGCACAGCAGCGCGGCCCACGATCACCTTTGTTTCTTTCCGCTGAGGGATCGCAGGATGATGTACTCCCGGAGAATCCCATCCTGCAGGGTAAAGAGAATCCCCGTTGGATTCGTATGAAGCTAATTGACCATATGTAGCTATGCATCCCAAGACGCTCGTGCGCGAAGCTCCTCCCTCGCAACTTCCCAAGAGCCCAGCACAGACTCGCTCGGAAGACGCATTATTTGGCCTTCTCGGGAGCTGCGTGGACTTCAAGTCTCCCTTCGACGCGAAGTCCGACGAACCCGCCAGCAGAGGTTTCGGACAGTCAATTCCCTTCGCGCTCGAGTTGGAAGCACCTGCCAGGAAGCCGGCTCATGATCTACATCACACGAATCAGAATCCCGCACCGGTCGATATGTTTGCACACGCTGCTGCTAATTCTGATGGGGGAAACTATGAAAGCCATGTACCTCCAATGCCTGACAACTTCGGCGGTCGGACTAACCCTGGGGACTTTGGCGGTCAAGCGCGTGCTAAGAAAAAGAAACGAAGCTTTGATGATATTTTCAACGATACGACGTTTACTTTCGGAGGGTTTGGTGGTTCAGGGGATCTTGACGCAGGCAATTCGGCGAAGAAGACGCGACCATGGTAGGCATATTTGTTCGGATTTGGAGTTGGGAAGTGTTAATGGCGATCTTTCTATTTAATATCCTGTATACCATCTTTACCCAGGGTATCTAATTGTATCTTCTATCTTCCTTTCCTGCAACAGCCCACCATTTCGGTAGACACGAGTAACCGTCCGTGTCAAAGTTCTGCGTCTTGGGAATGGGGCAGACACACCTGCCATTGGCATAACTCTCCTCGTCCTGCGGGCAGCGGGTATATGGAGCATGTCTGTACGAGATATCATTGAAGTGATGGACCTTGTCTTTCGGCAAGAACAAACTGACAGCCAGACTATGCACCGGCGCGTCTCCCCATCTTTCATAGAAGAAACCGCCGAGACTGTCAAGATGATCGACGTAGTCCAAGTACGTCTTTGATCTCCAAAAGTTGAGGTCCGCGATCTCGAAGTTGGACCAGAAGTGACAGAGGTTGTAGCCCTTCTCTGGGATTGACTTGTCGCCTTCAGCAGAGGGTGCTTGCCCGTCGATCAGGAAGTCGAGAGAATTGTTGCTAGCGAGGTAGTCTGGATGGTCCTTGATGAAGTCTGCCGTTGCCTTCCATAACGTTGGAATCGTCGCTTCATACTCATACAACGACATAACAAATCCATACGTCTTCTTGTTCTCTCGCATGAACGCAAATGGGTCGTAATCGATATCACAGTAGAAGTCGACACTGGGCTCGACGCGCCAGTACCAGTCATACTTTGCCAATACTTCCTGCCTGAAGAAAAATGCCGAGTTGAAGCGACACATGTGTCTGTAACTAACGGAGCCGCCGTAGATGATACCTTTGGCCACCATGTCCTCCATGCTCTTCTGAGCTTTCGGAACGTCGAGCCAGTCAGGGACGCTCCAGTGTTCCTTGGGAATCTGAGCGTACTCAACTGGACCGCTTGCCAACCCTGAAGTGAGTTCCATGAACTCCTCGGTGAAGGGCTCGTCGTTCATGAAAACCCATGGGTAGTGGTAATTGCGGTTGAAGCGGTCTTCGACGGCACGGATCGAGTGGAGGGCGTCGCCGAGTTCTTTGTTACGGGCGAGCATGACGAGAGCTGCTTTCTCCTTGCCGAGAGTTTGTTTTTGGGTGTTGTCCCGGTGATTTGTGGGTTCTGGCTTGACGATCTCGTAGGACCATGTCTTCGCTGTTGCCCCCGGCTCCTCGCTATGACCAGCTATTCTAGACCATCCGACGTAGTTGTAGAACAAACTCGCTGCTAGAACAGCCAGCAATAGATACTTCAATAACGCTCTCTTGCTCTCTCGGCTAACTCTTGCGCCGGTCGTACTGCCTTGTCTTGCTTGCCATGATCCCGTCGCAAGCAGATCTGTATTTGATGTTCTTCTCTTGAACATCGTAACGCGAGATGGATTTGATCTTCGAAGAAGATGGCGTTTGTTTACCGAGATGTTGTTTTGGTGGTCTGAGCGTCCTTGTTAATGAATGGGGCTTCGCGGGGGGTTAAGGTTTGTTTTGACTTAGCGCCAAGGGCAAACTAGGCGACGGTCCCGCGTGCCTATGACCGTTAATTACCAAATGTTCTTGATTTCTTTATGTGTTCTTTTCGTGTCCAATGCTCTCAAATCGTTAAATCGAAATCTAACGCCGAACCCCCGTCAAGATTGTCACATGCTTAGAAATCCACCTTCACGCCGTGGGCAATCAACGGCCGTGGACCCTCCTTCTCATCTGTCATCGCATCCCTATCACTCTTCCTCTCCCTTCCGATGCCCAACCGTGGCATGCCCTTCTCTAAGCCCTCCAACAGCACACAAGCCTTGCACACCTCTCCACTCGTCATATACCCACATCTCTCACAAGTCCCCTGCTTCGGCAATGCCTTCTGCGTCTTTTCATCCAGATGGAAAGCTTCTCCAGAATGGATGATATCCAAAATCGCCGATGGCCGTACAGCCTCGAGATCCTTGATGAGCGCTCGTGCGGTTCCTCGAAAAGCATCTGGCGAGTATGTACACTCCGTGGAGAAGTAGTCCAGCTTCTTGAAATGTGCGTACATGACAATCTCCTTCTCATACGCATACTTGAACGGCTTACTTCGTCGAACACCGTCATCTCCGTCTTCACCCTTCGTCAGGATCTCCGTACAGCGTCCTAATCTTGCAACGTCACCTCGCAGTAAGTTCATCAACACCGTCTCCGCCATGTCGTCTGCGTTGTGTCCGGTGACGATATGTGCGATACCCAACTGTGCTGCACCACGATCCAAAGCCTGCCGTCTAAAGACACCACAGTAGGTACAAGAGTTCTTTGCCGTTCCTTGCGCAGAGACGATCCGGTCCATGGTCCAGCCACGGTATAGTGATTCGTAGGAGACGATGGTGAGTGGGATTGCGTATTGCGTTTCGTTACGCTTGACGGTTTCCAGTGAGTCATCTCGGTAGCCCTTGATGCCTTCATCGACGGAGAGCAAGTAAAGGTCGAGCCCGTAATTGTAGCGTTCGTTTAGGGTCTTCATGATATGCGCCAGCACTGTACTGTCCTTTCCACCAGACGCGCCAATAGCAACTTTATCCCCTCGAGAGAAAAGTTTGTTTGATGTGATCGTATGGTGAATCTCGGTTTCGAAGACATGGTAGAAGCATTCCTTGCAAAGACGTTGCGCGGTCTTTGGGCGGACGAGGATTGGTCGACGGGTTGAGCAGAGGGCACAGAGCTTCCGTACAGGTGCCGAAGGTGCTGGAGCGGCAGCAGGAGCCGTGGTATCTGGAACGGTCATACTGGGCTGTCGTGGGGTCTCGTGTTACGGTGTTACTATTTCGAGCGACTGCTGAGGCGAAAAGTCTGGGATGTACGGCTTATCGAAACTTTAATCGCCGTGCAGGTCAGTGGAGAAGCGATACAAGGAAGCCATAGGAAGCAAGTCCATGTTCTTTCAAAAGACAATGTAAGTCGACTTGACGAGACTTCATGACCTCTTGGGTTGCACCAAAGTGCACCAAGTCTGGGAGCGCGTCCTCCACGCCCTTAATTTCGACGCGTCTTCCGAGAACACCGAGGTTGACGAGAAGCTCCCGTGTAGCCAAGATGTATACCGACGAGATGGAGGCTATGGACGAGGTACACCAGGAGACAATTGCCAAGAAGACGCAGCAAGGTTTGTTGGCTGGAAGTCCCATGTCTACGACTACTGACAACCCGCGAACAGGCATCGTCATACAACACAATATGCGCTCACCACCGCATTTCTCCTCTTCACAGCCTCCGTTCTCGCCGTCTCAGCGGTTGGCGAGGCAAAATGCAGCACAGAACGCTCTGAACTCGCTCCATCTGCCAAGTTCACCCCCAAGTCAGTTGCTTGAGGAGGAGTCACAATCACAATCTCTAGGGGTAAATCGTTGTGATCCGAGCGCGTATGATTATGACGATGACGAGGAGGAGATGGAAATTGGAGGGTCGCCAACAAGATCAAGAACGATGGGACCACCGACCGTTTTGGCAAAGGCACTGAATGAAGCCTCGGACAAGGAGATTAACACGCCACCAGCAGCAAAATTCAGTTTCGACAACCCTTCGTTAGGACGTTTGGCATCTATTCAGTCACACGACGACTTGCCCGGAGTCCATCTGCCCAAACACGACCATCTACGACCACCGCCCCCAGGAATGTTACACGTCAAGGGTTTCACCTCAAACGGCACCCCCCTATGGTTCCCAAAGAAGGCACCAAAACCACCCAGAACAAGACGGATGGATATGCCGGACGGTGCTTCCTACGGACTGGACAGAATAAACAAACTTCTTGACGAGCTCGAAACAGAGGACTTATTACTAGCACAGCAGGAGAGCCTTCAACAAATGGAGCAAGACGTGAACGACGCCGACGAAATCGACATCGTGAAACGCAACACCCTCTGGACAGACAAATACCGCCCCCAAAAATTCACCGACCTCCTCGGCGACGAACGCACCCATCGCGACCTCCTCCGCTGGCTCAAACACTGGGATTTCTGCGTATTCGGGAAAGGGAATCCGGAGTCCACGCTGAAGTCCTTCAAATCCGATTCGTCGTTCGGTGGTGGTGGGAGTGATTTTACGCCTGCGCCAGATGTGTATAAGAGACCGGAGCAGCGGATTATTATGTTGACTGGACCGCCTGGGTATGGGAAAACGACGTTGGCGCACATTGCGGCGAAGCAGTGTGGGTACGAGGTTATTGAGATTAACGCTTCGGATGATCGAACTGGTGCAGCGGTTCGGAATAAGGTCGGGAACGCGTTGGATACGCATTCAATTACTGGGAGTGGTAAACCAGCGTGTATCATCATCGACGAAATCGATGGTGTGAGTGGACAGGGTGGTGAGCAGAGTTTTATCAAAGCATTATTGGATTTCGTCACGGCGGACGAACAGGCAAGTCTCGGCGCACGAAAGAGAAAGAAGAAGAAGACCACGAAACCCTTGTTACGACCCATCATCTGTATCTGCAATGACCAGTTCGCACCTGCGTTGAGGCCTCTGCGGCAGTATGCACAGATTCTACGATTCAAGAAGTTACCGACGACGAGTATTGTCAACCGGTTGAAGCAGATATGTACGAAGGAGGGGTTACAGGCTGATTTGAATGCGTTGGGGTTGTTGTGTGAGAGGACGGAGGGGGATATGAGATCATGTATGAACGCGTTACAGTTCGTCAGGATGAAGGGGGATAAACTCACTGTCGACACCGTTTCGAACTCGAGTGGAGTCATCGGGCAGAAGGACGTTGGCAAGAGTTCGTGGAGTGTGGTTGAATCTATCTTCCGTGTTTTGCACGCAAAGGAGGAAAGAGTGAAATTCAATACCGGTATCTCGACCGGACACGGGAAGAGATTCGTGGGGAGGTTGGTGGAGGAAGTCATGACGAACGGTGAATACGACAAAGTCATGATGGGATGTTTCACCGCCTACCCAACCCAACCCTACCACGACAACCTCCTCTCCAAACCTTGCCAAGCCTCCGACTGGCTCTTCTTCCACGACTCCATCCAACGCGGAATTTTCGATCGGCAGTTGGGTGAGTTGGGACATTATTCACCCTACGCCCCCGTTGCATTCCATCACCTGTTCGGTACGATCAAACGACACGTTCCCGTCGAACGCTCGAACGCAGATTGGGACGCACACCAAAAAACACTCCAAAACCGTGAAATTCTGGATACGCTCATGTCCCACACAACCCCAACCCTCCGCCAAATCTTCCGTGGATCCGAAACATTCGTTCTCGAACTCGCATCCTTCCTCATCCGAATTATCTCGCCTGACCTCAAGCCTGTTAATTCACAACTTGTCAAGAGTGGAGAACGGGAGATGTTGAAGAGGGTTGTTGAGGCGATGATAGGGTTCGAGATGAAGTATGTGCAGTATAAGACGGAGGAGGGGTTATTGATTTATCGACTTGAGCCGCCGTTGGAGGGGGCGGTTATGTTTGAGGGTGGGGTTAGTCAGAAGGTGTTGCCGCAGAGGTATGCGATTCGGCAGATGATTGCGCAGGGGATTGAGAGGGTGCGGCTTCAACGCAGAAAGACGGAGGTATTGGGGATTACGCCTGAGGAGCCAACATCCTCGACTAAGAAGGGTGAGGTGGGTGCGGCGGGTGGGAAAGAAGCCGTCAAAAAAGATTTCTTTGGTCGCGTGATTGTGCCGAAGACGGAGGAGGAAAATGAGGGAGAAGGGGCGGAGAAGAAGAAGAGGAAGTGGGAGGCGGAGAAACCGAGGGTGTGGGTTAAGTATCATGACGGATATTCGAATGCGGTGAGGAAGCTTATTACGTTAAATGAACTGTTGTCGTGAGCGTCGAGCGACACGGACGCGGGCGAGATGACGTGGACGTGGACGTGGTGTTTTTTTTTTGGAGTTTTGGGCGTTCTGCATCTCGGGAATTCGAAGTTTTGTTCAGGGAAATTCTAGCTCTACATATGTAGAGGGATTATTCTTTGGACCCTTGAGTTTATACCAGCTATGGAAGTGATCTACGAAATGAAAACACGTTTGCTCTTCACCCTTTCTAGACTTTACTCGGAGTCTTCTGGGCTGTAGTTTCGTTCGTGCCAGTGATCGCACGATCGTTTGGTGCTGGTGTCGGTGCGTGTACCGTTGGTATGAAACGCGCGAACACTAGCGTGGCAGCAGCTGGGTGAAGAGTAAAATTCGAAGGCAGTGTTTTCAGCAGTCAGTCATCTGCATCTTGGCTAAACCAAGAAGCGTTAACGGGTGCTTAGACTGAGAATTCTGTTAAAGCTACAATTGGTCCCTACGATCGGGCATGTGGGCCAGACCCGGGATGCCCCGTTTGGGTGTGTACATGGTGTAGAAGTGGGGCTACGCATACCGGAGACTTTTAGGGACCGCCGCGGGTGTGGTGTCCGGTGCTCTCGGACAAACGCCGGATCTGATATGATCAGCTGTCAGCGTGGCAGCGATCGAGAAGGATGACTCATCGATTGCAGGCTGCTAAGATCTCCAATGTCGGCCAAGCATCTCGTTTCTGTCTCCGCCCGTCCGCTTGTGTGTAAGGGTTCCCGAGTCAATCTGATAATCTACTTGGATCTGATCTGATTACGGGCGCGGACCTGGCTAGAGCAACCGGTTGTCTCACTGCGAACATGCGAAAATTGTGAGGTCATGAGAGGGAGGGATCGTCATCGTGTCGTCAACTGCTGATCATGATAGAGACGGGATCAATGATCATGATAGAGACGGGATGGATCCAATTGATAGATGCAGATCCACGGCTACAAAACTGCCAAGCTCTCGTAACGACACAGCTTAGCAGCCAAGCGAGCGTTCCTAAGCGACACTAAAAAGTGACAGATCAGATTAGCCATCGTGGTTAAGCACATATCTGATGCGAGCGATAATCGGCCTAAGCACTGCCCCAATTCATTTCCACGGTGTCGCGTCTGAAGTTCTTCCCGAAGCGACCCCAAGAAAAAATCTTTGTGGGACGATGCGTGCAGTATAAGAACCCCTAGAACTCCATCGCACTCCAGTTTCTTCAGATCAACGACAACGACAACAACCATGTCGGCACCTCAGCAGATCGCAGGGGACCTCGAGGCCGCCCAGCACCAGAAGCAGGACAACTTCCACGTCCGTACCCGCTCCGCAGACTCCCAAACCACCGATGGAGGCATCGCCAAGCCCACCGCTGGTGTCGCCAAGATGGAGGCAATGACCCACGCATGGACTCCATTCTCCCTCTGGTTGGCCTACATCGGTATCTTCCTCATCGCCGTCATCTACTCCCTCGACCAGAACACCACCTGGAACTACCAATACTACGCTTACTCCTCTTTCGGTGCGCACTCCCTCATCACCACCATCTCCGTCGTAGGACAGATCATTGCGCCCGTGGGTAAGCCTGTTATCGCCAAGATTGCCGATGTCTTCGGTCGTCCCCAGGCTTTGGCTTTGTCTGTTTTCTTCTACTGCATTGGATACGTCCAGATCGCTGCGTCCCAGAATGTCGCGACGTACGCTTCTTCCCAAGTTTTCTACGCGATTGGATCCATGGGAATCATGATCCTCCAGCAGATTATCATCGCTGATACCTCGAACCTCTTGTGGCGTGCATTCTTGTCCGTTCTCCCTGATATCCCATTCTTCTGGTCCTGGAAGGCTGGACCGGCGTTGGCTCAGCGTATGTTGGGTAATGACTTCCTTAACGGCTGGAGGTGGGGATATGGAATGTTCATCATTCTCATGCCTGTTGTTGCGCTCGTGTTGTTGATGGCGATGTTCGTGAACCAGCACAAGGCGAAGAAGATGGGTCTCGTTCAGACTTCCGGGTTGAAGGAGAAGGGTGTTAAGAGGGCTGCGAAGGACTTGTTTGTCGAGTTGGATGTTATCGGCACTTCGCTTTTGACCGGTGGTCTCCTCATGTTCCTCCTCCCCATCGTTTTGGCCGCTGGTTCCGCAAACAAGTGGAAGTCCGCAAAGATTATCTGCTTGATTGTCTTCGGTGTCATCTCCCTCATCCTCTTCGCGATCTGGGAAGTCAAGTTCGCCAAGTACCCCATCTTCCCAGCCTACATCTTCAAGAACCGTACCATGCTCGGCGCAATCGGTATTGGATTCTTCTACTTCATGGCGTACTACGTGCACTGGAACTACCTCTACACCTGGCTCGTCGTCGCTCACTACGAATCCACCGATTCCGCCGGAACCATATCCAACTCCTTCTCCTTCACCTCCACCGCCGTCGCGTTGTTGTGCGGTCTCGCTATCCGCTACACCGGTCGCTACAAGTGGTACGGATTCGCCGGTGTCCCGATCTACATCCTCGGTCTCGGCCTCATGATCCACTTCCGTGGTCCTCACTCGTCCGATGCATTGATTGTGATGACTCAAGTCATCTCTGGTCTCGGTGCTGGTTTCATTAATATTACTGCGCAGTTGGCTGTTCAGGCATCTGTTACGCACCAACAGGTCGCTGCTGCGACTGCTGTGTACCTCACCTTTGTCTCGATTGGTGGTGCGATCGGATCTGCTATCGCCGGTGGTATCTGGACGAACATGATTTACGATCGTTTGTACGAGCACCTCCCCCTTCCTCACAACGAAACCGAGATCGCGACCATCGTTGGTTCCGCGTACTCTGCTACCGCATACCTCCCCGGCTCTGCCATGCGCGAAGGTATTATTGCCGCGTACTCTGATATCATCAAGGCGTTGGCGATCACTTCCGTATGTTTGGCTGTCCCGATTTTGTTCTTCTATGCGTTCTGTTTGGAGGACTTTGATTTGAGGGAGATCACCCGGAGGGCTGAGGAGACTGGCAAGCACGCCAACAGCAGGGATGCCGACGTTGTTGCTCACTAAATAACTTTGGGGGTTTATTGAGTTTTATAAAGGATCATTAATATGTAGAGGCGAGATCCGAGGGTAGGAAGGAGAGGGTTTGGGGGGAACATATTTAGCCAAGATACCTATATCATCGCTACAAAAGGCCGGAGAGCCACTAATATCATATCATATCATCCACTATCTTTGCTCGTTCAATTGACTTCTCATCATAACCGGAGCGAATGGTGGAATGGTGGTTACATAGACGCTTCTCAAGGCGCGTGCAGCTGGCGCACCCCGCAGTTCGCTTCGGTCGTAATTCGGTCAGCGCGAGAATTCGAACTTGGTGAACTTGCGACAAACAACAACGAGACCTCAGAAGCTTATCACCGTAATGGAGAAGAACGCTTCGGAAGATCTCTTGATCGCCGTACCTCTCGTGAGACGTCAAGTCGTGTCTGCGGATCAGGCGGGGTCGCCCGCGGATAACTGGCTTGTTGGGCTTTTGAAGAAGACGTTTTTGCCTGTTGGATATCCCGACAGTGTCAGTCCTGATTACCTCAACTACCAGCTATGGGACTCCATCCAAGCCGTCGCATCCTCTATCTCAAACATGATCGCTTCTCGCGCGGTACGTCCTCCTCTTCCCTACCCCCAAACACAGTCACTAATCCCCGTCGCAGGTCCTCGAAGGCGTCGGCGTCGGCAACGCAAACGCAACAGCCTTGAATGCGTTGTATCTAACAACAGCAACCGACCTCCTCTCCCGCCTCTTCACCCTTGCCACAACAACCCTCCTCTCCCCAACCCTCTCCCTCACCCCCAAATCCCACCGCCTCCACGCCGACCTCGCGAACGATATGTCTATCCTCCTCTCTACTTCCCTCCCTTATTTACCAGACGCCAAAATGAAGGCGGGAGCGATGGTTGCGGCGGGGTTGGCGAGGGCTTATTGTGGGGTGCTTGGGCCGAGTAGTAAGATGGTGTTTTCGGAGCATTTTGTGAGGAGAGGGAAGAGAGGGGGGGATTTGGGTGATGTGGTGGCGAAGGACGGAAGTCAGGAGGTTGTTGTTGAGGCTGTTGGGATGTTGGTGAGTCATTGCTTCATGCCTTTTGCATTGGTGGAGATGACGCTGACGTGTGTGATTACAGTTGGGGACGCTGGTGGTATCTTTGCTGACGGACCCGATCTACGTCGGTATCGCCTTGTTCACGTTGGTGCACATCCACATCTACGCAAACTACCGGTAAGGACCACCTCTTGCTCAAGTCGTTCTACCACTGACATATCCCTAGTGCCGTCGCATCCGTCACTTTCCCAACGTTAACCCCCCACCGCTCCTACCTCCTCCTCCGCTCCCTAATCCCACAAACCGTCAAAGCTGAAGACCCCTCCGACATCACCTTCCCTTCCCCCGCTGACATCTCTAAAGTCGAGGGTGTCTGGAGTTCTGAGCCCTCACTCACCCCTCCGCACTCGATTGACGACTTGATGGAGTGTGGGTGTGATCAGGCTGTGTTGAAAGATATTTTTGAGGGGGAGAAGTATTTGTTGTGGCCGGAGCCTTTGTTCGAGGTAGCTGGTGCACATCATCGGGTTCGGATCGTGCATTCTACCTCTATCACACCGTTCGAAAAACTCAAGGCTGCGTATCATGCTTGGCTCGTGCTCGCTTATAGGAAGATGTACCCGAATCAGAAGGATGAAGAGTTGGTCGGGCAGGCGTTGACTGTTGTGAATGGAGGAGTTTGGAGGTACGGGGAGGAGGGGGTGAGGAGGATGTTGGAGGAGAAGGGGTGGGATTTGGAAGGGTTGGTAATCTGTGAGGAGGGGAAGGAGGGGTATGAATGGAAGCAGAAGAAGGGACGGTAAACTTCAAAAGAGATGAATTTACGTCGAGATTGATGATTTGAATATGCTCAGGTAATGACGTAAATCATCACCATTCCTGTATCGTCTGTGCAGTGCCCTGCAGGCATGACTCGCTCGAAACTGCTGGATCGAGCGTCGAGGTTGCGCGTGTGCCATGAGGGCCAATCGAGCTCGAAGTTGATCCCATGGCCATGTGTCCTTAAGCTTTTGCGTAATGATGACACTACAGTGCGTCGGGCAGCAGACCAGCTGCCATCGTAATAAAACGTAGAAGTACAGCTCAACGACAGCCCATCGATCCAAGTTCCATCCAACACATCCATACAAAATGGCATTCTACCCGACTCGTCCCTCCAACATGAACATGGGCGCATTCCACCCCACCCGCCCACGCTTCAACTCCCCTGCAAACGGCGGTGACTACGCTGGCAAGGCGGGTAACCCCTCTTCTCCTGACCCACGAAAGGGCGCTGGTGGTCGTGTTGGGAATTTGCTCAAGATTGTTGCTGCGACAGCTGTTTTGGGAACTGGTTGGGTATGTCTTTCTCTACCCTCCTTCACCATTTTCCTCCTGTGACGCACATAAAGTGTGTCCTGAAGGGAGTACGGCGTGAAAAGGCCCAAGAAGACGGATCTAACCTAGAATTTGACAGTACTACATCTACACCGCTCCATACCGTGCCGTCGAGGCTGAAACCCCTATTCCTAAATCAACCTCCAAGGCCGATCTCAGGAATCACGTATGAAGGACAAGTGTACGTACGATATGTGGCTTTCAGGGAGCATTTGGCATTTTATTAGACAATTTGAAAAGGGAGGCATGAGGCTCCTGTGTACGATAATATGAACGATGTCACCGATTCACCGGGAAAGACTCCATTTGAAAGTCGATGTGAAGGGTTCGGACCCGCAATTCCTTAAAGCTCGTACCGGCGGTTCATTTGGCGCACAGATCGGGCTCAACATTAAGACTTCTTGAACCTGGTGAACTTGAACAGTTGAAGTAGGATGACATCAAAATCCATTGATTCAAATCATAAAAAAGTCCAGCTCTAGGCCAGAAAATGCTAATCTAGCTAGCAGGCCACAGGCCATGCATCTGAAGTAATGTTCGTCTAAGTCGTAAGAAAGCGAAAAAGCAAAGAAATGACAAAACTCCGTATCCCAATATCCCAAAGATGCCCAAAAAACTTTTTAAGAAACCATAAACATAAAGAAGCGATCCCAAATCAACATGTGGATCAATCACCAAGCAACACCCTGTTGCTGGCCAACACCGTAGGACTCAACCTTCGCACTCTTCTTCTCACCCCAGAAGCGAGCGAGCAAAGAGTGCTTCGCCTTCTTGGTGCTCGGCAACTGCATCACCGGAGCGTCAATCGGGGGGGTAGGAAGCGGCATCTCCTCACTCTCATCCGCCAAGCTCGAGAGACCGGAGGATGCGGAAAGAGAAGGAACCATCGTGGGAGGAGAGGGGTATGCGGATGAGTTGCGTGCGCGCTTGATGGGGTTGTAAGACTCGCGAACGGGGGAGACGGAAGCGCGAGCGTAGGGACCAAAGTAGTCGGTGGAGGGGGAAGAAACCATCGAGGAGATGGAGGACGAGGACGCGTAAGACCTCATCGCCAAGTTCTGACGGATGGGGGCGAGGAAGGGGTTGAGGTGGTAGTAAAGATCCTCGGAGGTGACGCGGAGATCCCAGTTAAGGAGGAAGAGCATTTGGCGTTCCATGCAGTTGACCTCCTCGACGGTGAACATACCGTTGGTGTACTTTGCCCAGTGCACGTTCTTGGGGGAAGAGTCATTGAGGTACTTTGCGGCCAAGATGAGTGCAGCGAGGAAGACGCGGTGGCAGGTGCATTGCATTCCCTTTGCAACGGGAGGGAGTTTGGCGCGGAGACGGTCGAGGTAGACGAGGGTCGTCATCAAGGTGGGTGTCTGGACGTTTGAGCGCTGGCAGAGCGTGTAGATGAATTGGTCCAAAGAAGGGAAGGTCGAGGAGCCGGGGTAGAGAGGAGGGGAGCCGGAGGTTGGGGTGGTGGGAGGAGAGGGAAGGGCGTTGGGGGTTGCCGGGGCACATTTGATGACACTACCGGCCTTCAAGGCAAGGTAGGAGATCATCTCCCGAGAGACGGGGTAGCGGATGAATTCTTGGAGAGCGGCCTTGTTGGACATTTTTTGGTATGTGTGTGTGAAAGACAGATGGTGCCGTTGAAAGATTGTCGGTAGGTATAGAGTGAATGACTGAGTCCGGCCTGCGGGTACTTCTTGTCCAAGTGCTTGTCGTAGAGAAAGGTGAGGACAAGAAAGTTGGCGGGCCGTGGTCAGGCCTTATATCTGATCTGCTGTTGTTGACTTGCTACCGACGGCTGGTCAAGCGTAGGCGAGGAGGCGGTGACAGTTCGTGCTAATGCGCCGTGATTGCGGGCTGGTCGAGCGCTGGAGTACGCAGGGTTGCCTCAGCGTTAATTTTCGAACGGATCAGGCAGGGCCTCGGTATGTCTACTGCGAGAACCAGCCGTTAGCAAACATTTCTTTGCATCGGGGGGGCGAGAAATGCCAGCCCCACGCGTTGCGTTCTGCCTGGGCGCGGAGGCTCGAGCGCGAATTCTTGCGCAAGGGGGTTGGTGCATGGACCAGCCTCTCAGCGGAAGCATGCATCGACGCGCAGAAATGCGAGGAGGTTGAGCTGAGAAGAAAGGAAGCGTTCTTCGGCTCTGACGTTCGCGTTCTTCGGCTTGATGCATTCCATGACCAACCAACCCCTGCTTTCGCTCGGCGTGCCATGATGAGAAGAGGGTGCGGTACTTACGTGACGAGAAGCTGACGCGCGCTAGAGTGCGGTGACAAAGGGTTGATTGATTCGAGGTTGCTGACGAGGCAGATACGAGAGTTCGTGAGAGGTCCTTGATGGGTATGAGCAGTCGAGGCAAGGAGAAGCAATAGAAGGGCGGGGAGGTTATATACGAAGCCAGGCAGACATGCGGAGACGGGAGAAGGAACAGACGCACGTACAGGATGAACGAAAACGCCTTCATCGGTCCATCGAAGAACCGCAGCCGTCGGTGTCAGCAGCCAGCAGGTGGTCTTGTCTCTCCTCATCGATCAGGCAACCCTGAACCGACAAAGAAGGAAGTCGCCGCAAATGGCCGAATCCTTTGTCGATCGGCGATAACTGCGACCTTCTGCGCATGCATGCATGGTTTGACGGGTCTCAGCCGCGCTGGCCATTTTGCTGGGCGCCTGGTCATTGCTCTGAATGCGCGCCTTTTTTGTTAAGTGCCCACATGGATCGTACGCTCGCGCCCCGGGAGTATACCTAGATTGCTCCTTTTCCTTTGCTCGCATGCAGCTGTCATGGAGGTGCTGTGCTGTCTTCGAAGAAGGGAGATCGCCAGTCAATCGGCCCATCTACGCTGGAAACGGCTCGCCTCTTCGCTCGCACATCCATGCATTGCAACTCCTCATGACTCACATCCTTTCTCCCCTCTTCTTAAGAGTTTGTCTTTCAGCTGCATAGTCCATCTCCCTTCCTCCCATTACAGCATGCAACATGCTTTCCTCCACCCGTCTATGCCGGCGCACCGCCTACGCAGACCAGACAAGGCGTGGGAGAGAGGCTTTGGGCTTGAGGAAGCCCAACGTCGCAGGCCCAAACTCATCATGCAAAGCACGGACGGGGTAGACGCATGCATCGAGAACTGGAAGTGGCAGTTTCCTGTTCGGGAAGAGAAACCGAACCCACGCGGTGCGCACGGACTCCGTACCGACTCTTTGGTAGATTGCGGTTGCTGCTTGCGGAAGAGACTCGGTACGCGCTGTGAGCAATGGAGGGTTTCTTGACAGCATTCGATTGAGGCAGGTTCTGGGGTCAGCTGTGCGTCGACCAACCCTCACGTCAGTGGTAGACCACACGCATTACCACTCATCAACCGCATCGAAAGTTCCTATGTCGTCGTGTAGTTATTCAAGAGACATGTTCTACAATGCATGGACGTAAATCGTCAGATCTCCGCCTCCTTCCTTCTTCTCCCCATTTTCTGGTGTTCTCATGCGTTGGAATATGCAACAAGGGTCCACCCCTCTCAAATCTTGAAATCTTCCCACGATGCAAGCCATATGTCAAATGTACATACGCGATGTCCGGGTCCGCCCGTTATCTGTTTTACAAGGCCGAGCTGTTGAATAAGGTGAGAGAGTGGTTAAGTAAGCAGGTTTGATCGAGGGATCGGTTTTGCGAGTTGATCGGATGTACCGAATTCGGCATGTGGTTCCCGCTGTACGTTGAAGGAGAAGAGACACAGCATAGGCAACATGGTTACGCCGCAGGAGGAGGCTCGGCTGAGAAGCTCGAGCGGTGTTTGCTCCTCCCACGTTTTCTAGACTACATTCCTAGAGGCGTAATGGCAGACAGAAGATCGATGTCCTTGACATTTCTAGGGTGGGAGGTGCTGCATTTGGAAGATGCCGAACCGTGGAGATGTAGGTGAGATGTATTCATCGTCGATCATCGCGTTTTCCGCTACTCTACTTCTGGGCACACAGGATCGCGCTGCCTCCATCAACTCCGCCCCTATCACCTCGCCCGCCTAAGTCATGACCCCGAATACCCGGGTAATTCGTGACCTCCAGTACCGCGCGGCCCTCCCCTGCCGATTTGATTCCAATCGTCGGTAGTCAACAGCCTACAGCAACGCACCAAACCTAGGCAAAACTCCAGTTAGCTCAACGCCCATACACAAACATGTACCCAACGACAGCTGCGAAAGCCGCAACCACCGCTCCACCAGCAAGGATCCCGCCCCAAGCAGCGTCGTCCTCAGACTTCGTTGCTCGTCGACGACGGGAACTCTTTGATTTCGTTTTTCTGTACCTGCTCAGAGAAGGTTGGCCTTGTTGATGGTGGGGCTGGGGTGCGCTCCACACAGATCCTCTGCCACATGCAGAGCGGCCAAGGAGCGGCAGCTGCGGCCACTGCAGGGCGAAAAAGGGGAGAATAAGACTTACCCAAACGTCTGCTTAATCGGCTTGACATAATAACCCCCAAAATTCTCCCTCACAACATCCTCCTGACCTACCGGAACCCCCGTCCACGTACACCTCAACACCGTACTGTCCATTCCCTGATCAAACACCATCACCAACTTTGCATAATGTCCTTCGGGCCACACACTCATTCTCCACGTCTGCTCGATCTTCTTTCCTTCCTCAAGCGTGAGGAATTCGCCAGAGATGTTGGAGTTCCAGAGCCCGAAGCGGCCGTGGGGTTTGGGTTCGAGAAGTGCGGGGGAACGGGTCCAGGCTTGGACGCGGGCGGGGTCGAGGAAGGTGTGGTAGAGTTCCGAGGCGCTGGTTTGGAATTCGGCGGTTTCGTGGAGGGTGGAGGTGTTTACTGCTGGTTTCTTGACTGGTGCCGAGGTGGTGGATCCGGATTTTGAGGCAGAGGAGGAAGGGGCGGGGGTTGAGGGTTTAGGTGAGGGTACCGCGGAGGCGGAGGCGGAAGCGGAAGCGGAGCCGAGGGTGTCTTTGATGTCCTTTTCGTGTTGTGCGATCAAATCCCCCGCGAAAGGCTGGAAGAGCTTGCGGAGCTGGGGGGTGATATCCGTCCGTACCAAGTCCTTCACCGGCGCTTTCTCCTTATTTTCGTTGTAGATCTCGACCTCGAAGACGTATTCATCCTCCTCCGTGTCGTGCGCGAGTTCGGGGACCGTGATCTTGCCGGCGACGTCATCCGCGTCTGTCGTGGATCCCTTGTACTCCAATTGAAGCTTGATGTCGAAGAGAGTGATGGTCTTTCCCTTGCGCTGGGAGACGTCGCAATCACCCTCCGCTGAGATGACCTTCGTGACCTCAACCTTTGTTTCACCCTTCTCTGCGGAGACACCGACGACTTTGTCGCTGAAGTACTCGATGATGTGTTGGGAGGAGATGGACTTGTTGACCCAGTGCCAGTTGTTGGGGTTGAGGTTCGTGTGAGAGACAGACATTGTCGATGGTGTGGGTTCCGGTCGTTTGGAGGAGGTATAGGAGGGGTCGAGGTTGTATTATCTTCGAGGACGATGCACGTCTCTGGAAAGTTCCGAGTCCTGCAGGTGCAACGCGGGGTGCACCGAGGATGAGGTCAGCGCTGGTGATTGGTGAATAAGAACTTGGGAAGTGGACTTTCATTCTTTTATAATGCGTTATTCCCTGCTTTCTGTCTCTGATGAACCGCTTCCCTATCACGCACTCGGCAGCGAGTACCGGTCCCTGGTGACGCCGACAACCCCGGCCCATACACCCCCAAATATCTCGAACCCAATGGTAGACCTGACAATCACTCCGACCATCTCTGAGGCAGTATCCGACTACCTCAAACTCCCGACAACTACCGGGAACGATCCAATTCGCGTTTACGAGACTGCAGATCGAATACCCCATGCACGACTCGCCGAAATATCCAAAGCCATACGGCAGACCACGACGGACGACGCAAAGAAAGCGCAATGGGAGTTAAGTGCGCTGATGAAGGGTACATCCGTCTACATCCCGAAGAAAGAGATCAAGCAGCCCGTGAGTTTCAACAACAAGATATCATACACACCTCGCTGATTTGTCGCCCATAGGATCCCAAATACCTCGCCCATCTTGAATCACTACGCCGCCAGAACGAAGAAAAAGAATACGCCTCCATGTTCGGCACCGCAACCCATCTCTCTCCCTCGGGGCTTACTATATCCCCAACCGCCGGCCTATCCCCCGACGACGCCCGCGAACTCCGCTCGCACCTATCCACGATCCTCAACATCTTTCTAACAATGGCATCGATGTTCGCTGCAGTATGGGTTTGGGGTAAACACTGGTCACTAGTGACGAGGGTGCTGGGTGGGTTGGCGTCGGCGATCGCGTTGGGCTTGGTGGAGGCGATTGTGTATTTGAGGTATTTGAGTAAAGTTGAGGATGGGAGGAAGAGGGAGAAGAAGAAGTTGGAGAGGAAGGAGGTGGAGCATACGATGGAAATTCGTGCTGGGTGGGGTGAGGTGAAGGGTGAGGACAAGTTAATTGAGGCGAAGGATGGGGATGCGGGGAAGAAGGTCAGATCGCGGCGGCGGAAAGCGTGATCCTGTGCAATTTTGACAAAGGCAGTTAAGCCGTCCAGGCCACTGCGTTCAATGGCTCGAGCTTTTATAGTAGAGAGCATCCTCGCTGGCTGCTGAGAAAACGAAGAGACGCGTGGGAATACTTAAGTCCTTAGGTTTTCGGTTAAAGCATAGACATTAAAGCAGTCTATAACGCATAAAACATCCAGCTGTAGGCAAATACGAGCTGATGGAGCTACTCACTCGGCAGCAGCCGCAATCCCCATCCCAATCTCCGTCACCTTCGTAACCACACCCCTATTCACCGGCGGCCGATACGACGGCGGCAGCGCCCCACACTCCTCAGGCGCAGTCTGCGACCTCCCAAACGTACGCAGCAACGACTCTGACTCCCCACGCCGGCCTCCTCCTCCTCCACCTCCTCCACCTCCTCCACCTCCTCCTTGGTCATCACCCCCGCCCTCGTCTTCCGTCGACGACTCGCCTGACTCGTAGATAGGGAAGTCCGATACTCCAGCACTACATCGCCTCCGACGACACATCCCGCCTTCACCGGCTTTGATGGCGGAGATGGTAACGGGGAGTTTGAGGATGACGGTATTTCGGCCTGCGAACCCAAGTTTGATCTCGACTGCATAAGTTCGTTCCATCAAGCATCCCACGAAAGTTGGGATGAGGATTTTTCCGAGCATGGGGAGTGGGATGGGGATGTTCATCTTTGCCGTGTATCCTCCGTGCCCGTACTGTCTTCCATGTCCACTAGCTACATCATCGAAGTAGTTACCGACGGCATTCGCAGTCCACGCACACGCTCCCGAACCGGCAGAGTTCGTGCGGTAGACGGTATGCTTTGTCGCCCAATCACTCTCCCGCTTCCAGAAAGCGTTATAGGGATCCGTCGTCCCCGAGCTGGCGAGGCTAAGTTTCTTCACGGCATAGCGCATACGTGATTCAAGGTTAACTTCAATCGAAGTCAAAGCGGGTGGAAGTGAACCGGTTGTGAGTGTCGAGGATTTCTCCGTGGAGGGAAAGTAGGAGAGGCAAAGGGGGATGGAGTTTGTGTATTGAGATTTGGATGATTCACCGTGGGCTAGGGTGAGGAGGGTTGGTTGGCCGGGTGTAGTTGTTTGTACGACGATGTGCCCGTCTTTCTTGCCGAAGAGGCCTTTCGTAAGGGTCTTCTCGGTTGTATAAAGCTCTTGCCTGTCTTGCTCCTCGGTGAATGATGGAGGAGTTACATAATCGTCTCCATCCATCGTAGGCATGATCCTGACATGCTTTTCGTCCTCGATGATCAAACTCCTGTCCTTTTCGTAGCCAGGCAAGACGAATTGGACTTTGACGACATACTCCACTTTTGTCATCTCCGGTAGCAGGTCAGCTCCGGCGGTGGGAATGACCTTCTGGTCGTTGATACTGGGCGGTAGGGAGGCGTGGGGGACGTCACTGTCGCACCCACATGCTGTTGCGAGGATTTGCGGTGGTACAATGAAGGTGAAGGGGAAGGAGATGGGCCCGTCCACCGGACCCTGGGGAGTTTCCTCGACGGGACAGGCGACTTGGAGGAACTGATACACCGTAGTTAGCCTGGTGAAAAGACGAGTACATTGGCTGAGATGGGTTAAATACCTTGTGCGTAGCAGTTGTACGGTTGGTGTAGTCCATTGTAGCAATCCATGTCGTCGTGGTGCCTGTACCGAATGTCAGCTTCGATTCTTTGGCGCGAAGATCTCTGGAAGACTTCGGTACCTTTCAACAAGATGTTCACTTTCTCAATCTCCACTGGGCTATTTGGAGTGAACTCAACATAACCATTGATTTCGTCAAATCGAGAGTAGACCTGTTTAGGGTTGTAGTCGTCAATGAGGACCTTTGCGGAGTGCTTCCCACCGAGGACTCGAGCGACAGCGGAAGACAAAACTCCTCGGCCATTGTTGTTTTCAGAGACACGAGTCGAGGAGGAGGTAGTCGTGGTCGAGGATACTCTGCGGGCGAAGAAGGAGGATGAGGCCGAGCTGCGACGTCTATGGTCCGACATGGTACTGCTTGCGTTTGCTGCGTTGTGAATTGGATCCCTGTTGGTGTTCTGGTGTCAAACCTGTTTGTTAAGTGAGCAATTGCTTGGTGGATAACCCTCATGTGGGGCAGCGAGGTGTCTTTATACGTCGTCCTTGTCGTAACCCGGCGATCTTCCTCGTCATAACAAACGTCCTCCATTAACCGGCTGACTCATTGGCCCGACCGACGGCTGCACCCTACTCTCAGTAAGATTAAAGTATCTCGATGTATGAGTGCATGATGTGTCGGCGTGTGACTTTTTTGGAACCCTGCGCAAGTTGGACACTTTTTGGAGCCACTTGACTCATAGTGGGGGGTGTATGACGCTAGGGCCTTACGTTGGGGTTTGCAGCGGTTATTTGTACCGGCCCCGAAAATAAGGTTAGGCCCAGCTAGTCCACCACTTTTCTCCGGAATTATGCTTATTGGAGTACTAGTGTAGTGAAGGCGGTGTATGTAATCGAGATCGTGAGTCATGCTGCTTGGCTGTCGTCTTATTCGCTGACTCCGTAGTTCCGGTTAAGGTTATCTGTCATACTTGCTAAATCAGAACAGTATAGCGATCGCGATCGCGGCCGCGGGTCGGAGGTTTCTTGTCCCGGGCATCCGCCGGTGATGCAAGGACCAGCCATACCCAGATTGGTAGGCGTAGCCGGCTTCTGACGTTGTGAGATAAATGGAAGCGCAACTGGAGTCATCGGTCCTCGGACAGCGGTTGTTGCGATTCAGCGAGATGGAACTTGAGAGGCGCATTTCGTTTCCCTCCATGCGTTTGTAACTTGACCTCGGACGGCACATAAACGTGAATCTGTGATCATACCTCGAGGTGCACAGCCAAACACCCTCTCGTACACGGGTATAGAAGCCCTATCAGAACCAGACTTCGCTTCCCGGTTGACTTGGACTCCAGCACAAATCGGCTGTCAAGCTTTTCGGCGTAGGGTTCGGCTATCACGCCGCCAGCTTACCTGAGGCCTAAGGTGAACGAAGAGGAGGCCCGTGATAGCAACTGTATCTTGCAATTGAGAGTGGAACAGAAGATAAATAAGTGCAGTATCCTATATAGGGTATCCAAAAACGCCAAAAACGTAACAGTAACCTCTCTTATCTCACTTCTTCGCAAGATCCTCAGCGGCTCCAGGCCTGAAAGGACACCTCCCCATAGCCTCATTAACCAACTTCATCTTTTCCATCCCACTAGTAACACTCTCCTCCGCCGCCATTGGCGTCCCATCCTCGTTCAAGTACTCCGTCTTCATATCGTTCCTCAGCGCGAGTTGCTCGAAGATAGCGGCGGGATCGTAGAACGTCTCCAACTTCTCGATCTTGAAGTCAGCGGAGACGGTGGCGACGGTGATACCCTCGATGTCAATCGGACCACCGTGAGCCTCGGCGGTGACCTTTCGTGGGGGGTTCTGGAGCTTGGTGGAGTACTTTCCGGTCATTTGGCCCCAGTGACGCCATTTGAAGGCGACGACGGGAGGGCCGGAGTAGACCTCGAGGACTTCCCAGGAGAAGACGGGCATGACGCGCTTGAACAACTTGTGGGAACCCTGGAATCCCTCCATCTTGGGATCATAGACACCCTCGACTTGCTTCTCACCCAACAAGGCATTGTAGGTACCGAGCCTCAACATATCCTCGGCAGTCATCCCGGGGCCACCGTTCACGTGGAAAGTGTACTTCTCATGATCGATCGTGCGCCACTCGGAAGCGACAGTCTTGTACGATGCCTCTTTCTCCCAGTTCTTGACGAGGTTCTGGACGAGCCACTGGAGGGATCCAGCCTCGTGGTTGGTCGTCTTCGTCTTCTCGAATTCGGCGTTGACTTTGGTGTAGTCGGGAGCGCGCTTGTTGCGCCATGTGATGTTCTGATCCTTGAGGACTGCGTTGGGGTCGGTCATGTAATCGGGGATAGCGGGAGCAGGGGCCGAGTCGGCGGGGATAGCATCACCCTGAGGAGCCATTCTGATCTGATATGTGTAGGTGTGAGAGTGAAGTAGCAAAAAGCAAGGTCGTGTGACGAGGTTCTGAAACGAAGGTGGAGGTTGTTAAAGAAAGGATCAGGGTAGGACCACGATGTCGATCAGGACGTGAGGAGAACCCTCCGAGGTGGGCGATCCACCCTCGACTTTATAGCCCCATCCTAGATAGGGGGACCCTTAGTCCAACCAGCTTCCAATAAGCACTCGACCAAAGTCCTCTCCGCTTTCTCCAGGGCCACGACCCTGAAACAGGGTAATTTGCCACGAACAGAGTGATTTTCGTTCGGAAATTGAGTGACTATGGATTGGTCGACTGGCTGTCATCTACCGTATCAGGTATATGGCGACAATACGGTGGGATCATGAAAGCAGGGTAGCCATCATCGGACCTCTCAAGATGAATTGCTGAGCTCGACTGATCGTACGACCTGGACCTCGCGCGACGCTACGGATTATTTATTTAGACAGGGGAAATCGATATGCTTAATTGACACCTGATCGAGTTCTGGGATTTATTTCAGGGTGTGTTAACGTGGCACGTAGGTCTCTGTTCGAAACTCTGGGTCAGCGCCGTGGCGATATGAGCGTGGACATGTGTGCGCGTGGCAGGCGCGTTCGTATATCCCTGTCGATGGAGGTCAATGCGCACGCATCCGTAAGTGTAGCTGTCTCTTGGTAATCAAAATTGGGAAAGTAAGGGTGGCGAGGTACTCAATGGGGATCATGCCAAGTCCGTCGACGTCGAGAGCTCCTTTTGCAGCGGCAAATTGAGACCGAGGAGTTTTGCGTAATTGAGTGATAGCATCCAGACAGTGAATTGAACATGTTCATGTCCTCCACTGATCTGTGCCAATGCCTGCTGCAAGCGACGCCCTATCCGACAAAGCGGGCGATACCGGTGAACTGTAGCAAATGTAGGTCTCGTTCATGTCAGAAGCCCCTTAAAATCCTGCCCAACCATTGCTGCGTGTAGATAACTCAGGGCGGAAATGAGTTATGTTGCCATATCTCCACATAACGGAAACCGGGTTTCCGGGAAGTAGTCCCTGGCGATGCAGAGAAATTGGGTTTTCGAGGAGGGGGTTTGAAGAAGACGAGGCAGAAACCGTTGCAGTGTGTTTAAGCGATACTCCAAACATGCTCCGAGCGCCTGAGCGTGAAATGTCACATCATCCTGTTGTCCCTTACTCCAATTGCAATTTAGCATATAGCAACATCAACATCGTTCCCGTGAGAAACCTCACCTCCCATACCCCGGCCACGGCATCCCCCGCCAATCCACCTCCATCCTAGCCGGTCCCGGCGTCCAAGGCTCATCCGCCTTCTCATATTTTTTCAACGGCCAATCCCACGGCATCCTCAACGGCACGATCTCCTTCACCCCTTCCATCACCAACCTCTCCTTTACCTCCTCCGGCACCGTATCAGATTTGTATGTCGGTACGATAACGGTATTAGAAGAGGTATATTGAGCGGGATGGATCAAGATCCCGGCTTCGTAGGACTGGATCTTGAAACCAGGGTCTCGGCCGGCGACGGGGGTTCCCCAGGCTGGTTTACTTAGGTTTGCGCTGGTCAGGAGTGCCCATTTAACCCGCACCCCGCTCTTCTCATCCTCACTTAACCGCATATACGTCTTAATATGAGGCGCAGCTCTCTCCCTTCCCGCCTCGACTGCATGCCAATCACATAGCATCGGCCGCATATACTCCAGTTGAGACTGCATTTGTGGGGTGGAGAGGCGGAGGTGGATGGAGCCTCCTGAAAACCAGCCCTCGAGGGAGTTTTTGATTGAGGACGGGGTTGGGAAGATTAGTTTGAGTGGGGGTTTTCTGGATGAGGGGGTGGAGGAGGAGGTGGTGGAAAGGGCGGAGTGGAAGTAAGGGCCGAGCCAGGTGTCTTTTGGGCCTAGGGAGCCGATGGAGCTGAATTGGCCGATGATTGTGTCCTTGCTTGACGGAGTGTCGGGTGTTGATGGGGCTTGCGAGAGTACATCTCGCATGCGTTCGATGCCCCACATCCGTTTCGTAGACGTAGTGGTAAACTTGCCCGGAACCGATGCGACAAACGTGACTTTCACGGACGAGAAATCATACTTCTTCACTTCCTCCATGAGCGCTTTCAACCGATCCCGCCCATACGCAGCAAAATATGCCATAATATCCACCTCGAACTCCGACGTCGCCGGCGACGCCGCAATCTTGAAAGGCAATGGCGGCGACAACCATGCCGCATTCGTCATGTTCCCCCAATCCTTCTCAATCATATTCGCAGTGTGTACAACGACTTGTACAGTGTCATCCCTCCTAAAGACGACCATCATTTTCGTATGATGCGTACCAAAAGGATCGGGTAAGTACGCAGCAATCAACTCGACATTCTTGTACCTCTCTGCTTCTTCGTATAAAGTATGCCGTGTTGGATCCTCCGTCTTCCAGAAGCCGTGCACAATCTTGATGCAGCATGCATCCGCCGTATCGGGGTCGAAGTGGGAGTAAATGAAAGGTATGTCGAAAAGGAAGTTGAACTGCCATGTGCAGGATATAAGGGGGCCTGAAAGGATGTCGAATAGGGTGATGGTATCAACGTTCTCTGATGGCGGGAGGTCGCGTGTGCTGAGGAGCTTGAAGGGTGATGATATATGCACCTTCTGTGCGTCAGAGACTGAATATTTGTGCCGCTTGCTTGGAGGAGGAGGAGTCTCGCCATCGGTTGTACCATCTGTGTCGTCTGTGGTGTCGCTCATTGTTGCGGTCCCAGTTGCTGGATGCTGGTTGCTTACCGCTGGTGATGACGTAGAAGATCTCGATCCAAGTCGCGCGGGTATAACAGAGCGACGTCCAGTAGAAATCCTCCCATTGCACCACCTATAACAACAGACGAGCAGTCAATTTATGCTCACCCGTCTCCGTCTATCCAACCCCAGATCACTAACAAGAACTTCATCCATCATCTATCGCAGCATGTCTTCAGAGGCAGGCCTCCAACAGTTCCGTGTCGGTTACGCTGATGAGATTAAGGACATGCAGAAGAAGGAGGTCACGATCGGAGGAGAGCAGAAGGTTTTGTTGATGAAAGTTAAGGGAAAGATTTATGCTACTGCGCCGAAGTGCACGCATTACGGTGCTCCATTGAAGAACGGAGTGTTGAGCCCCGACGGTCGATTAGGTACAAGAGTACATTCAGTTTGCAAGACGTCTGGCTGACATACGTTGTACAGTTTGTCCGTGGCATGGTGCTTGTTTCCGTGTCGATACCGGTGATATTGAAGACGCTCCCGCTCTTGACGCGTTGAAAACTTACCCCGTCACCATCAAGGACAACGAGATCTTCATCTCCGCAACACAGGAGTCCCTCACCCAGAACCAACATCCACCGACCTTCATCGCAAAAGGCGCCAAGGATCCCAGCAAGCACCTCGTCGTTGTCGGTGGTGGATCTGGTGCCACAGGTGTCGTCGAGGGGTCGAGGAGCTTTGGCTACCCTGGGAAGATTACCGTCGTTAGCAAGGAGACATACTTGCCCATCGACCGTACCAAGCTCTCCAAGGCTCTGATCACGGACGAGGGCAAGGTCGCACTTCGCTCCTCTGACTTCTTCAAGGATCTCGATATCGAGATCAAACTCGGCTCCACCGTCAAGGCCGTCGATCCATCCGGTCACACGATCACCCTGGAAAACGGCGAGTCCCTCTCCTACACCACCCTCGTCCTCGCGACGGGTGGTATCCCCAAGCGTCTCCCCATGTACGGCTTCAACGCGAGCAACGTCTATACTCTCCGTTACATCCAAGACGCGGACGCCATCACCAAAGCCCTCGGTGACGCCGAGAAGGAGAAGAAGAAGGTCGTGATCGTCGGCTCGAGCTTCATCGGTATGGAGCTCGCTGGCTGTATTTCTGGTAAAGGCCACGACGTCACCGTCATCGGGATGGAGTCATCTCCTCTGGAAACCATCCTCGGTCCCAAGGTTGGCAAGTTCATTCAGGGCCTACACACGGAAAAGGGCGTCAAATTCGAACTCGGAAAGGAAGTAGAGAAAGCTGAGACATCAGGCAACAAAGCCACCGCCGTACTCCTCAAAGACGGCACCTCCATCCCCGCCGACGTCGTAATCCTCGGTGTCGGAGTCGCCCCCGCTACCAAATTCCTCGAATCCTCCTCCGCGTTCAACCTTCGCAAAGATGGCGGTGTCGAAGTAGACGAGTTCCTCCGCGTAAAGGGCGTAGAGGACGTTTACGCTATCGGTGATATCGCCGCATTCCCCTATATCGGACACACAGGAAAAGCCAAGGGTGACCCTATCCGTATCGAGCACTGGGATGTTGCGATGAACCACGGCCGTACCGTAGCCCGCCATATCTCCTCCCCATTCTCAAAGGAATTCCCGGAGCCGAAGCCATTCACCAACGTTCCCTACTTCTGGTCTGCACAGGGCGTCCAAGTCCGGTATTGTGGTAACACGCAGGGCGGGTTCGATGATATCGTCTATCAGGGTTCATTCGAGGATAAGAAGTGGGCGGCGTTCTATTGTCAGGGGGAGGAGGTTGTTGCTGTTTGTAGTGTTGGCTACGATCCAGTTGTTAGTAAGGCCGCGGAGCTGATGAGAGTTGGAGGCATGCCGGCGAAGAAGGAGTTGGCTGATGGGGTTGACGTTAGGAAGGTTGAGATTCCGCATGGTGTAGCCGATCTTAAATTGGAATAGGATATTGCTATGGTATGGGTGACCGACTAAGTGTTATGATTACTTGAAGATCACGAGATGAACAGGAGAAATGCGAAGCAGACTTCAAAAGATTGAATTGGACGACAGGAGACACAAGTGTAACAAAGATCCAAATTGAAGGCAAAGTAAACGCCAGATATCCCCAGAAGTACAAACAGCAAAACCCGAAAGTCATGAACAAATGATTTTTTGATTGAACTACATCACCATAGCTACAAGCTGTCGCGAAGTAGAACAACCCCCCAAAATTCACTCGCCTACACTACCTCAATGCATTTAAGCAGAGGTGGTGGCGGTGGCACCAGCAGCCTTGAGGGCCTTGCGGGTAGCAGCCTGGGACTTGGGGCCCATGACACCTCCACCCCAGTGACGGCGGGAGTCCTCGAACTTCTCGGTGAAGTTAGAGTTGATGGCAGAGACGAGCTTAGCGAGCTCGTCCTTGTCCTCAGTGCGGACCTCGGTCAAGGCAGCGACAGCAGCGGTCTTCTTGTGGACGACGGTACCGAGACGAGCCTTACCCTTGACAATAGCATAAGGAACACCCATCTTGCGGCAGAGAGCGGGCAAGAAGATGACCAACTCGATGGGATCAACGTCGTTGGCGATGAGGACGAGGGAAGCCTTCTTGTTCTCGATCAAGGAGACGACGTGGTTGAGACCGTACTTGACGAAGTAGGGCTTCTTGCCGTCGTCCTTCTTGTCCTTACCCTCAGTCTGAGCAGCAGCCTCGGCGGTAAGACGCTCCTTCTTCTCGGCAGCGGTCTCGGGGCGGTACTTGTTCAAGACACGGAAGAGCTGGGTGGCGGTGTTCTTGTCCAAGGTGTTCTGGAACTGAGCAATTGCCGGGGGAACCTTCAAGCGCATGTTGAGGATCTTCTTCTGGCGCTGAAGACGGACATATTCGGGCCACTTGACGAAGCGGGACAAGTCGCGCTTGGGCTGGATGTCCTGACCTATATCAGGTTGTTAGTCTCCGTCACGATCGACGAGAGAAGTGGAATCAACGTACCGATACCGAAGTTCTTGGGACGCTTCTCAATGAGAGGGTTCTTGGGCGCCTTGGTCTTGGCGGCTCCAGCCTTGGAGAGGGGAGCAGGGGCGACCTTCTTTCCTTTGGGGGCGGGCTGTGTCATTGAAAACAGACAATGGTCAGAACAAGTTCTCAAACAATTGTTCCCAATCCAATTCATCGTGTTTTCTACAGTCTCGCCTTCTCGATCAAGCTCTTGCGAACAGGAACGAAAAGGGACGGAGACTCAGCAGTGCGGATGCAGAAGATTTACTCCTCATTCCCTTGCGGGCATCCTAGAGGATGGGACGGTGCGCCATCGTGGTACGCGGTTAGGCTGGTCGGTTGGATACGGATCAGAGAAACCGTGCAATGTATCCACGATGTTGACACCTTTCCATCCTCCGCGAATGAGAACCATGTAGGCCGAGGCCAGATTCATAATCATTCATGAGCTAAAGAATAGCAATGCAAGAGAATGCGAGATCAACGCAGAGCCGCCGCAAAGCAGACGAGCTGCATGCGACCACGGGAGGAGAGGTTAGGAATGGCATTTCGACTCACCATATTGAACTTGGTCGGTATGTACTGGACTTGGCGAGTGACAACGATTTCGCAGCTCTCGAGTGAAATCGGTTATAGGCGTTCGAATTTGCGCGCACTAACAAAATTTGGAGGTGTGCGCGAGTAAACCCTACCGGCACGTGACTAATCTTGGGAGGGAGGAGCAAGTTGACAGAGTGCGACTGAAGACGTTAATGCTCATCGCGGTCGTCTCTCCGGCTCCGCTTGCCCGCCGCTTCTCTATACCAAGGATGTATTTCCTTTCGCTGTAGCGAGGTTCCAAATTATGTTATTCGTTTCATTCTTGCGGCCTTGACTGGGTTTGTCGCTAGATCCCCCGACTCGAAGCAATGCTGCGCCAGTTCCAGTTCAAGGACAGAACCCTGACAGCAGCACCGTAGCGACTCCAAGAAGCTGCCTTTTCCCATCATCCAGTACTGATATGAACTTCCTCCAGCTTTCCTTCCCCAAAGAACGGAAGATCATCCACTCCGTCCTCCGACCGGACCCCGGAACCCTCTCCTCTGCCGACCCGTGTTCCGTGTTCCGTGTCAGAGTAGAGTAAGTCGGTCCGAACATTCCTCTAGGGCACTTTGCCAGTCCGTGAAGTTTCTCAGGGCAGGTCCATGCTGCAGTTTTACAATTGGAAGCCCGACCCGCTGACCGGCGCCGCGGAACCGGGAAATGTAAGGAGCTCAAACCTGGGGAGACATGGAACAGATTGAGCCCCATGGGGTGTCGGTCATCTCCGGTGATCACGCGGAAGATGCGACTCTGGCCTTCAAAGCACTGGGCAATTGTAATTGGACGAATCATGTGTGCTCCGCGCCTGCTCTCGGCCGTGCCTCGGCCATGTGGAGCATTTGACGAAGTTCATCTCCGGTCGCTTGCGCGTCTGGCAGGTCCGCTCTGGGCCCCGGGGTAAAATCTGTTGCGCAGCTGGACTGTCAGTAAGGAAGCAGGTATCTCCGATCCGTGGATTGCAGCCCCATCAAAGCCACCCCCACCCTCCTCCACGCAGTAAAGGCGCACATAACCCGCTCCCATTGGCCCACCAGGTATCCCCTCTCCACAAAAGTCAAGAAACGAGCCGGAGGAAGTCCAAGCCACCGGAGATGCGGTCGGGACAGGATCAAAGATTTTGCGGGGTCGGAGGAAAAGAGCGGGGAAGTGGGCTCGGGGCGTCGGGCTAGGCGTTGGGGAACTCAGCCGTGGTGCCCTTCGAGGGTGGGAAACCGCTGTTCTTACGACGATTGCAGAGCGTAGAAACGTCCAATTGCGCTCATTCTACTTGGCATTTACTCGCCTAATTCATAGCAAGTCAGGGTAGTAACAGGGCATCGACGGGTGACAGGAGTGGGGGTGCGCAGGGAAGCGGCTAGGCAGGTTAGAGCGCCGGAATGATGAAACCCGCCAGCGCATACAACTTGGAACAGCTGGAACCCGGAACACCTTAAATCTTATAAACCGCCGTATACCACCTGACCAACAACCCCGGTCCTACTCCTCAATCGCAATCAATTGATCCCTGAACCCTCTCTTTCTCTTTCAACTATCCGGTTCACTTCCGCACTTCTATAAAATGTCAGTATCACCCGCCGTCAACCTCTCCCGCAACAGCTCCCTCCGCTCAGAATTCGGTGAACGCCGGACTTCCTCGACACCAAACACCCGTCGCCCATCTCTTCGCTCTACGCCTTCACGACGAAACTCCGCTATGCTCGAGGGAGACAGTCCAGAGGAGGTCTTTGTCGGTGCTATCGATCAGGGTACCACCTCTACTCGTTTCATCATCTTTGACAGGAATGGGCAGCCGCAGGCACAGCATCAGGTCGAGTTTGAGCAGATCTACCCCAAGCCTGGATGGATTGAGCATGATCCTGAAGAGATCCGTAGCTCGGTTTCTACTGTGCTAAGCAAGGCAACCAAGAACTTCTTGGATCAGGGCCGTCGTATGCGTCAGCTTCAGGCCGTTGGTATCACAAACCAGCGTGAGACTACTGTTGTCTGGGATGCCGAGACTGGTCGTCCTCTCTACAACGCCATTGTCTGGGCTGATACCCGTACCACTGAGACCGTCCAGCAACTCAAGCGCAGGCCTGGGTCTGACAAGATCTTCGAGCTCTGTGGGTTGCCCATCACCACTTACTTCTCCGCCGTCAAGCTCCGCTGGATCTTGGACCATGTTGAGGATGCCCGTGAGGCCTACAATGAGGGCGCGCTCATGTTCGGTACCATCGACTCCTGGCTCATTTGGAACTTTACGGGAGGTATCAACGGTGGTATCCACGTCACCGACCCTACCAACGCTTCTCGTACCATGTTGATGAACATCAGGACCTTGCAGTGGGATCAGGAGCTCATCGATTTCTTTGACTTGGGTAAGGTGATCTTGCCTGAGATCCTCTCCTCTTCTGAGGTCTACGGTAAGATGTCTACTGGTCCTTTGGCTGGTATCCCCATCTCTGGATGTCTCGGTGACCAGTCCTCTGCTCTCGTCGGTCAGCAGGCGTTTAACCCCGGAGACGCCAAGAACACCTACGGAACTGGTTGTTTCTTGCTCTACAACACCGGTGAGACCCCAGTTCTTTCCAAGAACGGTCTTTTGACTACGGTTGGTTACAAGTTCGGTGACAAGAAGCCCGTGTACGCACTCGAGGGATCTATCGCCGTAGCTGGATCCTCCATCAAATGGCTCCGCGACGGTCTCGGTCTCATCAAGGAGTCTTCCGAGATCAGTGATTTGGCCGCTTCCGTCGAGGATGCCGGAGGCGTTATCTTCGTTCCCGCTTTCTCTGGTCTCTTCGCTCCCTACTGGCGTGATGACGTCCGTGGTACCATGCTCGGTATCACCCACTACACCACCAAAGCCCATATCTGCCGTGCTACCCTCGAGGCCATCTGTTTCCAAGCCAAGGCCATCTTGGACGCCATGAACAAGGACTCTGGAACCCCCCTCAAGGTCCTCAAGGTCGACGGAGGCGTCACCAACTCCGATACCTGCATGCAAATCCAGTCTGACACCATCGGTCTCCGCGTCGAGCGTCCCGCCATGCGCGAGACCACCGCCCTCGGTGCCGCTATCGCCGCTGGATTCGCTGTCGGCGTCTGGTCCGATTTCTCCGAGTTGTCGTCCATCAACCAGGAGGGTAAGGATATCTTTGAGCCCGCGATCGAGGAGAGCGTCAGGGATGAGAGGTTTGGGCTTTGGGAGAGGGCCGTTAGGCAGAGTTGTGGGTGGTTGAAGAGGGATGAGGTTGAGGAGTTGAAGGATGGGGTTGAGCAGATGACGCTTGTGCAGGCTGAGGAGAAGGCTGAGAATGCCTAAAGGTTTATGGGGGTTGGTGCAGGTGGTTCTGTGTAGGTTATTTGGATATCCATGATTGAGGTATGATTTTGTTATTATTGATATCCGGTGGTCGGGCGAGGGAAATGAATAAAAGCGTGTTTATCATCTTGCAGAACCGTTTCTGTCTTAAATTTATTAATGAAGAGTGACGCGTGGCCAGTCGCGGTCGTGGGATATATAGTTCTCCCGGCTGCCGTTGGGCATCTGAGGTACGGGCAGCAGCTGTTGCGATCAGGGTCCAAAATGACCGGTAATGGGAATTCTTGCATTTGCCATGTCCGCTCGCTCCGTAAAGGTAACTGAGGTTTCGTTCATCTGACCACGATTAGTGTATCTGATCGTGGTCACGCGTACTGGCCTGGCATATGGAAGAATGCCAATGACGTGACGCGAAGCTCATGACTAGGCTTCCTGTTCAATTGTCACGCACACTGAAAGCGTTTCCATAGTGCTACTCCTGGGATTGCCAATGTGTAGACCGTGCCGAGGACCGTGCGAACATGAAGCACCGCACGATAATAGCCTACAACGCATTCGGGGAAAATACACAAGGTCTCGAACGCTCTGTTAGGATATGAGCGGTAAAAACGTTTACCGACGAACTTCAGGCAGGTCCCGACATGCTGTTTGGGGTGAAGCCGGCTGCTCCGGAATCCTCCGGGCCGGTGAACCTTGAGCGTACTGACCAATCCGGGCATGATCGACAGACAGGGTCCAACCGTTACGTCCGCATCACACTTAAGCTTAAGTATAAAGGAACTTCAAGACGGCCCGGTAACCATGCAATAATGGGAAGATCGAGGCGCAATTGCTGCTGGTGACGTACCACGGTATGTACATGAGGCAGGATCCATTGACGACAAGGGCGCTTCCGTCCAACTTAGCACACATGTCGGCCATAAGGATTCAGCGTGATCTGATTACCTTGTCTTGTAATTGATCAGGTAACAGCTACCCTGATCTGTATGCCAGCGTCAGCCGTGTGTGTATTCGGTGTTCGCAAAGAATGTACCGGTAAAGGAATTACCGTTTTGATATATCCAGCTGCAGCCGTGCTGTTAGCGATGTGCAGGCATCATTTACGGTACCAACTGCCGGACTTCCAAGATTGGACCCTGAATGTCGCGCGTGATCAGGGAAAGGGTCCGCATGTTGTGATTGGGCCGGGTGAAAAGAAGATTAAGATTGTTGGATACGTAATGGAGGTCTTGGGGCCGTAAAGCGTACTCGCGTTCGCCGGCTGGAGTATATAAAGACTGTAGGATCCGCTTTTGGCGCGACAGAGTAGAACCCAATGACATCGGACTTTGGCATGGCTAGTCACTCTAAGCCTATCGATGGAACCATCGATGGACCCTTCGACACACCCTCTCCTACTTCAGCACCAGCGACGCCGATCGCTCAGGACAATGAGACCGCTGGAGGTGCGATTCGACAGCGTTCTCGTATTTCCCATGCCTGCGATGCTTGTAAGGAGCGGAAGAGGAGATGCTCCGGCGAGCGCCCCGTCTGCGTTCACTGTCGTTGTTACGGTCTCAACTGCGTCTACTCCTCACGTCGCAGGGACAATCGCCAAGGGTACAGATCATCCAATTATTTCTCATACGCTAGAAGCCTCTGACTGTGCTGACTCTGGTTTAGTGAACTCGCTGTGCTGAGGGATAAGACGGAGATGTTGGCAGATATGATGCTCCGGGCGTTGCCTGCCGTCCGTGATCCCATTCTTCAAGCAGCAATGCAAAAGGTCCTCGATGCGAACCAAACATCGGCCGCTCAGACAACGTCCATCCCGGAGGAAGAGCTCGGTGGTGATTCGCCTCGCGAAGATCCGGATCTTGACCATACGGAGGAAGAGTTACTCTTCGACTTGAACACCATCCGGATTTCGCAGCCTGAGGGTTACTTGGGTCCGTCACACCCTACTGCGATCTTGAGACCGTTAGTAAACGAAGTTGCGCCGCACTATAAGCACACGGTTGGTTATGTGCTTGGCTTTGGTACGGATGATCTCAAGGATGCTGAGTGGTCGGATCAGAGTGTTAATCCACTGGAACTTCCGTCGAGAGAAGAAGCGGATAATCTCATTACAGTATGTCAAGGGTTCATCTTCGTCCTGGGTTGCGTATGCTCATGTCTTTTGGCAGGTGTATTTCTCTCACCTTCACTGTCTTTACCCCATCCTCTGGCGTCCTCGATTTCTGTAAATTTCAAACCAAACCAGGCCGCGGTATCTTCACTAACAGCGCTGATAGGTACGAGTACATGAGCTTTTGGAGCAATGACAGACGTGTCACTTTCTCCGATAACAACAATTGGCTTTCAATCCTCAACATGGTCTTCTCCATCGGGTCGCTTTACAGCATAGCTGTATCCGACAACCCAGATCAGAACAAGCCGTTAATCTACTTCAAGCGTGCACAATCATTCTCGATGAACATGTTTGCGGTTGGAAATCTCGAGACGGTTCAGTGTTATCTGCTCATGGCCTGGTTCTTGAATGCTATGGGTATGAACAACAAGTCAGTGGAGCCCTGCGTGCATCGTGAGGATGAGGTTGCTAAGTGTTTGTAGGGCATATACTATCTTAGGAACAGTGATTCGGATGGCTGAAGCGATTGGACTTCATGTCAAGTCATCTCGTTCTGGGATTGATCCTGTTTTATTGGAAACACGCAGGTAAGCACAGCTGGTTCAGTCCTGCATTTGGTGCGCATAGCGTGGGAAATCCAGCTAATGAGCTTCCCAGGCGCGTCTGGCATTGCATACTTGTCTTCGAGCGGTAAGTTGTTAACAATTTCTAATAAGACAGATTTCTGATCGCCTGTTATAGAACGCTCGAACTTATGCTCGGACGACCTATTAGCAGTCCTAGCCATTTCTTCAATTCGGAACTTCCGGTGGAGGTAGATGAAGAATGGTTCGAAGGTTCACAAGCCCTTCGTGGTGCAGGACAGCCGAGATTTAAACCTTCCCGTGTTGGATACCTCGTTGAAGCTTACAAACTGTCGAGGATCACGGAGGAGGTCATGGACAAGCTTTACTCCGCTGTCGCGTTAACCGTTCCGTGGAGCTTGTATGAGATCTCGGTCGCCGACTTAGGGAACCAGATCGTGAGTTGGAAAAGCTTGCTTCCCTTTCATCTTCGCTTTGATGATCAATATCGTACGGGTGATCCTGATGGGATTTTCCTCCGTCAAAGGAACGCATTGGCACTTCGCTACCACAACGTACGCATGTTGATCTTCAGGCGGTAGGTGGATTGTCTTCCTGATGATGTTTGACCATACTGACGTATGCATGGTAGGTCTATCAACAGAGCTTTACGCCGCGGAAAAGATGCCCAAGGCCAGCACGATTACGTTCGTACACGTCCGAAGCTGGACATGACTGACTTCGCCTTTCGCGAGTGTGTCAATGAAGCAATGCATGTTGGTCTCATGTTCCATGACGCGCATGTGAAAACAAAGCAGATGTTTTTGGAGGTATGTCTATAGTACGCATAGACGATCCGAGATTTAACTTCGTCTAAACAGCACGCATGGTGGGAAGCGCGTTCCACGATAATCACTGCCGCTTCAATTCTTGCCCTGGTTTGCAGAGCAGGCACACAAGGCATCGTTAATCTTGACGGAGATGCTATCACGAAAGACAAGATTCGAGAGAGTCTGGAATATCTCAAGGACGCTGTTGAAGCATTGAGTCTCGACTCCCTCACGTGTGCAGAGAGGACGAAGGAGATCGTCCTATGGTAAGCCTTTCATCTAAAAATAAGTCTTAAGCAGCCTGCTAAGTCTCGCATCAGTCTCATCAGGTTGGCCGATGGAGATACGAATGCTCTATTTGGTGAGGCATTCCTATTCTCAATTAGAACCCTACTCATGTTTCTCTTGCAGACTCCAATGAGGTCTTAATGTATACTCCGAGCGACACAGAAAACTCAAGAGCCGAGACCGAATCGTGGTCCAGAGCGACTCATGAGGTCTCACAGTCACCCGACTTCGACTTGTTCAAAGTACGTGCAGGCATAGATTACGGTGTGGGCATAAGCATGCAGAAATCGGCTACGAACCAAGGACAAATGCCCAGTGCGGGAGATTACAGGTGGGTCAATCAAGAAGTAGGGCTTCAGCAAGGGTCATCTGAGGAAGGCGTGTCACTAAGGACAACCATGTCGGCCATGGAAGATCAAAGACAAGTGTGGGCCCCGCCCTCTGCCTTCACAGTCGACGTTTTTGGGCTACCCATGCTATACGACAATCCAGGTATGCTGCAGTATAGTTTTCGGAGCGTTTTGCTGACATGGTGCACGTAGTGTGGACGGTTCATCAGCAATACCGGAGTCAGAAGGAAGGGCCAAGCGGCGGACCACAGGGTCAAGACGCAGACTGTTGATGACAGGGGTGGCGTGATGCCGCTTAGTATTTCTTACACCAAATTCAAGTCTGATTTGTTCATTTATTGCAATTGAATGTTTCTGTTAGTGCTAGTTACTTCCGCGGCGGCCGCGCCGGTACAACAATAAGGACAGTTTTAGGGGTTTGTCTCCAGTTGATAACCACGCTCTCCTCACGCACCACTGCCAAAGCCCATTCGACGCGACCGATAGTCCAATAGTCCTCCTCCGGTCGATCAGAGATGACATCAAAAAACTCCTCGAAAAACTCCTGGAAGGCTTCGTAAGTGATCCCAGAAGAATCAAGCTTCACTCGCTTTCTACCATGCTCTTCGTCATTGTTATTGTCATCGTCGTGTCTGTTTGGTGACTCGTCATGTTTGACGGCCATGTTCTCCAACCATTCGGCCCAGTATGATCGTTTCCCCTGCTTGTACCTTTCGTGGACAAGAAAAAGAGCCAGAAAAAGGATTTCTTCGTCATTCTCGCGGATCGTGTCCGGCTCTCCAGAACCAAAGATGACTTCGACGAGATCGCGAAACGCGGCGGACACGTGCAGGGTCTCGTCATACTCGTTTGGAATACCTAGGAGTTGATCCGATGACAGACCTGCCTCATTGATGATGTCAGCACTATCCGGCTTTTCATGACCCATGTTTTCCCATTGAACTTTGTTGAGGGGGTTCACAAGTTCTTCAAGGTTTGACTCTGCAGCCTCAAGCGCTTTCCTCAGGACATGCTCTTGACCACGTTGATACACCATGGCCCATTCCTGCCTTGAGTTCTGCGGTAGCGGCAAATTGTCTGTGGCGACACATATTCGCGTGAGCTTCATGTCAACGGCAACACATGCTTGGTAGATCATGTCACATTCATTTCGGAGAGTACCGGACAGATCGTCTGCCATAACCGCAACCTCCATATCAGTAGCAGTCAAAACGCGGAACTGCTTCTGTAAGTCTTCTGGGAAGGGGTCTTCATGGGTCAGATATTGTACCTTGAACCGCGTTAGACCGTCAACTTCATCAAGCAGACCTGCTTTCCGCAGAAGGTCGAGCTTAAGCGGCGAGACATTCGGCGGCAAACCCATACGAAGAGCTACTGAATCAAAATCATTTGGTTCAATACAGAACCCGTAGCCCATTAAGAGCTCCTCGTTGCCCTTTGGTCCATAGTTATTACGAACTTCTTCACCTGCGCGATGTTCGTCCTCGGCGATCAGCTTGAGACACTGGCCAGCCTCCTTCAGCCAGGTGACCGGAGTTCGAGGCTTGTGGTTCAGGGAGTCGACAATAGGAAACAATACGGGATCGGACGCCTCAGGAGAAGAGTCAGAAGGACCATCATCAAGCAGCCGCGAAGGAAATGATCTAGAAGACAAGACGGTCGCCGACCAAAGATAATCGTCCCTGATGTAGCAATCAGTTTAAGCTCACTAGCAGGTCCGGGTAACTGGACTTACCAGGTAAATGCCTCCTTGTCGTATTCCGTCGGAAGCAAATTCACTGCTGTCCTCCATTCGTCTTCCCAAATGTCAATCCTTTCTTTCCACGACGCGAACAAGTTTGTCGCGGTCAGGTATTTCAGATCATCCGCGTCAAAATACGCCGGAGTATCGAAAGTCGTCGGCAAGACGTTGATGTAAGGTGCCCATTTCGATTGAGGATCATGTCTTTGCGCAGTCAAGAACATGCAAAGAGCTGTATGAGTAGGAACAGCCACAGACCATGAGTCAGGAAAGAAAGACTTCGCCACCTTTGGGGTGATGGCGAGTTCATACGGGCAAGTCAAGAGCGTCGTCTGTGCTGGAACGCCTTCCTTTGCGAATGCCGTCCCTATCAAGACGTTAGAAGAAGGACGTGATTCAGAGAGGCGGTAAATACCATTCTCGAACTGCAAATGTTCCGATATCACTGCACCGTGCTCTCTACCCCATGTGATAAGCTTATCCATCTTTTTGGCGAGAACTTGGGAATTGTTGCGGTGGATGCTATTTTTAGTAACAGATCACGCAGATGGTTAAATGCTGAAGAGATGGGAAAAGACACAGAAAATGAAGATGCGTTACGGATTCAGGGTTTGCTATAAACTATCAAGACCGTTTCCTAGCCAATGTGCTATTTCGCGGAACACCCAATGTCTGCCAAAAACCAAAATGAACACCTTTTGCTTGTATATGAAGATTTCTTGAACTCGTCAACCATACTCACACATCAACCCCTAAGAACAAATAATGTAATTGTGTATTACCGCCCAAACATCGATGCCGGAGGGGGGGTGCCATCTCCAGGCACTCCAACACGCAAAGGAGGGAGCTGTAACGGCGGAAGCTTGATCCTGAAGTCATCAGGCTCCGTAGGCCCAGAGGGAGTACCCGAGCTCGACGTAGAAGGACGCATAGGATCATGCGGAGGCTGTAATACGGCTGGCGCCGGAGAAATTGCGCCTTTTACGACTGGTTCACCGATGCGAACACCAGGACTATCACTACTCTCGTGACTCAATCTCCCACCTTCAGTGCGCGAGAACTGCATATTCGACGCCGGAGGAACTGCTGCACCAGGCAAAGGGCCAATGCTATGCGGGTTACGCGGGCCGCTCTTTTGTGCGGGAAACGGTGCGATCGCCTCATTCGACGGAGGCCGCGACATGCGTGCCTCCCATGCCTGCCGATGTTGTGACGGCGGCATATACGATTCCTGTGAATAAGACTGCTGCATCATAGGGCGACTCAATTGTGGATGGGATTGTGCCTGTGGTGGAGGGAACGGTAAGGCATACTGCGTCCTAGGCGAAACAGGGGATGGCATAGGTGACTCGACGGTCGCCGTCATCGCAGCCGCACTCAACTGCCAAGACGTCCTTCTCCGAAAGCCAGGAAGTCTCCATGTTGGTGCACCTGGAGGTTGTCCGGCGTTTATGGATGGATGGCGATGTTGTACAGGACGTTCATTTGCGTATCCCGACTGCTGTGGACCATACCCATGTCGCTGCACCACTGCAGCCGGAGGATATGGATGCGGCCGAGGTTGTTGCTGCTGCCCTTGAGGATGATGGCCAGGAGCATAGGTCGGCGAGAATGGAGGCGCCTCTGTACTCGTCGCACTCACTGGCGTCAATAAGGTTGACCCCAGACGTGGACGCTTAGTCTGCGCATCGTACCCTCCATAACCTGACGAAAGGCGGCCACGGGCCATTTGTCCTGGTGGACACCTCATGGACGGGTTCTCGTACTGAGGATGCTGCTGTTCATGTCCTTGGCCCGGGCTATTCTGCACGAACTGACCTTGCGAAGAGTAGCTGGGATCGATCTCTCTAGGCGCAGGGATGGGTGGTTGGGAATGATGGATATGCTGCTGTGGATAGCATTGTTGTGGGTATTGCCTTTGTGGTTGTTCATGTATCGTAGTATGCGGTACTTGTTGATGTTGATATGGATGATAACGTTGCTGCTGCTGCTGGTTTTGAGGTCCTTGGTGGCGATGATGATGCGGCTCTCTTTCGACAGGTGGCGCCGTCTGAGGCGGCTGTTCCTCCATGTCTTCCGCTCTCCTCTTCCGGAGTGGGAATGGTGTCTTGATGAGACGATGCGATTGCAAAGGGTTATCTGCCAATACTGGTGGCGATACAGACCGAGCGACACCCGTCTCATCAACTGGTTTCCCACTTGCATTCCTCTTCATCTGCATACGGTGTTCCTTCCTAATCCTGATGCGTACACCCTGGTCTGCAAAGCTTCTGGACAGAAATGTACTTTCTGACATGCCCGGGAACGACTTGGCGGCGTAGACGATGAAGGATTTCGAGATGCAAGACTGTAGGTGAATCACCTCGTTCTTGACCAATTCGAACAGAGTGAACTTTAGTCTGTATTCCCCTTCCAATTTCACACTGAGGTCGCCGAATACAAAGAAACCGCCATCACTGTTGTCGACATCTTTCAGTCTATGCAAACTGGAAACGACAGTTCCTGCCAACGTCCTGTTCACGGCGGTAGTTCGTTCCGGGTCCCTTGCGGCGCTTGGGACGAGGTCGGCGCACATGAAGAAGTACGGATTTTGGAGGTAATTTGATGCAGCATCGTAGGGGTCTCGGACTTTGAGTTGGATGATGGGTGGCGGGTCAACTGGACGACGTTCTGTGCAGGAAATATATGAGCAATTGCGTCAGAGCGTTTCGCTATAGAACATACCTTTCTCTTTGAACGTACATACTCGAGCTCGGTCAGGTTGCTGACGGATAATCAAGTCGTACTGAATCCTGTGATTGCCACGTTAGACCAGGGCCCGAGAACGACAGACGACGAAACAGCGGCTCACCCTTTCGAGGTATTCCTGACTTGAGCAGCGTCCGCGGTGATGAAGCTGTAGGCGTTCATGTCCGGGTGAACGGGGACCCAAGGACGAAGGCCGTTGTCCCAGAACGCCGGATATGCGTTGTCGCTATAAGTTGAAAAGGTGAGCCTGAAGATGGTACGTCTGGTTCGTAATGACCGACGTAATCGTAATTGACGGCAAATGTATACGTTGCTTCGTCTTGCGAATGTCGATTGGAGGAGTCGGTCAAACGCTGGTAAGCGAATCTACCCAACGGGCCGGGGTATGAACGGCGCAAAACCGTGGATCGAAAGAGAAATGAGACCGATAGCGGAAGAGACGTAGAACCAGGTATGTTATGACGAGGCAGCGAGAATGGCAGGCGGTTACGGTATGAATGGACGGCTGAGCACAGGTGACACTGACGAATGTCGATCCTGAGGCTAAGATTGATGGTGTACCGGAAACCTTAAACGGCCCTGTGCGTGTCGGATTGACGGCGAGGAGCGAGCGCAGGGAGAGTTGGAGGAGACGCAATGGCAACAGAGCAGGGCAGTCGGATTAAAGCAGTCCGACAATTTCGCGTCGACATCGCTATACGCACCGTCTAGCTACCCTTACTGCCCGCTTCCTGCTTGCGGCGATCGTACGCATGGTTGCTTGTACCGGGGTCACTAGCTCCCCTGGAGATATGAACTACATACACCAGCCCTGCCCGAGTGGCTGGCAGTGATGGCAGTTGACTCATACTAAAGGACCGTAAGGCAAGCAAGCAAATGAAAATCAGTTCATGAAAGGGCGGGTAGCCTTGCGATTGGGTGCAATCTATGAGAACGACCTGTCCTGCCCAGCCCCTCCGACGTCGTCCTCTCACCATCTCCGCCTGGAACGTGGGCTCCACGTCTCGTGTTCATGGTCCGTACTCGGAGTAGGGGGGAGTGACGATCTATCATCGCATCGTCACAGCCTTAACTGTAGAGTGACCTCGTGGCAGGCATGAGCATGATACCGGGAGGAAGCGGTGAAAATATGAACAGGAATGAATTCGCCACGACGTGCACGAGACGATGGATGTTTCTTGAAGCATGTGGGTAGAGTTTCAGCTGCCTTACAGGATTTGAACCGTGTATCGGCGGAATAGTCCACCGAGGTCCCGGGAGAGGGAGAGGAGGCCACGGGCAACGCAACGACTGTTCCACCCCAAGCCTGGATTTTCCTGAACAGAGAATCACTCGTACGACGAACCTCCGCCGCGGCTACCCGCGGCTGAAGGCGTCATTGATCGTCAGCTGGACTGTGTTGCTCGGTTTATTCCGAGGGAAAATTTTAGCGGCGCAGACAGTTTCAATTGGTGTGAGTCCGGATATCAGCAGTCCGCGACCGAGTGGCTGGCGACTACTATTTTTAATCGATGGCCTTATTCTGAAACGCAGGGAGGCGTACGCATGTCAAAGGTGAAACGGCAGAAGACGTGCGGTCGTTCATTCGCGTTATATGTATGGAACTTCCCCACCTCCGAAGAAATAATCGTATCATATCGCTGTAGCAACTGTAAATCACGGAAGAAGCACCTTGAGGATCCTACTCGACCGTTTGATGAGGGTCTAGAACATAGCGAATTTTTAGATTCATCTGAACCCGAGCCATTTTACTTGCCTCCTTGCCCACTACGTCAGAACCGTACCACGGGCATCAAATGATCGACAGATATCGGGCCTTCAGTTTCGGGAAAGCAAGGACGTCGTTACACGCATGTGCGTCTGTGGCAGGATTCACTTAACCTCCCTGAAAACTTTGCGTGTCTCTGACACTTCATGGGGAGATTGAATTGTGAGGCGTGATGATGCATGGCGAATTGGATTGAAAGCGGGTCTTGTTTTCGAGTGGATGCATATGGCGCAAAGTCTTTCCTCGGCGGGTGAAGGTGGTACGATTCACCTTGGTGCGACGTCATCGTGATAAATAGGATTTCTACCAATGGCTATAGCTACCGCTGTGTCAGTCAGACATACCTGAACTCGCTCTCATATTTATCAGCTCGTAATGTATTGCATTTGTTGCAGGCGGTAATCACGACATCAGACCCGCACAATTGGAAAACGACGACGTTACCATCCGCCCTTTAGCTAAGCAACATGCTGAACAAGCTTGCTTTGGCACCCACTGTCGCGGGCGGTACATACTCCGCAACATGTCGCCCATTGGTCAGGATGCGTGCTAAACCGCGTGCCGGGCGTTATTTCGGACCGGTACTTAATACCGGTAAGCGAGCTCAAGGTCATGGATCCTCGAGACAGTACTGCCGCTCGGGTGAATCTCCGGTAAAATCATTCTGGGACATTCCCCTGCTATGGATACCTCGGTTTCTTCCAACTGGCCAACCAACGGACGAATTGCGCTTAACAAAGCATGGTTGAGATGTGGATCGTAGGTTTACTTCCTCGAGCAGCTGTGTTCCAGTTCGTGTTGCTGTTGAGACATGCTCTAAGCGACACGTCGACAACCCTCGCGTTCGGCAGACCGAAGTCGAATTCGAGCTCTCCGGCTGCACCAGCCACACGTATCCCCCCTTTGGCTCAGCAGGCACTGGCCGCAACATTTTGGTGTACGTACAGAGGCCTCGAGGAAAAGGAAATAATAATTACTACCAAAAAGCTCTACTCAATTGTATCTTATCACAATGGGAGGTCCATCAGGAGCAGCACAACAACCCTTTCCCCAGGCTCAGCCAATTATCCGTTTCGTCTCCTCCACCCCCATCTCAAAGACCGCCGACGTCTCCTGTTTCCTCTCGACCTACATCTCAAACGCCAACAACGACGAGTCGTCCGAGACAAAGTCGAGCGGTGGTCTCATTGCTCAGCTCGAGAGAATCAGGGACGATCTTGAGGGTATTCCGTGGGTGAAGACGGAGTTGTTGCAGCCTTTGAGCGGCAACGCTGCTGAAGGTGATGTAGCGGAGACGACTAGCGAGAAGAGACCATTGGACGTCGAAGATGCGCCTATAGATGAGTCTAAGATCGACAAGGACGAGAGGAAGCGCTTGAAGAAGGAACGACGTGAGGCGGAGCGTGCGAAGAAGGGTGATGACAAGGAGGAGGAAGAGGAGGAGTTGTGATTATTGCTTTGCCTCGTCACTGAGTTTTCTGGTTCATTTCTGGAGTTCTGGGGTTCTTTTTCTGGGTTATCTGCATTTCCAAATGAAAAGATCATTGGGTTACGAGGGTGAATCATGTCCCACAAATCCCACCAAAAAGTCTATATCTATGTAAGCTTCATCCCACTACCGTCATAGGAGACCTCGATCCCGCCGACGGTCCCGAGGTCACCGAAGCAACGCCGGATCAACAACCACCTGCTCACCCGCATCCTCCCACACCGCCGGCGTCCCCTCGTCCCTCATCGTCGCACTCGCACTCACGTACCCATTCTCCCCCACCGTCCCCTCCCTCTCCTTCTTCCTCTTCTCATACTCCGGCGGCGGTCCCATCCCATGTTTCTCCCTAACAACCATCGGATACCACCCCGGCCCCTTCTTCATCTTCTTCCGGTGGATTTCCAGCATTGGTTCATTTAGTGTTCCATCCGGGTTTTCGAAATCTTCCGCGCGGGGTTTGTGCCGTGTTTTTGGGGTGGAGTCCGTAGTCCTGCTTCGTGATTTGGGTGTCGAGAGGGATTTTTGGAGACGAGCTGGGATAGCGGCCGGGGTGTTCAGCACGACGCCGGGTGGGAGTTTGATGTTATTCGGATTCGGCGGCCTTCCTCTCCCAGGCGTACTCAGCGTCCACATCGGCTGCGCCGGGGCTTCCTCATCCTCCCCGGCCCCCTCTTCAGGAACATCCTCCTCCTGCCTATCCTCTTTCACCTGAATATGCTTTGGCGCATTCCACGCTTGTCCATACCCAGGCCCAGGCATGATAAATTTCGTCCACTTCAAATTCAGAGGCTTGAGCTGCTGATATTTCTTGCTCTCCCATTTCGTGATATTCTCTTGAATGGCATCGAGATCAACGACGAGATTATACTCCGCCGTATCCGGATCTTGCTGAAGCACACTCATCGCCTCCAATGCCGAAATAACATCATCCACAGCCATCGCAGTCCGTTCCGACAAATCTTCAATACTCACACTCCCCTTCGCATACAACTCCGTCAACTCATAACTCAACACCGTTCGCCAATAATTCCGATAACTAACCAACCCCAAATCACTCAACGGCTTCTCCGGACTCCCCGTCCGACCCTCCTTTTTGGAGAGAAGGTAGCTAAAATCGATGAGGAAGTTACCGTAACCTTTCCGTTGTCGAATCGGTAACGTAAGAATACACGAAACATTATTCGTCTCTGACCGTTTTTCCTATATCCACACCTACATTAGAACCCGTCTGCAATTGCGATTGCGCGCGCGCTGGAAAGGGAGAGAGCGGGACAAACCTTCGAGAAATAACCAACCAAATGACATCCAAAATCATCCCACTCCGTCATGACATAAAACAAAAACGGCTCAACCTCATAATGCAGCGTCTTACTCTGCAAAAACAGCTTGGCCAGCAAGCACAAATTCTGACAATACACCGGATTCTTCCGCCCATCGACTTCGAAGACGCTGATTGCGCCGTCGCGGTAGATTTCGTCGCCGGGGGGGTATTTGGTTGGGCATTTCAACTGTGGTAGAGTGTGATTAGCACGTGTCGAACGGTTACGAACAGCGCGCTCGAAGGTTTAGGCGCAGAATCACAAAAGCGCTAGGGCGGAGAATGACTCGAGCGCGCGAAACACACCCCAGAGCGCGGGAAAAAAAACATACCTTATGTCTCCAAGCAACATAATCCGAATTCATATACTTCAAACAAAACTCGCAGATATGCAAAACCTTATTTCGGCTATACTCCTCTGGATAGGGACTTGCATACCATGTCTCGATTTCGTAGGAGCCAAAGTGGATACAACGGATTTGACTGTGGCGGGAGCGGTCGGTGAGGTCTTTGGTGCTGTCGTTGGCGTTGTGGGTTAGGACGGGGGATTCGACCAGGGAGGAGGCTTGACGGGTTGCGGTTACTTCGATTGCTTTTTTGCGCGCGGTGTTGAAGCGGTCTTTGTCGAGGGCGTCGGGCATGGTTTTGCTCGTGTCTGCATCTGCGCCGGTGAGGATGCCGCCATATGGTACTTCTGGCTCCTTTCCTTTCTCCTTGCTTTTCAGCTCGGATGGTCGTGTCTTGTCTCTGTTTTTGCGAGAGCTGCGTGAGGTCACAGCTGCCAGCCCGGCCGGTGAGAGCTTGAAGGAAAGCATCAGCTTGTGCGGTGTCTGTTCCAGAATTTGGACGCGTAAGGGTGTATCGAGAACGGTCTTCTTCTTTCGTTTCTTCGATGTCGCTGTTGCGGCTGGCGTCTCCGGTGGGGGCGCTGGCGTCGCCGTAATCGATCTGCTCTGTCTCGGAGGGGCAGGCGTTTCGTGTGGTTGCGTCGGGCTCACCTCCGCAATCTTCCTCTTTCTCGAAGGCCTCGTACTCGACCCCCTCGGCGTCTCCTCTCCCGGCGTCTCAGTCGCCCGTCGTCTCCGCGAGGTACCACCACCTCCGCCATTCGCCTTCTTCCCCGCCGCGCAAAACGGACACAGCCAATTATCAGGAAAGCGTCTTATGGGTGGTTCGAGACAGTAGTTGTGGTATGTCGCGTCGCAGTTTGCACATGTTTTGAGATGGTGTGAGTTTGCGTTTTGGCCGCATTCTTCGCAGATTTGGCAATCGGGGCAGACCCAAGTTCCGGTGATTTCGATGTCGCCGAGGCAAGAGGGGTGTGCTGCCACGATGTCAGTACAGCCATCTCGTGCCATCCATATAGAACGAATCACACCTCTTTTGTCACACCGTGCGCAGCCAATCAGCTCTTCGTCGTCAAAGCTCGGGCTGGCGTTACTCGCGCACTCACTGCGACACGAAATGTCAGCAACGATGCCCCTCCGCCTCGATCCGCAACGGCCAAACTTACGCGCATACATCCTCAACGGGGTCCCACTGGTCATCGTCTCCCTGGCGAGGCTACACACACCGGTCAGCACGTTGCCCAGCACCGCGCAGCCCACCGCAACACTGACCATCCCTGATCGTCCTGATCCAGTCCGGTTGCAAGACGTCCCTGAACGTCCCTTGGAGTGCACGCGTTTCTGGGGGTCAGGAACTGCCAGGAACTGCCAGGAACTGCCAGGAACAGCGAAAGTCACGCGCGCCACTGCAGCCGGCCACAGCAACACGCCCACCCACCAAACCCACACCGCCGTGCAAGATGCCTGTTCCGTTCGAGGTGAGTTGGCCGTCTCTGCGTCCGCTGCCCTGCCTGTGCTCACCCGCCCACTCCAGTCCCTCATCCCCATGGGCATCATCGCCGGCCTTTTCGGCGTCACCGGTGGTCTCCTCGCCGCGTCCAAGCAGTTCCAGAACGAGGGCAAGGTTCGATTGGCCTCTTTTTCCGTTTCTTTCTAGCATTCAGTTGCTAACATTGGTTGGACAGCCTCCCAGATACGGAATTGACACCTGGGACAGGCAGATGATGGAACGTGACCAGAGACTAACGGGGACGATGCGTGGACAGTCACAAGAGCCGAGGGCACCAGCAGAATTCGCTGTTAACAGCGCGTGGAAGGTATGCTTTATGCTTGTTTGTTTGGCGTTTGTGATCCGGTGCTAATTTGGACGTGCAGATTGAGACGTAAGTGGTGGTCGAGGCGGATGTACGATACCTACAGCTAATACAAACATTGCCCAATTCCGGACCATGTGAAAGCCGACACATAAGGGAATCCAACGATTGTCAGCTAGTCCCAGCTGCAAGCTCAACATCCTGTTGTAGCTTTCTGAATCTCGAATCGGCTCGCATCTCAACGAGTTCTCGGTGCAAGTTTACGGCAAGCGTAAAAGAACCCATTACCGTTAAACGTAATCATTATACTAAACTATTCAAGCCAACCCTAACGGCTGCCTACTGACCCTCTTCTACGGGCACAGGCTGCGAATCCAACGTCTCCCCATAAAACCCCGCCGCCAACTTGACCACCTGCCCAAACACCTCATCCTCAACCAACGCCAACCTCAACACCCCCACCTTCTCCTCACCTCCCATCGCCTTCTCCGCCTGCACACTCCTCGCCAAACACGCACTCATCTCACACTTCGCAACCCTCTGCTCAAACACCCTCGCCTTCAACTGGGGTAGGGAAAAGAGTAATCGACGAGAAATATCCGCGTGCGAATTCGCCGTCGGTAGCCCCTGCGCCGCCGGACGGAATGCGATGGGGACAGGTTGTACCAGATTGATATAATCCAAATAAACCTGACCTCCAAACTCCCATCCCTTAACACCATCAACATTCTCAAATTTCGCAAGTAACTCACGGAGACGGTCGAGTTCGTTCGCGATAACGGCTGCAGGGGCGATGTGGTTCATGATTGTCTTGTGTGCCTCGGTCCAGCGTTTTGCGGCGAGGAGGTGCGTAGCCTCGGATTGGAAGTCCTGTTCGTAGCGGGCGTGGAGGGCTTTCGCTTCCAAAATCCAGACGGGTGGGATTTTGAGCTTTTCTGTGAGGAATAGGCTGACGCCGGCTTCGTCCTCTGTGGACAACTCCCCGAAATGGCGCGCGAGGATGTCTCTGATTGCACTTTCCCGCGCCGCAGGAGTCTCGAGATGCAACATCACGAAGATCGCCCATTGCCACATACCAATTGCCTCCAACTGCGATGAGTAGGCAAGAGCCAACTGATCAGCGGCAGCGGAGGTTCCCTCTGCGTGTGGCTGTTTGGCGAGAACATCAGCAGGAACCTCAAGACGGTCACTGAAGTCACGTATGCGCTTTACACGTGACAACAGCATGTAAAGATGCCACGGGAGGCGTGAATCGAGGAAAGATTCACTGAAGGCTCGCGATTGCAGTACGTCCTCGAGTTTGTACTCCGCGTCCTGGTAGACCTTAAGAAGCTGAAACATGATGTCGTACTCCTTCCCACCATGCTTAGGCAACGGCTTCGCAACCGACGAAATAGTCTTAAACGACTCCTCAAAAGACCCGACAGCATCCTCAATTGGCCAATCCTCAAAAGTCCCATACCACAAATGCAGCGCAAAAGCCCTCTTCCAGTCAAGACCCTCACTCACGCAAAGTTCTGGTGCATAATCCTCTTTCTCGCCTCGCAACTCGGCTGAGACGCCTGTGTTCCCCGCGAGCAATTCGTAGATCTTGCGGTACTGGGGACCGATTTCACGGAGTACGCGCTTCTCCCGCCAATCATCCAATTGGTTCTTGATAGATCTGCGAAAGTGGGAGTCGCCTCCGATGAGAGTGATCAAAGTCGCAAGACGTGGATCATTGTTGGCAATAGCTGTAGCAGTGGCTTGCTCAACACAGTTACCGGTCAAGTGAGCGAAGATAGCCTCGGCAGGGCTATTGGCGGCCTCGACATTTTTGGCCACGCTCTCAGCCACGACGTTCTTCAACCACTCAGACAAGGCAGCCTTCCGAAGGTCCTTAAGCACCTGCACCTGAGAAAAGTCCTCCAAACCAGACAAATCGACCATAATGTCGTCAAACAAGATCGTGGCCAGCTTCCACATCTGCAACTCCTGAGAAGGGATTGAGGAGTTTGATGAGAAAGCTTCGTCGAAAGTCTTGCATCCCAAGTTAAAGGAAGGGAAAGCAGCGGGGACGCCGCGTTCGACGGTGATCTCGGAAGAGTTGAGTTGGGTGAGTAACGTAGCAATCGCACGTTCACGCTCAACCTTCACGTCGTCAACAACAACAACAGGAACCTTGACCATATCGACCTGCGACGAGTCCTTCTTGAGTTTACTGCGGAGCAGCACACCACCCGGACCCCACCGAAGTGCCGTCGACCCCCTCTTCTTTCCATCTTTGTCGAAAATCTTCAGCAAAGCCTTAGACAATGGACGAGTCTATCAATAAAAGTATATTTAGTATGCTACACAAGGGTTTTTAAGAGAGAACTATTCACGAACCTCGGCTGCTCCATAGAGATCATTTTCCAATTCTTGCCATCCGTAGGTCTTGTTTTGCTCAAAGCGCGGGGGCTTCACGTCTTTCTTGGTGGAGAATTCACGCCTCAAGAGGTTGGAGCGCTCGACGGAGAAGCCGAGCTGCTCAGCCCAGTTGCGTCCCTTGGGGGCACGAAGAGTGTTGGTGGGTGCCCCCTCCGCTGCTGGCATAGGCTCGTCCTCGGACGAGGAACCCTCGTCAGCGACAGCTTCCGGAACGTCCTCTACAGGGTTGATGGTCTCGTCGACAACTTCCTCCTCCATCTCCTCATCGGATGGCAGGATATCAGCAGCCTCAGCGGAGTCCTCCTCGATGGGCTCCTCTTCGGCTTCAGGCTGCTCACTCCACGATCCCGGGAAAGCGCCCGGTGCACGACTGAGTCCAGTGGACTTGCGGAAAGCGAAGGTGTCCTCAGGGTCCATGTCATCATCGACATCCATGGACATATCGGCACCAAGACCGGACGGACCACGAGGAGTTTCATCCATCTTCTCAAACTCATCGTTCACGATACCGTACGTGGAGAAGTGCTTGACCTTGAACACCCAGTAACCGTTATCGGCAACATACTCTACAAACTCAGTCTCAGCCATCCTCTTGAGACGGTTGACGTGCTGCTGAACTCGCGGGTGTTCGGGGTCCTTCAAAGGAGACCTAGTCTCCCTGGACAAAGGCCAGCACTTCTCTAAAGTTAAAGTAGCAGGGACGTTCATGCCCTTGCCCTCCTCAGGCTTGTCCTCCTCGTCAGGGTAGACGGTACAGATCTTGTGGTCAAAGATGACGATGCCTCCAGGGATGTCTTCAAGGCGAGCAACAGTAGTAAGATCCACAGGCTCGTTGAAGCTAACCTGACCATAACCGCGACGACCGACCTTAAAGTTCTTGACCTTCTCGAGCTTCTCGCGAGGCAAGTCAAACAAGACAGACAAAGGAGGCGAAGTCCAGTAAACACCCTCATCGTCGACCTCCTTGGACTCAGCGTTAGTCGCAGGACTCTTGTACTTAGCGACGTCCTCAGTAGTCTCAGGCTTCTTCGGAGTCTGAACCTCCGGCTCAGCAGTCTTGCCCTCAAAGCTTGTCAGCCTGGAGCTCGTGCTGGAACGGAAAGGCCGACTAGCAACGTTCGCCTGAGCCTGATCCTTCTTCGGAGTCTCCTCAGCAGCCTTCTCAGTTGTCTCAGCAGCGTCCTCAGCCTTCTCCTCATCGCCCGCCTTCGCACCAAGACCACCAGTAAGGAGATCAGCAGCGGTAACCTTCCTCTCGATCGTCAACCTCTTCAACGTAGCCCTAGGAGCAAACGCAGTAGGGCTGAGAAGAACCTTCCCCACATTGTTGAACAACTCCTGTTTATCTGACGTATACTGTCCATTGGGACGAAGAAGTGGGTTAACCGGGTCGCGACGAGGAGAAGCGTACATGTACCGAGTAGGGTGAAGAAGATAATCAGGCAAATCCGCCCTCTTCTTCTGCTGCTTAATGTTGATGATGGGGGAAGCGATGGGTGGAAGGGGTCCATCGCTGTAAACAGAACCGTTGAGGCTGTAGGCGTTGTAACCGGTGTAGCCACGGTTGTTGTAGCTCAAGTGGGTGTTGTTGACGACAGGGGGGACCGGGGGCTGCGAAGTCATAAACAACGGGTTCACACCATAGGGGTTAGAGTCAACAGAAGCAGTAAGCTGTTGTCCCTGCGGCTGAGAGCTACCGAAAATAGCGAACGGGTTCGCGGCAGGTTGCTGAGGCTGCTGGGTCTGTCCCAGGGTGTTTCCACCACCAAAGAGTCCTCCACCAGTGCTCATACCCAATCCAGGCGCAGCCGGCTTCTGACCAAACAACCCGCCAGAGGTATTGTTGGTGTTCGTGTTTCCAAAGAGCCCCCCAGTCGCAGGCGCAGCCGTCGCCGTATTCCCAAATAACCCACCAGTAACAGGCGCCGTAATATTAGTAGCGGTATTTCCAAATAGACCACCACCCGTAGCAGGAGCAGCAGTATTAGTACTCATATTGCCAAACAAGCCACCACCAGTGGCAGGAGTAGTAGTGGAGGTAGTGTTACCAAACAACCCCGTTCCCGTACCCGCAGGCTTCGCTCCGAACGGACTAGTGGTAGCAGTGTTGTTCGTTGCGGCGGCACCACCGAAGGAGAAGGGACTGCTTGTGGCTCCGGGGGCAGCTGGGGTGGTACTAGCACCGAACCCGCCGAAGCCAGTGGTTGCTGGCTTCTGCTGGTTGTTAGTAGCTCCGAAACCAAAAGCACCTGGGGACGAGGTAGTAGTGTTAGTGGCAGTGTTGTTGGCACCGGACCCACCGAACGCGTTGGTTTGAGCAGGCTGAGCACCGAACGCATTTGGAGTGCTGGTCGCGGCACCGAAAGGAGACGCGGCAGCAGTGTTGTTCTGGCCAAAGAGACCGCCACCAGTCGTGTTGGTGTTGTTGTTCTGACCAAAGAGTCCTCCACCGGTGTTGGTGTTGTTGTTCTGACCGAAGAGACCACCAGTGGTAGCAGCAGGCTTAGGCGCCCCGAAAGCAGAAGTAGAGTTGTTCGCTGTGCTACCAAACAAACCGCCACCAGTCGTGTTGGTGTTGTTGTTCTGACCAAAGAGTCCTCCACCGGTGTTGGTGTTGTTGTTCTGACCGAAAAGACCGCCGCCGGCGGCATTCGTGTTGTTCGTGCTTCCAAACAACCCTCCGCCAGTGTTCGTGTTAGAAGCAGCACCGAACGGGCTAGAGGTGTTGGTGTTCTGCTGGCTCCCGAAAAGACCTCCCCCGGTGTTCGCAGCAGCGCCAAATCCAGTAGCAGGAGTGTTGTTCTGCTGTCCAAACATGTTTCCACCCGTAGTCGCAGCAGGCTGCCCGAAAGCACCGGTGCTGGATCCAAAGGCACCAGTACCGCCAACAGTGCTCGCTCCGAACGCGTTCTCGTTTCCGAACCTCCTGCCCTGGGCGTAATCAGCCAACCTCAACTCCTCGAAAGAGGCATTGCGGTATGCAGGCATACAAGAGACGGATTGGTAGTTCAGCATAGAAGCAGAGGTAGTGTCCTTCTCGGAAAAGGGAGAGAAAGTAGGCTGGGAGGTTCCAGTCGTGGGCACGGCCTGACCTGAAACGGAAGCTCCGAATCCAGTGGTAACAGCACCTGATCCGAATCCAGTCCCAGTGTTGCTTGAGGCACCAAAGATACCTCCACCGGTTGTGGCAGGAGCGCCGAATCCAGTACTCGCGGGCTTGGGGGCACCAAACAAACTGTTTCCAGTATTTGTTGCGCCAAACCCAGTCGTCGTGGATGCATTGTTGTTACCACCGAACGAAAACGGGGACGACGTTTGTGCGTTGTTCGTGCTCCCAAACAAGCTGTTACCAGTGTTGGTCGCCCCAAACCCCGTCGTAGCAGGCTTTGCTCCAAACGGCGAAGTCGTCGCATTGTTGGACGCGCCAAATCCACCAAACGCAGTATTCTGCTGCGGCTGTTGAGGTTGTCCAAAGATCGACCCCGCGGTGTTCGCAGCGGCACCAAACCCAGTAGCAGCAGGCGCTCCAAACCCTCCTCCGGTATTCGTGGACTGGCCGAACGCGTTGTTAGTGGTAGACTGTCCAAAGATGGAGTTCTGTTGCGGCTGTTGCTGGTTATTGTTGTTGTTCGCACCAAAGGTGAAACCACCGCCCTGACCGCCGAACATGGTGACTAAAGAACAGGTCTCTAGCAAACAATGATTAAGATGACAGGATCAATCAGTCGAGTTACGGCCTTCCTGTTGGATTTGGGTGAAGGGTGTTCTCGTTCGCGGCGGTTAATGTTGGTGCCTGGCAGCTTCGTCACTGTAAAGTTACCCTGAGGATACAAACGCGACTGAAGGAGATTCACGAACAAGTACGCGCCGTGTCGCAAAAAGCAAGCAAGTACTTCTGGTCTCCCAGCAACTTGAATACGATCACTACCACTGATCCACCTGTCCAATGTACTCCGCAAAACGCGCCTCCGTCCGCCGCCCAGCACCCTCAACCATATCCCCCTCCACCTCCCGAACCCTCAACCTCCGCTCCGAACTCACCGAAGAACAAAAACACGAAATCAAAGAGGCCTTCGACCTCTTCGATAACGACCGTGACGGCGCAATTGACTACCACGAGTTGAAAGTCGCGATGAAGGCACTTGGGTTCGATGCGGAGAAGAATGAGGTGTTGAAGATTCTGGATGAGAATGATCGGAGTGGACAGAGGAAGATCAAGTATGAGGATTTTGCTCGTGTTAGTGCGTTTTCCCCCTCCTCCTCCGGTCTCCTCTACTTATTGAACAACGACTAACTCGACCACAGTGACCGAGAAAATCGCCGACCGCGACCCATTAGAAGAAATCAGAAGAGCATTCGCGCTATTCGACGATGAGGGTACCGGAAAGATCTCCTTGAGAAGCCTGAGACGGGTAGCGAAAGAGTTGGGAGAGCCTCTTGATGATGAGGAATTGCAGGCGATGATTGATGAGTTTGACCTGGATCAGGATGGTGGGATTGATGAGCAGGAGTTTATCAGCATTATGACTGACGGGCTCTGAAAACGTTAAGGCTGGTGGGTGAGCACATGCTTTGCTGGAGGTGAGAAGGGCATTGCTCGAGCGGGGCTAGGAAACGATATGTTTTACTGGGACGGATTTTCAATTGGCGTTTATCGTGAAGGAGTACGGTCGTTTGCCGAAGCTGGCTCTTCTACGGATTTTGGTAATAAAAAACAAACAGATCGTTTATTAATATCGCAATCGCCCTAGCTGACTCTCCTTCATATCGTACACTGCCTCTCAGTAGGTATACGGCATAGCGATTGCAACACCCTGGGAGAAAGGATGTTTACTCCTCAGGCAACCCCTCCTCATCACCAGGCTCAGCATAACTCTGCACAGGCTTAGCATGCCTCAAACGCTCCCCCTCCAAGATATTACTCGGATCAGCAGCCTCGGCCTCGTCCTTCTGGAGCTGTGCATCAGAGTCCGGATCACGCATGGAGTCGTAGCCCTCCGGGGTGACATTGGCGTCGTCGACGACGGGGATGGTATCTATTAGCTCCCAATATTAACAAACGAGGAGCTCAGGAAGCACTCAAGAACTGACCACTGGCACCGGTGGTGGGAGCGTGGGTAATAGGCGCGATATCCTCTTGTTCAGACATTGTTCTCAATTTTTCTCTTTCCTTATTTACTTATCACCGACTTAGGAGCGGAACGGGCGGCCTTCTTATACAGCTGATTACAGACCCATGCCGTACTCAATATATTTGTCCATGACGAGTGGTGATGCAACATGTTACCTTATCGGGAAGTGTAAGTGATCGGCAGGGGGGCGGGAGGGCATGTGGACAAGGAAGCAGGGATCGCGAATTCGGAAAACAGGGTATCGGAATCGGTATCAAATTCGAGGTGCATACCGCGTGATAAGGACAGGGCGTCGAACTCCCCAATTGTAAGGGCGGGTGTTGCGTGAACGTTTTCATTGGAAGCTACGCAGCTGAAGAAGCCAAAGCGTGAAGGCAAGTTTGAGTGACAAGCTGTGTTGATTTTCGTCTGACACAGAAATTTCTGCAGTATTCGTCGCTGTCGCGGCGATGGTATACGTAGTACGTGGTTCAAGCTGCGATGTCGTGGGAAGAAACAGCCAGGTTCAGCAGCGAGAAATTCAGCAACATATGCAGGTGACAGATCTGAGATCAATGAGCAAGTATTGGTAACGATGTAAACAACTCATTAACAATCTAACAATGTAAGGTATTTTTTGAAACCTATAGGTATCCATAACAGCTGGGGTATCACATGCTTGTTCTCATCCAAAACCAACTCCTTCCCATCCCACTCTTCAGCCCATGGCCATTTACAACGACGTCCGCATCTGTTCCGTCTGCATCTTATACGCCATCTTCTCCGCCTCCTCATCAACCGGCGCCTCAACAACCTCACCCATATAAACATCCGGCATCGGCCTCTTGGGTCTACGCCCACACATATCCCCCCACATACCCATCACAACCGTCGCGATTCCTTGTCTGCCTTCCCATAGCGGGAACAAACCGACCGAGAAGAGAGCGAAGAAAATCCAGAGACATCCGACGACGACCCAGCCCTTGAAGAAAGACTTTGAGAAAACGTAGCTGGAGCCGAACATAGGAAGAGGCCAGAGGATGAGCATAGAGATGGTCAAGAAAAGAGCAACAGACTTCGCGATCTTGGATGCTCTGTCGAGCGCAGCAGTGTCAGTCATGGTATGTCTGGAAATCTCGCGCCTCAACTCGTTCGCCCTCTCGCCCTCCGGAATATCATCCATGGCATCGGGATCCTCAATGACAGCCTGGATGTTCTTCATACCCTCCCAATCATAGTTGTCGGGCTTGAAGATGAGGGTCATGATGGGGATGAAGATGAGGGGAGAGAGGAGGGAAGCGACGTTACCCCAGAGCATGGGCATGTCAGAACCAGCAGTAACGACGTTGATCTCGCCAAAGTAATGCTGGGTCGTCCCCAACCAGACAGAGATCGAAGTAGCAATACCCAAAATTGGAGTCATCACCGCAGCCTGCTTGTTCTGTCCCTTCCACAACAAAGTCAACACAGAGGGAATGACAGCGGAAGAGATAATGACACCCATGAAGAGGTAGAGGAATCCCATCGAGACACCGACGTAGTACAACATCGTCGAGAACGCAGCCATGACGACACCCCACGCAGCAACACCCGCATGGGAAGCAGCAATGAGACGCTTTCCGGAGGCCTTGGGGTTGATGTACGTACGGTAAATATCGTAAGTGAAGATCGAGGAGACGGCGATGAGTTCAGCGGACATAGCAGAAGTGACAGCCATGAAGATCAACAAGACAGTAGCAACAGCTCCACCCTTTCCGAGGAGAGCAACAGCGGCGTAAGGAAGCGTCAAACCAGCAGAGACGTCGGCAGCGTCCATGCGGTTGGGATAAGTAGGGAACGCGGGGTTGTTCTCGAGAGCGATAGCAGCGAGACCCATCGTCGTCGCACAAACCCAAGGAATAGAGAACCAGGTCAATCCACCCAAGATGTATCCGGAGAGAGCGTGAGCGGGGTTCGCAGAGATAGCCTTCTGGAAGTATCCGTTGTCCAAGAAGACGGTACCGAAGTTTCCGACCAAGTTAATGACGAAGAAGATGATACCGGCAGAGGAACGCATGGTGAGGTATGATCCCTCCGCGTTTCCAGCAACGGGGTGACGTTCGGCCGCCTCGACGAGGAGCTCGTACATCTTCTCGGGGGAACCGATGAGGTCGGAGGTCACGTATGTGGTGAGGGTGAAGATGATGATGATGATCAAAATAACCAAAGTATGCGCATAATCAGTCAAGAACGTGGCCTTGATACCTCCGAAAACGGTGTAGATGATGACACCTACTGGCAAAAGCCAACAGGCTGCCACGGTGTGCATCCCGGTGAGGGAAGACATGACGGCAGATCCACCTGTGAGCAACATAGCCGTGACGAGGATGTTTGTGAAGAGACCGAAGATAGCGTAAACGATGTGTCCGGCCGTTCCGTATCTCGCTCTCACGACCTCCAAGAAGGTGTGGGCGGCGGGAGCTTTCCGCTTCAACTCAATTGCAATAACCGCAAACAACAAGATCTGAACCGTAGCACCGGACGCATACCAGAAAGGTCCAGACACACCATTGTTGTAAGCCTGAGAAGATGATTGAAGAAGGGTAGCAGCCCAAGTCCAGGACGAGACGACGGCGGCGGCGACGAGACCGGTTTTGACAGAGTGAGAGGCAGTTGAGAATTCTTCGGATGTTTGCGCATCACCTTGGTACCGGCGAAGAGCAGCGGTGAGGCCAGTCATACCGAGGGCGAAGAGGCCTCCGAGGCCGAGAGTGACACCGTAGCCAACTCCTTGGGAGAGTGGGGCTTCGATGGCCATATTGATTGTATGAGTAGAGTAAGACTTCTTGGTCGAGATGAGGAGTGCATCAAGCGGGTGATCCGGTGCATTATATAGCCGTCCAGGAGCAGCAATCTTCCAAGTCTACAAAGATACGCACCCCATGGAGACAGGAGATAAGAGAGCATCTCGTCCTCGTACTCTTATCCTCGACAATTTGCAGCCGTCGACGTTAACCTATCTGACCCGTGTTCCCACGCCAGTCCCAATCAAGTAACCCTCCTCGCGCGATAACCCTAAGTCCGCGCGCGCTGATCATGCATCTGCCCCAATCAACCCGACCCTTCCGACCCGGCCAGAGGAAAGGGCGAGCGCAGGCGAATGGCGTACAAGCTTAGGCGATCGCTTAATAGATAAGCTACGTATCGCCCGCGGATGAGTTCGAATGGGCCGAGATGGCCCTTGGGTGGCAACCCCGGATAGATGGATGTCAAGTGCGGAAGGGGCGGGAGATCTTCGAGTTCGTGAGTTGCGTCCGTGGTTGCCCGAGGCCGGGGATGCGAAGGTTGCAGATAGTGAGGGTCGATGCTTAAGCGAGAGGGGGCAAACCCGGGTTTGACTGCAGGATAACGTATGGTACCAGTGGTACAGGGAACTGGACCGTCGCCGCGGAAAGGCACGTAGCCGTTCAATTGCAATCAAGTCCCATCCTTGGCATACGGTAGCCGTCCTTAAGGAAGCTGCTGCTGGTGCTGGTACCAGTGCGAGTGTACATGTACAAACCAGACACCGTCGAGCTTGAGGCGAAAGTCGCCAACTGCCTGTCACGAACGATCTCAAACGTGCACTGTAACCCTCGAAACCGCTCATGATCAATTGCCTCTCAACAATCCCCAATCAGCACCCAAACGAAAATCGAGGACCAAAAAGTGAAAACGCGAAAAAGGATGGTGACGAAGACGAGATTCGAACTCGCGCCCTTTCGGACCGCGGGATTACTGATAGTAACCTTAACACGGCGCCTTAGACCGCTCGGCCACTTCGCCTGATACATGAATCGGTACCTCAAAGGACATTGATATTGATATAATATCTATGCGATCATCGAACGGTTCTTCAACAAGGCTGATTGGCTGCTCCTTCAATGGGGTTTGGGTTGTCATGACAGTGACGATAACGCCTTACGTGGCATCTTGTCAGTCAGGGCGGTCTGTATTGCCGAATCTGGTGCTGTTGATAGGCTCGTCGTCGTCTCATGGGGAGAGTTCCCACGCGTCTGTCGCTGGCACGAATTGCACCAAGACATGAATATACTGCCTCAGAACAGCGGTCACTATCGTTCTTGACGACTCTTGATTGTTGGGCTGTACGATGTGTGTATGTGCTATCGGTAATTGTCCTGCTGCCATTTGGTCAACCATTAAGGAAGTTGTGGACGTTGGCTTGATACATCTTGTTTCCACACCCGACGTTGTTTGTCACAGATTGGGTGCTTGGTCTGAGGATCAGCTAACTTTCTTACAGGTAAAACCATGGAAGTTAGAGTTTGGACGAAGAAAGCAACCAACTTTCGTCATCATGGTAATGTTGATCTATGGCAATATCAGTGCGCATGCATATGCCTAACGGTCATGATCATATTATCATTCCATGGGTGACTTACCGTAATAGCGGTCACATCGTCTTGCGCATCCCGAACATCCATCGTTGTTACAGTACACGCATCCCTCACCCCGCGGCAAATTCGATTCTCCGAAATCGGTACCCCAGCGCTTTATAGCTACCGGTACCCCGGAGAAGTTTCGGTACTGAACGTGAAGGATGGTTCTGGATCTTTACCTCAATTGTTACAGGAGACCTACCTACCTATTCAGACCGCTGTCTGCTTACCTAGGTCGCTACATTCTCGATACGCGTCTTGGCGCCGATCACTTGCTCGCCCTTTCGAATTCGTCGTTAACGTTCATGGCGAGGTCCGCGGAGGGATGGGCAAGATTGGACATCCCAACCGACCAGGCGTTATCACAATCAATATATACGAGGCAATTGCCATTCAGGTCTGGACTACGGGCAACAAGCTTTCTGGCTTTACCTTTGACTTTGGGGTTTCCGTCCTGGGCCGTCGTTCATGATTCGTTTGTGCGCGGGTATGAGCGCCGTACCCATGTCACACCCCACCAAACCTGCCCATCTTTGTGACAAAGATGAATTATGCTTAGGTAAGAGATGCAGTTAGGTAAGGGAAATCGATTTCGGACAATGTTAGGCACCGTAGCCGCGCTGTGAGGCGTGTAATCTATGAAAGGTTGAGGGCCGTATTGCGATTCGTATTGCGATTCGTATAGGAGGGCGAGCGGGATGGAGGCAGCTGCGGACCGCAGAACAGTTGACGCGCAGTCAAAAGATATCGATAACATGCGCGGCTGATCAGCGCTCATGCCCATCATTTGCCTCCGAGAACGATGAAATCCATCTCCTCCAATATAGGAAGCACATACGTAACGATACAAAGACCCCATTTCATCCAATCGCAAACGCGTGCACACGCCGATGTCGTCAAGTTGGCTTGGCTAGGGTCGCGTTCCGCACTTGCAATTGCTGTGGCTGCTTCGAATTAAGGGTACGCGTACGCTGTCTCAGACCAGATCCCGCGTGCCAGCCGAATGGTAAATTGAGGAATGCAACGTGAAGCCTCAGGGTAACCCCTATTCAAAGAAGTGCAGTCAGAGAAAGAGAAGCTTCAGCTTATTCGCGGTTGGATGCTGATCCTGGACTGCCCATCGACCACCCGGTAAGCTCAAGGATCGCTGGTTGGCGGGTTCCGTCTCATCCAATATTGCCTTTTAAGAGCTGCGGTCCCCGTTTCTCGGTGCTGCAGTCCAAGCGCCATGGCGTGCCAATAGAGGCAGCGCGACGCGGACCTCCCAGAACGCTCCGTGCCCTCCTGTAGCAATGCTGGCCCACCCCCTCCGCCCGCCGCACGGCTCGGGACGGCTGCTTGATTGCTTGGCTGAATTACCTTGCCCATGCCGTGCTTGATTGCCTCAGCTTCCTTCCCGTCTCAACGGGCTTGCTTGTGCCGTGTGCCAAGGCTCATCGTGCTACCCGGGGTAACTGTATGTACATGTACTTTCTACACTTCGAAATCTGACAGAAGGTGCTCTTAGGCTGACTTAGGTGCATCGTGAGACATTGGCAACCACGAGGGCCGTGCTCTTAATCCTACCCTTTTTCCCTCCAATGACGCTGCCGCTGCACGTAAAAGTACCTTAGGACAACACTTCGCCCGAGGAGAGAATGTCAGCATGCTTGGCCCGAACGCCGCACAAGGGTCCGTGCAAAACTCTAAATGTTGCGGTCCTGTACCAGAAACGTCCGTCACATATATAGTATCAACCCGTCTCTTTCCCCTGCGGTTTCGCCAACGTCAGCAGCACACAAACGCACGCGGCTTACGTTGGTATTACGAACGGAGCCGATCCAGAAGGTCATTACACGACGTTCGACGAATTCTCTGTCACGCGAGCGATTGAACTTACACGGACCCCAACGTTCACGGATCTCATCCCCTGTCAATTACCTTGTTTTTCGCCTGCAGCAGGCTCAGTATCATTCCCGCTCCCGTCCCACAGAACCTTAATTGCTGCGGCGTGCCACCTTTTTTGCGATTCCCTCACCGCACCGGCTCAGAAACGTCATCAACACTATAACCAAACCCGAAGGTACAATTGCAAAGGATAGGATATTTGATTGATCCCATTGCTGATCTGGTCGTTGTTGTTCAGGCTCTGATGGTTGTTACTGTCTGTAGTCGCTAATTCGCTACGTATCACATCACTCAATCAACATAACGGCGGACCATGGACCTCTCGTCCATTCTCAACGCCGACGCGAAAAGACCGCCAGAACGGACGCCGGAGCAGACGAGGCATTCTCGTACGGCGTCGACCACGTCTTGCCCACTTCCGATCCGGTCCCACGGTCACGATCGAGGACGCGAGAGTCCGCTCCGGTCAACGGTTGCGCTGAGCGATGGCGCGAGTTTGAGGTTGCGGACGCCATCGCCTACTTATAGCAATTATTCGGCTGGACAGAGAGATGAGCGACGGAGAGAGAGTGTGTCATATCCTGATGATCACGATCATGATTCACCACGGCGGAAACGGACACGTGTCGTTGACGAGGAGTTGCGAGCGCTGGAAGTGGGGAGTGGAGAAGATGACGAAGAAAGTAATTCTGAAGAAGAGGACGAGGATACGGCGGGTGAGGAGGAGGGGGATGAGGGGCCGATTGTGGATGGGGATCACGCGCCTCGCCGAGCATCGCACCAACAAACAGAATCGCGAAACCCGTTTAGTAATCCGGCGAATACGGACAAGAAGGGAACATTACCAAAAGTTTACGCATGTCAGCACTGCGGGAAAGCGTTCGCTCGACGATCCGACCTCACCCGTCACGAACGCATTCACTCAGGTGTTCGACCATACCCCTGCCCTCACCCCACCTGCGGCAAGAGCTTTATCCAACGCTCAGCCCTGACAGTCCACCTACGCGTCCACACAGGCGAAAAACCCCACGCATGCGATTTCTGCGACAAAGTCTTCGCCGATTCCTCTAGTTTGGCACGACACAGACGGACGCATTCGGGGCGGAGGCCGTACACTTGTGAGAGACCGGGGTGTGGAAGGACATTTACGAGGAGGACAACGCTGGTTAGACATTTGGAGGCACACGATGACCAGGATCGAAGGGAGACGCGTCAGAGACATGAGGGGTTTGGGGAAATGCGGCCACCGGCGGACGCGATGAGTGTGCATACGGGGAGTCCGACGACGACGTGGTCGAGCTCGATGCCGAGTCCGTCCGTGCTGCATTTCGAAGGCGGTGGACATCGGAGGACGTTGTCGTCTGTCAGCGCTACAGGACCTCTGCCTCCGCCGCATTGGGGAACACCAGTAATGCAGTCGAGGTCGCGGACGCCGCCGTTACGGGGGATCACGGAGTGGAGTCATTCTCCCGAGCAGCGGCATACGGGCTTCGGACGAGCGACGTCTGCGGCGCATTTCAGACAGTATTCGGGACCGAGTGCGTTACCTGATTATTCGCCTTCGATGGGGTATACGAGTAGTCGGTACAGACCTGGAGATAGGATGGGACAGGATGCGCCGATGTCGGCACCGCAGGGGTATGGGCATGGGTATGGATATCAGCAGGGTCCGCCGCCGGAGAGGTTCACGCACGATATACCGTCACCGATGCAACAGGGTTACGGGCCGTACCAGCAAGGACCACAGCCGATTCCTCCACCTTTCCGGTTCCCAGGGCCATCGCCTTTTGGGAGCGCAGGTGGCCACCCGCCTTCACCCATGGCATCCCGTCTCCCTCCGCCTCCACTCCGGGGCTTCAGCGAACAACCACCCTCTCTCCCACCTCTCCAGAGTTTCGGAGGCGGTGCACACCCACCTCCTCTCCAAGTGATGGAACCAAGAGAACTAGACGACGAGGAACGAGCCGCGGCAGCGACGATTACCGGCCTCGGTTTCACCAATGTACGATTTGGCGACAGAAATGATCGAGCAATGCGAAGATAGGACGATATTTGGGTTTTGTGTGGGACTTTCGTTTGTGTTTTTCGGGGTATACACGTGTTTGGGCATGGCGGCGTTCTTTATTCATATCATCGATATCGTGCACCGAGCAAGCAAGCTAAGAGTTTGGATTGGGTAATGGGAGTATTAGCATAAGCCTAGGAAATCTCGAGCATTCTTTATCCTTGTATCGTATTCAATTCGTGTAGAAAAACTGAGTGGAATCATCTAATAATCATAATCGTACAAGCACGCTCGCTGAAAACAATAACAATGCCGATGTGACCAGCACAACCCATGCAAAACGTTAACCTCTCGGAATGTCCCTCCTATGAATCATCAGCGTTGACGCCCATCCCCTCCTTGCAGCTCCCCAACCAAACTTCTCAATCTCCTATTCTCCATCTCCATCTCCACCAAACGACGCCTTAGTTCATCCACCTCGCCGTTCTCCCGCGATCCCTCACGCTCCTTCCGTGGCGGCGACCGCAGCAGTGTTCCGCTGGCACTCATTACCGCATCATCCATCTCCAACAAATCCTGACATGTCGGACGCTTCGACGGCTGGTGCGACAACATCCACATAATCAATGCCGCTTCCCGTCCATGCGCGGCACAGAACGCCTCGGGTAACACGCCGCGACGGAGGTTATGCAGCATGTTGGCCCGTTCCATACTCGTCGAAAAGGGGTGCAGAAGCTCGAATAAGAGGATTCCAAGGGAGTACACGTCGGCTTTCTGGCTGGCGATGGCATCTCCTTCTACTAACTTCCCGTTCAGTTGTTCGGGTGCGGCATATGCCGCTGTTCCCTCACCCCGCTTGCTCCGCATCTTTTGCCCGTCTTCGACACAGAGGCCAAAATCCCCGATCTTGGGGAGGACCCAGACCTGCCGCTGAAGTTTGTGGACGTATAGTTCTACTGCCCCGCTTCGTTCGCGAGGAATAACGTCCAGGAAAACGTTCTTGGGCTTGATGTCGCGATGCACGAGCCCGTGATCGTGATGAACGTAGTGCACGCCCTCAAGAACGGAACGGAAGAGCGGGAGATACGTCGACTGAATGACATGCGTCGAGAGTGGACCCGACGAGAGGTAGTCCCTCTCCATCAGGTGGTCCGCCAACGTCAGCGTACAAATGTGCATCTGAATGAACAGCGTAAGACACGTCGTGGTCGACCCGATCAGCGAAGCGGCCCGGGCTCGTGTCTTCGCGAGGGTGGAAACTGGACGCGGCCGAGGTCCGCCGATGGAGAAGGAGGCGGAGAAGTCAGGTGAACGAGGAATCGTCTCGACTGAAGAGCTGAGACTCGATTTGTTTGACTTGTGTGAAGTGGAGAGGTGGATATGCGCCGGAACCGAAGAAGATGGCGGCACGGGGATGGAAAGGCGGGGAATGGAAGATGCTCCCCACGGACTACTCTGTGCTGAGGGTGGAGTGTCAGTTGCGGGCGATTCATGAATTTCTTCATCTCCAAAGACAACACCGCCGTCGGTGTCTTCCTCTTCCTCCTCGTGATGGTGGTTATCTTCGCGTTCATCATCAGACAACTCCTCTTCCATGTGAAAAAGTAATTGTTCGTCCAATGCGGCCAAGTGTCGTTTCTTCTCTTTGTTTCGCGTGTGACCCTTTTTCTTCTTCGCGAACTCTGAATGCTCCAGCCAGCTTCCATAGTAGCGGATGACGTGCGGATGATCCAACTTGGCTAAACACTTGATCTCCGAGAAGATCTTGCTGTACGCGACCTTATTCTGTGCTAGAATGATCTTCTTGACTGCATAGTCTCGGCCGTCGAGGAGGTTCTTTGCCCGCCAAACGGATCCAAAACCACCCTTGCCGAGCATGGCAGCCTCGGTGAATTCATTGCAGTAGCGAGAGCCTTTGTCAGGAAGCAACCAGTCACTCAAGGTCATCCGTTCGAGGTGCGTAAGACCAGGTGATTTGGGAGTAGTGGTCCTGGTAAAGACGGGCCTTTCGAAAGAGGAATGACCGAGGTGGTCTTCGGAGTCTCCGGAATCGTCGGAGGAGCTGGAGTAATCTGTCGTTGTGTCTCCATCCCAGCCAATTGCCCTGCGGCTCACACCATCGACATGATGTGCCATTGGATCAGGAATATCTCCGTCATCTTCCAGCAGCTCCTTAGCCTGACCCATGAGGGTCTTGAATGCGCGCTTGTAAGTCTCACGCACACCGCTCAACTCCTCGATGTACTCCTCGTCCAAGATACCCATACCCTTCAGCTGCCTACATATAAGGTAGAACAACTTCTTCGATTGTGCAGGCTCTGTCTCATACAGCTCGCAATACGTGTCCAGCAGTGCCGCCAGCAGTAACCGCCCATGCTTCCCCGTCTCGCCTGTCAACCCGGAGCTCTGCCTCCTTTCAATTTGTTTCAATCGGTCCGTGTCGTCTGAACTGAAATCTTCCTGGCTCTGGTCAGAGGAGTCGTCAGAGGATGTATCTGATGGATCGAGAAAGCTTTCTTCGGTGAATGCTGGGCATACAGTCAGACGAGCTGCGCATACATTGACCATACCACCATACCTTCATGATTCCACTTAAGCATAGGTATAGTTTGTCAATAAAAAGGGGTCAATCGCAACCAAATACTCAGAGCATTGGCGGTTGTGTTTGTTATCGGATAGCGTCCGTGCACGTATCCTCATGCACCTTTCCGTCAGAGTGCAGTTCAGCTGGAGGTTACCGCCAGTGTCAGGGTAACATGGGGCCATTGCCTGGCGAGGGCTGGTGTAGGTCCAAGCGCGAGTGTCGCCGTGACGAACGGTATCAACGCCCATATATCGCATTTACAGGCATTCATTGAGCTGGCCTCAGCATTAAATAGGGACAGTATTCGTCTTCTTATCACCCGAGGAACTGTTCGCATCGATTGACCGGCGCCATGGCTCCGCCTGCCGAAACACCGACGCTCGACGTCAGCGGGGTCTCTGCTTTCCTTGAGATCTCATCGGAGACTCTGACATCGCTCGCTTCTAGATCAGATGATTCTCTGAAGGTCCTGCTATCCTCAATTCAGGACAAGGCGCAGGAAGTCGATGCGCTGAAGGCCGAGAAGCTGCGGAGTGAGGTGATGCTCGAGCAAGAGATGCATACAGCGGAATCACGCGTCAAATCAATGAAGAAACAGCTGGATACTGCGCTCGAGGAGAACCAAAAACTCAGAGGCGCGCAGTCCTCGACCGAATCCTCGACACAATCACTGCAAACCCAACTACAAGTCGCGGCTTCTGCCATGACGAAGCTCGAGGAGGGGGCGAGATCGCTGGAGTCGAAGGTTCAGACGCTCGAGTCGGAAAAGCGGAGTACTCTGGAACTCCTGGGTAAGGCGAACAAGGAGTCCGCACAACGTGAGGAGGATTACAAGGGCCTCCAAGAGAGGTATCTCGAAGCCAAGAGGGTTGAAGTGAAATTGGACATTGATTTGAAAAATATGAAACAGGAGGAGATCAATTATAAGGTAAAGTGAAAAGTGCGAAAAGGTCGTGGAACGTTGCTGACACAGTTCTGCAGTTCAAGGAGCGGTCGTTGACACAAGAGCTTGAACACTCGCAAAAGAGCAATGACTGGTTGAACGAAGAGCTTAAAAAAAAGTCATCCGAGTTCTCAACCTACAGGAAGGAGAAGACTGCGCAGATCTCCGCTCTGGAAACTAAGCTCGAGAACACTACTGCTGACGCCACCAGTGCTCAGGAATCTCTAGATATCTTGAAGAAGCGATATGCTGAGATTTCCGCCAAGCTCGATGATTCACTTACGCGCAATAAGCAGCTTCAGGACCGTATTGTCCAGCAGGAGGAGAATTTCAGGAATGAGATCGAAGCTCAGCAGCGTCTGGCTCAGCTTTGGCAGGACACTGCAAACGAAAACAAGAGGCGTATCGAGCAATTGAATGAGCAGCTTGATAGCAAGCTCAGTGATGAGAGTGAAGAGTGCGCGAGATTGCGTGTCGAAGCGAATGGTGAGAAGATGAGGGCCGATGAGGCTGAGATGCGGAACGGAGAATTGGAGGCACAGCTGGAACAGAGAGAGCGGGAGTTGGCGACTATCAACGAACGTATCATTCAGGGCGGAAGTGATGTTGGTGCTTCTGGTGTTGGCTTGTTGAGCCCGTCTGCGCAGGCGCTCAGCAAGGTCCAGAAGGCTGGTTTGTCTGTTACGCAGCTCTACTCTCAGTACATGACTCTGCAATCTGATCTTGATGTCGAGAAGCGGAAGAACGAACGCCTCCAGAAGGATATGGTAGAGCTTATCTCTGAGCTCGAGACTCGTGCCCCTCAGATCCAGCAGCAGCGTGAGGAATTTTCTAGGGTTCAGATCGAGCTTGCACAGATGAGCGAGACGTTGCAGGAGATTGTGGACGAGAAGGAGAATGCGGAGAGGGAGGCGAAGCAGTTGAGGGCGACTGTGCAGGATAAGGAGACGGAAGTTAAGGTCCTTGAGCAGCAGACCCGAGACCTTAGTAAACAGGTTCAGCACTTGTTGAACGAACTCCACGATCATGGCGCTGGTATTCCTATGACGCCTGCCGAGCGTGCGGCTTTGCGTCGCTTGACTGAGGGCGTCGAGGATCCAGCTGAACAGTCTGATACCGAAGCCCTTATCTCTCAACGTCTCACCGTCTTCCGCAGCATTCAAGAGCTTCAGCAGAAGAATCAGAGCTTACTCAAGGTCGTTCATGAGCTCGGCCAAAGGATGGAGCGTGAGGAGGAAACTAACCGACAGCGTCTGGAGACCTTGGAGAGTGCTGCTCTGGAGGAGGCTGGAAAGGTGATTGAGGGATTGCGCGATGAGTTGAAGAGTGCGAAGACGAAGATGGATTCGTACATCAGGGAGAGGGACATGTTCAGAAGGATGCTTGTTCATGGTGGCCAGCTTGATACCGATGCCGGTGCTGCTCAAGCCCCTGCGGCGGACAAACCTGCTGACGAGGACAAAACCGACTACCCTACACTGCTCAGGGAGCTTCAGGTGCAGTTCGATGCGTACAAGAACGAGAGCGCTATCGACCACAAGACCTTGTCCGACCAGGTTAGTAACTTAACAAGGCAGAAGGGTGTCGTGACCGTCGACTTGAGAAAGGCTGAGACGGAACTGCACCTTGCTGGCGAGCGCTACAACATGCTGCAGAATACCCTACTGGCGGCGAAGGCTGAAATCGAGATGAGCAGGAAACGTATCTTGCAGATGCAGGAAACGATGGCGAAGCAGGACGTCCGCACTCAGCAGGCGGCGGACGATCTCGTCGATGCCAAGAGCTTGGCGGATAGCTTGCGTATTGAAAATCAGAACTTGAAGGTTGAGAAGGAGTTGTTGAAGAGACTCGAGGCTAGATGGACGCAGGACAACCAGCACCTCATGAAAGAGAACGGTCGCTTGAATGGACTGCTGAATAATGTTCAGACACTGCATGCCGAGCAAGAGCGCATGGATGCTGCATCCCGTAGGAGAACAGCTGCTGAGCTTGAGAAGCTTGAGAAGGACTTGCAAGCTACGAGGCAGAGGCTCAATGAGGAGAGCGAGGAGGTGAGGAGGTTGAACTTGAGGAAGGAGTTCGAGGCTAAGGAGTACCAGGAGAAGATTGACAAACTCAACTCTGATTTGTCGACTACGAGAGAAGCCATGGTAGAGGCCAGGACTTCGCAGAACCATTTGAATGCGCGTGTGGAGGAGTTGACGATCTCTTTGAAGGCAGCGGAGGAGAAGTTCGCTCTGACTCAGAGGTCTCGCACGACTGAAGGTGGTGAGGATGTATCACGTGAACAGCAGTTGGACATGGAGTTGACCGAGTTGCGTGCTGCCCTGGATGCTGCGAAGGCTGAGGCTGCACAGGCTAAGACGCACGTGGACGAGCTCAAGGCCATTGCCAATGCTGCAGAAGAGGCTCTTCAGACCATGAACGAGACTCACGACCAGTACAAGAACTCGACCGATAATCAGATCCAGCACCGCGATACTGAACTTGCAAATGTGAAGACTCAGCTTGCTGAGCTTACTTCTGAACTCGAGAAGAGCAGACAAGAGTTGGCCGAAATTCAGGGATCAGAAGATGCCAAACGCGCTGCTTACGAGCAGGAAATCGAGTCTCTCAAGGCTGATCTTGAAAGGGCTAAAGAAGAGGTTGAAGAGGCTGCCGCCAAGCAGCGCTTCCACCTCGAGGACATGCGGAAGCAATCTGATATTGCCAACGAAGCTCAACAGAACTACGAGAGGGAGTTGCAGAAGCACGCCGAGGCTGCGTCAAACTTGCAGAAATTGCGTGAACAGCTTCGTGATGTCAACAACCAACTCCGGGTCTATAGGACCGAGGCTGAATCCGCTCGCGCATCATTGACTACTTCTGAGGCTAGTTGGGGAGCACAGAAAGAGCAGATGGAGAACGAGTTGCGTGAAATGTCTACAAGATGTGATGACCTCCGTAAGCAGAACGATCTGTTGCACTCTCAGTTTGAGAGTATCAGCTCCCAGGCCCTCAAGATTCAGCAGGCTTCTTCTGCCGTCGCAGCCGATATCGAGAACGCACCTGCGTCCGCTGATAAATCTGTCGAAGAGTTGCGCGAGGTCATCAAGTACTTGCGACGTGAGCGTGAGCTTATTGACTGCCAGCACGAGGTTGCCGTTCAGGAGAACAAGCGCATCAAGCAGGAGCTCGACCATACCAGCAGGGCTTTGGAAGAGGTTCGCTCGCAGCTCACTCTGGAACGTCAACGCGGAGCCGAGTCTGCTACGTCTGCTGCTCAGCACCAAGAGCTCATTGCTAAGATTGGCGAGCTAAACATTCTCCGTGAGAGCAACTCCGCTTTGCGCGCCGAGAATGAGCGCACCGGTAAGACCTTGAAGACTCTCGAAACCCAGGTTGAGACCTTGAACGCGCAGCTTGCTCCACTAAATGAACAGCTCCAAACCTTGACTGCAGAAATCGAGGCTAAGGATCAGCAGATTCGACTCATCGAAGGTGACAGGGACCACTGGAGGAACCGTGCTCAATCCATCTTCCAAAAGTATGACAAGATCGACCCTGCTGAGTTACAGGCTCTCAAGAACAACCTGGCCAACCTTCAGTCCCAATACGATGCATTGGTCGTTGAGGGCGAGGCTGCGCGTGATGCCGGCATTGTTGAGGTAAAGAACGTCAGGGACAGTTGGGCCGAGCGGTACAATACCATGGTCGCATCCAGCAAACAAAGGATGGCTGAATTGAGGGGCCAAAAGATGGAGGCAGAGAAGGCTCTTGCTGAGAAGGAGCAACGTTTGCAGGAGTTGGAGAACCAGTTGGCCAACGCTCAGACTGCACCCGCAGCCGATAGTGGTGACATGGAGGGCCTTGAGACTGCTGGAGATGCACAGCTAAAGGAGCAGGTCACTAAGCTTCAAGCCGAGAAGGAAGCCGCCAACAAGACCGCGAACAACGTCCGCGCAAGGGTGCAAACCTTGATGACTGAGAAGATGCAACTCACCAAGCAGGTGAAAGAGCTTCAGGACAAGCTCTCTGCCAGTGCGTCTGCAACCCCGGCTGCACCTACATCAGGCGAGGAAGTTGACAAGAAGGTGGATGAGCTTGTTGCCAAGAGGCTTAAGGAAGCTGAGGTTGCAGGCGCTACGCCAGGCACTGCGGATATTGATGCCGTTGTCGCTGAAAGGATTGCTATCGCTCGTGCGGAGTTCGAGAAAGAGAAGGAGCAGGCAATTCAGGACGCGGTCAAGGCGGCGCAAACTCAGACACCTGCTTCTGATGCCATCCAAACTCAAGAATCATCTGACGTGATCCCCCGTGAAGAGCACGACAAAATCATCGCTGAGATGACCCTGAGGCACGAGCAAGATATGAACAACCTCAGGAAGCGTGCTAAGAATCAAGCCACTGAGGCCATCAACAAGGCCATCGCGCTCAAACTCGACAAAGTACGCGCCGAGGAACGTCAGCTTGCTGAGGTTGCCAAAGCTGAGGCTATCGAGGCCGCGCTCAAGACCAAGGAGGAACAGTTTAAAGCCAAGGAGGAAGAGCTTACCTCCAGGGAGAAAGCACAGAAAACCGCCGAACTCACGGCGAGAATGACCAATATGAAGATGACTATGAGAATCGGCGCGTTGGAGAAGCAGGTCATTGCGTTAGGGGAGACTCCATCGACAATTGGAGCAACACTTGCCCTTGGTGCGGCTACTCCCGCTCCTGGTACGCTTGGTACTCCCGCCGCAGCTACTGTTGCCCCTGCCGCGGTCGCTGCTCCTGCGCAGGTCAAATCACCCGCTGCTGCGCCAGCTTCTGCTGCTTCCGCTACAGCTACGCCGCCAGCCGCTACACCAGCTACTGGTCCTGCCATCAAGGTCGAGACCACTCCTGCTCAGCAAGAAGCTGCCGCAGCCGCGGCACCCGTCAGCGCATTTGCTAATCCCGCTTCTGCGCAGATTCAGGCTCAACCCCAAGCTCAGACTCCGGCTAACCCTGCCACACCTTTCCAGAATGCTATGCGTGGAGGAAGAGGAGGTGCTCGTGGTGCTCGTGGAGCTGGACGAGGTGGAGCAGGAATGGGTCGTGGTGGTGCAGTTGGTACTCCTGCGGGCGCTGGACGTGGCACACCCGTCGCTGGTGGTGCCGCTGGTGCCGCTGGAGCAGCTAACGCACCTCTCGCTAACCGCATGGGAGCTCCCGTCGGCGGTACCGCAACGCCTCAGCAAGGAACCCCGGCCAGGAAGGGCTCCGTCCCCCGTCCTTCGCCTGTGAGGATCGAGGGAACCGCAGCTGCCGGTGCTGGTGCTGGTCCAAATACACCCGGTGGTGCGAACAGACCTGCTGTGCAGAGACCTGTTGGTGCTGGACGAGGACAAGGGCAAGGACAGGGCGGTAACATGAACGCGAACGCGCCTACGTTTACGCCGGGGAATAAGAGACCGAGGGAGGAGGGTGGAGGTGGGGCACAGAAGAAGCCGAAGAATCAGTAATTATAGGTTGGGGAGGAAAAGGATGTGATGTGATGCACATGCACCTGGGCATATAGCATTTCCCAAGGACATTTATGGGTATCAAAACCCGGAGATAAACGTATAGGTATATAGTAATTATTGGGAGTTTTGCTGGCCCGCATTAGGGCTCTTGTTACACTGGATGTCTATGGCTAAGTTGTTCAGCTGAGTTCAGGTATGCGTTGGCGATCAGTTCTGTACAGTTCAGTAGATGTGCTCGCTTTCTGTTTGAGGTAGAGTAAGCGAGTTCGAGACATGAACATTACGCCCATCGAGATTAAGATCCAGCCGCTGTCACAGATTGAATGTTCCACCTTTCCAATTACACAATCGCGCATCCAGATCACCGTCAAGTTATGCCGTGCGAATCCTCGCACCTCCAAAAAGGAAAGGGGTTCAAGGTCGGTCGTGTACGCGTGCATGTATGCGCAGCACCGCCTACACCACCTTACGGGCTCCCTTGTTCAACAAGCCCTTCGCGAATCTCTTCTGCGCGGCTTCAACAATGCAGTCACTTCCACCAGCCGTTTACGTCTCTTCCAACTGCTTCCTTTACCACCGCGCGGGGCACGAAGGTGCTGCGCTGGGCGGACACAAGATGACTTCTTGACTGGCATTATTGGGGATGTACTTGATTTCTTTCATTAATTTACCTTCGTTTGAGTACCTACACTTGCCGTACTGGATATCGCCTCTGGGCAAAATCCGGTTTCAATATACTACGACTACTACTACCAAAACCTCCCCCAATTGCGCCCCTCAATAATGCTTGGCGTTCGAAACTTTACGCAACGAAACGCCTTTGGGCTTTAGGGCTCGGTAAGCCTCTGCGCAGGTGTTTACGCGGGAAGGCCGGCAGCTATCAAGCGGCCCTTGGGTTGTTCGATGTCGTCCATGAGATTTACAAAGGTGCGGACGGTTGGCCATGGGTGTGGGAAGAGGTGGGTCAGAGATCAGCAAGCGGGTTCGGTGTTTGGGATGTCACAGCTGCGGTTCGCGAGAGGGACATGTGGCCGCCGCGGTTGGACGTTGGGTGGGTGCACGTGGGGCAGCGTCCACCGGCCGGCTTAACGGGGTGGCAGCAGGAGCATGTGCTGGGAGCGTTCCTGACCTGTCAACGGAAGGACTGGATCGTGAGAAGACACGTCATCATCATTCTTGACGGATCCGTGCTTACTCCCCTCCAGAACAACAGAACAACAGACCCACGGACCCACGGACCCGGTCAGTCCAGGGCGCAAGTGCATTGATGGCGGTGTCTTGGTGGCCGTGTCACACACTCACGCACGGCTTAGTGCAAGGCACTAGAGTTCGTAATTTAAGGTAAATCCATAGAACCCTTAACGTGTTAAAGAGGAAGGAGGCCAGTGCTGAGTAGGGAGGTGAGTAACAACTGACATCTATTACCCGCATACATCCCATCCAACATCGCTCTCCGTCGCTTTCGCTGGATACCCTTGATTGCTGAGAGACGGCCGCCGCTATGGCACGTCCAAAGATGAAGGTTCCAACATTCAGCAACCTCTTTAAACTCGCAGAAGACGACACGACCTCGGTCGACGGGCACTCAAACACCTCGCGATTATCGCGACGGAGCAGCACGACGAGTAGCATGAGTAGGAGTGCGAGCACTGTTGAGACTTACCGGTATAGAAACGGAGAGATCGTCGCTGACAGCGAACCACGCGACGTGTTAGCGTCAAGGGAAGAGAGGCCCCTTACGCTGAACCCTGGGGGACAATTTGGCACCCAGCCTTCGTTGGGATTGGCGAATGTGCATGTGGGATCAGATCCCGTTGGCCATGTCCAGCCTATTTCTAATTCTCATAAGAGTGGGGGCTCGGGGTGGAGGCCGGCGAGTGGGAGTACGGGCTCGACACAACCACCGCCTTTGACGCCGGCACAGAGTAGTATCAAGAGCTTTGAGAGTGCTAGTCCGAAGATGGGGATGGAGATGAAGTTTCCGCATCCGCATATGTATGTGAATGGGTTGAGGAGTAAGCAGCCTTCGACTACGCCAGCATCGACGGTGTCGGGGCGGATGGAGAGTATGACGGAGAGAGCGATGCGGACGCAGGATATTCCGAGGAGGTACGTACTGTTTGGTTGAGAATGATGGGGATGTATGCTGATGAATGCTACAGTGACGGCACCGTCTGCACGGATTTGGACGAATACGGTCCACGAATTACGCGACAACAGGCAATCGCACAATCTTACCGACAACCATCCACCATGCCGCATTCGTCGTCCGTATCCTCAAAGTCCGGCAAATCAAAACTCAAGATCCCTACTTTCTCGAATTTGGTACGCGTACAGCAACCACAGTCACAACTTTCATCAAGCCCAGCACCACCGAGTATGATGCCGCCACCACCACCGCCTGGGCCGCCGGTTGTGTCAGCGAAGAGTTCGGCGAGGGATTTGCGGGATTCAGGGTTTGATGAGTCGAATCGGTTATCACGGACTTCGACGAACACCACGCACAGGGCTTCACCATCCCTTGCCCCTGCTCCATTCGAACCAGAACGAAGAGAGAGTTTAAGAAGTCAGAGGAGTGTGGCGAGCATGCGGTCGATGCAGAGCATGAGCACGAGTACCACACGTTCGGGAGCAGCAGGAGCGGAGAGAAAACATGTTGTGTTGAAGCAGAAGAGTAGTAAGGCGTTGAATTGGGGCGATGAGCCGGCGCTGCCGACGTTTAGGATAGGAGACGTGCCGAAAACCGTGCTGCCGCCGCTGCCACCTTCGCCGACAATACAGCAGGGGTCTGGGCTTGGGAGGAGACCGAGTGCAGCGACCACCAACAGCGCAGGATCAATGCCGAGTCCGGGACTGAGATTGGGAATGGGGTTGGAGAGTTTCCCGGGTGTACCGATTGTGAAGGATCGGACTGTGATCAGACGGAAAAACAGCCTGGGTCTGAATAAGAATCTGCCGCCGGCGCCGGTTGCACCACCGCCGCCTGTTGGGTTACCCCCTACACCACGGGGTCCACCACCACCGCCAAGTACGGGGATTCCGGGACCGCCTGTATCTGTCGCGCCACCGATTTTCGTGGAGGATGTTAGGATGCTTAGGGGGAGACAACGGTCACTGCCGAGGGAGGAGAGTCAGGTGCGAACTCAACCGGTCATGACGCAGCAAGTTGGGGAGGTGAAAAGGACGTATGTCGCTGTTGACGAGAGTCCGACGTTAGGGCATGCGGAGCTGGATCTGGGTGGACTTGGGGCGGGAGAGAGGATTGGGGATGCGTTGTTGGATGATATGTTGGAGGAGTTGATGCTTCTTGATGATGAGTATGCGCTGGCGCATGAGCAGCTTCACAAAGCTTCTACTACGGCGAGAGTTTTGGTGGAAGAGCCGTTGCCGATGCAGATACCGGTACCGGTTACGCCGAGGAAGGTGGGAAGGATTGGGGTGGGCATTGGGAGTTTTGGAGGGGAACTGGTCCCAGACACGCCGAGGAGTATTAAGAGGAGGAGTGAGCGGACTCAGAGGAGGGATTTGGAGGCTTTGGAGAGGGAGTTGGAGATGATGTGAGGGTGAAGTGCAAAGATACATGGGTATACAGACATTTTGTGAGCGTTGGAGAGGTTTCAGCGGGGTGTTTTTCATTTCTTCTGGGATGTTAAGGAGTTTTGTTTGAGCGTTATACGCGGGATACCTAGGACTATCAAGTTACTATCATCTACCATTCTCTTCGCCGCGTCTGATGACCATGGATCGACGTAGACTCCCGGACCCGGCAAAGCAAGCACACTCCTCATCACTTCATCCCAATTAAAACACAGAAACAAAAAGCAACGAAGCTGTTCAACAGCGATTCATTTTCGTCCAAGTTCGTGTTTAACTTTGACGGACGCAGGTGTCCCAGGGTGGTTGTTGCCTGCAGGCGGGCGCCCCTATGCCCCGCAGTGCCTTTCCCAGGACGCAGGCCACAAACACCAGCCAAACTCCGAGGAGCAACACGACAACCCCCGTCGGACATTGCAAAGCGAGGGACAGGACGACTGTATACCAGCCTGCAACCCTTGATATCTCGCTTACCCTCAAACATTTCGTCAAGACTGACTTGTCCGTATCGCTGTCTTTGGCATTTACCGACGTATCCGCCCGTTTAATTGCTGCATATACCCCATAAGGTCCGGCCCGGTGTGAAGCAACATCCGGAATACACGCTTTGAATGGACTCAACACACCCTTTGCATATCGACATCAGCACCTCTCGACCACGGGAGTCTTCTGCCCTTTCTCTGGTTACGCCAGCCTCTCAGTCTCCACTCGACGAACAGAAACAATCACAAGACATGGAGGAGGAGTCGGCACTGGATGTTCCATCTGTTGGACAGTGGACGTTGACACCGACTGTGAAGACCACGACCACGGTTACTACTACCACGACTACGACGACATACCCGCCCCTGGTTTTGAAGCCACCGAAGAAGAGGCCGGAGTTGGATGCGAGGCAGTATCCGTTGAGGGATGCACCTACGCCGACTTCGTTACGGAGTTTTTCGTTTGAGTTGGATGGTAAGGTATCTAAGTTTGAGGAGAGTGGGGACCCGGAGAGGTCTATCGTGCAGGTAGGACGTGAAGAACTGCCCAGTTCAAGTGCAATGCTAACATGCTCCTACAGCTTCAAGAATCTATTTCCAGGTTACAAAAGACACCCAATACGGGCTATAAGGATCCCCTCGCCCTGCAGGGCAAGCCCAGCGAGTCAGCCTGTGCTGCCGTGCGACAAGTCAAGCGTCCTGGATCCCCTCTGGAGCAATCTTCCTCTGATGCATTGACTGGAAGTGATCCTGGTTCTCACAAGAAAAGGAAGGGTAGGACGGAGTCGATGTCGATGCCGGTTGCCTTGGTTAGCGCCACTACACCGACGTCGAGGCCTGCCGTCCAATATGCGCCTCGTCCTGTGAGAGCTGGCCGCCCTGGCGAGCTCCTTCGTCAGATTCAGCAAGAGCCTACGCCGACGAAACTTGAGGACGCTCCCGCTTTCGATGACGCCCCGGTGCAGCAGGGAACGACTCCACACGAACCGGTTTCACCGACATCAAGTGCTCAGCCTATGTCTCTACCGTCACCGAAGATGTCGCCTATTTCGGCAGCGCTCGCTCGCGGAGGACATGCGTTGGGTTACTTCGACTCGAAACAGGTACATGAACCCGAAGGGGCGACGCAATCGACCACTTTTGAGCGGATACAAAAGTTGGATGCAGCAGATGTGGTGGCGTCAAAGGGGACGCAAGCAATGATGGAGATCCCGACCATGCTCGAAACATTTGACCGTCTTCCGCCAAATGTTCAGACGTACATGATGTACCACCTCCTTCGTCGCTCGAATATCAAGACCTTGCAGTTTGTCGCCGGTGTCGTGAACCCCACCTTGCAGCGCGACTTCCTTGCTCATTTGCCGTACGAGCTGGCGTTGCAGGTATTGCAGTACCTCGATGTTCGGTCCCTGTGTCGGGCGGCGCAGGTTTCGAAACGTTGGAGGGCAATCGTGGATTCGGATGAGTGGACTTGGAAGAGGTTGTTCGAGGCTGATGGTCACAAACTCGATCAAAGAGAGCTGGACAGGGCTATTCAGGAGAGATGGGGGATGCAGGCACCTTTGGAGGCGCCTGAAGTGGTCCATCTGGATGAGGTGCCTGTTGGTTTGCATGTCACTGAGCGCGCTAATCAGGCCAAGAGACGGACTTCGATGGCGGAGTTTGCGGATCAGTTGAAGTCTGAGGGACATGAGGAGCCTCTTCCTTCTCAACACCTGTTCAAGGATATTTACCGGCGTCATCATGTTACGCGGAAGACGTGGATGGATCCTGAGGGTGAGCCGAGGCATATCTCCTTCACGGGACACGGGAGTATGGTTGTGACTTGTTTGCAGTTTGACTCGGAGAAGATTGTGTCTGGATCTGATGATACTTGTATCAATGTTTACGACACTGGTAATGGCGCCTTGAAGAAGAGGCTCAGGGGCCATGAGGGTGGTGTTTGGGCGTTGAGGTATGAGGGGAACACTCTCGTCTCGGGATCTACCGACCGTACTGTCCGTGTCTGGGATATCGAGAAAGGCGAGTGCACGCAGGTGTTCTATGGACACACTTCAACGGTGCGTTGTTTGCAAATTGTGCAACCTCAAATAGTCGGACATGACTCCCGCGGTAAGCCGATGTTTGAGCCCAAGTTCCCGGTTATCGTAACTGGATCTCGTGATTCGACGTTGCGTGTCTGGAAGCTTCCGCAGGAGGATGATGAGCCGTACATCCGTCCTCCTCCGGACTCACCGGGTGAGGCTGGTGGTATCGATCAGATTGGTGACAACCCATACCATCTCCGCACTCTGCAAGGACACACCTCCTCTGTTCGTGCGGTCTCTGCACATGGTGATCAGATGGTCAGTGGTAGTTACGACACCACTGTCCGTGTTTGGCGTATCTCCACTGGCGAGTGTCAATGGATCCTGAGGGGTCATGCGCAGAAGGTCTACAGCGTCGTCATCGATCCCAAACGTCAGCGCTGCGTTAGTGGTAGTATGGACTGGATTGTCAAGGTGTGGAGTATGGAGACTGGTACCTGTTTGTGGAACCTCGAGGGTCATACTTCACTTGTTGGATTGCTGGATCTTTCCGCCGATTACCTCGTTTCTGCTGCTGCGGACTCCACTCTCCGGGTCTGGGATCCTGAGAGTGGACGTTGTGAGTATGTATTGTCTGCGCACACCAGTGCCATCACTTGCTTTCAGCATGATGAGTACAAGGTTGTTAGCGGTAGCGATGGTACGTTGAAGATGTGGGACATCAAAACTGGAAGGTTCGTCAGGGATTTGCTCACTGGCTTGAGCAACGTCTGGCAGATCAGATTCGATGACCGGAGGTGTGTCGCTGCTGTGCAGAGGGACAACCTCACCTGGATTGAGGTCCTGGATTTCGGAGCGGCTGCGGAAGGTGTTCCTGCCGAGGAGCTCGGTACGCGAATGGTGATTCAAGATGATGAGATGTACGATGAAGAAGGGAATGCTCTCATATAAGCAAATGCGCAGCGTTAGTGTTGTTGGGCAGGGAATGGCGGGGATTAGAATGGCTTTGGGAAGGAAGGATCATGGGCTCGGTTGGTATCGTTAGATGTATGTCCGTTGTGTTGGTTGTTTGTCCGGGCATTTTTTTTTCTGATTCTGGGTTTGTTTTTCGGAAGCTTAAGCATTTATGAGTTATTCGTCGTTGGTAATAGCAGTTGGTTTATTTTGCTGTAACACGGTGCCACTTGCGTGGGAAGAATTCGTGTCGATCAACGTTGCGGCTGCGGTCCGAACACGACTGAAGTAGCCTTGATGTCAATGTCACATAGATTACCTCCCTTTCCACGGCTCAGTAAGATGAACTGGCATGTCCCAGGGCCCTGGCCAGCAGACCCATCAATAGCTCAGCGACGTCGTACCAACTCCATCCACTGCTCCAAGGTCAGGTATGGACAAGGCAAGTGTGGCTCCAGTGTATCGTCGCAAAGGGCGGAAGACCAACGGCATTCCTTCGCCTCCTCAGTCGCCGGGCTGTCAACGATGCACTTACAAGTCAGGGTTTCCTCGCAAGGTGTTGGAGAAGATCCTCAACGAGGTGTTTGACTGGAGAGGTACTGCGTATCAGAGGAACCTGGCCGCATGCGCACTGGTGAACAGACAGTGGAACCGTTTGGCAACGCCGCTGCTTTACAGCCACCTCTTCTTGTTTCTGGACGGGTCGTCCGAGTCCCTTCTTGGGAGAGTGAACAAGTGGTATGTCAGCCCTCAGATATGCGCATTTACCCGTAGCTAAAATTCTCGTCGACAGCAACCATACCGGGAAGCATCTTCAATCTATCACCTTCAATGTAAACGCTTGTGCTTTCTGGAGCGAGTTCGATAAGGATGACTTGAGCGACATGGTTGCTGAGGGAAAAATAAGCGATTTGAAACGGCTCTTCCCGGCTGTGAACCACACGCGGGAAGCTTCTTTCGCACGCGTTGTAACCAAGGTTATATCTCAGACGCATGACCTTCGCACGTTTTACTTTGGCACGCTACATTCGATAATGCCAGACTCATCATTTCCAACTTTGGCATCTACCAAAACTTTGACCTCTTTGTTCTTGGGCGGTGCCATTGCCTTGGCATCGACCATAGCACCGGTTCAAGCCGGAACTCACCAGGATGGGAGAGTGAACAGGGAGCTCAAGCGCCTGGAGATTATCAAAGAAATGCCGCAATTACAAACTCTACACTTCATTGCAATGACTCGTTCCAAATTCAAGAAACTCACCCAACGATACGTCCAGGTTTTGGCCGACATTCTTCGTCACCTGCCTTTACTCAGGAAACTACAAGTTCAGGTCGATGAAGCTTCTACAAACGTGTTACTTAGCAATGGAGCTTTTCGATGGTCAAAGTTAGAGGCACTGAAGCTTACTGGTGTCTGCATCGATTCGCCTTCGTTTGACTCCTTTCTCAAAAAGCACACAGGAATCAGGGTCATCGAGTTGTCGAACGTGAGCATCAGATCCGACCCCGACTTCTCTCCGTCTCTCAGTCACAAACCTGGGGTTATTCAACGTCTAGCTGCTTGGACTGATGGGCTGCCTGAAGAGGTGATCCCGCACGTATATTGGCAGATGGATTTTGAAAAAGGCAAAGAAGGCCGACCCTTCCTCCGTATGGTGCGTGTTGACACGGTGTTATGGCCTTTGGATTTTCTCGAATTATGCGACGCTGTCACACATGAACGCGTCTCGTTCTTTTGTGCGATGGTCACAAAGTTTACGTCCAAGATGGCTCTTGCGTGTGGGAAAATGCCCCATCTCAGTCACTTGTTGCTCGCGTGTCGTGAAGGGAAGGCAGGATCTGAGGACAAGGAGCTTGCGGCAGCATTAGGAAAAGGGTGCAAGAGAGTGGAGAAGATGCTGATGTTGGAAGAAGAGAATACTGAAGGACAGGATATTCCAGATGCCGAATTGCTTCTAAAATACGCGGTAAGACAACCCGATCCCCCAAATCACGGCCATGGCTCACAGAAGACGATTTAGAAGCTCTACGGACAAAGTATGAGGAAGTTGCGCACCTTGAACATGAACCTCGGCGAAGCCACAATCAGTCGTAATGATAACGGCGATGTCATTGCAATCAAGGCCACCAAACAGAAGGGGTATATGAATGACATACCTCGCGTATCTCGCTCTGATCATTTTGATCATGTATACGGGAAGGTCTAATGGCAATGTGCCAATTAGCTGGTGCTCTGCAGCTGGGGAATGAAAGGATAAGGTGCAGAACTAGTGGGCGTGGGAGTAAACGTATTTCAGACTTCTCCACTTACAGGTGATTTTGATATGCAATAAGGAATATAACAACGAACGCAAATTATCAATTTAAGGTCACTTGATTAATCTTTTTCAATACCCCCAACTCTCACTCTCTGTAGAAGATAAATGGCCCTTAGCGGCATATCCCACCTCCCCCAGTGTCTCCGGAGCGTAAAACCACCTGTCAAGCTCATATTGCACCTCGTTGAACTCCGCCCCTTTCCCGTGCACCGCAAAACCATTTAACTCAGCGTGATCCTTCCAGGTCTCCAACGGTACCATGGACTCGTCGAATCCTTCCTCATCCTCCACGTCGACGACGACCTGCTTCTTGCCAGTGCGCTCATCAATGACAATGCGGGTCGAACCCCAGGAGAAGTTGTCCATCTGCCAGAAGGCATACACGGGGAGCAGGAAAGAGTAAACTGGGTATGCCAGGATATACGTGATCATCCAGCCAATATGCTGCCATTGACGCTTGACGATAAACACAATCGCTTGCAAGCCATACACGGCCGCGATCATGATGATGGAGATCAACGGGAATGCACCTGCGCCAGAAGACACGACGTAGATGAGGTAAACGATGTACGCAAAAGTCGCCGGAAGGATGATGGTACCGAAGAGGTCGATAATAACAACGAAGCGCATGCTGAAACAACAGAACCCACACAGGTTCGGCAAGAACATGAGCTCAGCCAAGTTGTGCACTGTAGAATTGATCCAACGACGACGCTGGGACAGAAGCACAGAGAAGTCCTCCGGACACGTGGTGACAGCGAATGCGTCGGGAGTGAACGTCATCTTGTACATCGGAAAATGCTTGGTCAGCAACGTCGTCAAGTACCGATCCTCACCAAGCGAAAGCAAGTTCTTCTTGTGCAGCGTGTCGACATGGTTATCAGAGTACTCCCTGATCACCTTATCCGAAATAATGAGAGGCTTGTGCTTATCGACGGTACGAAGACGGTACATGGTGAAACACCCCGGCAAACAAGTAACAGAGCCAAAGAGCGACTCGAAGGCCTTAGACAAGTGATGCGAGATGTAGTACTCGAACACCTGGATCATCGTCCACCACGATCCCTCTTCATTCTCAATGCTCGTCTCACCACAAATACCGATGATCTTCGAGTCGTTCGCACAACATGCCACGAGCCTGTTCAAACTGTCCGAACGAACCTGGGTATCGGCATCCACCATGAGCATGTACTCATACACATGAGGCTCAACACCAATCAAGTTCGTGATCTGATGGTAAATCTCCAACTCCAGCGGGTTCAATGGCTTATTGAAGTGCACGCGGTTCAAGAACTGCATCAGCAAGACCTGAGAGTCACGCTTACCGCGGTTACCCGGCTTTGACCTTTCTGAGGGTTTGCCACATTTGACGATTACGCAATACGGGACAACGTGGCCATCAAACTCATACAATCCCGCATAGACCCGTCCATAGTTCATCTGCTTCGATCCCTCTCCAACCGACTTCATCGGAAGAAGGGGCGGCTCATTTTTGGTCGTGTCGACACCAAGGATATCAAGAATGATCTGCGACGTCGACTTCTCATTCCCGCCTCCCGTAACGATTCCGTCAACAATGATAAACATCAACTTCCGCATATCATCATACTCCAAATCCGCCAACGAATCAATTGCTTTGCGCAGGGAATCCTCACCCTCAGTATACGCCGGTACCTGCAAAATCACAAACTTATTCTGCCTCGCCGGCCTCCTCTTCGATCCGAATTGCAAGGCACTCAAGAACTTGATCAAGATGACGGAACAAAGAATGCAGGTGAATCCGAGCAAGATGTAGTTATTCACCTGACACCTGGCAGACTTCCTGAAGTCGACTCGGCCGACATAGAACGCGTTCTGTAAACACTGATACGTAGCAGCCCGCGTCGTCTCATTAATTGCCGGTGACTTCCAGAACTGACTGGAGATATCCTGACCAGCACTCCCGACAAACATACTCTCCACCGTCGGGTCAAAGAAGGAATAAGTGGGATCCCCTTGCATGATCTCCTTCGTGGCAAAATACTGGGTAAGGTCATACACCCTCCCATCAATAATCGCAATATTCTCCTGCTCGTTACTGCCCATATTATCGATATCATCCACACTAATCACCAAATCACCCTTCCAGAACGTTTTGATCTTTGGGGCGAAGGTGTTCTGATACCAATTGATATCGTACAACTTCGTCGTAGGATTGCCCTCCTTGATGGGACCGGAATAGTGCATAGCTGTCGACACGGACGCAATCGTCAGGTTTGGATACAACCAGACCGTCTCTTCCGTGACCAATCCCGGACACGCAGCCGTCAACGGCGGCGGAAAGTACTCTGTCAAATCCAGCCCCGCGAATTGCTTCATATTCGCAGCCCCCGTCGTCGTAGTGCTATCAGAATGCTGCAATTTCCAGAACTTGGATATATCATACACCCCACCCCTAATACTCACCCAGAAGTTATCGTCATTGGTATGCTGCGCGACCTCCTTCGCATCCCAGACTTTGTCAAACTCCGGACAGAGGAGCTTCCCGAGGAAGATAATGTAGAAAATCACCGCACCACAGAGCAACGCAATCCCAAAACAGATCGTCAATTTCTCACGCCATGCCATACGCACGTCCGGACGACGCATACCACCGACATAGCGGAGGAGGAAGGAGGGGATCCACCACGTACACCCCCACACGATCGCCACCCAAATTTTCCGAGCCGTAGTGGTCTTGACCTCAACAACCATCGGCGCATGATGTCCAGCCTCCAACTTAACATCGAGGGGATACGTCCCGTTAATCGCGTACTCCTCCGCAGGCGGCAACAAATCCTCCCGACTCTGCATAAAATCATCATACAACAAACTCTCCTCCACACCCCCAACCTCCCCTTCGCCCTCGCCCTCCCCCTGCTCAATCCCCATCATGAGCCCATCCTCCAAAAACCTAAACATCTCCTCCGAAATCCAAACACGCTCCCGACCCTCGACGACATCATCACCATTCACGAAACCATGCATGGAGCAAAAATCGGAGAGGTTACCGGGCTCGATGAGAAGGTGTCCGAAGCGTTCCCAGAATTCGGCGTGGGTGTAGTCGGATGTGATGGTGTTATACGGCATCGTCGATAACGCCGCCAAATTGAACAAACGTGCTTGAGCCGAGGTGGCGGCAGCATCCCACTCCCCGTTCCCGTGTCCCCTGAGCTCCATCCAAGCCCACAAACGCGCATTGCTCAGTGTCGCTTTGTAGGCTTCTTGGTGCATCACACCCTCTCCTTGAAGGTCATTCTGCATCACATCCTCAAACACCCCACGTAGCGGACTCATCCCATCAACAATCCCATACAAATTCTCAACCGTCTCAATCCTCTTCGTCTCCTGTAAATCATTCTCGAGCGTTTGCACATCCACCAACGATTCGTCTTGGAGCGCAACGAGTGTCTCGATTCCGTCGAGATGCAGCTCGCGGAGGACAGTTTGCGAGTGTTGGGAGATGTAGTCGGAGCAGATCTTATCCGTAGGGCAGGGGAACCATATCGTATTGACGATACTCCCTGCATCACCGGTATACATCCCAGTATTCACGCGTCCACACACGACTTTGGTAATCCAGCGCTGTACAATGCCATAGATGACCGAAGCGACGTAACTCCTCCCCTCAATCAAGCAGAGGGTGTTCAACGCTTCACCCTCCATGAACAATACATCCGCCGCATCCTGAATTCGCTCATTATCCGGTTTGTCTGAGGCGGTTAGGTGCCATAACGCAGTCAACAGACAAAGTAAATACCGCCATTTCTCACCCACGAATCCAAAAGCTTTTAGATGTCCAGTGAAGAGGGCGAGGTCAGGGACGGATTCGTGTTCGTGGATGGGTTTGAGGTAGCGTAGGTTTAGGGCTTCGCGTTCTTGCTCTGTTGTTGCGGAGTAGAGGAGCCAGCCCAATAATCCATCGACACCGTGAAGTGTAGGGGGAGATGGGACGAGGATGGGGTGGAAACTAGCGGAGAGGATGGAGTTATCGACAGCGTGGAACGCGGTACGAAGGAGGAGAGGGGTAGAGGGGGTAAATGCTGTCAGAAGTTGTATACCGGCGATAGTGATTTCGTCGGTGATATATGGGAGGAGATGGAGGAGTGCCTTTGATTCCCTATAGGAGTTTTAGCACAATTTACATAGTGATGCAAGTTATGTGTCTCTCATACTCATTTATGATACCGATAACCTGGTCTTCAGACCTCTTCCACGCATGTTCGAAGACTCGGCTCGACAATAAACCTATTCCCCATTCCTTGAAGGATTTCTCTTCATCTGTGTAGCCATCAGTCTCGGCATTTGCGTATTCGGAGCGGTGGTCGAATGTGAGGAAGGTCGTTGGCGTCAAGAATGTCGAGCCGGTAGGGAAGGCAGCATACAACTCAGCCAGCAAGTTCGGCGGCATCGTTTACCGTTCTCTTAACGACAGACTCGCAACGAATGGACTGCTGGTGTAGTTGAAGGGCTGGTGTAGCGGGTGAATGCCCTCTTGATAGCAGAGGGTGGAGCCACACATGACTGTTCCAGCGTTCTATTTCAGGCAGAGTGCCGAAGGTTCAGGCATGCCGCGGCCCCCGGATGGGTTGGATTTTGGCTCATCGATGTGCGTCGCGCTGCATCCCCGCAAGGGCCCGCGAACAAGGGTGCTATATTTAGAACATGCCGGTATGGGGAGGTACACGGAGAGCAAGTTGATCTGTTTTTCAATGGTTATAGAGCTGAAAGGCCCTTGAAGAGCTTGGAGTGCTGGGCGTCATTGGCAATCACGGGCGATAACGATTCCGATAAGCTCTATGGCCATGATCATGAACGTTGTACTCGAAGAAGATCAGTGCAACAACCATCGACATGTCCTGGACTGAGAAGGCAATCGAGCAACTGGGTCTTATCCCTCACCCTGAAGGAGGTAAGGCCTCAGAAACCTGCCCAACTACGTATCCACACGACGTCTAACGATCAGCGGGCAGGTTACTTCAAAGAAACCGACCGAGCAACGAGCACCATCTCAGCCCCCGCCTCATACTCCCAATCCCCACCGACCCGAAACTTAACAACAACAATCTTCTACCTCCTCGACTCCCGCTCCCCCAAGGGGCACTTCCATACCAACAAATCCCCCACCACCCACTTCCACCACCGCGGTCGTGGGATCTACGTCCTCATCCCTAAAGACGGGAGTAGAGACGTGATTGAGTATGAGGTGGGCCAGGAGAGTGGGCGGTTGCAGTGGATTGTTACCGGGGAGTATTGGAAGGCGAGTTATTTGCCGGAGGGGGAGGAGGGGTGCTTGATTAGTGAGGTTGTTGCGCCGGGTATGTGTTTTGAGGAGGGAAGTCTGTACTTATGATGGGTTACTGACGACTGGGTGGATAGGTTTCGAATTTGATGATCATGAGTTCATGAGTAAGGAGGAGTTGGTGAGGCTTGTTGGGGAGGAGAAGGCGAAGAAGTATGAGTGGTTGTTGAGGAAGGAGGAGCAGAAGGAGTAGGAAAAGAACAACAACAACCAAGTAGATCCGGCTATTCACCAAAAGTGATACATCCAGGAGGCGATTGCTCGTCTCGGGAGTTGGTAGTCATAGCGAAAAAGACAGTAAATTCGACGGCGCCGAGGCAGCGCAGATCAAACGCAATCAAATCAGATCATCCCATCATCTCAAAACGACCACAGCTTACAATCTATCCTGATACATTCATGACCCCCTCCGTCAAATGGTGGCTTACTGGGCGACCCACGCGCACGTCCGGCAATTTAAAGTTGCGTCCAAAACCAGCCGCGCATCCTCCGATCCATTCGAACCTCTCTACACAACCAACAACCACCGTTTACCAAGTGAACAACATGCCAGAGCTCAAACAGCTCGTGATCAAAGCCCGCGCTTCACCCAGCGCATCCCAGGCCGAACTCCAAATCTACGCTCGGGTAAGTCCCCCTCAGTCGCACGCGCGACGCGTTGAACTGACAGAGAGACACAGCTCCCATCCTCACCACCCGGAACCCACATCCCCCTCTACACCCTCTCCAACCGCTCAACCTGGCGCTCCTCCCAAACTCAAATCCACTTCCTCAACCCGGATGGAACTTCTTCTGAGGCGAATGATGCGACGGAGGTGTTGGGTGTGCCTATGACGTCATCGGAGGGGGAGGGTGGGAGTGATGCTGAGACGGAGCCAATTGGGGAAGAGGAAAGGCAAGGGGAGCAGGGAGAGGAGACGGAGTATCATTCTTTTGCGACGGGAGATACGACGATGACGATGGGAGAGGAGAGGCCGACGACGGGTGCGCCACCGACGAGGGCGGGAGACGGTGATCCGGATGCGCGCACATCGACCAATGCTCCCTCTACTCGTCGTGCCAGTGGCTCCCCTACATCTCCTTCATCTCCTCCAAAGATCAAGCGCGCTTGCTCCGGCGACAAACAGTCACCAGAGACACCTCGTCGTCCCTCCCATGGCGGTGCCGGCGCCGATAAACCCCGCCGCGTTCAAACCGAGGGCGCAAACAACAACGGTAGCACCCCCGGCGGAAGCCGCATCCCCCTCCTGAAGCGTTCCTCCACCATGGATACCCAGAAATCCACGGGAACGGTAATCCACAAACCCCGTCCGCGGACCGCGTCGCCAAAGTATGAGGCTGCGCAGGCGGAGGGCGGTGGAGAGCAGAAAACCCCGCCGCCGAGTTATGGGTTTGCCGCAACGCAGGGGACGACTGGGCAGCAGGGTACGCCGAGTGACAGTGGTGTGAGTACCTCGCAGCCTGGGTTGGCCTATCTGGAGGGAACTCCGGAGGCTGCGGTGGCGGGTGGGAATACGTGGGCGAGTGTAGCGGCCGAGACGCCCGGGTTTGGAGCTCCGATCGTTGAGAACAAACCTGCGGCCGTGTTTGCGGCTAAGACTCCGGAGCGGGAGACGCCGCCGTATGATGTTGGTGAGGATGAATCTGCGGAGATGGAGAGGAACCTGGACCCCCATGTTCTTGATATTGGTGGTGTGTTGACGCTCAAGTTCCCGGAGCACCGTGAATTCAAGGGGGATGTCCTCGTACAAATCAGTGCGAAGGTACCAATCTACCAAGCGACCCGTGGAATGTGGCAGTGGTTCGAGCTGGACGGGTTACCGCAAGCCAATTGTTCTGCTCGCGTCGAGTTTGAAGTCGAAGGTAGTGATGAACAGCAGTTCAAGGCGCACCCAGCTTCGGACGAGGTCAAGGAGGGGGAGAGTACGATTAGTGCTACCTATGACCTCCGCTCGGCGGGACAGAGCGACAGAGCGTGGTATGTTGAGTGGAGGGAGAGGGTCGATGCGCTGCCCTTGGAGTACACCGGGAAGTGCGAGACCTCGACGACTCTCGATAGTGATATTGATGGTAAGTCAACTGAGACAAGAATCTTGCATTCCGTGTATCTGTACTTTACGGAGGAGGATGACGAGGCACTTCCTGATACCGAGAAAGCGATTGTGGAGCTCCATGTGGATGGGTGGACGCCTTCGCGGGGTGAACTCGTGAAGGTCGGTGATGTGGGACACGACTGGGAGTGGACAGAGGAGGGCACCATCAAAGTCACTCGACCTACAGACCAAGCCATGGATCTCCTCCAAATCGTATTCTCAGAGAAAACGAGGTCTCGGGCACCGATGAAATTGGTCGTACCGAGGGTGTACCCGGTTGTTTGCCAGGGTGTTTCGTCGCATGTCACTGTTATCCAACCTGGGCTTCCGCTTGAGTTCAGCCTTGAGCAGGGCCCGAAGGGGTGGGTTCGTGTTTCGAGGGGGGTTGATACGCATGTCGTGGCGAAGTTTGACTCCATCTCCGAGGACCCAGCGAGGACAGAGGCGGTCATCGTGCAGGCGACGTTCTTGACGCCCGCTGTGGTCAGTGGACTCGCGGGATGGCTTGCGGATGCGGATGGAAAGTTGGCGTGTGATTCTGTCAAAATCACGGTTGAGGAGAGTAAGATTACCGGGGAGAAAGCTTTGAAGTGCCGGTTTATCAAATTTCTTGCTACGGTAAGGTCTGATGAGGAGCAAGATGAGTTGTTGCATGTCGTTGGACCGGCTGAAGGTGACTTAGTCTTTGCGCAGGTAAATGACACCATCGCTGGGTTAAATGTGCTCTTCAAGGATAAGACTGGACACGGACTGCGAGTCAAGGACTTAACAGGTGGTGCGAAGGCGCATAGGATTGAGTTGACATGGCAGGTTCCGATCGGTGTTACGGGCAAGGAGAGGTTGGAGTTGCCGTATGTGTTGGACAGGAGCGTCAAAGATTTTCAGGCAAACTTTGATGTTGACAAACGTACGTAGTTGGTTTGTCGAATTCGTGGTACGAAGGCTAACGACCTGTGTACAGTGACCCGAGCTGTCTTCAGCTGCAAACACCCCTTCTCGACTCGCGAGCACAAGCTCAAGCACTCCGACTTCGACCATGTTACGATGCACTACCTGCCCCCAGGTACCAAGTCAGCAGTTCAGTACACCTCGCGTGAACCCGAGGTGAAGCGAACCGTGAAGAAATGGCGCCGCTGGGGGAAGGCTTTGGGATTGCTTACCCTGCTCACGCTGGGTACCGCAGCCTGGACTGGTCGTAACGCACTTAACGATATCCGGGATGGCTTGGCCAAGGTCCATCATATCCCCGAGATCGCGCACAGGGTGGAGGATATCGCGCAGCAGAACAGGGCGTTGGGAGAGCAGTTGAATACGTTGAACGCAGCGTGGTCCGAGTCTCCGAGGATTGGTACCGATCGGTCGATGTGGGAGCATCCATCAGACCATCCCATTGCTGGAGAGAACCTCCATGTGGGGTGTCCGGTTGAGGAGGTCGTTGCGAGTGTTCCTGAGGATTACGAGGTCGTCCGGGAGGAGCTCGAGAATATTGGAATTCACACCCGTGGAAGACTCGAAGTTCAGGATGCGGAGAAGAGTCGATTCAAGAATGCGTTCAGTGGATGGTTCAATGCGAGGCCGACGGTGGTTGTAAGGGCACCTCCTTCTTACTAATAGCAGCGTGGGAAAGGCCGGATGTTAGACGGATTTTGTTCTTGGTGTATACCTATTTATATCTGCTTATTCTTCTATTTGTATAATCTAATCTTAAGTTGGAGTTTTGTTAACCATCGGACATGAGGATTTCCTTGACCTCAAGCAGGTGACCCTTCTCGAGGCATAACACCCGTGGTGGTTGATTGCGTCGCACCATCACTTATCCCCCGCTTCAGCCACACACGCGCCACTCTGGCCGCGGACTGGGATAGAGTAACCTGGACAGCGCGAGACGGGAAGGAGATAAGGAGGAAGTTTTGCAGTTATGCCTCTCCATCCAGGTATGTGCCAAGTTGCTGTTGCTCGAAGCCGACTGACAATTCCGCACAGCCGCTTTCCTGGGTGTCGCCGTGGTCCTTGCGGGTTCGCTCATCATTTACCAGGAGGTGTGTAGTCTATCGCATAGCGTTCCCGTTCCTCTGGATACGCTGCTGACAATTCATACAGTGGGATGAAGTCGTGGATCTTGCAGAGCGAAAGTTCGGCATTCGTTTGCCGCGTAAACGTGAACGGAACTTGCACGCTGCGTTTTCGTCTGGCCACGGGAGGGCAGGGCGCCGCGCCCAAGAGGAGCAGGAGGAGCCTGTCGCTTGGGGTACGGAGAGTGGTAGAGATGTCTTTGTAAGTGAGCATGAGCTGCAAGAACGACGTCGTCAGGCAAGTAGGAGGAGTGGAGTGCAGAGCTCGACAGATGGCGGGTCGGTGTACTTGACGGCGCCAAACACTCTGCGGCGCCACATCGCCAGTCCTATTGAAAAGGATAGTTCGGATTGTACGACTTCATCCACCATCACTTCGACACCGGGAACGCCTAAGCCCGCTGCTGATGCACACTTAATCGACTTGAACACAGAGGGGTTGCGCGTCGATAACCCCTTCAGCGACGAACATGCCTCAAATTTGGTTCTCCCAGTCCATCAAGCAGAGTCTTCCACGCATGAGTTGGGAAACCTATCAAGTGAAACTCCGGAGGAATCGCCTGAGCTTGTTCTCACGCCCAGTTCCTCCTCCCCTCTCGCCTCTCTTCACTCCCCGGGCCTCACCTCCCCCACCTGGACGGCCTCCTTCAGTTCCGGGACTGCGAGTCCTGAGCTTGTCATGGCTCCCTCACACCACGATATCCGTGCTGTTAGTTCTGCTTCGGAGGACGAAGGTGAGGAGGAGGAGGGGACGAGGAGTTTGGCTTCGTCGACAAGTGAATGGTGTGAGATTGATGAGAGTACGAGTTCCACAGGAAGTTTGACGAGGAGTTTTCAGGGGAGTTTGTGAGGTTGTATGGTCAGATAGGGTATGAGAAGGAGCTAGTTGAAGCATTCTTTTTGTGAGGATGGCCTGCTACCCTTCCGAATACCCAGGGGCAAGCACGCTGGGGCGTGCGAATTTCGTTATGTATGACCGTGAGCGAGTACTGCGATGGATTCTAATGATTTTAAAGAAAAGTCCGGGCTAAAGGCTCGAGTAGGCCTGTAACCTTCTCTCCGATCCATGGCCAGCTGGTCGCCGTAGTGACTGATTGCACATGCATATTCCTACCTAGCCCCATCTCTCAAGTCCCGCTCTAATCACACCTGCACGACGCCCCTTTACATGTACACATCAAATTCCCCGGGCCCCAGAGTAGGTAATATGGGAAGCAACAATTGAGCGAGAAGATAAAAGAAGGAACTTTCATCATTATGGCTGTTGAGGTTGGAGCAGGTCTGCATGAAGTCCGAGTTCGTCACAAACGTCTAATAACTTCCCACAGTCGTTATCGCTACCGGTCCGTTTGTTCTCGGTTGCGTCGCCGTGGTCGCTACCGATACAACCATCTCTTGGCAGGTGTGTAGGTTGCTTCGAAAAGATGACTGCAATGAACTGAGGAAAGGAAAGAGGCACAGACATTGTCTGCGACGGCTAACATTTCACAGTTGGTTCCCGCAAAGGAACCAAAGTCCCGTACTTTTGTCTGGAGATCCAAGGCCACATTTCCATGCTGGCCTCAAGAAAGTATCATAGGATGGGATGCCTGACCGCCCCCGGCTATATTGCATATCCTGGGAAGGCCACATCCGAGCACACGCTCGGTGGGTTGCGGTGCTCCTCTCGTTCGAGATCCTGAAAGGGCAGATTTGGAGAGGATTTTCTAACCGTACCCGGGAACACCATGAAGCACCTGGTGGTCCCCGTGGCATCTGATATCCTGAGTCTGGACTGGCTTGTGTCCGTTAACTTGTGCGCAGCAATGTTCTCCATGTCTTTTGTACTGCGTCTTTGAAATCGTTATTGTAAACCAAAGATTGCCCTCAGGCGCTCCAGCACGGCAAGATCGAGCGCTGTCGAAAAGGTGCGTGGAAAACGGTCTGTCCTCGAATTCGGCAATCCGGCCGCGGCCGCATGCCTATCAGGAAAATCGAAGTAGTCATATCGCCCACGACTGTGTAGTAGAGCCTTCAACGCTTCCCATTACTATTAGAACTGACTCTTAAACTGCCTTTCCAGTCTCCAAGGAACGTTAAATGTTCCTTATGTCGACCGTACCGCCAAGCGAGAGCTACGGCGCTAGTGGACTCCGTTAGCGTGGCTTGCGCAAGTGATATGGGCAAACTCAACGCCGTTTTCGATTGCTATCAAAGTCGACGCAGCTTTGTTTACTTAGGAGGGCTATATTCTTACGATGAACAAGTGAACAAACGTGCCGTCAACGACAATCGTATAACGATGTGTATCCATAGAAAGAGAAGCCCTATCAGCTTAAAACTCCAGTTACCCAGAAAAAATACCCTTATCGTATCAATCCCGACTTGATCCTAGCACTTGGCGAAACAAAGAAAAGAGTGTACATCCGGTAAACGACCCAAGCGCTTACTGACCACCACGAAGACGGAGGACGAGGTGAAGCGTCGACTCCTTCTGGATGTTGTAATCGGAGAGAGTGCGGCCGTCTTCGAGCTGCTTACCGGCGAAGATAAGACGCTGCTGGTCGGGAGGAATGCCCTCCTTGTCCTGAATCTTGGATTTGACGTTGTCGATGGTATCCGAGGATTCGACTTCGAGGGTAATCGTCTTACCCGTAAGGGTCTTAACGAAGATTTGCATACCACCGCGGAGACGGAGGACGAGGTGGAGGGTGGACTCCTTCTGGATGTTGTAATCGGAGAGAGTGCGGCCGTCCTCGAGCTCTGCAAAAACGTTAGCATACATTCCATTAACGTAGACGATCGGGTGGCAAACTCACGCTTTCCGGCGAAAATCAAACGCTGCTGGTCGGGAGGGATACCCTCCTTGTCCTGAATCTTAGACTTGACATTGTCGATGGTGTCAGAAGACTCGACCTCGAGGGTGATGGTCTTGCCGGTGAGGGTCTTGACGAAGATCTGCATACCACCACGCAACCTCAACACAAGGTGGAGAGTAGACTCCTTCTGGATGTTGTAGTCGGAGAGGGTGCGGCCATCCTCAAGCTCTGTGTCGCCACCAAGGTTAGCATACACGCCAAAACAAACGCGTCAATGGGGCAAAACTCACGCTTTCC